ACCCGGATCGACTGGACAGGAGTTCATGCCTTCCTCCGAGGTCTATGCTGCCATGAGCCTCCTTTTCGAGAAGGACGGAGAGGTTTTGCAACTTGTCTACAACTCCCGCCCTGTTCCGAAGGGGGCCAAGATTATTAACGCAGACATGTTTTTCATCAAGAGTCTTCTCGTTCCGCCAAACAAGTATCGCCCTGCTGCCCAACAAGGCCCCGGCGAGATCATGGAAGCCGCGCAAAACACGCCGTTCAACAACATTCTCAAGCAGACAGACGTCATTAATCAGATCAAAAAGGAGATGCAGAACGAGAGTGAGAAGATTATGAGCCGTGCGCGCAATCTCAGTGATCTTCTCCAGGCTATCATTGCGCTCCAGGACTTCGTCAACGGTCTTATTGATCGTGAACGTACTTCTGTGACCGGTTCGGCCATCGCCCAACTTCCCAATGGTATCAAACAGCTGCTCGAGAAGAAGGAGGGTCTCTTCCGAAAGAACATGATGGGTAAGCGTGTCAACTTCGCTGCCCGTAGTGTAATTTCGCCCGACCCCAACCTCGAAACCAATGAGATCGGTGTGCCCATGGTGTTTGCCAAGAAGTTGACCTTCCCGGAGCCTGTCACCAACCACAATTTCTGGGAATTGAAGGAAGCCGTTATCAATGGACCCGACAAATACCCCGGTGCGGCTGCGATTGAGAACGAGAACGGCCAAGTGATTAATTTGAAGTTCAAGAGTTTGGACGAGCGTACCGCACTTGCCAACCAATTGCTGGCACCATCCAACTGGCGGCTGAAGGGAACACGAAACAAGAAGGTCTACCGTCATCTGACTACTGGTGATTATGTCTTGATGAACCGGTACGTAAAGGATGCCTCGCTTCGGTGCTCAATCTTGAAGCTAATTTTCGAAACAGACAACCGACTCTCCACAAACCGTCCATCATGGGTCACAAAGCACGTGTTCTTCCCAATGAGCGAACAATCCGCATGCACTACGCCAACTGTAACACCTACAACGCCGATTTCGATGGTGACGAGATGAACATGCACTTTCCCCAAAACGAACTTGCTCAAGCCGAGGCTCGCATGCTGGCTGATGCTGACCACCAGTACCTGGTTGCCACATCTGGCAAGCCTTTGCGAGGTCTGATTCAAGATCACATTTCCATGGGTGTCTGGTTCACATGTCGCGATTCTTTCTTCGATGAAGAAGACTACCACCAGCTTCTGTACAATTGCTTGCGGCCGGAGAACTCGCACATTGTTGGCGACCGCATTCAATTGGTTGAGCCTGCTTTCCGGAAACCCAAGTTCCTCTGGACTGGCAAGCAAGTCATCACCACAATTCTCAAGAACATCAAGCCCGAAAACAGCGGTGGTCTCACACTCAAGGGCAAGTCTTCTACTCCCGGTGATCGTTGGGGCAAGGGCAACGAAGAGGATACCGTCATCTTCGATGATGGAGAGTACCTGTGCGGTATCCTGGATAAGAAGCAGCTCGGTCCCACCGCTGGAGGTTTAATCGATGCTGTTCACGAAGTCTACGGCCACACCATTGCTGGAAAGCTGATGAGTATTCTGGGACGGCTTTTGACCCGATTCCTGAATATGCGGGCTTTCACTTGTGGCATTGACGATCTGCGCTTGACCAAGGAGGGTGACCGCATTCGCAAGGAGAAGCTGAGCACTGCCGCGGAGATGGGTCGCCAGGTTGCTCTCAAGTACGTGACCCTGGATCAGGCTAACGTGCCCGACCAGGACGCCGAGCTGAACCGCCGCTTAGAAGACGTGCTTCGTGATGATGACAAGCAGAGTGGATTGGATAGCGTTTCTAACGCCCGATCTGCCAAGCTCTCCTCCGAGATCACCAGTGCTTGTCTTCCTGCCGGTCTTGCTAAGCCCTTCCCGTGGAACCAGATGCAGTCGATGACTATTTCTGGTGCCAAGGGTTCTGGTGTCAACGCCAACCTGATTTCCTGCAACCTTGGACAGCAGGTTCTGGAGGGTCGCCGTGTACCAGTCATGATTAGTGGTAAGACGCTGCCGTCTTTCCGAGCTTTCGAAACCCATCCTATCGCCGGTGGTTACGTGTCCGGTCGCTTCTTGACTGGTATCAAGCCCCAAGAATACTACTTCCACGCCATGGCCGGTCGTGAGGGTCTGATTGATACCGCCGTCAAGACTTCCCGTTCCGGTTACTTGCAGCGTTGCTTGATCAAGGGTATGGAGGGTCTGAGAGCTGAATATGACTCCTCCGTTCGCGAGGCGTCCGATGGCTCTATCGTCCAGTTCTTGTACGGAGAGGACGGTCTCGATATCACGAAGCAGGTTCACCTGAAGGACTTCAAGTTCCTTGCTGAGAACCACCGTTCTGTTTCCAGACAAGTCCAAGCCAGTCATTACCGCGATCTTGTGAATACAGAGGCAATGGCGTGGAACAAGGATGCACAGAAGGCAGTACGCAAGACTCATGACTTGGCTGCTATGGATCCTGCTCTGTCTAAGTTCCACCCTGGCGGTAACCTGGGCAGTACTTCGGAGGAATTCGCCCAAGCGCTCAAGAAGGTGAGATTACATTCCCGACACTCGCTACACAAATACGGGTTCAAACTGACAATTTCTTCGCACAGTTCTCGTCCGACAATTCTGATATGTTCAAAGACAAGAAGGATGATGCTGATGTTAAAATTAACAAGAAGTCATTCGAGGCTTTGATGAACATGAAGTATATGAAGTCTGTTATTGATCCTGGTGAAGCAGTTGGTATTATGGCCGGCCAGAGTGAGTTTCCTGTACCCCGTCTCCCTGTGTGATCAGCAAGATTCTAACTCTACTATAGGTGTTGGTGAGCCTAGTACTCAAATGACACTGAACACTTTCCACTTGGCTGGTCACTCGGCAAAGAACGTGACACTGGGTATTCCTCGTCTTCGTGAAATCGTCATGACTGCTAGTGCCACGATCATGACGCCCTCTATGACGCTTTACCCCGTCAAGGAACTTTCCAAGGAGCAGGGCGAGAGATTTGCCAAGGGTCTCAGTAAGCTCAGCATTGCTGAGGTTGTTGACAAGGTGCAAATCAAAGAGCGTATTGGCGCCGGTGTTGGCCACGCAAAGGCTAAGGTTTACGATATTGAGATTGACTTCTTCCCTGCTGAGGAGTATATCAATGAATACAGTATCCAGATCGCAGATATCTCCCGGGCACTTGAGAGCAAATTCATTCCTCGCCTGGTAAAGCTCATCAGGACTGAGCTCAAGAAGCGCAATGAGGACAAGACGGGCACGAAAACTTCAACTGCCCAGCCTGAGATCGGTGTCTCGATTGGTAGGGTTGCCGAAGGCCCCAGTGGCCCTGATCGTGCAGCGGAGCCGGCAGATGACGACGATGAAGATGACGAGGATGATGCCAAGCGGGCTCGTGGTGGCCAAAACCGCAGCAACCAGGTGTCTTATGAGGGACCTGATGATGACGAGCAGGATATCATCCGCGGACAAGATGAGGCCGAAGAAGAAGATGAGGATGAGGAGCTTGGTGATGCCTGCGATGATGATTCTGACGATGACTCGGATGACGAGAAGGCACAGGAGCAAAAGCTACGTGAGGAGAACGTCAAGAGCAAGTTCTCCGAGATCACCAAGTTCGAATTCGACATGAAGAAGGGCACCTCGTGTACCATTCAACTCGAGTACGACATTGAGACACCCAAGCTGCTTCTGCTTCCCCTGGTTGAGAGCACCTGCCATTTCGCAGTCATCCAGCAGGTTGTGAACCTTGGCAGCTGTGTCTACGTTGAAGGAGATGAGATCAAGGGCGAGCCTCCGTGCATCATGACCGATGGTGTCAACTTGCTTGCCATGCGTGATCACCAGGACGCTATCAACCCGCACTCGCTCTACACCAACTCTATCCATGATATGCTCAACCTGTACGGTGTCGAAGCTGCCCGTGCCACCATCATCCGCGAAATGGATTCCGTTTTCAAGGGTCACAGTATCTCTGTTGACAACCGCCATTTGAACTTGATCGGTGATGTGATGACCCAGTCCGGTGGTTTCAAGGCTTTCAGCCGTAACGGTTTGGTCAAGGACTCCACTTCGCCCTTCGCCCGGATGTCTTTCGAGACCACCGTCGGTGCTCTGAAGGACGCCGTTGTTGAGCGTGACTTTGACAACCTCAAGGGCCCGAGTAGCAGAATCGTCGTCGGTCGTTCCGGTACCGTCGGAACAGGAGCGTTCGATATTCTTGCTCCTGTAGCATAGTCGTGTTTTGGTTTGTTTCGCATTGTGTCTTCTCTGTCCCTTTTTTTCATCACCTGTATACTTTGCACTATTCGTGCATCCTGTGCTATTTTTATTGCCATCTTGACGCGTCGATGATCTGGAGTTCGTCTGTTCAGCGGAACACAAAAGTGCCTGGCCCTGTTCATATTAGCATATTTTTCAGTCGAATAGAATCTTCACACGAGTGTGTATTCAGTCCCTTCTGCCTATGTAGTTGAATTCTTCCTATAAGGCGACCCGTCGCCATCCTTAGCATGTTCAGGGAGTGGCTTTAACTAGTCACTCGACCGCATTACTCGTCAGACTGAGACTGGCTCCACTTAGTACCTTGAGATCCTACATCTCTCTATTTCACGTCTTGACTCTGACATGAATTACATGGCAATGAGGGTATTTACAGTACTTGATGAAAGTTATGTGCTCGGTGAATGACGGTTACAGTGGCACTTCAAACATTTGACACAAGAGATGGAAGAAAAAGTCTAGCCAGACACACTTCAACCTGCTCTACTTCTAAAAATTTTTCCGAATTGTCTTTGAAATTGTCTTTACAGATTGCCCGGGCAATGTATTTTGATTTCTTTTCTCAAAGTACAAGATAATGATCTTGAAACCTGGTCGGGGGTTTAAACTTGTGGAACTCCACTGTACTTCGAAGGTGATGTATCAAACCTTCAGTCTGCGCAACATATTCATTTCTTCAATCAAAACCCCTTTCTTCACTGAACACGTCTCTCTTCTCTCTCTTGTCTCCACTTCTCCCCCCATTTCCACTCCACCCAAATCAATGGGGTAAACAGTAACACCGCCCCGCTCACAATGAAGAAGGCTTTCATCGCCTTTACGACACCGATCAATGGCTGGATAACACTGACCCCTGCAGCTCCAAGTAAGCATCTACATAAATCATTGAGCGCTGTCGCTCTCGCAGGTAGTTCTGGGAAGCAATCGATCAGCACAGTCGAATTAATGTTGAAGATAGCAGTTGCTGAAAAGGCAATCAGGAATTGGAGAATGAGTGGTGCAGCCAGATTTGGTCCAAAATGCTTCCGCAAATCATTGAACTCAAAACTCGGTCCGTAGAGTGCTAGAGAGATCACGATCACGATGCTGAAGATAGGCATGAGGCGAAGACGGGCCTGCACATAGGGGAAATCGCGGCTATGATCAACAATCTCGTCTGCCCAGATGCCGTGTTCAACCTTGTATCGATTTAGGGCACGATTGAAGCTCTGGTCTAGTATCCAGCCTGTGCGGAGCGAGCTGATAATGCAACCAAGTCCGATTGGGACGAAACAACCCCAGTTGCCACTCTGTCAGAAGAGGGAAACCGAGCAGCAGCATTGTCGTGGTAGACGATGTCACCATGCTCCATGCAGTATAAGCCACAGCGCCCCAAGCTAGGAGTGCTGCGATGTCTTTCTCAAAGATATAAGCCAGTGGACTGAATGCATTCTTAAACGTAATCGGTGATCGAGGTACCGGGGCAGTTGTTTCAGCGCTTTTGGAGCAGGCTGATGGCGGTTTGATATAATAGATAAACGGCTTTTGGAAGCCAGAGACAACATTGGTGCCATTGACTGCTACGCTGCACTGCGTTTCCGGAAGAAAGATTAAAAGCGCACTCAGGACAATAATGCTTGTGACGAAAAGTAGCCAAAAGATGCTCCGAAAGCCCCATTGACTGTTCAACGCACCACCCATAATTGGACCTATTGCCTGGCCTGTCATCCTATGAGAACAACAATGGTCAGGAGTCTTTTCTTCTGAGTTTTGCTGTCTAACATACGGAATGCCGGCATTTGTCCCTATGAAACGACCACGTTCTTGTGGGTAAGCAATATCAGCGATGACGCCAGCGCTGATACTAATAGTCGCTGCAGATCCTGCCGCTTGAAAGCCACGCAGGACCATAAGCATCGCATAGTTGGAGGTGAATGCCAAGGCGAGATTGGCAGCAGTGTATATGGTAAGAGTAATTGCAAAGGTGAGGCGACAGCCATAGGTCTCCGAGAATGTCCCTAAGAGTGACGGAGCAATACCCTGGACAACCATATACACCGTGATCGTCAGAGCGATGAGGGACGCATTCACACCGAGATCCCTAGATATGGCGTCAATTGCAGGAAAGTAGATATTCGAAGAAAGCGGCGAGAAAGAAGCTGCCAAGGAGACGAAAATGACAAGGTTCCATTTTTGCTTCTTGGACAGGATATGATAGGGAGGCTGAGGGTCAGGCAGCTCAGGCAATGTTTCAGAATCACTTTCTGACATATCTGGGCTAATGAGATCTGCCTGGTCGATGAGCTTGGCATCTTTGATACTGCGTATCAAGTTTTATAGACTCACCAGGGTAATGATAGCCGGTTGTTTAGCAATGATCTAAAGATGTGGCACTGTGATAAAAGGGAATGAGCAGGTAATGTAGAAAAGTAACTCTGAAATATGAACTGACTCCTGCTTGGCCAGCCTCATCTAGGAAATTTGAGTCTCCTTGTTAAAATAACAGTCGCAGTGGGACTTCTGTCTCTCAATTAAAAGACGCATAGAAGGGGGTAATAATGTGACTCTCTTAAATTTGCTGCGCGCCTTGTCCTCCGGCGCTAAACCCACATACAAAATTGTAAACTCAATTGGGTCGCTCAATCTGAAGACAAAATATGCTCCTAGGTGGCGAGTCTACTGCAGTGCCCAAAGAGTGACACGAGAGTGGCATATCCCTTTGCTTTTACTACGAGATCATCGTTGTGCTCGTCGCGCGAAATGGGCGTATAAAGATAGTTTGCGATTGGTCTACCTAGTTGAAACCTGGAAGGCAGCAAAACTCAAGGCCTCGATGGTCACATTTCGAAGCTTAGAGATACGATTAACTGCGGAGCATGTATCTTCGTAGATCTCAAATATGTAAACAACCACGAAGCTAAAGATGCCAGCGAATGGATCGCGGGTGATCGCCTGAGATTCTCACCCTGCAGCAATCGGATAGGTAGGAGACATCACCAGTGGAGCTGGGCACGGGCATAATCCAAATAATGGTACAATAGAGGTTCAATAGTTAGCTAACTAACTCCTAGACGGCTGCAGCTTGGGCACGTAAATGACAGTCCGAAGGCTGTGCTATCTTTATAGCATTCAGGGAGGAGTGACGATCGTTCAAGTCGGAGGTAGATGCGCGGCTGCCTGGGTGCAAATACCGTATCTAGGGCAGGGGGGTGTTCCGACTGTGAGGAGGCCCGTTTGACCTATTATAAGCAATTTCCATTGATGTGAGCAGTTGATCATCACGGTAGCGAACGTGCGCGTAAAGCTTGACCTAAAGGCAGATGATAAAAATAGCGAATTGAAATTGACCATTGATTGTACATGGGCTTAATACAACAGTATAACTTAGTACTAAACCTCCTAGCTCAGTTTTAACGTGACTCGCTCGCATTGGGCCGATATTTCCTAAGTAGATCAGCTATACTGTACTTGTATTTGTAGCAGGTAGGCATGTTGTTGAATGCAAGGGGAACGAAACCTGCACTCCATTGCGCGTCGTGAACTATAAATCGACGCGTCCTATCAAAGTGGCATCCTAATCGGGTATCTATCCTTCAAGCCGTACAGCTCGATTTCGCCAGGAGAGATCCGGGAGCGTTAATAATATTCAAGATTGATTCTGTCTAAGACTTGGTCGAAATTGCTCTGAACAGCATGTGACTCCGTTCTCTTAACTTGCTCTTGCTGATGGAAAAGCTAAAGAGTGATCAAGGTGCCATGATCACTATGTGGTAGCTATGGAAATAGTTACTTCTGTTCTCTAGCCACATTGCCGCAATGACCGTGCTTACAGTAAGGGTAGGAATATCCCGAGAATATGTCGACTAGTCACAGAGGCTAGTCGTAAGAGATACTACGCTTATATGGGCTTCGATATTGAGGCCATGTCTGATGCTTGAGCACGCAGGCCTGCAAGCTCGTCAGAGTGGTCGACAAGATATAAATGAATTTCCCCTTCTGCGTCCGAGACTCTCTCCGGTATCTGTTGCCTTGTTTGACTGAGCTGAGCTCCTCCGTTTTTCTCCCTCCTCCTCTTCATGAGCTCCTTCGCGCCAAATTTGAGCCAAAGAGAAGTTGTATTCCATCTCAACACTCCCAGCTAGATATCAGGTATCGCAGGCTTCACGAAATGAGAAACCAGGTGATATAGAAGCGCTGTCCAAGGGTATTTCAACCACTATTTCGTCGTTTCATATGCGTATTAATTGGAACCCAGCATCGAACTACAACTTCACCCGAAGTTAAATGCCTAAGCCCGGGTGGCTCACCCGGAAATTAGAAGATATCAGATTGAAATGCGATCTTCCTGACTTATCTGTGCTTCTCGGCTGTGAATGCGCGAAATGACTCGCCAGATCCCATAGACAACAATTTGAACCTAATGAAAACGCCGCCAATGCTATGATATTTCTGTGACCTGATCCAAGAACGCCCCAGATGTCCGTGTCGAGTCTATCAGGGGACCGCGTTACTATTGACCCCGAAAAGACGCCGCCGCATAAGAAACAAAGAAAGAAATAAGAAGGAAAATAAACAAGAAAGGGCTATTGGGCATCAAGCATCATAAGGTCTTCGTCGATGTCGTCGTCATATTCCTCCTCGACGATCTGCATCGTGGTTGTGGCACCGTTCATCTGGTGCACAGGAGGGGCCTCCTCATTCATCAAACGTGCCTGCTCAGCCTTGCGTTTCGCCTCGTGACGCTCGATATCAGCCAGACTCCAGGTAGAAATTCCTTCTTGATCTCTGGATTTGAATGGCTGTGCCATGGTTCGCAGGAAGTTCTTGGCATTCGCGACGGCCATATCTGTGCTGAGATTTGTTTCGCTCTCCAGCATTGCCTGGTTAATCCACTTCGGAAGTTGTGGCCGCTTTCGTTCGAAACGACGGTCTGCCAGAACCATGACTCCGTAATCATCTTTCCCACGAAGTACACGGCCCAAGCACTGCGCGGCATGTCGCATCGCATCGAAGGAAAGAAAGTCGTTCTCTCGGATCCGATAATTCTCTCGTAAGAATTCAAGTCGGGCCTTCAGGATACGAGACTCCGTGTACTGGAACGGAACACCAATGCACAGCACAGCGCGGCCGTAATGATGATCGAAATCGATACCCTCGGATACCTTGCCTCGAGCGACACAAAACAAGATTGCACCGCGTCCATTGCAGCAAGCGGTCCGGTATGTCTCCAGGGCCAGCGACGACTCTTGCGCGTCAGGAGTTTCGACAAGGATTAATTTGTAATTCCAGATTTGATCCAAAATCCCCATGCCTTGCCACATGCTGATGATTGACTCCATGTAGAGGTATGAAGGGAAGAAGACCACCACGCCGTCCGGCGTGATACGAGCGAACTCAGTGACAAGCGTACCGTAGTTTCGCACCACTCCGGGATCATTGCGAATACCGAAGGATGATGAGACTTGTGCCTGATCTGAGCCACGAGTAACAATCATGGGCAAGAAGGAACGACGAGCCAGGGTCATACTGTATGACTCTTGCAAGACCGTGGTGAAACCGAGCATTTTGGGGTACATCTCCAGCGGCGAGAGGGTACCGGAAGTGATAATGACGGAGCTGAAACGATCGAAGACGGGCTTTATTGCGATGGCAGCATCCAGGCAGGTGAAGTGCAGAATCGGGTTGGGTACTGTGGCTGCTTCGGACTCGAATGGCTCGAGAATGAGGACGAATCCCTTATCATAAGTTGCGACTAGAGTTGCAAAAGTGGCCACTTCCTGCAAGGGTTGATAGTCTTCGATGTTGACGAGCTCTAGCGTCCGAACGAGTGATGTCAGACGTTCTGCGCAGAATCTCAACGGCTTTCGCTCGATGTATGTGAGATCCTTCAGATGAGTAAGGAAAGAAGGTGGTGTTTCTGAGATGGTGTGTGTCACTTTCATCCGAGTCTTCAAGTATTCGATGAATCTCTTCAGGAAGGAAACGAAGTGTTCGGCACGACGAATATTACCAGGGACCGCCTCCTTCAACAAATCATCTGGCAATACGGGATTTGAGATGAACTGATCCTCCTCCCGGGCCTGTTCTGCTTGTTGCAAACCTTCCACAAGTTTCGAGTATTCATTTTGAAGCTTTTCGGCATCCGTGCTCTTCATTTCCTCAATTTTACGTTCCAGATTCGTAGCGCCTCTCGTGGCTTTGCGAAGAGAATCTTCGCTCAGATCGATGCTAAGGGACTCAATGCAGACATTGTCGATATTGTGCGCCTCATCGAAAACGACGATACAATCCTTCGATAGTTCTCGAGAAACGCGCTCGGCAATTTTTGGATCGAGGAGGTAGTGGTAGGAGTAGATGATGATATTACACCACGGCATCTAAAGGCCACCCCGGATGTTAGACAAGTCTCTTCATAAAGAAGCACATCAAGCAAAATTAAGCCATACCATGCGCCGAGCAGAGAAATAGGGGCATTGTTTGTGCTCTTCTCCATAGCGGGTCAGGCCATCGAGAGTAAACACACCGGGCGGGACGAGGTTATGCGGCTCGAGGAGGTCGAGATTCTGTATTACCCAGTCAGATGAGAACCATAGTCCAGCGGAATCAGATAATCAGACCTCGTGATATATGCATAGATCGACTTCCTCGCCACGCTCCTTTTTTTCTTTGACAAATCCCGCGGTCAAGCTTCGGCACCTTGCATCGACAACAGTACCACTTTTCTCCCGTTTCACCGATGGATGGAGACACAAGTTTTTCCGACTGGTGAGCCCAAGAGCCCGGAACTCTTCTTCAAAACCCAGTTCCTGTGATCGGTATTTCATCAAACCCTTCAGCTCTGCCAACGCCTTCTCGATCTCGGACATCGTTCGCGAGCAGTAAATTAGCTTCCTGTGTTCTGGGTAATGCTGCTGGTACGCCACGATCAGCGACAGGAGAGAAATTGTCTTGCCTGTGCCAGACGGCATCTCGAGAACACAGTGACCGCCGGCATCGAGGGTCTTCTTGAGATCGCACATGTATGCATACTGCTCGGGGTACACCCGAGGGTACGGGAACAGCACCGGAAGATCACTAAAATGAAGATCAGATCAGCAGTGAGATCAGAATAAGGTGTAACCGAAGGGAATTTATCGTACTCAATGAAGAACTTCATCGTGGCCGAGTTCCCGACGCTGTTGGAGAAGAGAAAACGAAGACAGCCTGCGGCGAAGCTCAGCGAGTCTTTTCCCCTTTGGGATAGCAACGAAATCATCACGTGACTTCCCGATCGGGTGGCCGCCCGCTTGATATCATCGCTTTGGTTCGTTCTCTCAGCACCCAATGCGACTTGAGGGAATAAAAGGAGCCTTGTTTTCTTATTTAAAGACCCACTGAACTCATACCGGTGACTTTGTGCTTGCAATTCGCGCCGGACCTGCAGCACTGCAGCTTCGAGCCATCACCCCGCCATTCCCGCTGACCTCATACCCCACATGAGCAAAAAGTTCAAGTCGCAGGCCTCCAGCAGTCGCGCTGCGGCCAGCGCCTTTGGGGGGTTTGGGGGATTCTCAAATGCCTTTGACAGTGGTGGCCGGGAGCCATCGGCATTGACATACATTACGGAGCCGCCAGACCTTTCTCGCATCTGGGATCAGCAACTCGTGATTGCATATAAGAACTTGCTGAAGAAAGATGAGATTACGCGCACCAAGGCTTTGGAAGAGCTGAAAGAATACATTTCTTTAGTGGAAGCCAAGAATGGAACAGTTGATGAGGGCTTCCTAGAGGCATGGGTATGTCCATATTCCTAATCTATAGAAGGAAGGCCATTGGTTGACCAATTAACTCACAGGTCAAAGTCTACCCTCGCGCTTCAATCGATCTGTCCCGACGAGTGAGACAACTGGCACATAAAATTATGGGATCTGTCGCCGGTGTTGTCGGGAAGAGAATCGCACCATATCTTTCCAAGGTTGTTGGGGCTTGGCTGGCAGGGCTCTACGACAGTGACCGACCAGTTCATCGGTCCGCCCTCGATTCTCTTACAACAGTCTTCTCCACAGAAGCCAGAAGGAACAACCTTTGGAAAATCTACCAAGCTTCTATATTGGACTTTGTAGATGACGTTCTTCTGCACCAAAAGCCATTGACTTTGAGTGACGAACGGACGGTCAAGCGCGATGACGCCGAGGCAAAGTATGCGCGAGTTGTCGGTGCTGCTCTCTTGCTGTTCAATCGCATCCTGGGTAGGTGATATAAGGCTTCTCCCTGTTGTTCAATGTCTTCCACGAGGTCTCATCATTAATTGGAAATAGGAAATTCACCCGACGATGATCTACGGAAAAACCTTCCAGAAATCGAGGCACTGCTCGGGAACAAGTCTTTGTGGGCTTTCTGCACTCATGATGACCCGTTCGTGCGGCGTTCTATATATGTGCTTTTGCGTTCGACCATATCTCGCGAGCCAGCGTGGGTTGACTGGAAAGTCCTGAGTTCAGCCATCATTGGAAAATCGCTATCTACTCCACAGCTGGGATCCGCTTCTGAACTCTCCGAGTCTGTTCTCCTCTTGACATCATCACGGCCGCAGGTATGGACAGAAGACTATACGGGCAAGACTTCTGCGTCCAAAAGGCTGCGCCAGTACATTCAGAAAGGGTCACAGGGCGGACATGGCAGTTTCTGGTCAAACCTTGATCAGCTGCTTCGCATAATTCCCCAAGATGTGCTTGCGGGTGCCGACAAAACATCCAATGATGGAGCTATCACGATTTCAAGTGTATCAGCTTTAACCGAGGCTTTCCAGGAAGGTCTTCGTTCTCGAGAAGAGCCACGTCAAAACCTGAGCATTGGTTGGAAAACCTATGTTAGGATCGGAGGCTGGCTCTCAACTCTTGTGCCCGGCGAACAGAAACTCGAATTCATTCAAACTAGACTATTTCCACTGGTGGTGAACTATGTGCAGCCTGACCATGAGCAGCCCCAGTGGACCCTGCCTTCAGATTTAGCTGAAGAAGTTTGTACCGAGTGCATCGCTACACTTGTCTCAAATGGGCAGCATGACGAACTCAAATCCCTCTGGGTACAGGTTGCGAATGGTTTGCTGGAGGCTGTCAAACTGTCATCTCCAGAACAATCAAAGGATTTCCACTCATCCCAAGATTCAATCTGTTCCCAAGCGAAACGACTCTTTGCATTGGTAGCCGCTGTCCTTTCACATGCCTCGGATGCCGAGAGTGAAGCGATCGTACAGAACATTTTCGAGAATTCCACCTCATTTCTTCTCGAAGGTTGTTTACAAGTTCTTTGTTCGCGCAATGGTAAGCCCTATGGCGCTGCTGGAGTCGTTGAAGAATGTGTTCGCCGGATGCCTTCGGTGTCGAATCGCTCTCAGGGCCTCCTCAAGTTCATCCAAAGTGATGCGCCTGGGCTTCTCTTCTCCCCATCGGGTGATCGCCTCATTACAATCATCTTGGCATGCCGAGAATGGGATGGTTTCTCTTCCAGTTTTGAAAATGTTGTTGAAAGTGCAATGGAATTGGAGCCCGAGCAGTCCAACGCCCACATCCTTCAAAGTCTGCTTTCCAACCTCGACTTCAATGAGGTTGGGGACAAAGCCAAATTATCTTCTTTGATCATGCGGGCTTTAGACAAGTCCCTACGAGGAAGTCATTCTCACTGGGCTATCGTCATCTCGGTTCTTCGGAATCCGTCCTCCCAAGGTCAATTGAGAGATGAAATATTCTTGTCGATAATCGATGCGCTGTCCCATGATGATAAGGTCTTTGATGCTTTGCATGGCCTCTCTCATCTTGGACAAGCTGTCCCGTCTGCAGTTCGCGACTTTCAGGCTGGAGACCATGGCTCAAAGCTAACAGGGAAGCTACTGTTTCTGACGGAGTCCCCATCAGAGGAGGTTGCAAGCCTGGCAGAGTCACTGATGAAGACTTTCAAGGAGACCGTGGTCGGAGACACAAGCACCAAGTCTAAGATTGAAATCCTTAACAATGGGTTCACTCATGCCAACGAGGAATCATTGTCGTAAGCAATATGAACCCTTGTGTATTTTATGAATCGTCTAACCTGTTTTTAGAATTGAATCTCTCTATGCTATTGCAGAGGAGCTTTTGCACGGCCTTACAGCAGATCAGCCTGACTATGCAATCAAGGATATCTTGCCTTCTTCTGATGCATGGGAGAATGCCATGGGCCCCTTCCTTCAGTTACCGCCGCGCATTTCAACAAGCATTACCGGCCCACTTGGGGGCATTGTCTACCTCGTCCATCGCGAAATTTCGGATTCGTTCAAGGCATTGTGGCTTGAAATACCCCGTGACTCTAGCCGTTGTTCTGCTGCATTCCGCCTGGCAAGCTTCACAATTCAAGTTTTGTCCTCCTTTGAAGTGATAAAGCACCTTACCATCGATGACCTCGAGACCCTCATCTACTATCTACCACTCGCCGTTCAGTTGATTGACGATGACCTAAGCATCGAGCATTGCAACGGCATTACTGGGCTGAAAATGCCTAATCAACGTGAAGACTACCTGGAAATAGTCTTCAAAGGGCGCCAGATCATCAGCAACTGGATCCACGCCAAGGAACCCCTAAAGCCGTCACAGAATGTTACCATTTCGTCTTCGTTGACCTCTTTTTGGGAGAGCAAATTGGAGTTGCTGAGCGGAACTTCGCCTGTCGACTACCGGATCGGAGAGGCTTTCACCAAAATCATGACCTCTATAGAGGTCGTGGAGCACCCCAAATCGGCCGATGAAGTTGCGAAAATTTGTCGCGAGGCAAGAAGCGCCAACGCTATTCGTTCGGCATCATGGTTTGCTGTTTTGCGAAGCTCAATACTCTCAAGCCCTGTCGGAAGCAGAGTTTGTAACGAGTTGGTCGCAGATTCTACGGGACTCAAGCCCCTCGACCCCTCCTCTGATGGTATGATTCAGAATTATATGAAGCCTTGATTATATCTAACAGTGACTTAGGACTGCGAAAACTCGCATTGCTCAACATCTTACTCTCTGGAGAGGAAAACTTTGTATCGACTATTCCCACGCAACGATTGGTCTTCCTTGTCAAGCATCTGATCGAATGCCTTCAATCCGACATGAAAGTCCTTGGGCTACGAGCTGAAATTCTGCGGACATTGACATTCATTATCCCCGGCCTGGCCGAAATCTATGGCTCGCACTGGGAGGAGAGCATGGAAATCCTCAGCGTGATATTCAGAGAAACCAATGGCGGAGAAGAGGGACTTCCTCTTCTGTTCTCTTCATTCAGATTCTTTGCGCGTCTGAAATCTATGGCGGAAGGGGACAGCAATGATGATCTTCAAGATGCCTGGTCAGAGCGAAAGACTGGACTGTTCAATGAGGTGGCTTCTACTATCGGACATTTTGGTACGTATTGAAGGATCCTCGCTAGGGGGTTATTTAATAGAGTCCCAGCTTACCAAAAACCAGATTCTGCAACCACGTTCCACCAACCGCGTGATGTTGCCGTCGAGCTTTTGCGACGTCTCATTAAATCCATACCCATTGAGAAGCTTGAGGACGTTAGCGAGGTCTTTGGCCTCCTAACTGCGCACAGCCGCTCCGTCCAGCGCACTGCTTACACAATCCTGCATCGGTTCATTCCTCAGGCACAAGAACAAGTCTCATTCGATGTGGCGCTGTCCAAATCATCCGTTAGCCTTCCAGATGAGCTTATATCCTTGTTGCTGGAGACACCAACATCGCAAATGGTCGACGAGGCTTATGGGGATGACAAGATGTGGACTACCATACGGGCCTACCTCTTGAGCTGGAAGGTGGTGTTTGATCATTTCACCAACGCAGTATGTTACAAGAACCGTTTTGCCACTACATGAAGTTTTTTTGCTAATAATGTCAACAGTCGCTCCCCGTCCAAGAGTTCTACACGACAAATATCAAGGAGAACGACGTCTTGATTCCATTGTTGGAATTCACTTTCGACTTCCTTCAAAAGTCTCACGGCAAGATCGTTGATGCATCCAAGTTCGATGTACAAAACTTTGAACCGGATCAGTCTGAGAATGCTGAAAAGGAGACGCAATGGCTTCTGATCCATTTGTACTACCTTTGTCTCCGTCACTTGGCGAACATGACCAAGAATTGGTGGATTGACACAAAGAAACGAATCAAGGGCCCAGTGGAATTATGGACAGAGAAATACGTAAGTGAATTCGAGCCTCAGACTTTCCCTACAAGCCACAAAAGCAGGAAATCATCTAACGGCGGTTCTAGATCTCCCCACTTGTGTCTGCAGATTCCTTCCAAGGGGTTGAGGACTGGGTCTCCACGCAAGATCCTAACGAGGAGCGAGCATTGAGCGTGAAAATTGCGCCGAAGACGGCAGAAATCATCGCCAGCATCCCCGTCGATGAGGAATCACCCCCAGTCTCCATTTCGATTTCTCTCCCACCGGCATACCCACTTCACCCCGCACTAGTAGTTGGCCGTAGTCGGGTGCTTGTGGACGAGAAGAAATGGAAGAGCTGGCTTCTTACCATTCAGGGTGTTATCATGTTCGCCAACGGTAACCTGGTTGATGGCCTCCTGGCCTTCCGCCGGAACGTGCAGGGTGCTCTGAAGGGACAAAGCGAGTGTGCCATCTGCTACTCGGTCATTTCGACTGATATGCAGACACCGAATAAGCGATGTGCCACTTGCAAGAACACTTTCCACTCCGTTTGCCTGTTCCGATGGTTCAAGAGCAGCAACCAAAGCACCTGTCCGCTTTGCCGCAACAACTTTGTATATGTTTGACGTGATGAACTCGAAAAGATAGACGATAGATGTGGAAATAAAAAGCGCATGACTTTACATGAAATATTGACCGGCCTCTAGAAGTCTAGATATTGAAACACGTGACAGCATTCACGGAGGCGTGCGTATTGAATTTGCAAGATTTGGCCCAAACAGCCAGTGACGCTATTCCCGCCCCGCCAGTTCCCCACCGCGTCCGAGCTCCAAGCTTCCTCCACCTTTCCCCCCCTCCATGGCTGCTTCGCAGATTCCAAACCTGAACCTTCTTCGTCGAGGCCGAGGCCGAGGGCGTGGAGGTAGTCGTGGAGCTGAAGATAGTCACATTACTCGGACGTCTGGTAAGGACCGCGTTGTGCAGGGTACTGACAATGACGCGAGTGTTTCTCGTCTGAGCGCTGTCGAGCTGGGTTATCTCGTTGATCCCTACGCGACAGCATTGACGCCGCCTGGCTCTGCGACGAGAAGGTTCCCAATTATTAACAGAGGCAGGTTTGCTCTTCTTTGCTCCCCCGAAAAATGAAAATGACGAGAATTGACCCCCAATAGGGACCTACGTCCGCACCACCGCAATTGACCAGCTCGTCACGCACTTCCTTGGTCCATACTCCCCTGAGACTCAGCACAAGAGGAAACAAATTATATCGCTAGGTGCTGGGTCAGATACACGTGTCTTCCGCCTTTTTACCTCCAGAAGGCCATCCGATGTCATTTACCACGAAATTGACTTTGCGGTCAACACGGCCGCGAAGATTCGTGCGATTCGATCAACGCCGAACTTACAAAGGGCGCTGGGAATTGATCCGTCGAGTAACGACGTGACCCTTTCAGAGGCAGGCGATGCACTACATGCACCCTCATATCATATCCATCCGTGCGACCTCCGATCGTTGTCGGCGAACCTCTCCCTCACTGAAGCGCTCCCAGGCGTGGACAGGAGCCTACCGACATTGCTGATATCAGAATGCTGTCTGATATATCTTTCTCCGTCCGAAGCAGCCCAGGTGGTCACTTTCTTCACTGAACATGTTTTTGGTCCTACGCATGTGCCCTCTGACGGGAGTGAAAAGCCCCAAGGTTTGCGCAGTGTTCCCCCTCTCGGACTGGTCTTATACGAACCAATTCGCCCAAACGACCCCTTCGGACGGACCATGGTGTCTAATCTAGCGGCTCGAGGAATTCAACTCCAAACACTCAATAAGTATGCGTCTTTGGAGGCCCAGCGGGCTCGATTGCTTGAGCAAGGGTTTGAGACTGGTCAAGCTGCCGCTGATATCGATTTCCTTTGGGAGCGCTGGGTAGAGGAGGAAGAAAAGGAGCGCGTAGCCAGTCTTGAGTTTTTGGACGAGATGGAAGAGTGGCGATTGCTTGCTCGGCATTACTGTATTTCATGGGGATGGAGGAATGGTGACGATGCCACGGCATTCAAGAGATGGACCACTCTGCAAGCCCAACCGGGTGAGTGATGTCTCAAGCATGTTCATTGGCTATACTGCCAAATAAAGATCACGAATCTCTGTGTAAGTAACTACATGATGGCCAATACCAAATATCCCAAAAAGCCTTGAAGTTGGTGAACAAGGCCAGCTTGTCCATAATCTTGTTCATGCCTGAGGCGCCCTGGGACTTGGTGTCAAGGGCTCTCGTTGTTTTTGCAATCCCCATTCACCCTCGCCGATCTTCTTCCCGCGATATTTGACCAAGTTGCCCACTATGACGGGGCCAATGATGGTATTGAGAAGGATAGCCCACACTGCGGTGATGAAGCCATCTTGACTCACATAGCTCGTTTCATTATACCCAACTTCTATGATGAGAAGGCCGATCTCCCCTCGTGCCACCATCGCCGAGCCGAGTAGTAGCCCAGCAAGCGATGCAGGGCCATGCCCACTTGCCTCGTTGTTGGCGGTTGGCGACTCAAGGACTGCGCTAGAACGAGCCTTTGATGGACCCAAGAATTTCCAGAGAGGAATCCACAGGCCGACAATGAACTACTTGAACGATTAGGCTGTCCCCAATGATCTATCAAGCAGGAGCAGGGTCTTCTTACTTTTGCAAAAGCCATGAGTAAAGTGAACACGATTCCTCTCCAGATTCGTTCTCCCGTCCAGAGCTCTACGAAAGGAATCGCAAATCCAATACTGGCGAAGAAGAGTGGCTCCATGAGATACTTTTGAGTATCCAAGAGATACAACTCGAACGTGTGGATGAATTTCGGGCTTTTGTCGGCATTTCGCTCACCTTCTTCACGGCTCATAACGACAAACGGACCATCTGGATGCTTGCTCGGCAAGTATGTGAGAAACGTACCAGCGAGGAATGCACCAAACAGGACTGACGTGCCTGCATATGCGGCGATACTGATGAAGGCGGATAAGACCAAGACCATCAAGAGGATGTTAGAGACATGATCAAACTTGGCGAATTTGTGTTCGATCCAGCGTCGGAAAATCGGTGCAAAGATCCACTTTGTGAAAATTGGTGTGAGAATCGCCATGGCCGCAGAGGCTACAATCGGTCGGCCGATGATCCAACCAAGATTGACATGACTGGCGGCGGGCCCGGAAAGCTCTCCTAAGTCTCCAATGACGCTGTTGGTGTGGTGTCAGCGCCAGATTCCACAGTATAGCAGACACTATCTCTTACCTAGACAACACAAGGCCGACCACATCATCGATCACAGCAGCACTCACAAGAACCGAGCCAACTCGAGTTTGGGAAAGGTCTATTGCGCTCGCAGCGGATGAAATGACGGAAAAGGTAGTGCCCAAGGAAGTCGCCGATAGCGCAGCTCCAATGATGAATGTCTCGACCGCGCCTTCGCGATGTTAGTCTCGAACGTATTCAAGGACAATGAACATACCTTACCATATCCATAGCCCAGGTACAACAGCAGGTATGAAAGCCCAATTGGGAAGCAGACACCTGTAGCTGCCGCGAGGACGCTAAGAAGAAAGTTTTGCTTCAATAGATCGAGTCTGACTTGTAGGCCACCTGTTCAATTCTTGAGATCAGAATCAATACCAATAAAGCACGCGGAGCTCTGGTACCTTCAAAGATGATCAAGATCAAACCAACATACCCAATGGCAAGGAAAGTCTGCTGCCACGGGTACTCCAATATATTGGCCAACGGTTTGCCATAGATTATTCCGACGGCAATTTGGCCAATTATACCGGCACGAATGATCTTAGTCGAAATCCATTCGGCCAATGACAAAAGAAAGAAGAATGATATGATGATCAAGATTTCAACGACTGCGGATCTTGATTAGCACCAGCCTTGATGTTCGAGAATGGCAAGTACTTACTACCAGGTTCGTGGTATGCAAGAAATCCAGCCATCACAAAACCCTTTAGTTACGAGTTATCCTGTAGGTAGAATCAAAGTGGCTTCGAAGGAAAATCAGGATTTTGGGCCAGAAAACTCTTTAAACAGTCGGTCTGGGCATTTTCTTGGGCTTCTTGGCTTTGGACTTCATCGATGGTAAGTCACGTGCTGCCACCTATTCGGTGACATCAGCACTTGGGCAAAACAGAAATATCTGAATCTGGGATAAAATTCACGGATGGAAATCACTGAAGAAGTCCCTAGAGTATGTATAAACGTACAATGTACGAACTTTGCCTGTTTGTTGCAAAAATGGCTCAGGTCTTCCGATTAAGTACAATATCCAATGCCGGGATCTCAACACCAAGGACCTTGCCCTCAGCATTCAGAGTAAAAACAAATTCATCCAACCCATGTCCAGAAAACTGTAACCTGTCAAGAGTCATCCAGGAAACACAGGTTGCAGTCCCAGCATCTGCAAGCTCAGTCTTGTCTTGGAAAACGGCCCTGAACGCTTGTCGGGATTCAGACCCATTCTGTTGGATAAGCTGGGTCGGATACAGCCGAATGCTCAGATCTGTCGCATTACTAACACCGTTAAGTCTTGCCAATGCCTCACGGAAGTTAGTGCCGTTGCTGATGAAGTTCTCGATAAACAAACCCGGAAGTTCGTCATACTCAATAGTGATAGAAGAGTTCAAGTTAGAAGCTGCGTATGCACCACCGAAGTTCTGGACGGCCTGCTTCAAGGATGACTTTATTATACTTTCAAGCACAACTTCCATATAGTCTGCGTGGGCATTGAGATCTGCAGGACTGACGATATCAGCGGAAAGAATAACGTAACCAACGCCGTAGTCTGGGACCAAGCCAAAATAGGAGCCGTAAAGGCCCTCGTTGCTGCCTTCATTGCTGAGTATGCTATACACATCAATCATTGAGGTCTTAGGGTAGTCGCCGTCGCTGTAGATGATCCACGGCGCGCCAAGAGAGTTAGCGGGGTTGGAGGTGTGCGAAACGGGCTTTAGCCAGCGATGCGTTTGGGACCAAGGGAGAAGAGTTGAATTGAGAATAGCTTTTCCGACAATTGCGAGATCCTGGATGCTTGAGAACATAGATGTCGATCTGGTATGGACATAGTCAGACGTGATATAAATTTGAATCAAAAACAAGGACTTACGCTTCCGATCCCGCTGTTCGAGCCGACCATCCACTGACAGTCTTATTCACCGGAATCACGCCCATGTTCGAGTCTCTGGGAGCAAATACAGTTGTTTGGTTCGTTCCCAAAGGCTTAAGAATCCGCTGCTGGACGACTTGTGTGAAGGACATTCCAGCGCGCTCTTCAATAATGTATCCCAGAAGCTGGAATGCCATGTTTGAATAACTTGGGGTCACACCAGCAGGAGCTACAGGCACCCTTGTAGCCAAGTGCTGAATGAATTCTAGAATAAGTCAGATTCCAAAAGTTCATACCTGCTGAATTCTGAGATCTCGTACCACTGGAGCTGCATCGCGATCCTTCGGCACAGCACGGTAGTTGACCATCCTGATATGTAGGCAAGCCTGCCTTGACGATATCTTCCTGAAAGCCCAAATCGTTAACGCAATCTGATTACAGGCAATTAGAAAGTCTCGGATAGTAACTTTATTCACAGGCGGCGGACTAACAATCTCTAGCAATACCACTCATATGGCTTGCGAGTTGACCAACGGTCACATCCGACCATTGGACCTGGCTAATGGTGTCCCGCTGGCCCTGTGAGGTGTTTGCAAGTTCGGGCAGATATTTGGCAACCGGATCGTTGAAGAATTGATCGCCCTCCATCAAAAGGAGACTCCACACAGTAAAGACTTGGGTAAGTCCCCCGATGCGATAGATGCTGTCCTTAGTAACATTTCGAGAGAGATGATTCGTCTTTCTTAAAGCTGGAGCCGTATAATGATACTCCCAGAAGAACGGTTCAGGCTCAGTGGTACCCTTCTTCGCTGAGAACAATGCAATACTGAAGGTAGTGTTTGGCGAGGCGTCCCCGTTAGGGCCAGTACCCGTCTCAATGAGCTGGTCAAATTTAGCAGTGAGGTTTTCAAGTGCACTTCCGACTATTGTATCATTGGTGTTCAGGACGAAAGGAGGATACGCAGGCCCTAAGAGTGGACATGGCGTGAATGAGAGTGCTGAAGAGAACAATAGAGAAAGCGAGATATATTGAGCGAGTGGCGAGACCATACTGAACGAAGAATAACCAAATTGATTCTACATTCCATCATCTCCTGATTATGAATGTATACATATTTTATACTAGTTCGAATCGGAGTTGATCTGAGGGCTCAAAATACCCGTCGGCTCGGCGATAGCGGTCGGCGATGTTAGGTAGAAGCCTGCTTCATATTGAGCTATTAATGAGCGCCCAGTATTAACTAGTCACTCACGGAAGCATTACATGGCAACACTTTCAAGGCCCTCAAGTATGAGTCCAGTCGCGACACGATTGGCTGTGAGTGATTTTACGATGTCCAACTCGCCTACAGCAAAATGACTCCTCTTGGCGGGAAATGAGGGATTATCATGAGTCGGTGAGATTTGAGACTTGAAAAGCCTTGTAATATTAAAAGAGGATATCTGAAGGTTCTGTAATTCACAAAATTTAGATACGAGGATCTTGGCCAGTCAATCGTCGAGTCACGAGTAGTTCCGAGAAAGGCGAGCCTCGGTCGGAGATGATACTTCGGTGATCTCGAGAGCACTGCCACTTGCGTGTTTCTTACAAGACAAATATGCTAAATAAAGGGGCTTTTGTCTCGCTTTTCATCAATGTCAACCATAGTCCGGCCTCTGTCCAAGGGTATTTGAACAAGACAAGCTGACGACGGTCTCCACCGCACGTATCAGATCCAATTACCCATGATCTGCTCCACAGAAGCCTCGAACAGATAATCAGACGAGAAATCAACGTGCATCAAGAGATCTTCCGGGAATAGACCGTCCAGACCCAAAGGGTCCCCCTCGATCGCCTCGGGGATGTCGACAGAGACGTTCACTCCAGCTCCAGGAATTGATAAGCGATTCTGATCGATATATATCTGTGATTTGTCCAGCAATCCTTTAATCTGAGTGACTCGTCTCGTGAATTCGAAGAATGTGTCGCGATCTCCGTTCGAGTCCACCTGAGGAGTTGTCAAGGCGCCCACGCGCAACTGCAGCTGGTTTAACAGTGTAAGGAATGCTGCTGTTTGGGTTGAATTAGATTTTGCAGTAAGCCGGTACAGGATGACCATGGCAAAAGCCATTTGCACCCATTGCGTGTTTGTGAATCCGAGTTCCGTGCCAGGTGGAAGCGAGAGGTAAAGATTGAGTATGCGCTCGGAGGACCTAATCGCCGCACACGACATTTCATTCCAGTCAGGCTGGTGGACCACTAACTGGAATCCAGACTGGGGGCTGATCGCAGTGAGAGCAATTTGGTAGAGAGATAGAGCGGTGGTGTAAAATTGAACCGCAAGAAATGCTTCAAGAACTGTCAATAATGAACTGATCGCGACTTCTCATCGACTTGGACTCACGAGCATCGTGAATGTTGAATTTTAGTCGATTCTGAAAAGTCTCTAGGTCTGACCTGAGACTTGTCACATAAAGTCCCGAGCCTGAATCGGGTGTCATGAGTTCTTGTCTGTGACTTATAGATAGCCGATCTATTTTTTCTGCAATGTGTTGCAACTGGACAAGTGCGGCGATGTACTGATCATGAGGATACTCTTTCCCATCCTGAAGCGACTGGCAACACTCTTCAAGGTACGGAATATAGGAAAAGGCAGCTTGCTTCTGAAGGAGAACAGAGATCCTAGTGAAGAAAAGATGAGTATACCGCGCCTCCGTATGTTCAAAGTAGAGACTTACGCCGACGATAGATAGTAACAGCCAATAATAGCTCTTCTCTCGTCACTCCCCCATGATGGTCGATCCAATGTCTGTTCATCTGCCGCAGTTTGTTGTTCAAAGTGTAGCTTAGTCTTCCACGTCTTTGTCCGTGGCGGTCGGTCCAAACGTAAGTCTGTAATGATGCTTACAGCCAATTGGAGAAACTGAGTATAGCGCTGTGGCTTTGTGTAATAATGCGACCTGTTCAAGCAATAATTAGACGCGTGGGGCCTCGCAGATGCAATATCGACGCGCGAGTGGCGTATGCATACCAAGCCAGGAATACCAGTAGCCCTTGCAGCAAGTCAAACGACACTTCTCCGTTGAGAATGATACGAGACGCAACAGCTCTCCTGACTTCAGCACCTAGTGATCTCTGCAATAGTATGTTCTCGTATGATGCTGAGGCCATGATGGCCAGGAACAGAAACGGCTTTTCCTCTCGCAACTGGACGGCAGAAGCCTGATGAGGGATGACCACGAAGGGAAAGTGTGGAGTCAAAATTGACTTGAATGACTCGAGATAGTTTTCTGCAGCTTCTGTGTTTAAAAGACCCCGGTCAATTATATCCTTGTCGCCCTCGTCGCTTTCAATCACAGATGCGCTTCTTGTTCTGGGCGCTGTCTCCGGAGTTTTTTGTGACGGCTGCACTGCAGTTTGGTCCGTCATCAACTCCCTGACCTTGGATTCTAGGGCTTCAATCTTTCTATTCATGTGTCAACAATCCTATTAGAAGTCTTCACGAACGGGTAAAGATGAGTGGTCTCACCGATCTTTCTGGAAGCCATGGAAGCGACGGCCCGTTTGCCTATAGAGGCATTCTCTGCCTAGTCGCAGGCATCTACGCATCAATCGGTCAACCCTGTCTAGGCATTACCTTCAATACCCGTTGACTGCTTTACCTCTTACACACATGAGGATTCTCGGAAGTTCGAATACATCGGACCTTGGAAGCAGCACAGCGTTGGCAGGTCTTGGACACGGAAGGCATGGCGATCACCGGTACACAATTGGTGATATTCTAGCTGTATGCAACTTCACGACTATTTTGAAAGGCAAGATAGTGCACTTCATTGAAATAACCAACAATGATCATAGGCAGATTTCCCTTGATAGCTAGCTGGAATTGTCAGACGAGGCTGTGCATCTTTCTTTAGCCAAAGCCGCTGACTAAACGCCAAGCCCGGGCACCAGAGGCAGCTTCAGGAATATGGAGTCACTAAAGGTTCTATTTCGAAGAAAACGTGAGCATAATCATGCGTGAAAAATTATGTTGAGGATCATGTCCCTACGGTGTACTCCATAGAGTGTGTAGTCCAGCATTCATGTACCATTTGGACTGCTCCAAGTTGTGTGGCCAACACAAAGTCATGGTCAGCAAGATGAAATATATGTTGTGAGTCACGATTAAGAAATGGCGCTCCTTGACTATCAAGAAGCCCGTCTCTTCTCCAAAGGCTATGAGAAACTGCAATTTTAGAACATGAGGGAACAAAATAGAGTTGGATATTTCCTTCCTTCGCATCTAATATCCGACGTTGGGCTCCCTCTGAGACCCAGACCAGTCCAAGGTGGAGAAGAAAGGGTTTGCCTCAGCCGGAGCGGGCTGTGTGCGCCTCAATTGAGGTCTCTGAGTGATTACGATATTATACGAAACCAGCGGTGGCCTTCAAGGCAGAATCAAATCATAGAACTCGCATCGCAGCTCGTCAGTTCCATACTAGTAGTGGACCAATTGTGAAACATGTTGCCCTCAGTTTCATAGCCAAGCTTTGAACAAGCTTGAAGCCCACAACGTTGCGCTGTTCATCACGGACCGCGATCGGCATTCGAGAGTCTTGGCTGAACGGAAGGATGTCCGCAGACTCCGTAGACACGAGCGCCAGCTATTCCAGATTCATCCCTGAGGGTAAGAGAACCCTAACCGGGCCCAGACGATGGTTTCATTGGACGGAATACGAGGCCTTCGAGATCCAGCTTCTGTCGTGATCAACAAGTCTAGATCATGAGCGACCTGGTCATTTTGATTGGGATAGACCGGTCAGCTTGTTAGTTCCTCCGGTAGGGCCGTGGAAGGCGGGCGATCCGAGGAGATGAAGCCCCGTTTGCGGATGCTGGATTCAGGTGGTCTTCATGGAGAAGAGGGGCACCGGGGCGCCGGTCATTTTATTAGCATCTCTTTGCTTTTGAGTGTGTAATAATGCAAACTGGACACTTATTTTGCTGGAATGCATGGAAAGAGAATAACTTGCCAGCCGAGTGAGGTGGAAAGTACGGAGAACAATGCCGTGGTCAGGTGTTTTTGTCGTTTCCTTTCCTTTCCTTTCCTTTCCTTTCCTTTCCTTTCCACTTCCACGTCCAGTTCCATTCGCCTCGACTTCCGTAAATCGCCCGGTTTCCTTCCAGCCTCCAAAGCATGAAAGCGAGCCTCCGAAGGGTGTAAGGGTTCGTGCCCCGCTGGATGCAATTTCTATAAGGTTATTGGCCTGCCTCCACTTGCCAAGCAGGAACCGCCGGGGTATCGAAGCCAACCATTGGACAAGAGCGGCACTACCCCTGACGCTAACCGACTAGCGGCCTCGACTAGTGGCCTCATGTGTGCCTCGCTAGTGCAGTTTGCTCAGGGGTGAGCACTGGGTAGCTCGTTCACAGCGGTCCCTGAGGGTCTTTGGGGCTTTGATTACCCCCAGAGAAGACTCTGAGAGACTCCCTCCCAAATGTCCAGGAGCCGCGGAGACTTCCCGAATGGGTAAAGTCGACTCCATCGGGTTCGTTACCTGGGGCCAGTCAGGGTCTCTGCCTATCCACCAAACCCTGAACGGACCTGTTTCTTTGTGACTCCATCCTTGATCGAGTTAGTGTCGTCACTCGTTGCTGGCCCAGTCACCCAGCACCGTGGTCGGGACCTTTGGGCCCTTTTGGCCCTTTTCTCTCATGGTGCCGGTGGGCGTAGCGTGCTCTGTCCCTTTTCTGGCCGGTCTGCCCATCTCATCCTGGCCTTCTTTCTCTCCTTTGACCTCATCCTCTGCGAGCTTCCGTGTCCCCTAAACTCGGCCTTGGGCCATATTCCATTCATTCACTCGTTTGATTACGCTTACATTCGTTTATTCACTCATTCTTGCGCCTCCGACTTTTGCGAACATAAACCCCCCTCCAGAAAAGCTCCCCATCTCGACATCATGAAGTTCGAGATTACTCCTGCCCGCGCGGCCGCGCTTGTCGCCCTCATTGCCAGCGTTGAAGCTGCGCACCACGGTCATTCCCACCAACACGGACACGCCCACGAAGCCCGCACTTTTCCGGAGAATAATACTCTTGAGAAGAAGAGTGGCCAATGCCAGTTCCCCAGCGATGCTGGTCTGGTTGCTGTCACCCCCAACGAGCAGAACGCCGGTTGGGCCATGAGCCCTAACCAGCCCTGCAAGCCTGGCAATTACTGTCCCTACGCCTGCCCTCCCGGTCAGGTCTCCATGCAATGGGATCCCGAGGCTACCTCTTACTCCTACCCCATGTCGATGGTAAGTGTTGTACTACTGGATCCACCTGTCATATGCAAGGGGCAAACGAGGGGGACATGGACTGACAGCCCTATAGAACGGTGGTCTTTACTGTGATGAGAGCGGTGAGATCCAGAAGCCTTTCCCCAGCAAGCCCTACTGTCAGGATGGTACCGGTGCCGTGCAGGCCATGAACAAGGCCGGCAAGTCTGTGGCTTTCTGCCAGACTGTCTTGCCCGGTAACGAGGCCATGCTGATCCCGACTCTGGTCGAGGAGCTGTCCACGCTCGCCGTCCCCGGCATGTCCTACTGGTGCGAGACTGCTGCTCAGTACTACGTCAACGCTCCTGGTGTTGCTGTTGAGGAGGCTTGTATTTGGGGTACGAGCGCCAACCCCGTCGGTAACTGGTCTCCCTACACTGCCGGTGCCAACACCGTTTCCAATGGCGACACCTATCTCAAGATCGGCTGGAACCCTATCTACCTGGAGCCCGCCACTCCCTTCCGTGATGTCAAGCCCGAGTTCGGTATTGAGATTCTGTGCGACGGAGATGGCTGCAATGGCCTTCCCTGCCGTATCGACCCTTCCACCATGGGTGTCAATGAGATGTCTGCTCCTGATGTCTTCACCGGTGCTGGTGGTGCTACTGGCTGTGTCGTCACTGTCCCCTCTGGCGCCAAGGCGAACATCGTCGTTTTCGACGTTGGTGGTAGCTCTTCCAGCGAGACCGTCTCGGTCTCTACCAGCTCGGCTCGCTCGACCAGCACTAGCAGCACTGTCGCTCCTACCACTACCTCGACCACGGAGACCCCGACCTCCACTTCATCTGCCTCGTCTACCTCTTCTGCCACCTCTACCTCCGCCGACTCTTCCTCTACTAGCAGTCTTACCTCGGCTGCTGATTCTTCCAACACTCGCCTGCCCAAGTCAAGCCCCACCATCAGCTACACCTACCGCCCTCATGTATTCACCGGTTCTGCCGAGATCTCGATGGCTTCTTCTTCTTCATCTTCTTCTTCGACCACTGGCTCCGCCGCCGCTGCCGCCAGCACCACTGCCTCCCACAACGGTGCTGCCTCCGGGACTTTCTCCATCATGAGCGTGGCCATCGGTGCCATGGCTGCCCTGGCCCTGAACTTCTAGATCAGATCTAAGATGGGCGTATCACAGACATGAATCCTCGCAAATGTACAGATGGCTTACGAGGACAGAGGACACAGATCCACAGAAACCTCACTGGGTCTTCACAACTGCAGACATGCATCGATTTGATTTCTCTGCACCTAATTTTTCCCTTCTAATACCCCCCCTTTTCTACGATTCTACCGCGTTCCCGATGGGAAAGCGCACTTTTAACTCATGACGACTCTTCCACGTTGCCATTTTTCAAGCTTTTACGACATTACACCCCCATATATCCCTTGTGGCTCCTCAGCACTGTTTTCTATTTTCTATCAAGTATCAGCTTCTTTGATATCCATTTTTTTTCCTGTATTATTTTTTTCTTCCTGTGCATTGGGTCTTGTTTGGGTCTACGTTAGATGACCGGTGATGTTTTTGAGCCGAACGAGTTCGGAGCGGGTCTTGGTTGGATATAAAGAAATAACTAATCTTCAAATTCACTCTTCACTGTTTACAGCTCTCCATGGTGCATGTCTTGCTAGTTTGAGCTGATACCAGATGAGACGTGCACGAGTAGATTGTACGCTTCGCTGTCTACTTGTACCTTGAGGATATGGCAGTATAATTGGCCGTACACAATTTGGTCACTGATACTAATTTTATGCTTTATTCACATATCAACTATACTTGCCTTTTGTGGGTGTGACCCTTGCTCCAGTTAGGGAGTCTCAAGTTTGAGATCTTCCTCAGGACTCTCCAGCAAGGCCCTCGGCTTTTTCAATCTCTTCTCTGCTCAAGCACCACTTATTCTGTAAATCGGTATCCAAACTCATCGCGTACACATCCTTGGGCCACCATTCACCCCAACTAGTGAGGAAAATTTGCTCTGGATCCGCAGGAATATCATTCCGAGTAAAAGCGGCAAGAAGGCTTTGAGCACCTATTCAATATGTGAGAAGTCATCTTTGGAAATAAAAGCTCAAATAGTGCGCCAGCAAGCTCACCTTCCGGGATTGTCTTAGCATCGGGCATATCCATACTCAATCCCATGTCCGTCGCGAGATTCGTGCTGGGAACCAGACCGGGAGAAACGGCTACGATGGTGCACTCTGGCAAATGGCGACGCCAGTAGTGAGCGCCCAGCAACTGGACGAACTTGGAGCCGCTGTAGACTACTCTTTTACCGGCGCCGGAATTTGCCTTGAGGTCGACATCTAGTGTTTCTGGGATTATAAGTCAGTTGGCAGTCTGAACTAAGATGTGATATAGTAACCTACTAGGATCCTGTCCGCGCACATTCCGGATTGCCCCGGAGGAAACGAAGACAATGCGTGTCTGAGAGGCGACCAAAGTCTCACGGATCAAGTGGACCAGATAGTGCTGGGCTATTAGAATGTCAGAGGCCACTCAGCACTCTTCTTCCCAAGGAGATTGCGACTTACCGAGATGGTTCACAACGTACCCATCACACCATTGCGATCCGTTCGGACCAGGCCCACTAGCATCGTCAAGTGTACCAGCAGCCAAGAACAAATAATCAACCTTATTCCGACCAAGCTGAGCAAGAGCCTTCTGGGCGAATACCTGCACACTACGCAAATCCTTCAGATCAAGTGGCAGAATGTGAACAGAGTGCTTAGTAGAATCGAAGCTGAGCGCATCGTACGCCGCTTGCGTTCTCTTAGTATCCCGGGCGCCGAGGATAAACTTGTACGGCTCGGACTTTTCCAGCAATTGCTTGACGGATTCAAATCCCTATTGATTATATTAGACACATTTTGTTCAAGAATGACACCATCGTATGCCAATCGGACGAGACTGCCCAGCAGCAGAGGGGGGTTCGTGGGTCTTACCAGGCCCGATGAGGCACCCGTTGCGATGACGATCTTGGCGTTGGACATTTTGATTCTTAAGTAAAATAGGGGATATTGACAATATGCAAAAATGTACACTGTATTGAAAGATAAGATGGATGCTGTTGCATTGTCTGTTGGAGGATACGGTATAGTTACCGCTGCCCCTCCCCCTCGGCTTACAAAGCGATCGTGTGGGGATGCCAGGAGTAACCGAGTTGACGTCATGTACAAGGTAGCAGCACCTTGATATCTATACTGGAGCTGATTGGAATAACATAGATCAGTATTGGATTGAATTCAACTCAATTAGCATAGTTCAGACTGTTCTTCTAATTGCGATGGTGTTTGAACATGGTGCTTCTTCCGGTCGACGCTTTCATTGCCCCTCCTTTTACAGTCAGCCTTACCCACATCGAGTCTATATTGAATAGTATCTCTCTAGCGCTTTTCTGTGTCGAATAAGAACCTAAACGCTTATATATCTCGCCCTTGTGGGTCATGCACACCAATTTATTTCACAATGTTATGCGAGATCCCTCCAGTGCCTTACAATCGACTTTGTATTGCGATTGTGACATTGTTCTTGATATTCCCTATGGCACATTGGTTTGCGTAGGGATAAAACTGATAGTCTTTTTCTTCTTAAGTTATAGGCAAAATCTACCTACGCGTTTTTGGTGTTGCAATGGGTCGAACCGATGGGGTAAAAGGCGTGTGGATGGTAGATGTGATTAGTCGAGTAAAAATTTGAAGAAGCTCAGACGTGTGGTCTTCAATGTTAATTCTAGTCTCATCATGCGCATGAATGACCCGAGATTGGATAAGAGAAAATCATACACTATATTGGATTGGGTGTATGGACTTTGAACATTTGGTTTAAATAAGGATAAGTAACACCTGCCATGTTCATAAATATCTTTGGAAATACCATATGTTCAGCTACAAAAAGTTCACTGCCCGTGATCTTTAATAAATGTGGAACTGGGATAAATACCGATAGGAGGCCTTGCCTGTATGATGCCCCTTCTGACCAATAGGACACGAAATTGGCGACTTCACCCGGAAAATGGTAGTCACTCAAGACGTGTATAACCATCAGGGAAGTAGGGCGAGAAATATCATTTCGTACCCACTTGAGTACAAGTCTAGACTCTGTACTGTTGTACATGCGGTGGTAATCTGGGACAGACCATGCAGATTCGACCGGACAGATCTTGGCATGCAATGCCTAAAGAACTCAACCTGGCAATGCCAAATCAGATTGGGTTATAGGACCGATGTCGGGGGGCCAACCGCGCACATGGTCCAATCGCAAGAGTCCTTTGTCCAGTTTGCAGCACAACCTTCCAGCGAGCCACTTTTCAGGGGGGTTAGACGGAGAATACCGCATGGAAATGGAGCCATTGGAGAACGAGCCTTATGTGTCAGTTCTGGAGTCAGCTTTTAGCTGGGTCTTTTAGAGAGAGACGATAGCAGCTAGTCCTAAAATAGCACTAGTGTTATGGAGCATATCGAGGGAAAAGCGTGATGTGGTTGGCCCGCTCGGTTTCTGACGTCACAGCTCGCGAACAAGAGTCGCGCGATTCCTATTTGGGGTAGTATAAGGCTCTAAGTTTGGATGATGGGTTTATCGTTGCACTTTTATCGGCTTTGCATGTTTCACTACCCTAGTCCTATCTTTGGATCACACGCGAGATGCTGCGTGGCTTCGCGGAGATTAGCCTTTGTAGGGGCCCTATATAAACCATGGTCTCGCACAATAAGACACGCTATCACTGTTGTCTACCAAGCATCAATCGAGTGACCCTATCCACCCTATCAAAGGCAACTATACTCTAAAAAGGGCTAAACTATCAAATGGTGGGTCTCATCAAGTGTCGGGCTCTTGAGAACTCGATCAAACTAATGCGTATCGCTACTACAGGCCCCTATCATCGCAAGCGCAATGGATGCTACAGCAGAGCTCCTCAAACGTGATGCCAACTCTCCAACAAACTACTCTCTCTATGTCTTGGCTATCATTGTTGGTTGCGTGGTGATTGTCCTTATCGGATATGGCATCTATATGATGTACCATGGAACAGAAGACGGAGCATTCTACGATATCGGTTACGAACAACGGAAATACATGCGTGAAGTACGACAGAGGAACATCAACAGTCTAGCCGTTACTGCAAGAAGGCCTGATATGATAGTTCCCGTTGAGGAACTGAATTATTGATGACCCCGCGGTTGGGTATGGGTGGATCGATCGGTTGACGTTCCTCCAAGAAACGGACAGAGCAATTGGCGTTCCGGTCATTCACTTTTTTGGGCTGATGAAGAGCTACATATGAAAATTCTGGCTTTTGAAGCATTGCGTGGATTGGAAATCAAGAATACGATGGGTCTCTAGGTTTTGCATTATGGGGCTGAATGGCGATGGCGTTAGTTGTGAGTTTTGAATGCGCAGACTTGACTGGAGGACTCCAAGTCACAGTACTGTCTCTTTTGTCTCGATTATTATACTTCCACTGTATTTTCCCTCTTGTCTCTATCTTTTTATACGTTCGTTGAAACTCTTATCAGTGAAATCCTCTTTCTCTCTAGGGCCCGCACCCGGGTATATCATACTACCAAGGACGAAAATTACTTTACATCCGGCATGGGCCAAGTTGGTTACCATCATTATCTCTGGGAATGCCAGAACATTTATAATCCCAAAGTTCACCATATCCTCCTTCACAAAATAGCGATGCAATTGTGGCCGCGAATAGGAAGCCCCACCCGTGGATCCACTTCCTCGGCTCAGTCAGCATGGCGACTTAACTAATCACATCCACCATCTAAGTTACACGCCTTTTAGCTACCCCATCGGTTCGATGACTTGCAAATAGACACTCCATTCACGATGGATCGCGGGATCCCCAATCCATGCTATACTTGCCGCAACCGGCGCATCCAATGTGACCAGTCCGGGGTGCCTTGTGGCAAATGTCAAAAGGCAGGACTGGAATGTGTCGATAAAAGGCCCTTCAAATGGGTCAAAGGCGTTGCGATTCGCGGGAAGTTGCAGGGTCACTCGTACGAAAATGCGATCTCATCTTCTGCGATAGCAAAAGATAAATCTGCAGGTCCTCCGAATCCAAAGCGTGCATTGGTGCGGGCCTCTGTACGGCGCGATCGGCGGGTTGACACTTTAGGTAAGGTCGATATTGCACCCTGATCGCTCTTCACCCAACATTGCGACAGTATAGCCACACTGGACTTGCGAGGCGTGATTAATAGAACTCTGATTCCGGTATATAGGAATCATCTCCGGTAGCAGCTCTTCGTCGTCCTCACCAGGACCCTCATTAGTCATCCAGGATCCAGCCTTTTCAAGTTTGGATAAGACGTCAAAATATTACATCGATTACTGTAAGCCCCAAAATCCGATTACCACTTGAAACAAATCACTGAGAAATAAGTACAGATAATGAACGTATTTGCGAGCTTTTCATTGTTTATGATACCGACAGAAACCCTTTCCGAAGCCTCATCCCCCTCGGCTTGGAGGATCCTGTCTTAATGAAAGCTCTTCTCGCTCTTGCAGCACGGCATCATGTCAACAAGGGCCAATCTTTCTATGAGACGGAATCAACGACATCGCCACAGATTGTCACTGCGAATCGCCATGCGCTTGCCTTCAAGCATCAAGCCATGGAAGCACTATCAAAGTCACTGGCCGACCCCAAGTTATCAAAACAGGATACAACCGTGGCCAGTATATTTCTTCTGGTCTTTTTGGATCTATTAGAGTCCGGTAGCGACGGGTGGAACTTCCACTTGGAGGGTGCAAAGAATTTAATCGCATCCACTTATCCTCAAAATGATTCCCAGACTGGCATCAATCACGGCCCGGGGCAGACAGTGCAAGAGATCCGTGATTTTATTACCAAGCAAATAAAAGTGTCAGTTCATATGAAGTTCCTTGCCAGTTCTTTGACGATTCTAACAACCCCACCACGACAGGATTGAAACGCTTGGAGCCACTTTCCTACGCCCAAAATTATTATCCTATTTCCCCCCCTTCGAGCAACAGGGGCTCCAACTCCAAGAATCTATCGAAAAGTCTTTTGTTGGATGTCCCGAATACCTTCTAGGCGTGATGCAACTACTATCCATGCAAAGGGATAGCATGTCGGAACTGGACCAACTCGATCAAACCGCTACGGAGTCACATATCAAAGAGACAACGTCCTTGCTTGAGATGACGCAGAATTTTGACTGCTATGCTTGGGCCTCTGGTCTGCAACAATCACATACACCCTCATCAAGCGAAATAATAAGTCTCTGCTCGCTATCCCGGTCTTATAAACTTGGCGCTTCCATCTATGGACGGCGGATCCTCGATGCTATGACTGGGGAAAAGACGGTACTTGATGATACAGTCGCAGAGCTGCTGGGATTGATCGACTCATTGCAGAGTGACCGACTTTTGTTCAAATGTGTCCTCTGGCCTATCTGCATCGCAGGTTTAGAGTGTCAATGGCAACCTCAGAGAGAATTCCTCATTGCTTGTGCGGAAAGATTTTGGGACATTACCAAGTGTCTGAATGCAGTCAATGCTGCGAAGATCTTGCAAGAATACTGGCGTCAAGTGGATGCCTCCGGGCAGGCCCAGTCGCGGTGGATCTTTGATATTGGCCGACTAGGTCGGGATTGGCTCTTGATATAGGAAGGAAGCACACATGAATCATGATTTATGACGAAATGAACTTGAAGAATCTATACATACAAGATGAATGCCATTTTAGAATTACTGAGCACCCACACTGGACTTGAATGCTTGTAACAAGTCATTCTTCAGATCCTCCCAGTTCTCCAGGCCAACGCTGATCCGCAACAATTTCCGATCCACCCTGGCATCAGACAAGGCTCGCCACTCGATCAGAGACTCGACACCACCAAGACTTGTTGCATGCTGAAAGAAATGCAGTTTGCTCGGCAGCTTGCGAGCGAATTCCTCGCTATGTAGAATCACGGAGAAGACGGGACCAAACCCGTTGGGCATCTGCTTCTTCAACCAGGGCTCATCCTGAAGACTGGCATGGTAGATCTTCTGTAAAACAGTTTGAACAATATCCTCGTCTGAGCCCAGCGCAGGAGAAGGAGCGTTCAAAGCACCATGAAGCCATGAAATCACCTTTGCCGAGTTCTCACTTGCCCGTTGTACTCGAACCTCGAGTGTGCGCAGACTTCGCGTACCAAGCCAGCCCTCCAAATTTCCCAGGACGTTACCCAAAGCCATACGATCCTCGAAAAGCTGCTTAGCCCAATCTTGACGCTTCACGGCAAGAACACCGCAGAGCATATCGCTGTGTCCGCCGAAATATTTTGACCCGGAGTGCATGACAATGTCAGCACCCCACAGGAACGGGTCTTGTAAGCCAGGAGGTGCGAAAGTGCTGTCGACAATAAGGAAGGCTCCACGGGCATGTGCCTTTTGAGCATACTCTTCGATGTTATAGGCCGTTCCGAAGGGGTTGATTGGAGTCTCGAGGAGGATGACGTCACCTTCGTTCAGGCTCTCAATGGGGCAGTCAATGGGGAGCTTTTTGAGACCCGAAAGGCGAGAGACCACCGAGATGACTTCGTGACTCCCGTGGTAGCCTTCGCCCACGGATATCTGCCGGGGGTTTAGGAGAGTCAATGCGGCGTGTAGAGCGGCTAAGCCCGTGGCATAGCTCACGGCATGACCTTTGAGAAGAGGAGAGAGAATTGCTTCAAAGCGAGTGGCATTTGGCGCAAACTCGCGAGAGTAGACGTAGTTTTTTCCGTTGAATTCCGCCTGTCAGAAGAGTGTCAGTTCAAGTTGGCATCGGCCTAGACAGCTTGCTGTATGTACGTACGACTGGATCCTCTGACAAGACCAGCTCATCTGGATTGTTCGAGTATCTGAACGTTGTGGATAGATGGATTGGAGGTGCAACATCGTGCACCATGTTCAATCGATCATCTGCATGCAAGGCCTGAGTGGCCGGGTGGCTATCGTTGAGTGGTGCCATATTGCTCGACAATTCTCAGTGTAACCAGTGTGATTTAACAATGACTCACAAGAGCAAAGATCTTTTGCAGTTCTTGATGGAACTATATATGCCATCCCGCGCAGTGACGAGATGCCCCACTCCCGTCAAGTTCCTAAAACGGCTGTCAATTCACGACTCCGATTGGATGCAGAAGATGCCCCTCGGGCCACCTGGTTGTCGCTACTTCCAATCCGTGGACTACCATCCAACCATAGAAAGGAAAATTCTATCATCCAAACTCATTTTACTTGGTAAGCTGGGTTTCGGCTAATGAATTTTGCACGCCCTACCGGCCATAACTTCCGGTTCCGACTAGGCATATGTTGATATGTAATCCCAAAGGGTAGTGGAGCCATTCGGCCGATTCGCCCAATGAGCAAGACCGAAATTCGAAATTCTGGGGGGTGTCTTGGTATTGGTCATATCAAAAACAAAGTATATAAAGACCCATGCGTTGACTCACTCGGACAAAATCAGTTCTGCAATTCAATCTTCGTCGCTCGTCTTTCACCAGCACCAGCCATGTATCTCCGCGCCGTCCACGCAGAGTCCTCTACCAAGGCCCTCTTCGAATTCATCAAGGCCAACCCTCTCGGCATCATCACTACCGCCATCCCATCTTCCACCCACCACTTCATCCAATCCAGCCATGTGCCCTGGGTACTAGACGTGTACACGGATGAGCCCGAGGCCTCCGTCAAGGGCCGTCTACGAGGCCACATGGCCCGACAAAACCCACAATGCAAAGCCATGATGGAAGCATGCAGCGCCGCGGGCACGACTACACTGCAACAGGACGTCATGATTCTATTCACCGGTGCTGCCCACCACTACGTGACACCCAAGTTCTATACCGAGACCAAGCCCGACACGGGCAAGGTCGTTCCAACCTGGAACTATTCTGCTGTGCAGGTCTACGGCAAGGCTACGATTTACTTTGACTCGGCTGCTTCGGAGACATCAGAGTATCTCTCAAAGCAGATTCATGATCTTTCGCAGATGTGCGAATCTTCTATTATGGGCTATACGGGGAAAGAGGGGAAGCCCTGTCCGTGGAGTGTGGCTGAGGCCCCGGAGCGGTATATCGATATCATGAAGAGGAATATTATTGGCATTGAGGTCTCGATTGAGAATATTGGGGGCAAATTCAAGATGAGTCAGGAGTTGGGACAGGGGGATCGGGAGGGAGTTATTCAGGGGTTTAGCAACCTTGGATCGGAGGTTGGGACGCAGATTGCTGAGCTGGTAAAGGAGCGTGGGGAGATGAAACATGCTGAGAAGATTAAGCAATGATAGATAGTGCTGACTTGGAGGAAGAACAATGTATAGACTGGAACAAACATTCTTTGTTTGGTGCTCAAAGGATTACAGTAACTGATTGTTTACCAATTGACTTTGCAGTGTATCTACGGTTGAGGCTACTGTGGCCATGATATGTAGACAGATGCACCATTGGGTAGTGTTCTGTGCACATTGAGCAAACCAGTATGCACTACTGAATTATGAACTATGTTCCCATCCTAGCCACACCCGTCTCCCCACCAACGCTCAGCCTTGTTCCCCTTCACGGCAGGCACATCCCACCACTCTCTCACGCAACCCGTTCCTTCCTCATTATCTCACATTTGATTCCTTATGCCCCCCTTGAACTATACCCCCTTAACCAAATTGCCCCTGTGGTCGAGTGGCTAACGCATGTGTCCACCATCCGCCAACGCTCAGACGTTGCGCCGGAGCGGATCGCGTCACTAGGCCTCTGGTATCCTGGGGCCGATCTTCGGAGGAGCTTGCTTGATATACCTCTCGGTGCACCATCCCGGGCTGTTGGGCAATTTGGTTCTTTTTTCAATGTACTTTTCTAATGACTTGTTGCCTTGTTCTTTGAAGTTGAACGTCAAGAGTTGGGGTTTGAAATTGAAGGTATTCCCAGAATGTGAGGGCGCCGGCGAGGTCCAAGCCTGGGACAGCCGGCGTTCGAACCCGAGGTCGCGCTAATCTGTGACTCTTCATTCTTTTGGCAATCTCTTTATAAAAAGGCTGACTTAAATAGAAATTTGATATTTGCAATTTTGAGGGCGATAGTGTACTCCGTACTTCGCCATGTATACTTGGGGTGGATTCAGGATTGGCTGCGTGGACCCGCAGCAGCCTAATCCCCCCCCCCCATCATTCCCCGCCTCTCATGGAAACTCTCCCCTTCACTCAATTCACGAACACCTTCCAATATGCCTCCCTCGGCGCAGACGGTAAGATTCCAGCCCACTTTGCAGCTCACATCTATGCATAACTTCCCTCTGCACAGCTACACCGTCGCCCTCATCCTCGTGAGGTCTACCCCGCATTGTTATCATGATCCCCCTCTTGTACCACGCATCCTCTGCGAGCTCTTTGCAAGCAGACAAACCAAATTGACAGAGGAGAAACTAACAACGATATCAACAGACCCGATTAGTCTCCACTCTACGGCTCCTCATCCCCCGCCTCCGCCTTCTTCAGAAGAAAGACACCGCATCTTCCGTCGTCCAACGCCGCGAGCTCTCCCAGCTTCTGAGCGAGAACCGCGAGGCCTCTGCCCGCATCCGAGTCGAAAATGTGATCGCGACAGATATCGCCGTCGAGGTGATGGAGATGGTCGAACTATACTGCGAATTACTATTGGCGCGCGCAAATGTGCTGGATCAACTAGCCTTTGGCGAGAAAGGAACGCGCGCGCGGCTGCGCGCCAAGGAATTGCTCAAGAAGCAGACTCTAGCGCAATCTGGCGAGAAAGCATCGGTCACTGCTGCGCCCGAGTCCTCCGGTTCTCGCTTTGGGTTCTCATGGTTGGGAGGATCGCAGAAGAAAGAGGCGAATGCGGTTGCTGCCACTAGTCCCTTGGAGGCCGCCGGGGAGCTTTCGGAGGAAGAGAATGCATACATGGATACCGCGCTGGATGAGGCTGCGGTTGCGGTCTTTTATGCTTGGCATCGGTTCCCGCATGAATTGCGCGAGCTCACCATGCTCCGCACCATGCTTGGTGAGCGGTACGGCAAGGAGTTCATGACCTTGGCGCAGGACAACAAGGTGGATACGGTGAAGGTGCCAGATCGACTCCTGAAGGGACTACGAGTACGCCCGCCCACACAAGAATTGGTTGAAAGCTATCTGCGGGAGATTGCAAAGGCATATGGCGTCGAATGGCCTGGTGGAGAGGACTTGGAAATCAGAGAAGAGCTCGGTGACGCCCCGCCAGAGTTTGTTGACGACGCTCAGGGTGATGGAAATGGAGACCAGACAGGCGATACACCCCAGACTCCGAGGAAGCAAAGTGCAGACCCTGCAGCAAGACCGAGTCTCTCCGAGGCAAGACGGGCCTCGGAGACGAGCGAATTGAATAAGGCGACTCCTCCACGCGGCCCCGCTGCACTACAAGGGCGCAGTCCTGTCAGTGTTGCACCGCCAGCACCCAGGACTGATAATCTAAATCCCCGGGTTAAGGTACCGGGATCTGAAGAAGATGGAGGGAGTGCTGCTAAGAAAGGTGGCAAGACCAATAACGATGGAATCCCCGAGCTGGATGAGTTGACGCGAAGATTCGCGGATCTGAAAAGAAAACCTTGAGGATACAGCCTGCCGGTCAACGTCCTAGAAGTGTTGATTGATCTCTTATGAAATGTGCTTCCACGATTTTCTCTTTTGCTTGAGTCGAGAGGATCTAGTGGCAGCGCTTTGTTGGCATCTCGGTCAAGGAGTTGCGGGAGTTTCTCTGATTGCAAACTTGTTTTGACAAAGCCTGATCTGTCGTTATGCACCGTATTGTTGTTTTTGAGTACAAGTTAGTCCTCAATCTGCCTAGCCTTGCATGAGTTAGCTGGGTCTGAAATCGAACTCGACAGCTTCAACACATCCGTCTGGCACCTTTACCTTCACGTCGGACGTTTTGATAATCGAAAGGGTGATTTGATATGAAGCAAGAGGTATCTATCTCAGCCATCCCGAATGCCAAATATAGCATTGTTTAGAAATAAACCACTCTCGATCTATCCTGCATCTAGGATCTTAGATCTACCGTTGCAAGAGGGGCAATCTCAGATCGATGCGATGGCATCCAACCTTAAAAAGCGCTACCCAGCCACCCGAACCCGACAGTACGGCTTGCCCATACCATGGATCCAAAAAAGGGTCGATCTAGAAACATAGGTACCAGAATTTCAATATCTCGACCCAAGAGACAGACTAGATGCAGATGTCAAAGATGTCAGACGCAAGTGTCAACGGAAATCGGGCCCGCTGGAGACTAAAAGCGGGCCCCAAACCAGAGAGGGAAACTGCAGTGGCCCCGAAATCCGATGCATCACAGCGGCTCGTTACACCAACTTTGAGCTGGGACCCTCCGCCCAACCAACCAATGTCGCAATTGTAATATGCTCTTGATTCCTTCATCCTCCCTCCTCTACAATCTGTGACAACGCTCTCACGATCCACTAGCATTGCGCTAGCGCAACGTCCGCACGTTTTCCATCCCCAATTTCTCCCCGCCTCTCCTCCAAACTGTCCAACAATACAAATGCCCGTGTACATGCTCCACGGCTTCCGGTGGCCCCGCGCGGGCTTCACGGGCATCCGCGTCTACATCGTCCTCAACAACCTCGAAGAAGCCGCAGCGGAATACCTCCAGCAACCGCTGACAACGGAGCTTGTTAGGAATTCACTCAGGAAGACACAAGCCGACCTCATGCCCCGACTACCAGAGCTGCAATTCATCGAGCAGTACGACCCGCAAGACGAGTCCAGCAACACCGTCAGCCAGGACTATGCCTACGTCGGCGCCAAGGTGGTGACCATCCCGGATGGGGCGGGCGCGAGTCCGGGGTTGAATATTGAGGACGTCGTTGAGCAGGGGTCCGGGCTGTCGCCCGATGCGACGGAGGCACTGGAGGCGCTGCGGGATCGGTTGGCACCCGGTGAGAAAATCGGTTGGTTCATGGTCTATAATGGGGATCCGGATCGTTGGTTTCCGCCTTCAGAGGATGAGGATGAGTATGAGGACGAGGAGAGCTATGCGGATGAGAAGTTGGACGGTCAGACGGAGCCGGGCACGCCACAGAGTTATACCGTATGTATCTGGTTTCGTGGGCGTGAATGCTTTTTTTGGGATATATGGGCTAACCTATCAATCATCCCTCAGGCTCGACTGACTCGACTGTTCAATCGCATGAGCGCTTCTTCAGCCTCGTGAGCTAGTGGACGTCTTTGCCGTCCACTCCTGTACCACAATTCGACCCCGATCGCAACGATAATGATCTCCCGTCGTCCGAATTTCTCCAATTAGTCTGTACTCTAGCATGGAGAACGGAGACTGCATGGAGAAGTTTCACGATTCCTATGCCTTATGTCCGTTGATACTCTATTCCGCCCGTGCAAGTTTTGTCTGCACTTTTATATTTCGTATCAAAAGCGTTCCCTCTATAGCCTTTCACCTGCTTAAAGCAATTATACCATATTCAAAGTCATCCAGACTGCATACTTGGGCTCCAGACTACATTCTAGTGTTAAATCAATGCACCTAAATCCCTCGCATGCGTCAGTCATGCATTACACTCTGATAGTGCTGATAATGTCCACCTAGGCGGTGAAGATAGGCAATATGGAGAGGGGAGCTTCACGATAACGGAACCAGCGGAGAAACTTCCCCAGCTTGCGCGCCTACCAGAAACGAGGTTCACCGATGCTGGCCAGGTGAATCATTCTGGTCTTGCAACATGGTTCTATCCTTCATTCTCGTCCAGAATCGCCAGTGAGTATCAACGACGGAGGACTCGAGACGGCCCTGCTGACGAGGGTATAGGGGCAAAACGCGCCTGGCGAAGTGGTACGCACCGTATAGCGTGAGTGATCAGACACCCCCCATTCGCCATCAAACCAGACAAGCAGCTGATACCAAATATAGGATGAAGAGAAAGTCAAATTGAAGGGCGAGGTTCGTGTCGCTGCAACACGCCTACTGGGCTAGCTCGCCCACTCGACCGGAATATTTACAACTAACCACCACTGCCATCACAGGTCCATCGCCTCGTCGCTCCCCGAGACCAGAAATACCAGTCGAATTTTGTCGAGTTCCGCCGCAGCACTAAGATTGTCTACCGCCGATACGCGGGGTTGTTCTTCTGCGTTTGCGTGGACGCTAATGACAATGAGCTTGCGTACCTGGAGGCTATCCATTTCTTCGTGGAGGTGTTGGATCAATTTTTTGGGAACGTGTGCGAATTGGATTTAGTTTTCAATTTTTACAAGGTGCGTGCATCAATCGGGCGATCGGATGGGGTTCGGGGGTGGAAGTGATATAGGAGGAGTTGTGTTGAGCGACAATACTGATTCGGGAATCGTTAGGTCTACGCTATCCTGGACGAGGTCTTTCTTGCCGGCGAGATCGAGGAGACGAGTAAGCAGGTTGTGCTTACGAGACTTGAGCATTTGGATAAGCTGGAGTGATGATGTGTTGCTACGAGTGCACGGTGAATGGATCGAGACCGGCGTCTCGAATCCATTGCACATTGGGTCTTGAGATTGCATGGAGCGCATCAAGTCATGGGCATGGCGTTAATTTGTTTCAATTTTCAGGACTGGCGCATTACTTACTGTACTTACCTATCGGGATTGGGAAACATTCGTGTGTGGTTGCAAGTTGATTAATTTGCGAATTGTGTTATTTGGTACATAGGCGTTCAGGAGAACCAAAATGATGCCATCGGTATGGAAAGACATGCCATCACTAGGGGTTAAATGTCGAAATCACCAACCAATCTGGAGACCCTGCCAAGACCCAGACCCATTCGTATCCTCTTTGACTCTTCGTTCACCCTCCAGGGTTCTGGGGGGTCCCCTTTTTTTGGAGGATTCAGGTACCACCCGTACCCGTATAGCGCTCTTGTTCGGATCCCCTCTCCTCCTCCAGGCTCCCGCCATCGATCCCCAACTGCCGAGATACAATGCCGTCGCTGTACATGGCGGAGACGATCCCGAATGGAGTGCAGAGTTAAAAGGGGATTGGAGAAAGAAAGAGGTTTAAATCAACCTCGCGGTTCCATCGAAAACATGACTGGTTTCCTAAACCGTCCTGGGCTCGGGGTGAGGTGATCGTGCTCATTGATGGCGAACACTACAACGTTGTCTTGGCATTGACCATATATTGAATGCTTACCTCCCCTGACAGACTTGGGGCTGGGGACTAGAAGAGATTCTCGCTTTTCTTGTTCATCCTTCTGGATTGTTTGGTTGACCTTGTGGTCGAGTCAAACCGAAACAGTTGATCATCATGAGGATGCGATGACATCCAAAGACTGCGAACTAACCTGAATATTTCTTACAACGAACCACCGCACTGGAACGGCAATACCTCTCTATGGTCAACTACTAACATATTGACTCGTCCACGATAGTAATACTTACACACCGCTGCAGGTGACCAGACACCATTGGCACTGATCGTCCTGATCAACCAACCCACTTGCTCGACAACCATGTCTAGACTATGGAGTCTCTCGCCTATGATGAGCGAACTATTCTCCAACACGGGATGATCAGTCCAACGATCGGAAAGACACTAACGAAAAGAAGAAAAAAAAAACAAGCCGCCTTCTCATCATCTCATTTCCCAGCAGAAGTGCAATCTCCGAAGCCTCCTCGTGCGACTTACGGCGCCTGATCCGCATCTCCGCGACTGATTGGGATTCACTGTGTCATGACTACTTTATTTGGCGTATCACTATCCCAGAAACCGCCGGGCTCGCGTTATACGCGGGTTTTCTACAATACAAATGAACACAACGGACCATATGCATCGAATTGATTATCGGTCGACGGTATATTGGATTTTTTTTCCTCGCCAGTGGACATTAGTCTCCCCGCCCGGGTCTCGACCACGAGCAAGACCTATCGCCGGCAATCAAAGACTGGATTCAATCAATCTGCGGAGCAACCGGTGGAGAAAAACGAAAACGCCACGCCAGTCCTCTTTCCGGACAGAGTCCAGCGGACGGCTCGTTCTTGGTGGCTTTGGAACTTGAGATTCGGTACGCCCCTCAGTAGCAGGTTCCGGAACACTGTCCTGTGTGATCGGCTCTGGGACTGAGTCTGAAGGGGAAAGTGTGTTGCTATCAGTACCAGTGCTCGATACCGGTTTGGGTTTGAAGGGTGCCCGGGCACCCGTCGGAGAACCAAGCAAGCACGAGGGTTACCAATTTCCTACACCTTCACATTGATGGAAAATGTGACACGGATACGACCGAGACTAATCAATGTCCAAGTGATATCCAAGCTCCAACACCAGTGATACTCTGTCCTAGACTCCCTTGGCCCTTTTGTTCTTGGCCAGAGTTTCAGGAACCTCGCATTCCCCACTGGCCACAGTGTACGCGTTGCCCTCTGCGGAGCCCCACCAATCAGCACGGGCAGGGGCACGGATCGTCCGCTTCAAGAGCCGGGAAAAAAAAAGACTTTTCTCGTTTGATCGTCGATGGAGATTTGGAACGGGGACAGCACACGGTCGCCCTTGACTAGTGTGATTTAGTGGAGTTGGATTTGGATCTGGATTTGCTGGCGGATTGGCGACGGAGGTGGGCTACGCAGCGTGTCGGGCTTGGCATGCTTTGATATGAGGGAGAGAAAGCTTGGTGGTTCGGTACGAGTCTCGTACCGCTCTTCGATACCGAGTACATACTCTGTACATACCGAGTTTCCTTACGATTTTCCTCTGCTACTCACCAAATGCCCGTCACGTTCTCGGGTAACGGTACCAAACCGGTGTTGTCGTACCGGTATTTACCCATTCTCCATACGAACAGGACCGGACAAGTTACAACTCCACAACCCCTGACTATCCTCCCCTGCGTCAGCCTGTGACGTCTTGTGCTCTACGCCTCAATCTCGAGCTCCTGGATACAGTTTTGCCGCCAGCTATTTTTGTATCACGATTACCATACACTCTGGGCGATTACGAATTGTGCTTCCACAGGGTCAACGTCCATGCAATGTCCCTGAAGACTGGCCAAAAGAAATCGGGAATCGCAAAGGGAGAATGGACAATACGGCAAAGGTACGAGAACGGAAGGGAAATGATTGACAGGCGAGGCCAAGAACTCAGCCCGCTGAACGAGTGGACACTTGCCACTCGCGGGGGGTAAATGCCTTTGCAATCCGTGAACGGACTACACTTTATTCTGATTGGCTTCGCGGCTTTGACAGATGTCCACTTTCAATCGTTCTAAATCGATCTTTTGGGGGGAGAATCTCTCAATCTGGTCAAGCAGACGCTTTGTACATTTTTATTTTCGCGCTCTTTTGGATCCTTTTCCTTCCCCCTCCACTCACCCCTGGTCTTCATATCAACCCCCCTCCCCTTCTAGACTTCTTCTATAGTCTTGTCCCTTCGTTATTTTTATCCACTCCTCTCCCGCTTTTTCGAGGCTCTTTCTCTTTACTTTCTCTTCAATCTGAATTCTCCATATCAAAGTGAACAACCACCCTGAGTCCTGCTTTATACATTCAATATCATGTCGCTCATGCTCTCCGATAACCTGGCTCCTCAGCCTCTGACTGATGTCTTCACGGACGACACTTGCATTGATCGTCGCAAGTGCCACCGGACGGTGCCTATGAAGGTGCTGGCCCTCGGTGTTGGCCGTACTGGTACTGCCTGTGAGTTGATAATAGATACCAGACAACGAAAGCAGCAATCCAAAACTGACATTCCATTCAATGTAGCTCTCCGCAAGGCCTTGGAGCGCCTTGGATACTGCAAGTGTTACCACATGATGTGTGCCAGTGTTGAGAACCCGCCCGACTGCCTGATGTGGCACGATGCCCTAAACGCTAAGTACGACGGCGTTGGCGAATTCGGCCGCAAGGAATGGGATCAGCTGCTGGGTGACTGCCAGGCCGTGTGTGACTGGCCCGCCTGCGCATTCGCAAAGGAGTTGATCGAAGCCTACCCTAACGCCAAGGTTATCCTGACCACCCGTGATGTCGACCCGTGGCACGCCTCGGTCATGAAGACCGTCCACTGGCGCGTCAGCGACCCGGAGCACAAGTTTGTCTCGCACTTTAGCTGGGCCGCGGGCATGTACTACCCCATGCTCAACAAATTCTTCGAGACTTTCTTCCGTGGCGACTTCCCCGGTAAGGGCAAACAGGTCTACAATGAGCACGTTGCCGAGGTCCGCAGCCTGGTGCCCGCGGACCGTCTGTTGGAGTACAACATCAATGATGGCTGGGCTCCGCTCTGCGAGTTCCTCGAGGAGGAGGTCCCCGATACTCCTTTCCCCCGCGGTAACGACATGGCCGACTTCTACAAGCGCTGCAGCACTCGTAACCGTCACCAGATGATGAATGCTGCCCTCCAGGCCGTGACTATGGGCGGTGCCCTGCTGGCTACCGGTTTCGCTGCTACCATGGCCTTCAAGCGCTTCTCCCGGTAAAGCAACCACCACCAAAAAAAAGGCATACTCCAAAAAATGGTGCCCGAGAAACCAAACCTCCCTTGCATCTATACATTTTCCTTGCTCTGGCATTCTTTTTCTTGATTCGTCTCGGGGAGCTGGGGGTGCGGGCGCTTCCCACCTCGGGACATGGGATCGAGAGCTGCTTTTTCGTGGTCATGTCGGTCTTTTTACATCTCCACCTGGAGCATTGACTCTCTTTTGTGCATTACTTTTCTACAATATTCCCCACATTTTTGTCACTGCACGGTTACAGCCCCATTCGAGGGACGGTCTTTTTTATTGCAGGTAATCTTTTGTTGTTAGTACATATCATGAACAATCTTTATCCAATCTTGTGGATTCCCTGTTTCCGAGATTCTCTTGTGTGACTCTGAGTAATGTAGCTCAAGGTATACTTGGCGGTGGGATCACACCAAACCAGGACGGTATCTGATCTGACTTGAGGAATGGAGATACGGTATACAATGACATCGGTTTTGAAGGGATAGTTCCACCCCTCCTCTCCAAAAACAAGAATTTCATCATTATGCATTCTGACAGGAGCAAGGGGGTCGGTCGGTGTGTAGGCCGAAAGCTTCACCAACTCTTAGCCTCATTTGTTATGTTTGTAAAGCAACACAGCGGAAAAGCTATCTTACTCGTTGGTTTAGAGCTATCAAGATTAGACCTGTAGAATTGATTTGTACAGAGTACTTGACCACGAAATCGCAAGTCTCTGTTAGACTGTATCTCAGTACACCACCAGATTCGAATCCCCATCATGAACTCATATAACGATCCAAGGGCAGGGCTGTTTTCACAATCCCTCTCTCTGACCTCTACATCTCACCCACCAATATCTGCCAAGCACCCAGGCGGAAAAACGGGAAGGGATCCTTCCGGAACACCCTTCAGGAACAGTATGAGGGGTTAGGTTAAGTCCAGAACGAGCGCCCCTTCGTACTCGTACGAGTAACCCAACCTACCCAAGGCCCTCAGGCCACGCATGCCAGGGAGGTTGCTTGGCTGAGCTAGCGTCTTGGCAGGTTATGTGGCCCACCGAGACGAACCCAGCAAAACGGAGCGAGTGAGTCTGGTAAGCTAAGCGCCTACAGAAGGGACCTGGAGCAGCTCCATGCCCCGTCGTCACGGGTCCCTCGGTCCGGTCCCCATTTTTTTTTTTTTTTTTTTTTTCTTAAAGGGACTACATGGCGCAGGACTTAGCCCGGACTGATGTACGGTGTGCTACGTACTCGGCTTGCGTACTGGGGTTGCAGGGTGAGACATGGTCTGAAAGGGAGATCTAGGCCGAGGTGGTGGTGGAGGGGCTTGTTGTACATACAGTATACTGTAGATTGATACCGTTGATCCTGAGATGTATCAAACTCACATCTGATTTATTGAGACGCATTGCGTCGCCGCTAGGTGATGACGAGGACATGCCTATCTACTTCCTGATTGAAAGTCCAGGGGGTCAGGTGGTATGATGATTTGGTTAGATTAGCGGGGTTGTGATTGCTATCTTGACATTCTAGAAGTTAGGTTTGATTTTGGAAGGACTTTACAATGTCGAGGGTTGACCCTCGAATTGTTTTTGGATCCGGGCCGTTTGCGGTCGAAGATCTGATGGGCTCGGAGTATGTAACATTACGATGAATACAAGCCCAGCTTGTTACATGAAAAGTTCGGTGATACAGCGAGCGCTTAGCCATTAGTTCTTCTGGCTCCGATGCATATATCTTGCAGGATATTTCGTAGTGTGGCGGTCCACGTTACGGAGCTTCGAGGGAAGAAAACGTATGCATGAAAGAAGACCGCGCGTACGCATTAGATAATGTCGAGTGGGCTCTCACAGGATGTGGCGTTATGTGGCGGCATCTCACCGGCTTGGCATCGAAGCCAAGTTGGGAAGAAGAACAGAAAAGAAAGGGAAAAAAGCTGATCCCGCGGCTCCTTCATTATCAGCCACACACACGTGGTTCATGTCCACATTGGGCCCTGGATATGGTGAAACAGGGACTTTGCGAGGCAAAAGGTGCCTCATCGGTCGTAGAGGGGTCCATATTTCCCCTTCCACGAACTGTGTGGGCTCTAGTCGTTATACAGTACATAGCCACCTTTGAGTGTATGCCCCGTGCTCGAAATGTTTAGGGTTGTGTACTAACCTCGCATACAGGAGAGATCAATTCCGGAGTTGGTCTGAGCAACGTCCGCTTTTGCGCGGGCATGACGTGGCCTGGGCCAGGCCGAATTACCATTACCGTACGCCAGTACCGGGTCTGGCCCGTAACCAGCCAACACTTGACCTTGATGGTGGTTATTGATGAAGACCATCTTCAATTCTTCCGATGTTCGATTCACAATTCCATAGATTCTCCATGAGGGGGTGTTTGGGGTCCAAATCACAATGCAAACCACCATTCTTCAAAATGTTCGACTCTCCAACCTGTCCCCGCAATCTAAAGTGCCGGGTTCTTCTTGGCAGCGGCTGGCGATGAGCTAAGCACTTTATGCGGCGTCTTTATCGGCAGCTTGGATGTGGCTCCGCCAATGACGACTGTCGACCCTGCCCACGTCGCTCCACCCCCTGTAACAGTCTCCGCTGCTGGACGCGGCATGGAACTGGGCGAGGAAGTTGAACGGCCTTCAAACCGGAGAGACGAGAGGAACGGAGGATAAACAAAAAAGTGGACCACGTACTCGTACCCTTAACCCCCTCTTCTCCCTCGTGGCGATCTCCAAGGAGTTCCTCTCCCGTGATGCTTGCGTTTTCTTGGCTTCGATTCTCCTTGCATGCTTGACATCACCTCCCTCCTCCCAAACCACCCCCTTCCTTCTCCCGCGAGGAACCCTTTGTGCTGCTCTCGATTATTACACGCCGTGGGAGAGAGACAGTGATGTAAAGGAGGATCCATGATCGCCACCATCTTCTCCCCGAGGACGGGTCCCTCCCTCGCGCTGCTGTTCGGCCTGCTGCTATGCGCTCTGCACAGTGCTGTTGCTGAGGAGGTCGCTTTCTACAAGTCGGTAAGTGGAAATCGCAAAAATATTCCATGTTGATCATGCCATTCGCTGGGCCCTCGTCGTGCAGCCCGTCATTATGCGAGTCTCGGCTTGATTTCGCCTTGTTCTTATCTGACCACCTCCATTTTCTCCGCAGCGACCTGACATCTACCCCCCGGTTTTACATATCGAGCGATCCGTGCCAGAAAAGCTTGCACCGGGCTATATTTTTATCACGCCCTACGATGCCCAGAATCCGGGTCCTTATATCTTCGATAATACAGGGGTATGCTTGAGAATCATCGAGGGGGCGCACTCCCGGCGCATCGGACCCATAACTGATGGAAGATTTGAATCGTAATAGGAATTGGTATGGAGTGGATGGGGTGCTTCAGGACCGGGCAATGCCCACGGCATGCATGTGTGCAAGTATAAGGGGGCCGATCATTTGTGCTTCTTCCAGGGCAATCAGCAGAAAGGGTACTGTCGCGGGCATGGACTGATCCTGGACAATTCCTATCGCATTGTACGGTCGGTGCAGCCCGGTGGAGGCATGGCGTCGAGCGATATGCACGAGTTCCTTCCGATAAATGACGGCAAGACTGCGCTCATGACCATCTACCAGCAGCGCCAATTCGATATGACCCCATGGAACGTCAAGACGGGTGTTGGGTGGTTGATGGAGAGCGTCTTCCAGGAAGTCGACGTCGAGACGAGTAAAGTGCTGTTTGAGTGGCGCTCTTTGGACCACGTCGACCCTTCCATGAGTTATACTTGGCCATCACATACCGATACCTCCGGCACCGGATTGAACGTGCACGAACCTTGGGACTACTTCCATATCAACTCGGTTGATAAGAACCGGGACGGCGACTACCTGATCTCCTCTCGACACACATGCGCCATTTACAAAATCTCTGGCAAGGATGGCTCCGTTGTCTGGCGACTGCATGGAGCCCACCCGACATTCCGCAACGTCAACTTCAGTTTCTCGCAGCAACACGATGCGCGGTGGTTATTCGAGAACGGCACTCACTCGGTCATTTCCCTCTATAACAATGGTTACAATGGCTTTAACCGGACACACACCTACTCGTCCGGCATGATTATCATCATCGACCACGTGGAAAACACGGCTACGCAGATCCGTGACTATGCACCTTCGATTCCTGATTTGACCAGCTCCAGTCAGGGAAACCTGCAGGTCTTACCGAACAAGAACGCCTTCATCGGATGGGGTAACAACCCCTTCGTATCGGAGCATGACGCCGCTGGGAACTTGGTACTCTGGGCGACCTTTGCCGATGGCGGCGTGATGAATTACCGCGCGCAAAAGTTCGAGTGGGAAGGTAATCCCACCGATTCGCCCGCGCTGTGGTCATATTCTCGAACTCCAGAGCCGTTCTCTCCCACGAGTCTCTACGTTAGTTGGAATGGCGCCACGCGCGTCAAAACGTGGCGGTTCTTTGGCTCCCAGAACGTGACGGGGCCTTACGTTCTGCTAAATGAGGTTCCAAAGACTGGCTTTGAGACGGAATACACCAATGCCGGCTTCCATCCCTGGACGCGGGCGGAAGCCATTTCCGAGGATGGAATGGTGCTTGGCACGTCGGAGATCAAGTATACCTTCGTCCCATCACCAGAGCTCCGCGAGTTCTGTCAAGACGAGACCTGTCTGGATGCTCCGGGCTACGGTTTCCCCGGCGAAGAGGCAGCTGCGCCGTTCATTCCCCCGGCGGGTGTGAACACCGTGCCGTGGGTTGATCCTGATCACGACGGAGCTATCTGGACGTATCCGTCGGGCTTCCCTCACAGCAACCCAGACTCGGACACTGATCATATGACCTACTTAGACCATCGGCGGTCTGGAAGTACGTGATTATCCCCCACATGACTTCCATCCCAGGTTAACATGCTTACATTTTCAAACAGGTCTACTCGTTTGGGGCGCTACAATTGCAATTCTCCTCCCTCTTCTCGCCGGTGTTTACTTCGGGTACCGATATCACCTTCGACGGCAACGGCTGGATCCGTTAGAGGATGGCCACGAGTCATCCGAGCCGCTGAACGGTATGGCCGAGCGGAAAACGCCACCAACGCGGACGCCCGATCTCCCCTGGTGGAATTGGCGTCGGTGGACCACAGAGGAAGATACTCGTTATTTCCCGCTCGCTGATCGCAGTTTGCCGGGTCACGACCGGATAGAGTAAACCAGAGTTAAGAGTTATTTCGCCGGACCCTCTTTTTTTTGAATTTCTCTCCTTATCTTCCCTTCCATCATTGTTGTATTTTTGATCTGATCCACTATTTGCATTGCTGAGCCGTCTTGACTTTCATTTTTCTCCCCTTTTCTTTTTTTCATTTCATCCTCACATATAGGCTATGTGTTTTGGGGTGGGGGGAATACATACGGAGCCATTTTGCATGTTCTGTCGGTGACTATGGTGATAGTTACGACTGGGGGGTGTTTGGACTCGAAGTCTTGTTTGCTGACAGGATCCCAATATTTTACATACATGACTGTAAACAATACAGAAATACGAATACCCGAGCCTTGGAACCCAGAGGATCTAAGTCTAGAGTATGTAAAAGCCGAGCTACCCGGCATTGAGACTTCCCCCCATTGGGTTTACCTTAGCAGCGTTACGTGCAACCTACGCGTCCTCCCCGCCTCCGGAGGTTCTGCGGATAACACCCCTCGGCGCCCTGTGGCTTTTTGCATGTGGACGGGGATAGCAATCAGGGCTTGCGCACCTCGCTTGTGGTGCCACTGGTGCTCCGAGAGTAAGCAGGTGGTACAATGGCTTAGGGAGGGGGAAGGGGTGGACTGCAAAGTTTATGGGGACATGGAGATCGGCGACCATCCACGAGTGAGGATGATAATCAAGCTTTTTGGAGAGTGATGGCAGTGCGCTGACGTTTTTGGGAAGGGATTTAGTTGGCGCGGGCTGTCGTATCCGGATATGGGATGAGCGATAACCATGTTTGGCTGGTTTCTCATTGTAGCTATACTAGGGTGGCATTCACTTGTCTTGATCGAATGACGGGCCGAAAGGAGATGTTAAGGGTCTTCGGTTACCTAATAAGTTAATATATTGAATTGATGAGTTTTCCTATTATTCGGATAAATGTACATAGCCGTACGTAGTACTCCGTACTGTAGGTGATACATTGACGGTGCTGGGATCTGAAACGGGGACGGGTTTCACACTGGCGCCGCTGCAGCAGTGTCGAAACTCCCTAGCTTTGACGATCATTTACCTCGTGAAGGGTACAGATCACAAGTCGGAGGATTTACGATATAGACACGTAGACTCGTAGACTAGTAGACAGTCTGGAGTCACAATAGATTCTCTGTAGACCAAATGGAGTAATCTGCGGAGGATGTACACTGCCGTTTGCGTAGTGCCGAGGCGTGGTCACCATTTACCATGGTGACTTCGATCCATCAGTCACAAGCATACGTAAAGCTCTGCATGTGCGCTTTTATCAATCAATCAAATCTATAGGTCTATCCTCCAGGATCATAGGTACTTACCGCACTATACTTCTTATTGCGTCGACTCAGCTGATGCGGCGTTAGTGGCTGGGTCCCTCAATTGGAGGGAACCAACCCAGACGCAGCTTGAGTGACACGTTCCGTCGCGATGCGATATACGATGCACTTGAAGACTTGTTACCGAGAAGACAAACCCATAGTCCTTCGTACTTCGCCTGGAAACTCTTACGCAGCTTCGGAGTTAATATACTATTTCGTATTGTATTTTTACCATATTACCATACATACGATACTTGGTACTGTACTCCCTCACCAGCGCTCATCGGCAATGGTCAAAGCGTTTAGCGGTCATTTTAATTTCCTTTTCTCCATCTGCCTCTTGAGTGGATCCCCGCGAGGATGACGGCGGGAAAGTCAAAAAGACCTTCGAGAAGGCCGAAAAGCCCGCTTTTCCATACTCAATCAGGGCAGGTCTTCGTTCCAGCCCACCGTGGTTCTTTGCCCTCGTGCCAAGACTTCGTCGGAGGTCGTACGGGTGAAGCTGGCGAGTCATGGCTCAGGGCAAGGGGAGGGCATACCGGTGGTCCACTGGACTCGGCAGGGCGGGTGGAGCCGTCGTCGCAAGCCCGTCGTCGTGTTGATCGGACGGTAATGAGAGAGTTGACGTTCCTTTTTGGATGCGATTTTCGTGGCAAGGTACGAGATACGAGGGCGGAAATGAGCGTGGAAGAGGGAGTTGGAATGTCATGTCGAGGAAGATAGTCGATGAGGGATGGAGTGTATACATACGTGAATACGGCAGGGAAATACATAGAATACGACAATAGAATAGTCTCCGTAAAGCATTGGCGATCTGGCTAGTATTCCACCCGTACGTAATGAGGCTAGCCATACTAGCGACCAGAGCTACTGTACTTCGGTTCAATCAAGACGATTCAATACGAAATTGAAGGGAAAAAAAAGAAAGCCGTGAAATGATGAGAAGCCCCTTCCCAAAGTATGAGAAGAAGCCAAGAAGTAAATGAAAAGGGAAAAAATAAAGAAAAAGGAGAGAGAGCAAGAGAGGCGATCCAGTTATTTCTTTCCCTGAGAATCCTAGACCATCGTTCTCCTCACCTTCGTGACTCTTCAATTGCTCCCAATTTCCATCATTCCCATGACTTGGGCAACCCAGTTATAGCAAACGATTCGACAGTGCCAGACTAAAATAAAACAACCCGAAAAAAAAAAAAACCCGATTACCTGCAGGAACTACAAAACCGAAACGGAAAAATTACGTGAAACCAGAGAGCGGCGCAACCTGACGTCGTTGGTTTTCCAGATCCAAACCACTTCCCAAAAGCAGCGCGTCCGGTGCTCCATCGGCGATAATTCTTGGGAACTCCTTCATCCTCGGGCTTACATACACACATTCCTCCCCCCATGCCTGCCAGGTCCCAGCAGAACCATAAAACGAATAATGCCCGCCACGCGCGTACGACTTCTTGGTCGACTGGCTATCACCATCTAAATACCTCCGGTTCCGGCGAAGCCTCCGACGCTTCCCTCCCTCAACCACCTCGACGTCGCCGCGAGTCCAATCTCTCCCTCGCCAGCGTCGAAGAGGGCCCCTCCTCCCCGGACTCTACTGCTCCCCACGACCCCGATGCCCCCGACATGCTGAGGAACACCTCGATGGATCTCGATCTCGGTGGTCGCAAAAGCCAACATGTGCGCAGTCGCTCCCAGTCCCACGGCACTCTCCAGATCCTGGCACTGCACGAGTCCGAACTAAACGCCGCCAATTCCCTCCCCGTCCCCCTCACGCCGCGCCCAGCTTCAGTGACATGGATGTCCCTGCCGCGAAAGGGCCAATTGGCCCTACTCGGTCTATGCCGTGTCTTTGATTTCCTCCAGATCGCCTCGCTGCAGGCATACATGTTCTACCAGCTCAAGTCGTTCGATGCGAATCTGTCCGACTCGGACGTTGCGACTCAGGCGGGTATCCTCCAGGGAGCGTTCACCGCGGCTCAATTTGCGACGGCGATTCCGTGGGGTCGTGTTGCGGATGCGGAATGGGGTGGTCGTCGCTTTGTGCTGCTGGTCGGCTTGATGGGGACCGCGGTTTCGTGTTTGGGTGTTGCGTTTGCGACGTCGTTTGCGCAGGCCGTGTTCTGGCGCTCGTTCGGTGGTGCTATCAATGGTACCGTTGGTATTATTCGGACTATGATTGCCGAGAACGTCAAGGAGAAGAAGTATCATTCGCGGGCTTTCTTGATTCTGCCTATCGGGTTCAATATTGCCTCTTTGTTCGGTCCTGGTGGGTGTCTCTCAGAAAAGAACTGGTCTTTACACTGCGCTAGAATGTTTTGCTGACTCTATTCTTTAGTTATGGGCGGTATGCTGGCCGATCCGGTCAAGAGTTATCCCCGCCTGTTTGGGCCCAACTCGTCCTTTGGCGGCGAGAACGGCATGCAATGGCTGGAGAAGTACCCATATGCCCTGCCCATGCTGGCCAACTTTTGCTTCCTGTCTTTCTGCGCAGCCCTGGTTGGCTACGGTTTGGAAGAGGTAAGATCTGACACTTGGATCGAATATGATGAGATTGAAAATAAGTAGCTGACTTTTCCTAGACACTGCTTTCTTGCCAGGGTAAACCTGGTCTGGGAGCCTTCGCTATGAAGCTCTTCGCTCGCAGCGTAAGGACCGTCGTTGGAACCTCTTCACCCATTTACTCGAGACTTCCCTTCCGCGACTATGACGAGGATGGTCCCCTTCTGGGTCGACCTATGGATCGATCCGAGAGCTATGAGCTGGAGGAGAAGGCCAAGCCTGTTCGTATCAAGCGCAGCCTGCCTTTCCGCAGAATCTGGACCAAGAACGTTCTGTGCACTCTCGGGGCACAGGCGTTCTTCGATTTCCAAATGGGGTAAGCAGTAACCATGTTATTCTACATTTTTGCAACGCACCTTTCTAATCGTTGATGTTCAGTGCTTTCAACAATCTGTGGCTCCTATTCCTTTCGACTCCCCGCTACGACCCCAATGACCCGGCCAGTCCCTCCCAGCGCCTGCCCTTTGCCTTTACCGGCGGCTTGGGTATGCTCCCGCAAAGCGTTGGCTTCGCGACCGCTATCCTCGGCATAATCGGAATGTTCCTCCAATTTACAATCTATCCCTCCATCAATGGCCGTCTGGGCACGGCCAAGAGCTACCAATACTTCCTTTCCCTCTTCCCACTCGCTTACGCCCTGGCTCCCTACATCTCTCTTGCACCATCTTCAACCCCACCTCCCGGCCAGGCCAACGGGCCATGGGTGTGGTTCTGGATCATCATCGTGCTCTTCCTGCAGGTCACCGCCCGTACCTTCACCCTCCCCACCTCAATCATTCTACTCAACAACTGCTCCCCGCACCCGTCAGTCCTCGGCACCATCCACGGCATTGGCCAGTCCGTGTCATCCGCCTTCCGAACCATCGGTCCCATCTTCTCGGGTGCCTGGTACGGTTACGGGTTGGATATTGGCATGGTTGGATTCGCATGGTGGCTTATCGCCCTTGTCTCGGTGTTTGGCTGCGTAGCTGCCATCTTCGTGTACGAGGGTTCTGGCCATGAGATCATGCTGCCTGGTGAGGAAGATGACTTTGACCATGGCCACTAGGCAGTGGTGTGATGTGACACGTTGTTCTCTTGTTTACTGTTTCATACTGTACATTGCCTTGGACTCATTTTGCATGTCTTTCGGAGTCGGCCTGGTCTGATTGGGTTTCTTTTTTCTTTTGGTTTCGGGATCTCCGGTGGTCCTTATCTTCTGGAGTGACGAACATCTACATGAACATCAACATCTTCTCCTCCCTTTTGGCTGGCCCTTTCCAGCCTCTGGAGAAGACGAAAAAGAGAAAGATAGATCTCGATCTGTATATCGAATACCTTTCTCTTGTTAGCATGTTCCACCTGCATATTTCATCTTTCATTTTGTCTGTCTCGTCTGGATACCATTTCCTTTTTGCATCATACTTCCACAGCATTTGTCTCATTCCATCAAATGCCACTGTGGCGTTTCTCTGTTTGCCTGCCATGTTTCATATGTGTTACCCACTGCGCTCTCTTCCCTTCCGGATCCACTGCCCCTTCCGGGTTTAGTAGGGGATGAGTTGGAATGATTATAGAGTATAAAGACTAGGGTTGACGGTTGTCAGCCCGGTCCTGTGTGGTTTTGTATCATGAGATACGTCTTCATTGGGCGCTGTTGCCTTCTTCTGTGCTATATTCCAAATGCAATATCCCGTGCACAATCCCTCTGAACCTATTATCTCTCAGTATATATGATAAAATCATCCTCACTAATAATCGTGAGATTCTTCCATGGTAAATCGAGCTCAATGAAGTCCCATTAGATCAGGATCATCGTCTTACGCTCCGTTTGTCCTATCGTATTGAAAAGTACCCGTTCAAGATCACTCGGAAGGTCGTACAAGATCGATTTCTGGCTCTCATCTGGTACAAGCCACTTCTCTCCATGTTCCAGCTGTTCCCCTGCCAATAGGAAAGTACAGTGTAGCGTTGAATTTGTCATATAATTTCTAGATCCTCATAACACCCCTTACGAAGAAGCACCATAGCCCTTCGCATAGCTAGCATCAAACGTCTCCTCATTCACAGCAAACTGCCGGATATAATCCCTCTCCAAATCATGCGTCCTCCGACCCAGCAGCACAAGACTATGCAGCGGAGCCCCCATCTCCACCGTACTCAACTCCTTCAAAGTACCACAAACAAGTCGTTGATCCGGGGCTCCCACACGCGCCGCACCAATAGCCAGGCTATCAGCCGTGTAAACACCCTCTTGCCGGGTCTCCTCTGTCTCCAACATCTGGCTCGCGCACTGTGCAACGGTCATATAACGAGGAGGCTCGAAAATGCGGCGTCCACGGGCGAGATTCTCCATGGACTGCTCCTTCACCTTGATGTCGAGCAGTACCAGCGTGTGCAGGCCGATTTGCACGTTCTCGCGGACTTTGTCGTAGAATGAGGAGGGCTTCCAGTTCTCGGTGAAGAAGACCATGCTAACTGTTTGGCCGAAGTTGTAGAGTTGGAGACCGGTGCACCCGATGCCAGACATGATGGAGGCATTAGGGACGACGTTTGTGGGGATGTTGAGCTCTCGTGCGCGGAGGACTAGATCGGTGTGGGTTGTTGCGCTGGTATTTGTGTGTTAGTTGAACTTCTTTTGTAATTATTTAAAGCCATTGCCTGGAAAATGTGTAGGGGACGTACCCGAATGGATCACCAACGACTAGGAAGGCAATGTCTGCCTTGTCGGCTCCAGCGAGGATCTCATCACTGCCGGTTTCCACAAGTTCACGGTCAGCCTCGATAACGGGACGACCATAGAACGCTTCCTACTGAGCCCGATGCGCAATTAGTGATACCATATCCAAACTTAGGTCCATGCATATTTTCTCGGCATAGGAACGATCCGGCGGCTTCGAATAAATGTACAACTCACAAGCTTCTCCTTGTCCACCAACAAGATGGCCGTGTATGCCTCTAGATACACCCGCTCTGCCTTCTTGACAATCTCCAATCCCCGGACAGTAATGTCCTTCTCATCAGCAAGACCCAGACCCACGAGGTGCAACATAGTAACCTTTCAAGTGCAATTGGGTTCTCAATGCTAGACCGATCAAATTGGCGAGTCAATGGAGCGATTGGAAATAATTGTATGCCCCGCGGCAGAATTCGGCGCTAGTGATACACCGCCTTCTGTAGGGACTGGCCGTTCGTTATCGATATCAATCTGCGGGCTTCTTATCGATCCCCAGGTTTCTCCTTCGTCTTCCTCTTCCATCTCTCCGACCATTCGTGCACCACCACTGCTGCTGCCACCGCGCACACTGCATCGACAGCTACGCCTCTCATTTTGAACCACATCCTTCTATCTCCCGGATATCTTTCTTCATAGTTATTGACCATCCTCGTACCGCGTTTCCACGCGCAGAGCTGGCACGATGAGCTCCGATCGTCAGCCCAAGTATCGGCAGGAGATCCAGCAGGTGAGTACCGTCCCCTAACCTTAGTCTTGCTTGATAAGCCTTGGTCGTGTGCTCGTGTCGTCGCCTTCTGGAAATATTGTCTCAATGCGGTGTTCGCTCGTCTCTGTGAATATTGTCAACATCATGCCCTCGTTCAGGGTGCTGGGCCTACCTATATGGCCGCGTGTGGAACAAGCTGGGGGATAAAGGTGTCGAGGGATCGCCCATATCTTGACGCACCTTCCTGGGACCAAGGAAATACCGCCTGCGGAAAGTAGCGGTCGATTACCTTGCAACGACACACAATGGCGATCTGAAGGGCAACGTCAACGCAACCTCTGTCTTTTACGGCTCTACCTTCACTTCCTCCCACCTCGTACATCGCCTTCCCACATCTCTCTTCTGCTGTACACCAGCCTCAAGGTCAATCGACTGTCGAATTGCAGACTTTGAAGCCATACTTCAACTTGAACTCCCTCTGAGCATCTGTCTTGCGATCCTTGCCATACATTCCTTCGCTCTGCGTTCGTGGCTCGTTCACCTCTCGATTCTTCCAATTCCGCCTCTTACCACAGCTTTCCTTTCAAATCAGCTGGATCGCCTACCAAGAACTGAGCCTGCCTGCGTTCATCGATCTCTGTCAGAGACATCGATACTCGTTCAGCCTGCTACCTCCCAGCCAAAGCTGTTCCCCAGCGACTTGTCTCCTGCTCCGAGTTCCTTCCAGCTTCACACCTGAGCGCTCAAAGACTGCGCTCTGATAAGTTCGGTTTGATTATGAACGAAATGTCGGACTTTGTCTCAGACGACAAGCTTGTGTCCTCCGAGGAGTATGATTTGCCTCGCCTCAGAAGCTTTGGGCACCTGGTCCTGAACTCCAGCAGTGACGAAGAGTCGGATGCCGAAACCGTCATTGCATCCCCCCAGGCTGGCTATCACGAGGATGATGCCCGTGACATTTCGCACCATGGCGTGGACATCCCTACTCCCCTCAACTCTTCCGTTGCGCCTTCAACCAGCCCTCCTTGCCTTCCAGTTACCTCTGATGAACGTCATCTGTGTGACGCCAGCGACACGTCGAGTCTTTACGACGGTCACGACGAGCATGATGCGTTCTCCTTTTCCTGGGGTGCGAAGGTGACTGAGACGCCCTGCTCCGACAAGGCCAGTGATGGCACATTGGGGGAATGTTATGACGCGGACGATGAGCTTAGCTCTGCCGACCTGATGAGCACAGCCGACCAGATGAAAGCGAGCACTGAGCTCCCGACTAAGGCGTTTTTCCAGTACAAGATACTAACTAAGCCGCTCTTGAAGATGATGTTCGTCTCTGGTGAGACCGCCGAACCATCCATCGAGACGACCACCCTGATTGAGGATATCACTCGAGAGCAAGTCCTTGAAATCGTACGTTCACCTACCTCTTACTGCTTGTCCTGATATCTTTTGAGATCTAACGTATTGTAAAGCTCAGTCGTGGCACCACCCTGGCCGGCCGGCGTGGCTCCCGCGCCATCTCGACGGATGACCTGATCTTCCTCATCCGCCACGACAAGGCCAAAGTCTCCCGTCTCCGTACCTTCCTGTCCTGGAAAGACGTTCGTAAGAATGTCAAGGACTCTGACGACAAGGGAGGTGCTGATGCGGCTGACTTTGCCGCCGACGATGCAGCCGGTGCCGTTGCCGGGCCCTCGGACGTCGCCGCGAAGCCCAAGAACAAGCGGGCTAAGGTGGGCCTTGCCTGGGACGTCAACAGCTACTTCTCGATTCAGGTCCCCGAGCGCGACGACGAGGAGGACGAAGAGGAGGAGGAGCAGAACTATGCGACCCTCCAGCGTCTCGCCGCGGCCGACGAGCGCACGAAGAACATGACCAGGGAGGAGTACGTCTTCTGGTCGGAGTGTCGCCAGGCCTCCTTCACCTACCGCAAGAGCAAGCGGTTCCGCGAGTGGGCGGGCTTTGGAATCGTCACCGAATCCAAGCCCAACGATGATATTGTGGACATTCTCGGGTTCCTGACCTTTGAGATTGTCCAGACTCTTACGGAGGAAGCGCTCAAGGTCAAGGAGCGGGAAGACCACGAGAAAAATCGTGGCGGGGCGGACACTACAGGCGCCGACTCTAAGAAGCGCAAGCGCGAGACCGGGCTCTTCGACCCGCCGGAGGAGGGACGTACCCCTATCGAGCCTCGACACATTCGTGAGGCCTATCGCAAGCTCCAGGCATGCCCCCAGAAGTCCATTGCCATGTTGCTGCACAACGGTCGTGTGCCCGCCAAGTTGCCCCTGAAGCTGGTAAGGAACGTGCCGTCCTTGATTACAAGTTGTCTGCTAACCGTTATTATCTAGATTTAATCGGCTGGGTTGGATCTTCCTCTTTTTTTCCTCGTTTAAGCATGCTCGGCGCGGGAGTTTTCTGGCAATACGGATGATACCCACATGAATTTCTTTGGGCAGCCTGGATGTTTCCCTCTTCTTTACTCTTCTTTCCTCTTACTCTCTTAGGTCACGGTTTCTCTTTTGGAGTTTGCTACCACTTGGTACCTTGGTACAATTGGCTGGTGTTTCGTCGACAGCTCGTCTACTCGTTTCCTTTGCTTTTCGAGCCCGGCGTTTTCATCAATCCCTGCCCCCGGGTACAGTTGGTAGATAGCAACTTGTGAATATCGATCAAAGTTGCAAATAATATCTTGAACTATGCGAGCTTTCATTGTCAACTATTAATACTCAATACATTACACCCGGGCGTGTTATCATAATCTCTTGCTCTAGGATATCAAGAAAACTATGCCAAGATAACGACCACTCTCGTAATGTAGACACATTATCTACTTCTGATGCGTTCGGCGCCCTAGAACAATGAATCCCCGTTAGAACCAATTTTGCAAAAGGAAACCAGAAAGAAAACTTACACTCCGCCAACTCAGCCTTGCTCAATTCCCGAATACTGTTAATAGCAGGAACCTCCCCCTGAATAGCCCCCTTGACCGTATCAACCGCCCTCCCCACAATCCCCTTCTTAGCAGCAACGTGCGTCGCAAGCTTTGCCTCAAGCTTAATCACACCAATACGCGGATCCGTCGGGCCACCATCGTGCACTCCGTCGCCCATATCGCCAATCCAGGCCTTCAATTGCGGGGAATAGTACTTTGAGACGGTTTCCGGGTCAGACACGATCTTGGCTGTGCCGGAGATGGAGGCCCAGGCGCCGCTGATGGGGTCTAGGAAGGACATGTTTGTTTCTTGGGGGTGGACTGTTAGGTCCATTGTTTTGCCGGAGAAGAGGTTGGTGTGGAAGACTAGGTCGATGCCGCCGTGTTCCTGGGGAATGAGTAAAGGTTAGTTACTGCGTTTGTCCTGGATTAAATGTGTTTTATTCTTGGAATACCACCGTGGATATAGTGCCCGGTGGTATTGATGTGGTTTGTTTGATAGAGAGTGGTATAGTTGGATTGATTCACATACCGTAGCGGCGAGAGCCATGCATCGCGATGCCAAGTAGTCACCCTCAGATTGCTTGGTGGTCAACATGCCAAACTTGACCTGCGTGATGAAATCGACTAGTTCCTGGACCTTTTGAGCCAATGGGGGATCCTCCAGGTTCTGGGTCTTGTAGGGGTCCACGGGGTGGTTGCCCGTCGTGGTGTTGATAGTTGCGTTTTGAGACATGATGAGTTAATTTGTATGATACAATAAGATATTTGAGAGTATGCTCAAGTAGGGTGAATGTCCAGATTATATAGTTTTCTTGTAAAAAAGAATCTTGTATTCGTGTAGTTCTGTATGCAATGATGGCCAGGGGAACGTCGTTGTGACGTCAGTGATAAGATAATCCGGATCTGAGGGTCGAGCTCGGAATTGGAGCTGTTTATTGCATGATGTACGTGGAGATCTTATTTGGGTGGATCTGGGGTGTGGTCATTGCATAAATTCGATCTGATCGATTTGCGATCGGGGGGAGGCTGGCCTTTTGGGCCTAGCTCAATCTTGATACCCCGAGGGTGTTGGCAGTCGACCAACCTTTGATTAAACATTGATTCACGTAACTTAGTATACATTTGACATTATGCGTGGATTTCCAGAAAGCCCTGTCCTGTTTGTGACATCTCAATAAGTCCTCTTCTCCTGGTCAGCGGGTGAATTCCTTGTGGAGGTAATGGGTCCAGAACAGAGGGCGTAAGCATCACTTGCTGTTCGTGCTGTTCGATGGTATCGTCGACTAACAACGTAAAACTGACTAGGCCAGAAGCTGGAGAATAAGGCCAGTGTTTGGGCGTCATATGACGCGAATGGTGGTGCTTGAAGCAAGGAGACTGCGATCTTTCAATCTTGAATCAAATAGGTGCAGCATTCAGCCACTGCTCGATCTCGCAAGCAAATCCACGACGTGACTTCGTGCAAAATGCCATAGCAGTTCTAGCATTATCGCAAAGGAACCGATAATGAATGCTAGCATTCCACACGAGGTCAGCCCGGGGTCATCAATGGATCTCCAACAAGAACAACGAACCTTCACGCCCAATCATAGCCAGTGACCTTGCAATCCTTCTCGGACCTTGTCTCTTCAACCACAGCGGAACTAGATCGCTCTGACATGTCTGGCCCTCGACAACCCAGCAGCCTCCAGGGGTTCGCCGACACTCCAAATGCTGTCGGCGCCGTTCCATGATGCGACGTATTCGCCAGTTGCAGAATGCCTCGTCCGTGCGGAAAGAGCATTTCTCCATGGGACATTCAAGCTTTCGTTCAAATCGCTCGACGAGCCAGTCCACTTTGAGGTGTACGCCCGTGTAGATCATGTAATAGAAGTGGCTGCATGAATGTTTCAGTGCGAGAGCGTCGGGGTATGACAAAAATGAGGCGATTTGTATATGTAGCTCCAAGGGGAGATCCATCAGATTGATCCTGGGTGTCGTCGTAGACGTTTCCATCGTGGCTGGTGGATCCATGGCACTGGCACTGGCAGTGGTACTGGCTGCTTGTGTTTGTGCTTATGTTTTGATGAGGCTCAAAATGCGGAGGGGAGGGCTCTCCCCCGACCTTCGCGTGTCTTAAGTACTCCGTTGGGAACCTGGGCGTATATATCTGGCAGGAGCTCGGGGAAAGTGGTTGCCTGGGGACACATCTGCCACCTTGACATGTTCGAGATGAAGGTTCACATTGTTAGAGATATCCACCAGCGATATCGTCCAGCTGTCCGTTCGGATAGCTATAATAAGGAGCTTGAGCCTCCACAAATAGGGAGCGAGTTGCCGAGCTACGATCATTTTGGCTTAGCCAGCCTCGTATCTTGTCGCCTGGAACTCTACCGCGACATACGTTGGTCATATGAGCTGTCAGGCAGAGACGCAGATCTGCAGCTGTGAGTCAATATGAAACTGCTTCTCTAAATAGCTATCCAATCGCTCTCTATACAAGTGAGTATCCATGGATTGATGAGACTGGCCAAGTGGACCATGATCGGGGATTGGTCGCTTACATAATCCACATGCCCGCCGGTCAAGACTTGATAGTTCGATCTTCAAGCTCTACATCCAGCAACAAATCTACCACCTCCACACTCCTCCAATCTACCACCTTCTCCCTACACACAATGTCCAAGCCAACGGCAGCAGGCGGTACTTCGGACACCGCGTTCCGCAAGACCTGGGACCGGGAAGAATACGCCAAAAAGGCCGCCGACGAAGAAACCAAGCGCAAAGCCGAAGGCAAAGCCCGTTACGAAGCCAAACTCCTCGGCAAGAAATATCACGCCCCGGTCGATTATGGCTCCCTCTCCGCAACCACCGCTCGCCAGGAGCGACTCAAAGTCGACGCGATGGTGGGCAAGACGACGATTGTGCCGGCGGGAGCCGCGCTAGGCAAACGTGGACGTGGAGCGGGATTTTACTGCGAGGACTGTGATCTCACGTTCAAGGATAATATCCAGCTGGTGGAGCACTTCAATAGCAAGCAGCATTTGATTGCTACGGGGCAGAGTGGAGAGGTTGCTCGGGCGAGTGTGGAAGATGTGCGTTTAAGGTTGCGGATGTTGGCGCATCAGAAGCGGGTGAGGGAGGAGGAAGAGCGGAGGGCTTGGCAGCTTGACCTCGGAGAGAGACTGCGTGAGCGTGAGGAAATTGACGCAAAAGAGCGGGAGGAGAGGAGACGCAAGCGGAATGAGAAGCGTCGCAAGGGTGGAGATGGGGTTAAGCAGGAGGAGGATAGCTGGGAGGGACGATTGGGAATTATTGCTTAAGCAGGAGGAAGCAGACCATCATGGTCATTCTGCTGACTGGATCGATAGCGGTCAGATCCTGAAAAATAATGTACTTTATGATACCCTCGGAGTTTGGGGCGCACTCTCGTTTTTACAAGTCTTCATACAAGGCCTCGTTGCTTTCTTGGGCAGCAATACATCAGAAAGCCGAAAGAATTGATTCACATATTCACAATTAACACACTCTGCTAGAGTTTCCCTCCCGAACGCCTGTACCCAATCCCAGAGTCATTTCAAGTAGAAACCCCAAAAAACGCCGCATTATGCATACTTAGTCGATGCATTCGATGGCCTCAAGCCGCCGCATTGCCCGACCCCCTTCCTTCTCGAACTGACTGACAAGTCGTTCGCACTCTCGCTTCAATCTTTCCTCGCCATTCTTAGCATTCCACCTAATCCACTCCTCCACCGTCATCCTCTTCTCTGGGCTGGTCAGACCTGCCTTGGCCCCGTTCAGAAGGCTAACGAGGTCTGCATTCTCCTTGTCGCTAGCTTCTCCAAACAAGACTTCGTCAATGTCCACGGGCGTCCATGGATGCCCGGATGCCGGAAAACCAGCGTTCAAGTTTCGTTTCGAGGGCGATGGGGTGCTGGCTGCAAGTGGTGTTCGAACTGTCTCCTCCTTGGGCGGTGACGCAACGATTGGCCGTTTCGACGAAGGAAGTGATGAAGGGGGGCGATTCTCCGCGTCAGAGGACTGTGGTGACAGGGATGGCGTGCTCTGATGAGGCACTGGTAGTGGTGATACATCTCGAGTGGATGTTCGGCCTCGTTGAGAGGTCCGTCGCTCATTGCTTCGAGTACGGTGCGACTCGGCCAGAGACTGCGCCAGATGTTCCTCTTGAGGAATATCGCTGTATCGCTTTGTCGTCTTTGGTGGCACCGGCGTCCTTTCGAGGATCTGTTCTGGCGCCGGTGATAATGCTCGCGGTGATGGGACCACCTGAATCTGATCAGGCAAATCATCCGGAGTGCCAAATTCCTGGTCATCTCTCGAAGACTCGAAACCAAGCTCATCCTCAATGGGCTGGGGAGCAGGTGGAGGCGGGGATGCTTCCACCTTCTTCGTCTTTTTTGACTTCTTAGCTTTGTCCTCCTTCTTGGATGACTTCTTCTTCGAAGGTTTCTCAGCTGGCTGTTCCACTTCTGGCTCTGGTTGAGACTCTGGTTCACGCGGGACGACTTCCACCGAGGTGAATGAATCGTGGTGCTCAAGCTCATCACGTTCAAATTCTTCTGCTTTCCCTTCAAGCTCACGCTCCTCTTCTTGCACAGGTTCTTGCTTTTTGGACTTCTTAGTCCCTTTCTTCTTAGAGCTCTTACTTGACTTCGACTTTGGAGCCGGGGCCTCTTCGTCGTCTGTTACATCAACCATAACCGACTCCACTGGGGCTTCTGGCTGCTCTTCAGGCTCGTCCATGTAGTCCAAGAGCTCATCTTGAGGCGGTTGGGATGACTTCCCAGCCGCTTTCGACTTTTTGCTAGACTTGGTCTTCTTCAAAATTCGGGGCTTCTCGGGTTCTGGCTCGGGCTCATCCTGAAGCTTCATCTCTCGCTGGGCCTCGACCTCGGGCTCCGGCTCGGGCTCCACGAAATGGGGATCGTCAGCTTCAAGACCTGCTTCTATCTCAGCCTCAAGCTCCGAGTCTCGTCGCATGCGAGCCTTGGGCCTGGACTTGGGTGCGACCGATACATCAGAGGCCTTCCTGCCTTTTGACGCCCCTTTCTTTGATCCCTTGCGCGTCTTTTTGGACTCATCTTCGTGAGCCTCATCCATCGAAGCGTCATCGAGGACTGAATGGTCTTGCGAATCGTACTTGTGGGGCTGAGAGATACTGCTGCTGTCGCGCGTTCGCGTGGCGCGGCGCTTTGCAGGAGGCTCTTCCGATTGCTCTGGTTCTGCCTGACCAAGAGACTCCAGATCATCCTTAGCCATCTCCTCGCTCACTCGCTTCTTCCCCCGTCCAGCGCGTTTGGGTTTAGCTGGCTCCGGTTGTGGGTGCTCCTCGAAATCCCCTTCGCTTTGCAAGTCGGCGTCTTCCTTCTTGCTCTTTTTTCCCTTGCCCTTGGGTCCCCTCTTTGCCCCCTTTGGCTTCACTGTTGCTTGCGAAATCATGCTTTCGTCCATCGTATCATCAATCTCCATCTCTGATAATTCAGGCGCTTCAGATGCAACAGTAGCCACGGATTGAGTTGACAACCGGGAAGATGCCTTGGAAGTGCGGTTTTTCTTGGGTCGTCCTCTTCCCTTCTTCCCGGGGAGATGTGCGAATACAAAGAAGGAGCAATCGGGGGAACGGCGATGGTGTTCGTCACTAGGCGCGGGCGAGGCATTAGCTTGTAGGCTCATAGGGAGGAAGGAGCAGCCATCCGACTTACAAAGGGTCGTCCTTGGGCTCCCATCCATCGAGCGATAGCTTGCAATAGGCGCAGCTGGCTAAGTCGTCGCTCTCTTCGTTGGGGCAGAAGTACCATCCTGCATTGACCATCTATCGTAACCGTGAGTAATGAGATCATAAGAGCCAAGGCGCAAAATATAATACCTTGTCTGATTGGCAGAGCCAACCCCGTTTTCCGTCATGCGGCCATTGGGTTCCAAATGTTTCAATACGCGCTTGGGTTATTCTCTCACTGGTTGGGTCTTCGATCGTGGAGGGGTTGGAGCTTTCTTGCTGGATGTCCATCATAATTGCCCATGCACAGCCAGGAGAATGCTTAAGATGTTCTTTTATGGGGTTGTCTTCCTCTTCCCAGCCGTCCAAAGCTCGATTGCAATGAAAGCATGTAGTGTTGTCCGGGTTCGTCTCGTACGGTTTGTAGTAAAAGCCGGCGTGTGCCAACTGTGAAGCGATTCCACGTTAGTCATGTTAACGCCGAACACTATTCACAGGAAATTATGTACCTCGGCCGGCGATGGACTCTGGTGAGGCCATGCGATCACATCGGAGCTTTTCGTGGTCGAAGATCTCCGCTTCTCGGACCTAAGCACGACGTCGAAGCTGGCCAGACGGGCCGCAAACGTGTCCATTTCGGAGTCCATGATTTCCGAGGTACTGGAATGGACAGAGAGCCCTCAGATCGGTGTCGAAAACCGGCTCTGTATGTCGAGGTGGTGGCGTTAGTCGTTGTTGATATAAGTCTGTTTGGTCTGTTTACTTTGGTTGTTATGCGACGCGATCCCACGTGATCGGGTTGGTTACCTAAGCCCGACGACGTCAGACCCGAAAGTTCCCCGAGGACGACGCAGCCCTTTGGCAAACCTCCAATCTATTCCTTCATTTCTGGCCTGTTGAATCTAGCTATAGATACTCCATGCTGCAGCGATTGGCCAATTCCTGATCTACATCTATTTGAGCCTTGTGCTCCGCTCCTTCTCTACCCCCAGAATCGTGACAATGCGGCCAACCGTACGGACCCGAAAGCCGAAACTACACTATCTACCTTGGCGGAACAGATATGCTAATGAACACTCATCTTTAGATGGTTGCCCCTCGCAGCGCTTGCGCCAGTTCTCTCTGGCAGTCTCGAGCCCGTTTCTCGCCTCTTCCATGGGTGCCCACGTCGGCCCGATATCTCTCGATTCAATCCCGCCCGACCCCAGACTCTCCTTATTACCCATCTCAAGCCAGCGGCTCGGCATCCCAACTATTATACAATGTCTCCTCTGGAAGATCACCGTCTTCTGCTTCATTCTCGACTTCGTCGCTTCTCTCCGAATCAGACTGGGACCACAACCCGAACCTATCTATCTCCAACTTCTCAGAGCTCCCCTCAAAGGACTTCGGTGTCAACCAACATATGATCATAAACCAGGAATTCAAAGAGGCACTACGGCAGATTCTTTGGCAATTCAGAGCACCCATCCGATATGCGTTTGCGTATGGTTCTGGTGTGTTTACACAGACCGGCGCATCCTCCGCGGGCTCAACCCATCCGTCGGCACCCGCCGCCATCCAGAAAATGCAGCAAGGATCCGGGAAAATGATTGATTTCATCTTTGGAGTCTCCTACTCACAACACTGGCATGATCTCAATCTTCACCAGCACCGTGATCATTACTCAGGCCTAGGCTCGCTGGGATCCTACGTGGTCTCGCAGGTGCAGGATCGATTTGGCGCTGGTGTATATTTCAACACCCACATCACCGTGAACGGGACCCTGATCAAGTACGGTGTGGTCAATCTGGATACATTGTGCACAGATCTCACACAATGGAACACATTATATCTTGCCGGCCGGTTACATAAGCCAGTCAAGATTCTACGTGATCATCCCAAGGTGCGGCTAGCGAACCAGATGAACTTGCTCTCTGCTCTCCGAGTGGCATTGCTCCTGCTTCCAGAACGGTTCAGTGAGTTCGAACTGTACAGCACTATCGCAGGCATTAGCTACATGGGTGACCTGCGGATGGTACTGCCCACAGAGGACCCTGGCAAGGTGCGCAACATTGTGTCTGGGCAGATGGCCCACTTCCGACGTCTTTATGCTCCGCTCATTAGCAATCTCCCCAACGTCACATTCCAAGACCCCCGCTGTAGCCAGGACGATTGGATTGACGATCCGAATTCTATCCTGGCGATGGTGCAGGACATGGATCCGGTCAAGCGCGGTAACATGGTTCGACGTCTTCCCGAATCTTTCAGACAGAAGCTCTACTTCCAGTATCAGTCCCGCTTTGCCATTCCTCGGGCCGAGTTCAACAAGATGATGGAGGAAAATGACGATTCCAAGCAAGAAATCGTTCGCCGTCCCCAAGGAGGTCCCTTTGAACGCCGCATCGCAGACGATACTCACCTTCAAGAGGAGGTTTCGGCATCAATTTCGAAGACCATCCGCTGGCCCAGCACTGTCCAAACCATCAAGGGCACCCTGACTGCCGGTGTAGGCAAGAGTTTGACATACTTGAAGGAAAAGCGGGACAAGCACAGAAAGGCACAGGCTCACAAGGCACAATTGACCGAAAAAACACAGAAGTCTGAGAAGGCCGAGAAGACTGAAATGGTTGAGAAAGTCGAGCAGAAGAAAGATTAGGATACCTCTTGGAATGTTTATGGCATCGACAGCATCATACGGAATTGTACGGAATCATTGAGGATCAGTTGGCATATGGGGGGCGTTGTGAGGCACAGTATCACTGCCATGTCTCTGGCATTTCTGCATTGAAAATACATTACTTTTTGTTACATATAGAGCTGAGATTTTATTCATGTCCGTTGGCCGTTGGGCCTCCCGAAGAGATTTGGTAGCCGCCGAGCTCGGCCTCCTTCAGAATACTTTGGTGCGTCGGAATTTTATACAATAGAGTCAACACAAAATTTCGCACTTGATGTCTACTTTAGTCCCATAAATATATCCTGTGCTACCTCTATTCTGATTTGCAATTGGCATCGCTGTCTGAGTCATCTCTCTATATCGTGAGTCAGTTAACGGTACCTTGCGGCACCAAGAATAAATACTTCCGCTTTCAACTCTGATAAGGAACTCCCCGCCACCCCACCAACTTTTGCTCCTCGACATCATCGAGTCCCGAAACCCCAACATAACATCCACAATGGCTCCAAGGTCATCACCATTCAATTTGCAGACATGCGCTCGGCCAAATATTTTGAAGCTGCAGCCCTACCGGTGCGCTCGCGAGTAGGTCGCCCACCTCCGATGAACGGCCCGATCCCGCGCTAATGAGTCAGTGACTACAAAGATGACGGGACGAACGTGCTTCTCGACGCCAACGAGAATGCCTATGGTCCTGGGTTGGCATTGGGAAAGGAGGGTGCATTGCAGGCGTCGCAGACTGGTGATGCGACGGGCGCGTCCAAGCCTGAGATTGATTTCTTGGGTTTGAACCGATACCCCGACCCGTTAGTATCTCCCATGAACTGCCGACTAAGGTCTCTGTGAGAAGTAGGAAACCGTATTCTAACAGTCAATTGCTCGATCTAGTCACCAGATTGAGCTCAAGCAGCTGTTCTGCAACCTCCGCAATACCCACCACCACACGCAGAAGACCCTCCGCCCCGAGAACATGTTTGTTGGAGTTGGATCGGACGAGGCAATCGATGCACTGCTAAGGTGCTTCTGTGTCCCCGGCAAGGACAAGATTCTCACCTGCCCGCCTACCTACGGCATGTATAGCGTGAGCGCACAGGTCAATGACATCGAGATCGTTAAGGTGCCGCTGGATGTGAACAATGGATTCCACCTGCAGCCCGATAAGGTCAACGAGGCCCTGTCGGCCGACCCCTCGATCAAGCTAGCATACATCTGCTCCCCGGGTAATCCGACGGCGAACCTGATCCGCAAGGAGGATATCCAGACGGTGCTGGAGCACCCGACGTGGAACGGCGTCGTCATTGTGGACGAAGCATATATCGACTTTGCCCACGAGGGTGCCAGTTTGGCCGAGTGGGTGAACGATTGGCCCAACCTTGTCGTGATGCAGACCTTAAGCAAGGCTTTTGGCCTTGCGGGTATTCGCCTGGGCGTTGCTTACTCCAGCCCCGAGATTGCCCAATTGCTAAACAGCCTAAAGGCGCCCTACAACATATCTAGTCCGACAAGCGCGCTAGCCACGGCTGCGCTGACGGCCCCCAATATGGCGGTCATGCGCCAGTACCGTGAGAAGATTGTTGCTCAGCGTGACCGCCTCCTCCGTGAGCTGCCGCAGATCCCCGGTGTGGGCCGATTCCGAGGTGGCCAGGACTCGAACTTCCTGCTAGTGGAGATGCTCGACGCCGAAGGGCGGCCCAGCAACGTCACCGCCCTGGCAGCGTACGAAGCTATGGCCGAGCAGCGTGGGGTGGTGGTGCGATTCCGGGGCAAGGAGTATGGATGTGAGGGCTGCTTACGTATCACGATTGGTACCGAGGCTGAGGTCACCAAGTTCTTGCAGGAGCTACGCGTGGTGCTGGACGGAGTACGCAACGGCGCGGGCATCCAGTCGGTTCGGGACGAGGAACAACGGGAGGATGCAGCGGCCGCGGTGGTTGGGTAAATGTTTTCCTACGGTACACTTAAACTTGCTTCCGGATAGATACTGTACACGGAGAGTCATTGGGACATCTCCGTACGGAAAAAACGGGGATGAATGCTCGGTTCTGCTTTCTAGATCTATGATCTATGGGTTATCTTGTATGAATCAGGGGAGATAGCATTTCGGCTGATTTTAACCAGATTATCGGCGTACCGAGGAGTTATATAAAGGAGTCATCACATGAGGATAGCGTCCTCTGGGTGGAAATGCAATAGAGTTTGATCCATACCAGCATGCTGGCTGGTCAGCCATGTGTCTAGCTTCCTACTGGAGTAAAGTTGAGCGAATGGAGTAGTCAGCCTCACGATGATAGGAAGGATTGGGGCTTATCTGGCGGTGCTAGCGTGGTGTGCCCGATCCACTTGGTGTCCCTTGATTTTCTTAGCGTTTGCCAGTGGCACTCGACACTTGTCCAGGCAGTCATATAACTGAGTCTTCATGGTGCTATTTTGTATCTTCTCGATCATCGACCCTGGGTTCCGAACCCTAGATAGTACCTTTTTTGTCTTTTCAGGGTTAGATCTAGGGAGCAGAACGAGGGGCTATCATTGAAAAGTCGGTATGTAATGTAATTACCATCGGCCGCCGTGCTCGTTCGGGGAATAGTCCACGTGGAAAATAGATCCCCTCGATAAGAATTTCCCGTTTGGTACATCCTCGTCCCGTCGACGGGAGAGAGCTATCATCATCATCGTGCTACAAAGTCCGAATCCTACCGCAAAAGAAGGCGGTCTCATGTTCAGTGTTCCCAAAGTCATCCTCGTCCACATAGGCGTTGTGCCCAGCCAAGGCCTGATTCGCCTCGTCTCCATTCTCCTGATTCCCCCGCAAGCGTGGGCCAAAGCTTCCGGACTCCGGTGGCCCGTTTAATTCCCCTCACACCGTAGATCGAGACAGAGAGGGGCGAACCGGGGGACTACTTGAGAAACCGCGGCCCTGAGTGGCTGGGAAGCGCGTCAGCATGTGTGATATGATGAACTCGACTCGACACGGCGATACGGCGATCATGGCTCCTGGCACCTGGCACCTGCAGTGCTGACGCTGAATTGGCCAAGGGCCCTTTCTTTTCTGGCCGCAGCAATAGTGCAATGATCAATCACGAATCTTGGTTGTGGAACTTGGCCCAGAGGGAAAAAAAAAAGGCCCAGAGATTAGCGTGTTGGCTTTCACTGGTCCTCGTGTTATCATCGCCTTCGCCTCTTTCTGACTTTCTGATCCTTGTCTCTCCCCCCTCCAGGAGAACGGTGGCTCATATTTACTTCGGTAGCCTCCGGGACACACCGAATGCGTTCTTTAATCGCCCTTCTCCCCTCTTCTTTGATCGGTGACGGTTCAGACCCGAAGCGAAACGCGGATCCTGAATAACAGGACTCATCCTGTTCCTTTCTTTGCTTCCTACACCGTGTCTTGCTCCTTCCGCTCGGTCCGCTTCTTTGTTCCTGCGACGATCCTCTTCTCACTAGTGGCTCCCCCCCCCGATCGGCCCTTAGTGTACAGCTCCCCTCCCCACACTTGAACGCCTCGAAGGTCCGCCTCCCTCACGTGCGACATGAGATGTAAAGATACGCTTGTCGCCATCATCCATCGAATCTCCCAGGATTGAAAAACACAATTCACGATTTACAGGCCCCTCTTCGGAGGTGGTTTCAGCGTGGAATCAATGGAAATTGCCTCGTTGGCCACACGAGGCCTTTATCCTAAGGTCCCTCCGGCCTTTGAGTCGCGAAATGACATCAATCCGACCTTAATGATGAGCTGGTGGGCCACGGGCTTCTCGTTAGCGATTATTATCGTCCGATTATGCGGTCGCTACGTGCGAATCGAGCGCTTCTTTCCCGAAGACAAGGTCGTGATGCTCAGCGTCATCCCGCTTACCATTCGCATGGTGCTGGTTCATTTCGTGTTGGTTTTCGGGACCAACAATACTCAAACGGCCGGGTTGACGCAGGACCAAATCGACAAAAGGGTGATCGGAAGTAAGCTGGTCCTGGCAGCACGCATCTTCTACGCCATCTTGTAAGATCAGTTCTAATCTCAACGTGGTGTTACTCTGAATCGGAGCCGGTCACTGACTTATACGTCTTCTTCTTAATCTAGTATCTGGACAGCCAAGCTTACGGTCTGCGAGTTCCTGAAACGAGTCACTGGCATGGTCTGGCGTAAGTCAGTGGCTATGTTCCTGTGCTTTATCCATTTCTTCCTCATCTCCACCCTTGTCGCCGTCGTCATCGCGACGCTGGCTGAGTGCCAGCCCATGGACCATTACTGGCAGGTCATCCCAGACCCTGGACCTAGTTGCCGGAGCGGGTATGCGCAGCTCATTACGATGGGGGCTTGCGACGTCATCACAGATCTTCTTCTCGTTGCCTTCCCTGTACCCATCATCTTGATGGCCCAGATGCCCATCAAACGAAAGCTCGCCCTCGTCACCCTCTTCTGCCTTTCACTGATTTTAGTCGCCATCACCTGCTACCGGGTACCGTCCGTGATCGAGCGTCGAGGTGCACAACCGTATCGTTCTCTCGTCGCTTCATTGGAGATTCTCGCTGCGACGGCTGTCTCCAATCTCGTTGTGATCGGTTCTTTCGTCCGTGATCGCGGCGCTAAGAAACTCAAGTACAAGCGCGCCCAGGGCTCCGCGTCCGTTACCGAAAGCATGGACAATAGCTATGTCCGCCGCAACACTGTCATGCAGCATCAATGGGGCAGTGACTCTGATCTTGCTGGAGACCTAGGCATCCGGCTCGATCCCAAGCTCTACTCCTCAGCTCCAGGCGGTGCCGTTCCTATCCCAGCTCCACCTGTACCTCTCATGGTCGCTCGCACCGGTTCCATCGATCCGTCATGGTCCTTCAACCAAAGCCAAACCTCGGATGAAGACCGCGCCTCAACGTCTGACAGCCTCGATATCAAAATCAGCCCTCGCGAATACCTCCCGACCAGCCAATCCCCCCGTGACAAGGCACCCTCATCCCCACCACCTCTCTCTCGCCGCGTATCTTTCTTCGATGTCGGTGGTCTCCTAAATCGGACCGAACCAGAACCACAACGAGACTCACGACCCGCCCTTCTTTCGCGCCACACGATGACCCCCTCAACGACTGCTCCTGTCGAACTTCAACGTCAACGTCGTGGTAGCAGGGCTTTCCTCGAGGATCTTGGCGTCCTTGTACCTCGTACCACCGCTTCCACACCGCCTCAACCCCAGCCCCAGTCACGCTTCTCATCACCACCTTCTATCAATACTACCGCTACCACGAGACAACTATCCCATACCCTGCCGCCCTACCGAACCTCACCCGACATCTCCCTTGACGTAGATGTCGAGCTCCAAGATGTAGGCGGCCTACTTTCGAGACATACCCACCGACCCTAATTTTGACACGCGATGCGATACGATTGTTTTTTTCTAAATTTACTTTGGTTTGGTGATTTACCTGGCTAGGAGGAGTCGGATTCCTTTCTTATTTCTTTTTGTTTCTTTTGGGATCTTGGGTTTAAGATTTCTGCTTCTTCACGGTCATACCCCCTTTGCTTCTGGCTTCTGCAGCATTTGTGTTCGCCGATCTTATGACGGTGGATTTAGCGTTGGCGTTGGCGGGTTTTCATTCCCTCCCTCTTGGATACCAGAGAGGAGGCACTATGTAAAACAAAACCCTCATACGGAACTGTTTGTTTTTTGCTTGGCTGGTTTTGTACATCACATACCACATACTATGAAGATATGAACCCATTTTTGACTCGTACATCTGCGTAGATGTCCTTCGTCTCACCATCTCTCATTCTCGTCGATTTCTTGAACCGAGACTGTCTCCAAATTTGACTTGCTACCTTATACTCGGTATACGCTAGAGGAAATCATTTACTCGTATATCCAGTAGACATCCAGTGTATTCATCTAGCCTGAAGCCAAAAAAAGGCACAAATTACAAAATTCAAGATACATATCAGCCCCCGGCCCCCGTGGATGATGGAGAAACTTCGCCAGTACGCCTATGCTGCCCATAATACAAGCGGACTAACCTTTTTTGTGTTTGTGTGTGGTGCAAGAAAAACTCCGGATCCAGTCCCCACCTGGTGTCGTCTGGCGCAGGCCGCCTATACCCTTCCTTTCCTGTAGGCATTCAAAGCTCGAGGTGAAAGGATAGGGCGACGGGATGTATGTCGCACAGCAGAAAGGACCGAGTTGGGGAGGGACTTGATGCGCGTTGGGGTATCGGTTCTCACATGATCTCGAAACCCGGTGATCGGGCCATTGAAGGCGAGAGAAGGTGAGACCCAAAAAAAAAAGAAGTAAAACCGGGACCAAGCTCGTCTGGGGACCCTTTTTAGATCACCCACCGGTAGCTGGCATAACGACCAGCAGTCTCACTCTTACGGATGATCTTCACGACCTGGCCGCGGCGCAGACCCAAGTATCGCGAGACGGGATCCGAGACCTGCATACGGGGCAGCTGCGACTCCTTAAGTCGGTAACGCTGCAACAGCTTGGCCTTCTCTTCCGGGCTGAGGAGGACGTGCTTGGGGACCAGCTCGTGGCGGGTGATGTTGACAAGTAGATCCTGTTCCTGGAAGGTCTCACCGATGCGGCCGGGGTTGATGTTGAGCATGCGCACGGCGGTGGGCGATAGGGGGACCTGAGTGATGAAGATGCCGGTGTGGAAGTTGTTCTCGGAAACGGCGTGGTTGAATGCGCGCACTTGCTTGGCACCGAGTCCAGAGGCCTCGGGGCAGAACTCGACGTAGATAGTGCCGCAGTCGGGCTGAGGGTTCGGGTTGGATTTGGTCGGCAGCGCAGTGTATTTCATCTTCATTTCCTCGGTGGGGCGTGCTTGGATTGTCATTCTTTTCCGGCTGCAATAGAGGCAATGACGTGTTAGTGGTATTCAATCTCTGAAAAGCACCGAATAATCGCTCTTCCTCGCATTTAAGAGGAGCTGTGGGGTAGGTTTGCATACTCAGGGTATCCCATAGGGTCTGCATATTTCCGCGCGAACTCTTCAAGAGAAACCTTCAGCTCCTCTTCTGACACCTCGTAGCCCTATTGTCAAGCGCAAAACATGATTAGCCTCAGGTTCATTTGTATGTGCGACAACTAAAGCCATAGTAAGAACAGGAAGGGAGCTTACTCGGTCTGCAAGCATTTCATGCACCGTCTTCCAGGTGCGCCAAAGCCGGCTCATCTCCCGACTGGCATCGGTGCTGGTGACGGGAATATCCCCATCCATGATCGGTATGTTATCGACTAATAGATGAATCTATGAAAAAAAGGGAAAGCAAAGCGCAAAGAAGAGAAAAGGTGGGCGCGCAGGAACGTGTCGTGAAAGATAAGGTGAAGGATCGAAAAATCGGCGGGAACTTTCTGCCAGGCGAGGCAGTTTAGTAAAGCGGAGAAACTGACCGAACCGGAGGCCCGTTTTAATTGTTCGAAACGTTTCCCCTTTCCCCTCGTGGGCAACCTTCTTTCCTCTTTCCTTTCCTTTTCATCCCGAGGAACCCTTCAAGTCTCCTTTCCTCTCATCTTTCTCTGTCCCCATTGCACAATGGCTGCTCCTGCCCCTGCGGAGCCCCGGGCTAAGCCCACCAAGCCAGATGAGGAGGCCTACAAGGCCAGCCTGGCCCAGGCCGAGAAGGAGCACACGGCTGCACAGGAGAAGTTGGTATGTGTGAATTTCACTTTTCAATTGGATTATCTGGCTTCATGGCGCCGTTAATTGGGAATTGATGGAGTGTTGCGCTGCCCGTCGAGCACTCCCATGGCGGGGGTTAATACCTCGCGTGTGCCCACATGTCACATTTCCCTTCCCGAGTCCAGTCGCTAACTTGCGCAAATTATCAGAACCAAATCAAGGCCAAGTTGGACAACGCCAAGCCCAACAACCAGGACTCTCCTGTCGTTAAGAAGCAGCAGGAGCTCCGCGCCGAACTCTCCTCCATCCGTCAGAAGCAGTCTGGCTTCAAGACCTCCCGCTCCAGCACCCTCGAGAAGGTCAATGCCCTCGAGTCCACCCTCAAGGCCCGCATCGCGGAGCAGAACAACTCTCGCGGCAAGATGCCCTTCAAGAATGTGGATGAGATCGACCGGGAGATCGACCGTCTTGAGAAGCAGGTCGATTCCGGCACCCTGCGATTGGTTGATGAGCGCAAGGCTCTCTCGGACATCTCCAACTTGCGCAAGCAGCGTAAGGGTTTCGCTGGTCTCGAGGAGGCCCAGAAGGGTATCAATGACCTGAAGGCCCAGATTGCGGAACTCAAGAAGACTCTGGACAACCCCGAGGCTAAGGCCCTGAGCGACAAGTACTCCGAGATCCAAAAGGAGCTGGATGCTATTAAGGCCGAGCAGGACGGTGTTTACAAGAACCTGAACGCTCTTCGCGATGAGCGCACTCAGCTGCGCAACGACCAGCAGAAGAAGTATGCTGCTATCCGTGAGATCAAGGACAACTACTTCAAGGCTCGTCGTGCCTACAAGGAGTACGAGGATGAGGCCTGGCGCATCCGCCGCGAGCGTCAAAAGGCCGAGCGGGATGCCTTTGAGCGCGAGAAGCGCAAGAAGGTCGCCGACAAGAAGCTCGAGGAGGCTTCTCAGCTCGCTTACACCGACGAGATTCTTACCGCTCAGGGTCTTATCCGCCACTTCGACCCGGCCTACGACTTCTCCGCTCTTGGTCTTGATGACAAGAAGGATGAGGGCAGCAAGTTCCGTGCCAACGTTGGCCGTACTGTTGACGACTCTGCCCTTAAGGGTATGAAGGTTGTTCGCAAGGACGACGTTGAGGACTACTTTGTTGGTTCTGCCGGTAAGAAGGGCAAGAAGGGTAAGAAGGGTGGTGCCGCCGCTGGCGCCGAGGCTGGCAAGTTCAACATGAATGTTGGCATCATTGAGGACTTCGCCAAAGTCAAGATCGACCCTCCCATGAACCAGTCCGATGTTCCCGCTGCCGTGGAGAAGTTGGCCGCCAAGATCACCGAATGGAAGAAGAACCAGGCCAGCAAGACTGAGGAGGTAAGTTTGCCCATCGGTTCACATGATATCAAGTGATTATAACTCACTAACGTAATTACGTACAGAACATTCAGAAGGCCAAGGAGGAGATTGCCCGCCTCGAGGAGGAAGAGGCTAACGTCGCCGAGACCAACGGCCGTAGCACCGACGCTGCAAAGAAGCCCGCTCGGGCCAACGGTCTACCCACTGCTGAGGCCGAGCTGGCCCAGGAGCAGGATGCTGCTGCTGATGCAGCGGAGGAGCTGAAGAAGGCTTCTCTCGAGGACAAGGAATAGAAGAACCTCGTAAAACTTGCTGGAAGGATTGGGCCTTTGCATCTTCTACGTACATGTTCTGCGGACTAGCATTGCGGTCTTGCATTTTCCTGACTTTCTTTTTTTTGAGTCACTTGGTCTCTTATTGAATGTGCATTATAATTTGCGTTTTGATACATGGACAGCGTCCTTGGTTTTTTGTTTTTTTTTTCCTCCCCTTTTCTTTTCTCCATGTCAATTAAAAGCCCGGAAATGAGATTCCTCACCTCGAGTCGAGAGATATCTTTTCTCTTTGCTCTACAAAGTCATTCAACAACTTTCCTGTGGGCCTTCTACCCTATCATAGATTATTAGACACTTGTGAGCAAACCTCGGTTCCTAGATGTATCGACATGACAGTTAGTTATACTCTGCCCAGCCCGCGGGCTGAGTCATCCACTCCCGAAACGAACCCCGGAACTGCGCCACGCTCCACTTTCTGCACCGAGCAATCCGCGCGTTCTCTACCACAAGCCTGACCACTTCCAAGCCCTTGGCTATTCGGTCTGTCGCCGTGCGATTCCTTCTGCCTGTGCACAACCATATCTTCTTACCCTCTTCATCTCCCAATCCGCCCAATCTACCGTTGCACTTCCCTCATAACCACTCAACCCGCCATCTCCGCATCTCCCGTCTTTAACGCTCTAGCGGCTCCGCATTGAGCAAGCCCCCAAGATGTCTTACAACAAGCCCGTACGTACACCCTCGTATCCCAATCCCAACGCATACCCAACAATCCCTCGAACTCTCCTACTCTTTCAGCACAACAAGATCACTAACCCTCGTATACAGACCAGCCCACCCCCTTCTTACCCAGCTCCCGTGCACGACAACGGCGGCTACCAACCCAACTCCCCGCCACCCCAAGGTGGCGGTGCTTCGCAGGACTATTATGGAGGCCAACAGGGTGGTCAACAATACTATCCTCAGCAACAGGGCTATGGACCCCCTCAGCAGCAGGGTTACTATCCGCAGCAACCCCAGGGCCAGATGTACTATCCTCCGCAGCAGGGCTATCCCCCTCAGCAGCAGCAGGGGTACTATGCTGGTGACCGAGGCGGTGGTGGCTCCGGTGCTGGTGGTATCTGTGCTGGTATTATGGCGGCGCTTGCATGCTGTTGCTGCTTGGACATTCTTTTCTAAAGCTTGAACCGAAAATGTTTATCGACAGAATGCTGTGGTGCTTTGCGACTAGACTTGGAAGTCTGCCGGGGAGGGCTTCGGCTCGTATGGATGTGCCCATCGGAGATATATGTCGAGTGCAATTGGAGCTCTCGACTCGAGTGGCAGAATTGGGAAGCTCGAGTCCGAGTACAATGTCCTGGTCTGTTGATCCGTATCTCCGAGAGCTGGTCCCGGTGCTTGAGATCCCGGAGAGCTTGTCTGGTTTTGGGCCGTTCTTTTTTTTTTCTTTTCTTCTTTTTGTTTGGTTGGTCTTTTTCTGTCTTGGGCGGTGCCTTGTTTTTTTTGGGTCGTCGCTCATATATATATATCCCCGGTTTCTATCTGTTACCACCGGCGCTAAAACAGGACACGGCGTTGAAGACTGGGTCCTTCAAGCTGTGACACTTGCTTGTCATTCGTTCTTTTTTGTTCGCTACTATTCTCTCTCTAATCGATCCCTTTAATACACTTGGGCTTGCTGCCTCTTCTGCAATACGGTCTTTTTCTATAGAAGCTCTAGGTAGCTAGCTGGAAGTAGAGAAATGTCAAACATAATATTCATCATAGTGCACATCGAGAACATGATCATAAGACATTAGGTATAGAGAGAAAGGGTATCGCAACATGCAAATAAATCGAAACTCCGAGCTATGAAGCCCAAGGAGCATAAGGCCCACCAAACTCCCCCAACAATCAACGATACTGACTGTCCCCATCATATGAGCTCCCGCCTCCATATTCGCGCGGATCCACCGTCCGATAACCCCTCCCACCACCAGCTCCACCCCTCCTATGCGACGGCGAGACTGACGATAAACCAGAAGACTCCTCCTCAATAACCTCCACAACGTCCGAATGCTCGGTCATCGACGTCCCCGTCACCGACTCCTCAACAGTGATATGCCGTCTCGACCCGGGCCGCCGATAACTATCGCGACGACGATCATGATCACGCTCGCGCTCCTCCACGACTTCGATGACCTCGCTCCGGTGTGACGGGGAGCGCCGACTGCGCACGGTGACTACTTCCTCGTCTATTACGGAGGCAGAGTTCCCCCGCGCGAGACCGCCGGGGTTCAGGGCCAGGAAGGTCAGATAGAGGATAAGGATGACGCCGCCGACGGTGCCGAGGACGATGCCTGCGACTGTACCTGGTGGAGGGCCGGAGTTGAGGTGGCCGTAGGTAGAGGGGATTGAGATGGTGGAGTAGCGCTTTTCGAGGTGGGCGTGGAGAATGTTTTTATTTTCAAAGGTGAGAGGGTCTGGGCCGGTCATTGGGGTCGCATTAAGTTCGGCTTCTCGTGGGAGAGGGAGGGGGTCCATGGTTGTGACTGTGATGGAGGGATTTGTTTGGTTATTGGTCTTGCGTGGTGAGGTTCAGCTTGGATATAAGCGCGGCGCGACAACCGCGGTGTCCTGTGAGGTGTTTTCGAGGGAGGAGACTGGGACTGGGGTTTTCTAGAGCTGTGATGACTCGGCTATCGCCATGAACTGGGTGAGTACGTGGAGGTTGTAAGATGAAGAAATTAAAGTGATGAGACTGGAGGGCTGGTGATGCGGTAAGTTGGGTGGCTGGGGATCTGCGGTGGAGCCGCTATCTGATTCGCGGGGAGGATCTGCTGTATAGCGCTTGCTTGTTGTTATTGTCGGGTCATTACTTTTCAACGAATTCTTCAAGGCAGCACCTACTAACCCTTAATCTCTCGCCATCCATCCAGTACCATCTCCAGACATGTTCAGACACGAATGTGTCAACAAGCCATCCCAACCGTTGAGCATCTGTGTGGATGTAGAACCGACTCATTCGGCACGATCATGGCGCTAGATGGCTGCAACAACTGCGGTATCATCAAGAGAATTCAACAAATGGGCAAAGCTAAGAGGAGATACCCATGCCCTGATTGTATTGCCAACGGTGTATGGGTGAAAAGGAATGGGAAGTGGGAACGAGCTAAAGCCTCTGCTAACAATGTGGCAGAGGCTTAATTCTCCAGGCACCGAGGATTCTTTTTTGTTTGAGTACTTGTCTTGCTGTCCAGCGTCCTTCCCTCTCTCCCCTCACCTCCCTCAACTTCTAGCAGCATACCCATCTGCATAATCCTTCAACCTATCTTGTCTTTCCCTGACGATGACCACCCAACAACTGTTTCCAGACGTGCACTGGGTCTGGGAGGGAGGCATCTCCTTCGTCTATGAGGTTCATCCCAGCATCGTGGTCAAGGTTCCCATAAACGACGCATTTGAAAAAGACCAATTTCGGAACGAACTCAAGATTTACGAGATCCTCTCTCGACATCCGCCTTGTCCCTCAATAGTCCGGGGGTTCCTTTACACAGACAACGGCATTTTCCTCGAGTACATGCGAGGTACGGCTCGGCCCTGATGTGTCTTCAGCAGTCAACATCTTCTAACTACCACTCCAGATGGCCCCCTCTGTTCTAGAATCCAAAAGAATCACACTTTCGACCAGCAGACTAAACTCGTCACGAAAGTAGAGAGACTAGAACCTCTCACACTCCGGAAAGAATGGATGAATGACCTAGCTCAAGCCGTCGCTTTTCTTGAATCGCTCAACCTCGCCCATGGTGATCTCCGACCCGAGAACATCCTATTAAATGGCGACCAATTGAAACTTTCGGACTTTGATTGCACGGCGGAAATCGGGACAGATTTTGAAGCTTGTTCCGCCCCATACGGAAGAATACTCAATAGCAACGAGGAAACCCACCGAGAACGGGGATCTGGTTTGCTCGGTCCTCGGACAGAAAAATTCGCCCTAGGTTCGATCTTCTACTTCATGAACTATGGCTCTGAGGTTTATGGGGATACACGTCTGACTGAGGATCCTGATAAACATGGGTGCAAGGTTATTGATTTACTGCAGAACATGCAATTCCCGAAATTGAATGGTGATCCGCTAATTGACGACATTATTCTCAAGTGTTGGCACAACGACTACGTTACCATTGCGCAGTTGGCCAATCGTACAGCGATACTTCTCCCTGAGAGGGTCAATCCAAACAATACTGACAACGAAACAATCTCCGTCCCTCAATGTCGTACCGACGAGGTCATATTACCTGAATAAGCCAATGCCGGAGAGCCTGGTAGCAGCAATATGGGTCCAAACTGCTCCGCAGATGATTTCCCTTCGAAAAAGGCGTTTTGTGAGAGCCCCGAGAAGCGTGGACTTCTTGATATGCTTTCTTCGGGATCGCCCGAGCAGCTTGGTTTCACCCTCGAGTGGTACAGATATCAAGCGAGTTGAGGCTCAAGTTTGATCATAGCTGCCAACGAAGAGATACTGCAGTGTTGAGCACTTTGCTAATTGTATCATATGCCCTTATCTTTTAGTGGTCTGAACAATCTGATCATCTTTACCAAACTTTTCATTGCCGTATTTCAACTGACAGAGATCTCATGCTTGATCCAGATTGAGTTACATTATGGAAACCATTCTAAATCGGCGAGAAAAATCGCGTCATGTGGTCAAAACATGGGTTGTAGTCTTTTCAAGTACAGACTTCCAGCTCAAACCAAAGTTATATGATCGCATATAAAGCCCGACCCGAACGATTATCCTTGTAATGTTTGCAGAACCACTTCAGCCATCATCAAAGCGCTCTCCTCCTCTAGTCGTCGGCCAACTAGTTGAAGACTGACTGGCATTCCATGGATGTTGTCCGCATTGTCTTTGGATTCATTTAGCGTGGCATCGTCAAGGAGCATTCAATCATTACTCACAATCAGTCCGTATCTGTGCATCAACTCCACTCAATGGATCATTACCGTCATAGGCCCCGTCGATCGTTTTGTCAGCATACACACCGCAAGGGAAGGAGACCGCAGGGTAATCTAGAACGTTAAAAACGCCTGTATATCCCACATAGGCGAATTTGCCATTCTCAACACCGCTATAGGGTGTCGTAGGACCTAATCACAAGCAGTTAGCGCCGAGAACCAAAAGACAGGAGGGAGACTTGCAAAGTAAAGCGTCAATGCCACTTTCATTCCACTGGTCAAGATATGACTTGCACACCCCGTTACGCTCTAGCTGAAGTTGCCACATAGCGTGAACACCCATCTCCTCTGCCTCCGCATAGGCTTTCATCTCGGGACGGAAAGGTTCACCCGTTGGCTTGAGAAGACTGGCAACGGATTTCCCACCGTCTGCCACGAACATGCGTGACAAGATAGACAGCAGTCTATCGTGCCATGTTGTTTTCCAATCGACTATCTCATGGCCAGCCTCCCGCAGCTTGGCAACCGTTTCTTTCAAGGCACGGGCAACTGGTGGCGTCGGAGTGACAATACCATCATGCCAGAGGACCGCGATCTTCAGTCTGCGCTTAGGAGTGATCGTCCTCCAAGGGATGGGAAGACACTTGGGATCTCGGACCCAAGGCTGCTGGTCGACAATCGTCTTAGCCCAGAGAGAGATTTCGGCCAAAGTCGAAGCCATGGGCCCATTGACACTGTTGACGGCCTCTTGACCGGCGAGACCAGAGCGGGTTTGAAAATTGGGAAATCGCCCAGCGGATGGTCGGATTGTAAATATACCCGTACAGGCAGCAGGGATACGCAGTGAGCCTCCTTGACCGTTTCGTTAGATCTTGCATGCTTAATCAGAGGAACTCAAGGACACACCGATGTCGGTTCCTACTCCCAACCGGCTTGCTCCAAATGCAATCAAAGCAGATTCACCACCCGAAGAACCGCCGGAGGTTAGGTTACGGTTGCGTGGGTTGACGGTACGACCAAAGACATTATTGACTGACTCGGCGATCATCATAGCAGTGGGAACATTGGTCTTCACGTAGAGCACTGCTCCGGTGTCAAGTAGCAGGTCGATGAGGGTGCTGTTATACGTAGCGGGGTCATTGACTAGTGAAGTAAAACCGACGGTAGAATCATGACCGATGATATTGAAGTTGTCCTTGATTGAGATTGGGAGACCATGGAAAGGACCTTTGGTCCTGCCAGTTGTTCTGAGATACTCGTCCAATTCGCGTGCGCGAAGGATAGCTTTGTCAAACAGAATCTCAGACAGGCAGTTGGTCTAATCAAATGAGTGAGACTTGAAGAACAGATATACTTTTTTTTCCTTTTTGATCCGAGGGGAAACAGTACCAATTGGTGAGCAGCAGCAGCAGCTTTACAAAATGCGCGGGTAACCGCCTCCGATGTCCACGAGCCAGTCGCTATATTCACAAGAAGTTGGGATGCTGGAGTCGAAGTAATCTCCAATTCTCTCTTGGTAAACCAGCCGGACTCTTTGAGAAAGTTCGTCACGTCCAACTGACTATCAGGAGGAAGAAGGTCTGAAGGAATCACCCACTCTGCGGGGATCGTAGCCCTGAGGGCCTGGCGTTTCTGAGCAGCGATAGTCTCCCAAGTCATGTTTACCTATCCAGACCTCTGCTTAGTATCTCGTGTCTTAGGAAACTTTGGCCAAAGACATGATGAGCCAATCCTCGGCATATTGGTTGCATTTATCCTCGCTGGGCATAGTTTCTAGACCGGATAATGTGCCGGCTATCCCACGCCTTCTGCAGTCACTAATACCCCCATGGTGAAGTGCTTATCAACTATTGAAGCGGATGATAATCGTATCGGCTGACCGGGCCTATAAGAGGAAGACAGATATCTTAGCCTGGAGCTCCGACTTGATAGGTTTCCTAGAAAGGCAGGTAATCTACTGCCGGTCAGCTTGGCACTCGGCGCAAAACCCGACAGTGGAGACTTCCCCGCACTTCCTAGCACCAATCTTTGCAATAAGCCTCGGATTAACACTGCAAAGTGAGAATTGATCAAGATAATGTATCACCTAGCCGCTGTTCATAACAGCCAGTAAAAGGTGGAAGTTGCGCCGCTTTGGCATATCAGAGCGAGATGTTGATTAGGTAACCGCCCGGTTGGGCGGTTAACTTTTTTGAGTCAAGATTAACTCTTTTTCTACCCCCCACGCGATAACGGCACCTGCCACATGGATGTATATAAAGTGCCTGCTATCCACCCCTTTGGCACACTCGAGCCGTGTCCCGCCCGAGACTGACAGATACGGTGATTGACCGGCATGGCCTTCTTCGCTCGAGTTAAGTCCTATATCCGGGGCCAAGAGACTGTGCCCGGGGAGGCAAAGCTGCTTCGAAAAATTGATGCATTCATCTTGTCGTTTTGTTGTCTCTGCTATTTCGCCAACTACTTGGACCGCAGTAACCTCAACAATGCATACGTTTCAGGCATGAAAGAGGAGCTCAACTTCAAGGGGAACCAGCTCAATGTCATCAATACTGTCTTTACCGTTGGGTAAGAAAACGACATTCGAGTCCATCGAAAAATTACCTCTGACTAACAAATGACTAGTTATATCGTTGGACAGGTTCCCTCCAATCTTGCACTAACCTACCTACGACCGCATCTGTTCTTCCCGGCTATGATGCTGATCTGGGGTAGCCTCACCATGATCACCGCGGCAGTGCATAATCCTCAGGGTATTATGGCTATCCGCTTCTTCTTGGGATTGGCCGAGTCAAGTACTTTCGTCGGCACGCACTATATACTCGGCTCCTGGTACACAGAAAAGGAGCTGGGCAAGCGTAGTGGCATTTTCACTGCATCCGGTCTGGCGGGAACGATGTTTGGCGGTTTCATCCAGACCGGCATTCAAAAGTCCCTTAATGGTGCCCACGGATTGGCGGGTTGGCGATGGCTTTTCATTGTAAGTTTCTCTTTCTTCCATTTACAAGCAATGGTCCACAATTAACAAGACAGATTGACGGCCTGATCACTATTCCCATTGCCATCTACGGTTTCCTATTGTTCCCCGACACCCCAACGACCACGAAAGCCCCCTATCTGACCTCTGAAGAGCGGGCCATGGCCATCGCGCGCATCCCAGAGTCCAGCTCCGTCAAAGTTCCCCTAAATCTGACGTTCGCCAAACGCATCTTCACCTCCTGGCACTGGTACGGCTTTGTGATTCTCTGGATCATCGCCGGAGAGACAGAGTCCTTCTCTAGCAATGCCCTGCTGGCACTCTACATGAAGTCATCCCCGTCTCACAAATACACCGTCTCCCAGTTGAACGACTACCCAACGGGTGTGCCCGCGGTAGGAATCGTTTCCACGCTATTTTGGGCCACTTTGACCGATTTCATGGGCGGTAAGCGGTATTTAGTCGGATACTTTATTGCCATCACTGGGATTGTGACATCCGCTATGATCTTGACTCAATTTGAGAAAACTGCCGTCGTATTTGCTGCATACTACTGGGCTGGAGCGGTATATGCCTGCCAGGCAACATTCTTTGCATGGTGCAATGATGCCATGCGTTATCAGGATGACCGGTTCCGGTCCGTGGTCATTGCCAGTATGAACATGGGCAGCAATGCGGTGAATGCTTGGTGGATTCTGCTTTTCTACTCGGCTAATATGGCACCTCGATTCACCAAGGGTATGTGGGCCATGATTGGATGCTCGATTGCGTTGGCGCTTTGGACGACGGGTATCGTTTTGATGACCGTGCGTGAGGAGAAGAGCAGAGAAGGCCGGGAACTTCGGATTGGCGATAGCGATGCTAAGCAAATCGAGGAGACCACTAGGGAGGTTTGATTGTGATCAATTGAGATCTAATAATAATACATGTTGTCCATTTCATCTGAGAAACGCGAGATGCCTATCGATTTTACTGCCATCTCTAACTTAGATATTCCACGAGCGTGGCTGCTCGGAGGATTCCGTAACAGAGATCTACTCTCCCGGAACGGCAATCCCAGACACATCCTTGCAGGTCTTCAGTAATTCCTCCTGCTTGCTCACATTGCCAGCCCCCGGATGCGCCGACTTCGCACCGCTCGTCGTAAAGAATGTCCCACTAGGTAACCCAGCCAATTTACCTTCCCCAATCGCCCATTCTGCCAGAGCCTTGGCAGGCTTATCCATACCACCTGGGGCCATGCTACCTCCCATCTTAGTCCTGACCCAACCGGGATGCATGCTCACCACCTGGATATCACCACCCCACCGTCGAGCAAAGGCGTTAGCAAGCATCACATCGTGAAGCTTGCTGTCACTGTATGAATGGGACTGCGTAACATTCCGTAAACTCTCATCTCCACCATAATGGCTATCCGAGCTCATGTAAAGAAGCCGTGACGTGGGCCTCTTCATCAGGCAGGTCAGGATGTACGGCGCTAAAGTGTTGACAGCGAAGACAGCCGAGATGTTGTCTGCGGTGATCTCGCGACTAGAGGTTGAGCCATAGCCAATGCCCGCGTTATGAATGATTGCATCGAATGTTCCACTTCCCAAGGCGTTGGCTTCTTGAGCGAGTTTCTTCGTCTCTGAGATGGATCGCAGGTCGCCGATTAGGACGGCTTCTGCTCTAGGAACTGCTTTCTGAGTTGAAGCTGCACGGTCGGCGTTTCGGGCATGAAGAACGACTGAATGTCCCTGATCTGCGAGAATCTTTGCGGCGGCTTGGCCAATACCATCGCTTGAACCGGTGATGAATATCCGAGCCATGGTGGAGGGGATTGCGTGAAATGAGTTCTCTTGGAAGTGTGTAAATTGTAGGGAAAAAATATGGTTAACGGTGAGATGATATCATACAAGAGAGTACAGCTGGAGATACTCTGTCCTCGCTCCTCAGGAGTTTCCCTTGCGAGCCCAATAATATGACGTCATCGAATCATCTCTAGACCGAGCTCATTACTCCTTCGGGTAGTCTATAACTATTCATATCACTCGAGTACTTTCTAAGTCCTTGATTCTAGTTCGGAGGGTAAGACGATCTAAGAGAGGAATCATAATGAAGCTGCGATAGTATGCGCATGACGCTAGTAGCTTTTTGTAAAAGATCGGCCATTGTGACAGGGGGAACACAGTGAAAGCGAGGTTAAACTGGGATCACTAAACTATTCAATGCTTTCCCATTCAACTGGAGATACACCTTTTCCTTTTCACATCGTTGCCTACTGGTGCTTCTCTATTCATTACGCATGAACGTGCTCAGCTATCTTCTTTTCCTGCTGAAGTAGTCCTCGATGGTTCCTACTCGCTCTCCGCATTTCCCGATTTACTACGTCTTGCTGCAGCCTGCCAAAAAAACCAACAGATATTCCACAACAATCTCACCACTATATATCACCGTTTCAGCCCAAGGGCACTCAGGTAGTTCCTTACCTAATAAGGCACCGACGATTTAAGATTTTCCTAAAAAGGCAAACATTGTGCTCATATGTTGGTCCAATCGAGGAATTTCCTTATGTCTAACAGGTGCAGTAGGCAATCCCGGTGATAAGAGATCTTTTAACGGCAATTCAATGTGTCCTCCTCGCTTGACTAGGCTTAAGCGTCTACGATTTATTCGAGCAGCCTACGAATCATGGAGGTATTCTGCTTGGCTCTACCCCAAGGGAGCTGAGAATAAGCGCGATCAAGTATGAAGACGTGTGTATGCTCACAGACTTAGCGCATATTCAGTACTGGCTCGGTGGAGTTTGACCCTGGACAGAGAAATCATTGGAAATTGGAAGGTGGACCACGGACTTGTTGGACATGTGAGGCTTTATGATCTAAGGGCAGCGCACATTCTTAAGGAGCCTTTTCGCGAGAGAAGAATCCATGTCTTAAGGGTTGGAGATGAATGGGCTGTATTTCGACTTGGGGGAATTTGAACGGAGAAATTAAAGAATCGGTGGTGGATGGGTTGAAGGGAGCTAGGGGATGTACACCAATCTCCGACGTTTGGGATGGTGCTTTTGATGACGAGTTAACAGAGTTTATTTGAGTTACAGCCTTAGGCCTGCTTAAGAGTTAGTGTTAAGCATAGTGGTGTTGCCATCAGGCCATCAAGTTTTGTTATATGAGAAGGCAGTAAGTAGGTTTTCCCACTTTTCACGTTTGTAATTACTTATAACAATTAATTTCTTCTAGGCTGGCCGACGAACTCCACGGCTATAACTGCTATCTTGGTACATTTAGCATCCTCGCTAACCTAAAAAGGTTATACGTCTGCGTAGGCTTGTGGAGACCTCTAGCGTAGAAGATGGTTCGGTCGCAGCCTGCGGGTAACCTGTCTGAATTCACGATTCATGAAATAAACGCCAGGTACTCTTGCTAACTATTGGGATGAATCGCCAGCTTGATTGAACTTTCCACTGTCTTTGAATAAACCACTCTGTCAAGGTCCATGATATGATCCGATACCCATGTCCACCCCGAAATTAAGTTTCGGGGGCGTATACTAAGGCGCGGAGGTCGCCGAGCGCGTGGTACCGAGATGGTACCAGAAGTGCACGGGATTGTACCATGGACAACGGTCAAAGAAGTATGTAGCCCATTCTGCGGGAAATCCGATATTCGGTACCTTAGGGAATAACTTTTCCCCTTTAGAGAACCTCGGTTCTGTACTGCGGAAAGGAGATAAGCAAAAGATTTAGCGTTCCCTCATCGGCCACTCAGATGATGTGATTTAGCTTGGATCACTTATAACGCTAGCGTAGAAAAGGTTTTCTAAACTCGGATATCTCATTTTCTCCCGTTGCTGTTTTTTTTTTATCCTCCCGCCCTTGGTTTTGTTTTTTTTTTGGGTAGTCAACATGACTGGGTATCTTGAGGCCCAGGGAGGCACGGATAAATTGGGGGGGAAACAGGTCGTGCACGACGTTGAAGATCCACATCCAGCGTCGGTGCCCACATTCAGGGCTGCCAGCCCCGATGATGGTCAGATCGTGACCCAACTGGAGCGACAAAGCTTGATTCGAGGATTGTCGCAACGTCATGTGCAAATGATTGCCATCGCCGGTGCTATTGTATGCAGCTACTGAATTTCCTATTATATCGGACCACGTTTGAAGTTGCTGACATGCGCCGGGCGATGTATAGGGAACGGGACTATTTCTCGGGCTCGGCGGTTCGATCGCTACGGGTGGTCCTCTAGGTGCTCTTCTAGGCTACCTGTTTGTCGGCACGATCGTCTGTTCCATTCAATTTGCTCTCGGAGAGGTGTCTGCTCTGCTACCCGTGACTGGTTCATTCGTTCGTCATGCTGAAGTTCTAATCGACCCGGCTCTGTCCTTTGCGATCGGATGGAATATTGTCTACGGATGTTTCCTGAGTGTTCCCAGTGAAATCTCCGCTGCAGTCGTACTGATCCAGTATTGGACCGACATCAATGCGGCGGTGTGGGTAACTATCCTTATTGTCGTTTCCGTGGTCGTCGCCATCTCCTTCATCGGCGTTTATGGCGAGGTGGAATTTATCTTTGCCATTTTGAAGATCCTTCTAGTCATTTTCGTGGTGATCCTGGGTCTAGTCATCGATCTAGGTGGTATCCCAGGTAAGTCTTTCATGCGGATCTTCCTATTGAGCCTCGAATTAATTCGTACACTAGGCAAGCCGCGATTGGGATTCCACTACTGGAAAGATCCAGGCCCATTCGTTGAATACATTGCAACCGGAAACCTGGGACGCTTCCTCGGATTTTGGGCCGTCATGACGAACGCAGTCTACTCCTTCGCTGGTGTGGAATCTCTAGCCATGGCCGCTGCAGAAACCAAGAACCCTCGCCACAACATTCCCAAGGCTTGTAAGCGAGTCTTCGCGCGTGTCACCATCTTCTACCTAGCAGCAGTCTTGGTTGTCGGTATGCTAGTCTCGAGCTCCGATGAACGACTCGGTGATGAGTCTGGCACCGCGGCTCAGAGTCCTTTCGTGATCGCTGCTGGTGATGCCGGCATCAAAGCCATTCCTTCCATCGTCAATGCCGTGTGTCTGACATCCGCCTGGTCTGCCTCCAACCAAAGCATTCTGGCTGGAACCAGAACGCTCTATGGTCTCGCGATCAAAGGCCACGCCCCCAAAATCTTCCTCCGAACTACCACGTGGGGAGTGCCCTATATGTGTGTGCTACTTCAAGTTGCCTTTTCTTTCCTGGCCTATATGTGCGTTTCGAACAGTGCTTTGACCGTCTTCTGGTGGTTCGTTGATCTTACTGCTGCGGGAACCCTGGTCTCTTGGATCTGTATTTCCCTGAACCATATTCGCTTGATGCAAGCGTTGAACAAGCAGGGCATTTCGCCGAATGCTTTGCCGTGGCACAATCGGATCACAAGTCAGTATATCCCTTTTCAAAAGTTTTTATCATGATTACTAACCTAGCTTAGGATACTCGAGCTGGTACGCTTTGGTCTCATGCGTCATCATCCTTCTTACGGGCGGATTTGCCGTATTCACCAAAGGCAACTGGGATCCAGCCTCTTTTGTTTCGAGCTATCTGTAAGTCTTGATCTGATCCTTTCCATTCTGTGCCCCCAGCGCAGAGGCTAATCAACGATTGCAGTGATATCCCGCTCGTTCTTCTTGCGTATGGAGGCTACAAATTGATTCGCCGGACCAAGATCATCCCTCTAGACCAGGTCCCTCTGCGCCAGGCTCTTGATGAGGCCGAGAACGATCCTGAGAACGTACCTCTCAAGAAGGATAGCTTTTTATCGAAGCTCAACATCTTGTGGGGGTGAGACCTTACTGGGGCACGAACGAGTGCTCTATAATATAGTTTGTAGCATGCTTGACCACCGCATAGGGTGGATAATGACAATTACTTTGTTACTTTTCTTAGTCAACGGATTTGAGTGCTGACACGATGGTCTTCATGTCATCAACCAACCTTCACCCTTGAGTCCGAGTGTTTACTTCCGACTCCGGCTGTTCGAGTCTGCGAGAGTGGGCAATAAATTTAGTTCAACAATCGGGAATCCAATTTTGATAGGCTCTTTAGATCTGTTGCGGCTAAAACTCCAGAAAGATTCGGGTTTAAAGGTGGGGCCCTTGTCAGCGATATGCTGTGGAGCTAAATGCTGACATCGGCCCGTCGTCTTGATTGATAGATCTAGATACGCAAGCAGGAATCCAAAATAAATACTACTCAGTCTACAATTGCCCTTTTTTTTTCCCTTTTTTTTTTTTTTTTTTCTTGAGGTTCTAGTATATCAATACATTAAGCACTGCCAATTTAACAGGTACGGACTCACCAAAGGAACACCCTTCAAAGCACAAAACCCCTAACCTCTATAGTACCTCGCACAAACCCACCACTCCAACAATGCCTGAATCAAAAATAATAAAAAACGGCCACAAACAAGACGCAAATTGCGCAAAACCCACTGAAACCTTCACCGGCGACGTTTTCCTCGATCCCATCCACTTCGATGCCGACGCAGCAATTGCCAACGTCACATTTACGCCCTGCGCCCGAACTCACTGGCATACCCATGAGAAGGGTCAAATGATCAAGGTTATTGCTGGCAATGGCTGGATTTGCGATAGAGGCGGTGTTCCGCACAGACTCAAGACTGGGGATGTTGTCTGGGCGCCGGCTGGGACTACGCATTGGCATGGGGCTGACGAGGGCAGTATTATGACGCATTTTGTGGTTGGGCTTGGGCAGACTGTTTGGCATGAGGCTGTTAGTGATGATGAGTATGGGCAGAAGGGCAGCGTTTGAACAGTTGGTGGGATTCTTGGTGTTGTTCGATTACGAAAGTCCCTGTATGAAAGTCTACATGGGCCTTCGTGTCTGTTACTCTACAAAGACAATTGATTTGCCTGGTACTGCTATTATCCTGAAGTACCCAGCCAGGTTGGCCTGTTGCACCGGCAGCAAATAAAGCTGTGAGATTGACAAAGTATCTGCACGTAATGCTTTCCTATCTACTCTGAATGTCATTTTCTCCAAAAAGTCCTGCTGCAATCATCACTCATAAATCACACAGGCCTAATAGGCCCCCTGCCGAGCCTGATACTTCGGTTGATCCACAGACTTAACCTTGCCCAACGAGGTGAGTACGGGAGTTGTGTTGATCAATTCGAAGCTATCCAACTTGGCACCGGAGTCCTGCTGAGCCCAGAGACTCAACGCAACCCAATTGGTACCATGGTAGTTTAAGATACCCTCGGGGACAGGGAAGCTAGTCTGAGGACCGATGTTGTTCACATACTTTCCGTACTGGTATCCGTTTACGTACAACTGCACGCGGTACGCAGCCGGGGTGGAGGTGCTATTACCAAAGTTGAAGTACAGTGGGATATCGTAGCCGGAAGGCAAGTCGAGATCAAAGCTGGCACTGTAGAAGCGGATTCCTGGCTTGGTAAGACCGGTGAATGGGCTGCTAGAGTCCCACTTTTGGGTTGGTGGCTGCGGTTGGTGGAAGCCCTGGCGCTCGGCGTAGAGGCCGCCCTCGTTCAGAGGACCGCGGGTGGTGTCGCGGTAGGTCTCGCCGCCCAGGTTACCGGTCAATTTCCAGGAGATAGCACTAGCTTCTTGACCGGACAGGGAGTATTGGATGATTCCGCGGGGATTTTTCATGTCCTCCGAACCGATGGTCCAGTCCTCGTCCAGACCCATGTTGTCAATGACTACCGTAAGGACATAGTTCTTTCCGGACTGCAGAGTGGGAAGGGTGTATGTGGCATTATAGTTGTCATCAACGCTGATTCCGGCCCAGGAGCCAACGTAGGTCTCGTTGATCCAGATCGAGTGGCCGTATGCGGTACCTCCCTGGGTCTGGATGAAGAAGGTCTTTTCCTTGCCATTGGAGGTAAAGTGGCCTCGGAAGAGGAGAGCACCGGTGTGGAAGCCGTAGTCAGACGAGAACAGGGAAGTCGGTGTCTCAAGCGAGTGGGCGCTGTTGTTGGTGTATGCGTGATCGGCAGAAACCCAGGCAGAGTCATCGTAGGAGTTCTGGACTTCGGGGAGAGTATCGATGGACTTCCACTTCAAGCTCTTGAGGCTGGGAAGTTGGACCTTGGGTGCGTCGTACGTAACGCTCGTTGACCAAATACCGTTCTTGTCAACCTTGGCCTGGGTCTTCTTGCCATTGATGACCAAATTCTTAGCACCAGACGGAGCACCAACCACCTCGATGGGAGTAGTAGCGTTAAAGTCGGCCCGGATGTGCAGGTCATTGCCGTCAAGGTACGCGCTGCGCACGAGATAGCCAGCCTTGACAATGATAGAAGAGGCAGTAGTCTCCTGGTTGCTATACCCGGGGGCTGTGCCCTTGGTGGGGAGCTGGGGAACCCAGTAGTTATAGGCAGAGTTGCGGTCTAGTAATCCTTGGTCAGTAAAACATCAATCGAGGGACTTCTTAGTTTGACTTACCAAGGAGGAAGACCTTCAAGTTTCCAACTTGGACGATGCGACGAGTAGTCGAGACATCCCAAGCGACAACGAGTGCCTTGCCGACCTTCTTGGACGAGATACCCGAGGATGATCCCTCGATAACGGAGCTGGTTGATCCACCAGAAACTGCGAACTCATGGTGCTCGCCAGGGCCACCGTACAGAACAAGAACCTTCTCATTATTGAACTTCTTCCAGGTGAAGACCTCAGCAGTGGAGTAGAGGATGTTAGTGCCGGCCACGTCATAATCGGTAACGTGGATCTTAGAGTCACGAGCGCTAAGAGTAAGGCTGCCACCGAGTTGAGGAATAGTCAGGGTACCAGAGCTGGTGGGAACGGTGAGCTTGTAATGAACCGAAGCCTGGCTAGAGTAATCGGAGTGACGGATCACAAAGAACGAAGAAGCTGAGCTGTTGCTTCCGAGCAAAGGAGTCACAGTCAGATCGGCAGTGTTGGTATACGTGGAGGTGGTTAGGTTTCCAGGGTTAGCCACAAGATAAGCTGGAGACACCTTGGCAAAGTTTCCGAGCAGTTTCAGCTCGCTGTACTTTTCGCGAGTGATGTTTCGCGACTCGGAGATAGCGGAACCATAGTCATAAGAGGTGTAGCCTCCAGGGTGACCCAAATTACCCCAGTTGGTACCGCCAAAAATCTATAGATCGTTAGCCTCCTGGATTTCTTAGTATGATGGATCGAACATACCATGTACAGGTTCAGGAAGGCGACACCAAAGCTAAAGTCGTTCTTATAGAACACTCTCTCGAACTCATGGTTCAGAAGAGCAGCACACTTTGCGAACCCAACTCCACCCCATGGGTCGAACGCCCCGCCTTGGAACTAGGAGGCGTTAGTACCATACTCTACAGGGGACGAGATCGGCTAAATATACCTCGACCAAAGAGTACGGAGTAGTCGGGCTCTGCTCTTCGTGGCTGGTGTGGAAGTAAGTTGGAAGATCACCACTGGGCCAGGTAGAAGGATTGGCGCAATCGAAGCCTAGAGGATAGCTGTCGTGGCCGTAAATGTCGACCGCGCCCTTGCCAGTTCCAGGAGCGTTGTGGCCGGCGGCCCAAGCATCATTGCTAATGAAAGGGACGACGATACCAGCCTCACGGGCATGATCCTCAATATACTGCATGTAGGAGCCGTCTGGGAAGTCATCATAACCACAGCAAGCACCGGAGTACTCGTTCTCAGGCTGGTAAAGAATGACCGGACCACCATTGGTAATCTGTGCTTTGGCAATGGTGGCAGCAATGTTGGAGGCATAGCTAAGAGAAATTGTCAGAATTCAGAAAGCCAATCACGCTCACGATGAGGGACAATATCCATACTTATCGGTCGACTTCAGATAGTCCTCATCGCTAGTCCGCAGGATGCCATTGACTCGCTGCAACCAGCCCGGGAAGCCGCCACCAGAGACCTCCGCATTGATATAAGGACCAGGACGAGCCAGCAAGTAGATACCGGCCTCCTTGGCGGCGTCGAAGAAAGGCTGAAGGTCAAAGATTCCCTCGGCGGAATAGTGGCCGGGGTTGCCTTCCAACAAAGCCCAATCGATGTAGAATGACACGCAATTGAATCCAAGCGCCTTCACCTTCTCAAAGATATCAATGTATAGGGAGGCCACGGGTAGACTAGACAGTTCTGTTAGCAAAGATTCTTAAGTTTTAGGGTATACTTTGAAGAAAAATTGACAACATACCGGTACGGGTGAACTTCACCGCTGAAAATCATCAATCGCTCGCCATTGATGAAGATCGAGTGCTCGTCCCAAGTAACCTACGGTCATACTTCATCAGCACCACAGCACGTGTCAGCGTCGAGTGGAAGGCTCGGAACACACATATTCCTGCAGAAGAGCTCGTTTCGCAGGATCCGCATGCTCCCGGATAGTAAAACCATCTAACTTGTGGCTCAGAGCAGCACCTGCAGCGTGCGCAGCCAAAGCAGCTACAATCCAAGAAGTGAAAGGCTTCATGGCGAGCAAAGGCGACGATAATAAGAAGAGACGCGACCTTTGCTTTCCGAGAAGCTATTAGTTTCAAGTAGCTTTCAGCTTCAGCGGGCTTGCATTTCACATTCTGCAAGGGATCGGCCGGGGCCTTCATATACAATTGTCGAGCGACGATCGACAAGCGAATCACAATGGCTGCGGCGTGAGTGCCGTGTACTCCGTGACTGCCGTACTCGCATCATGATTCTGCACGTCACTCTCGAGCATTGGACCTCGAGGACTTGGGCCTTGGACTAGAGCAAGATGCCAGTTGCAACCCCTCTTTCGGCAATTTCGTCATTCCATCATCGACGGGGGAATGAGGCGGGGCGGTTGACCCTCACGCCCGGGGTGTGTGCATGGACAGTTGCAGCAGAGCACAACGTCGCAGACGAGTGGAGAGGCCACTTGTACTCGACAGGAAGTCGCACCGATGATCCCCCAGTCATCCATATATAATCCTGGTTTGCGGGGGTTCCACCGCCGCAATTTTTCCGCTTATCGTAAGGTCCCAATGAAGGTTGGTGGTTTCAAGTGTCTTTCCAAGACAGAATGAGGCACTTCCCCTGCGGAGAGACCATTGATCGACAGGGCTTCAGATTTGGGAGGTTATACTGTGTACGGGATACGGAGAAGTTGACTCTGGACTCGGGAGAATCAGCGGAACGAAGCTTGTCCGTAAACAAGCCGCAACGTTGAACACAGAAAGCCAGATCAGCTTCTGAAAAGATACTCCGAATAGGTGAGTGTTTACAACTCGGATATTTCGGGTTATCCACTCCCGTATCCGTGTTCTTTTGGGTCGATTGAGAGTTTTACCCTGGAGAATTGCCCTCTTGAATGAAATTAAATCCTCAACGCTCGCCACGCAATTTAAAATTGAAGCCAAGTACTGCGGGGAAAAAGGGACCAGCTCGAATTTACCCGGTGCACTCTGAGCTCCGATGATTCTCCGAGCACATCTTACGATGCAGCCATCTCTACCAAGCTTTCGGGTATTTCTTCTTTTCTTCTTGGGCTGCTTCCGGACCCTTGAGCCAAGAACAAGCAGGAAGGACGGACTACGGACTTAGGACCCAGGACTGTCACGATTCACACAGCCTAGAAAGCATTTCATCCAAACCTAATCTTAAACTTAGGAGACACACTCTCTATCTCTCTGAAACGGAAGAATCTCCATGGTATTGCTTTTTAGTACATTCGGTGAGCGAGTGAGCTCCCTGGGAGAAAATCATGCAAACAAAAGTAAAGGAATTCAATGGCCCCGGCGGTTTCTCAAAACTAGATTCGCCTCCTAAACGGTCACGTTAAAGCGGTCCTCCTCATCACCAGCCTTAGTATAGGTCTCCCGTGAGTCCATCTGTTCTTGCTCATCTTGACCCAGAGCAAGGTTCTCCTTCTTCAGAATATCGTCCTCGATGGCCGCAGGAGGAGCGATGTCGTCGACATCCTCGCCGACAGGCTCGGCTTGTCTTTGCGAGGCCTTCTGGTTCTTCATAGAGTTGTTGTTGACGGGCGTGGAGTCATTAAAGATACGCAGGAGCATAGCGCGGCGCTCTTCCTTGGGAAGCATCAGGTTGATAGAGTGCAGGGAACGCCAGAGGGGCAGGACCATACGCTCGCTGCAAATGAGAGGTTAGAACGTTGGAATCGCAAGATAGGTAGATAATGAAGGATTGTAGGGGAGAAACATACGTAAGGCCATCGTCCTTGCCGCTGGGCTCAATGCGCAAGATGCTACAGCCCATGGGAATATCCTTCACGCGCTCACCAATCTCATCGAGCTGCTTCCAGCCATTGTCGTTGACCTTCGGGAACATCTCGATGAGCAGACGACGCAGGGTCTCCCGCTGGGTCAAAGTGACGGTACGAACATCACCAAGCCAAGGCTCGATGATCTTCAGACCATCCGTCTGGATACGCCAGCGGCAGACGTTCTCCCGCTGAGCATCCTGCTTCACGAACATCTTAACACCGCAGTGAACGAACTTCATGCCGGAGCGCTCATTCATAACAAGGATATCCCGAGCCAGAGCGCTGGTGTAGTACACAGTTCGCGTGGGCTGGCCCTCGGCATTGCGAACCATCCATCGGTCACGGGGGAAGCGTTCTGACAGCTGGAAGAAGTCGTAGACTGGCACCAGCTCTGGGTGGTTGGGGTCCAGATACTTGTACGGCTCTTCTTGAACAGCCTTCTTCTTGAAGCCCTGAGTCACTGGGCCTGGACCAGTGGGTGCGGGGGTGTTATCATCAGTCGAAGTCTGCATGCTGTCAACTTCAAACCTCGGGGGAGGACGGTGGACCGGACGATCGCCGACCAGAACATCAGTGCCATCACCAAGCTTGACCCTCTTAGCAGGAAGCTCCTCATCCAGGTCGTCACCTTCACGCTTAGTGGGTGAGGCTGGCTCGGAGGCGTCCAGAGTCACCGAGTACGGGGGCTGGTTGGAAGCTTCTGCGACTGTGGCGTTCTTCGCAATCTCAGCCTCAACCTCCGCATCAGCAGGAACAAGGTCGTCCAGAGAGTTTAGCTTCTGGTAAGGCTCGCCGTTCTCGTTATTGCGCGAGTCAAGCTCGGCGGCAAGAGCTGCAACAGTTCCCTTGGACAGCATCGGAATAACGCTGGCCGAGTTCTCGGGCTTGGCCCTGATCTCGGAGGTCTTCTCGAGGACGGTAATGAAGAAGCCACCAGTGTCTTGGAGGTGAGGGTAAACACGCATGCAGCGCTCGAGCGGCAGGTCGGCAGTCTCTCCGGAAGGAGGGAACATGCCCTCGGCCAGGCGGGCCAGGCCGTTGCTGGTAGACTCCTGCTCTCGCTGCTCCTTAACATCCTGCCAGTTGGACCAGATACGGCCTTCGCGGTCCATAACCTTCCAGCTCTTCAGGCCAGGCCGACGCTTCAGACCGGCCAGCTCTTCGCTGCAGTCAATAATCTTGACATTAGCAGAACCACCGCAACGCTCAATGGCGCTAGCAATGACAGCCTCGTTCTCGACAGGATTCATACTACAAGTAGAGTAGACAACACGCCCACCAACCTTGAGCATCTGCAAGGCGCGAACCAGGATGCGGGCCTGGGTGGTGTAAAGACCCAGAGCACTGGTCGGGCTCCAATCCTTCCATACGCCAATGTTCTTGCGAGCAGTACCGTCACCAGAGCACGGCACATCGGCGAGAATGCGATCGAACTTCAGGTATCGGTTGAGAGGGCGCGCGCCCTCAGGAACGGGGAGAGGAGGAAGCTTGATAGATGGGTACATAGTGGCATCATGGTTCGTCACGATCAGGTTGGGCGAGCTCAGGCGCTTCATCTGGTGAATCAAGAGATGTGCGCGCTTGTAGTCACTATCGTTGGCGATCAACAGACCAGTGGTGCGGCCATCGTCGTTCAAGCCCTCTGGGCCCAAAGGCTCCGGTCCAGCATTACCCTCCTTGACCTGCTTAGCGGCCTCCAAAATAGTCTCCTCTTCACCAGCATGGAGAGCCTCCATCAGCTGTGCAGACTTGCTTCCCGGTGCAGCGCACATATCCAGAACGGTCATTCCGGGGCGGATATCGATAAGAAGCGGAGGGATCATGCTGACCAGCTCCTGGCGACTGATGTTTCCGACTTCGGTCTCGGCGACGAGGAATTTCTGGAAAGACGCGAAGGGTGCATGGCGGCGAATAACCTGCTTGGGGGTGGTCATCGACCAAGCAAGCTGGTCAGGGTACCACGACACGGGCTTGGGCGGTTCGACCGGCTGGCCCTCGTACTCAATGGAGGTAATTTCGGGAACGTAGAAGTTCTTCAAGCGCTCCTGGACAGCAAGCGCATGACTTAAAGAAGTGAATGTTAGTACACAATGCCTTCCAAGACCGGATGCAGTCTCGACAAAGCGCAGACAAAATGCGCAATCCAGACTCAAAACTCACCCACGCGAGCCAGTGAAGCGGAAGCTGTTGGGCAGATCTCTCTTGATAGCGTTCCAGAACTCCTCCTTCTCCTCCTCTGGGATGAATTCGGGCTCATTGTAGTATCTCTCAAGCTTCTCGTTCGTACGGCTGATCTCACTCCAATTAGTGGAGCGCTCTGCGCGGTGGCCGCCGCCACCTTTGCCGCCACGGTTTCCCTGTGAGTACGACATAGATTAGCCTAGCGAACACTTCCTTAGGAGCAGCTTGAAGCTCATGCTTACCTTTCTGCCGCCTCGTTTGCCCATTTTGAAGGTAAATTTTGCTTGGGTTGTCGTCCAGAATCCGTCCTCAAAAAAAAGACGGATAGAACGCCAGATTATCTAATCACTACCGTGGGGCGATCCCAACTTCTGCTTCTCGTCACCGCTTTTGATACCAAACCAAAGAGGCAAGTCTCGAGAACGGGCATCCGATCCGATAATCGCATAGAGTGATGGCAGAATGGGGCAATTGTGGCTACGGAGATGTACTAAGAACTCAGATATTAGCAATACTATGCATATTTCTAGAGTAGTATATCCAAATTCTGTACAAGCCACTGTTACTTGATGGCATGAGGACAAAAGAAACAAAGGAGATCGATTGGTCTGCCACAATCCGGGCGACAGACTATATAGTCTACTATGGCAAACCATTAACTGCTATTTCACACACAAGTCAGGGTCTAAACAGCAACCCAAGGCAATGATTGATAATACATTCAAACAAACACCCCCATCCCGAGCCCGAAGACTCCTGGATGGTTGTCTTTTAATCGCAATTGGAGACACGGGTAAATTTAAGACAGGTTGCGAGACATGTCGTTGCGGAGACGCTGGTAGTCAAGGATACCCTCAATGCTGCCAACGGCGCTCATGGCAAGATCCTGGTCCCACAGCTTGCGGTTGGCGAAGTCCATAACATCCTTCTCGGTGATGGCACCAACGACACGCTCGATATCCTCGGGGCTGAGACGGCGGCCGGTGGTGACGATCTGGCGGCCGATATCCTCGGCAACAGCGGTGGTGCCGTCGAGAGACAGAAGGATAGAGGCCTTGAGCTGGGCCTTGGCGCGCTCAACCTCGGCGGAGGAGACGTCGCGGCAGAGACGAGACCACTCGCGGAGGGTGAAGTGGATCAGGTCATCGAGGGAAGTCAGGTTCTCGGAGACAAGGTAGATACCCCAGAGACTATGTGACAAGAAAATGTTAGTCATGGACTCATCACCGATCTCCCGAAAAGGGGAGAACTGTCGGAGGATTGAGAACTCAAAGGTGTGGCCAAAACAGGAAACTTACCCGGTATCGCTGTAGCTAGTGGAGAAGCTCATGAAGCTGTTAGCGAGGTGGTGGTGGCTGACGTGGGAGCTGAGCTTGCTGCCGAGGAAAGGAGACTGGCCCATGGCACGGTCCCAGTTGCCGACGATGGCCTGGGCGACGAGGGCAGTGAAGTAGTCATCATCCTTCCAGCTGACACCCTCAACGGCAAGAGCGATGTGGGCGGAGGGGATGGTGTCGTCACGGAGACGAACCTCGGAGCCGATGAACTCGGGGGTGCGCTTCTGCTCAGCAGTAAGGGCGAGGGCGGCAGAGGTAGGGGGCTTGCTGGGGAGGCCACCGAAGTGCTCCTCGGCCAGGCGAACGAGCTGCTCGTGGGGGATACCACCGGCACCAACGAGGACCATGCGGTCGGCAGTGTAGTTGGTCTTGATGTAGTCGGTCAGGTTCTCACGGGTGATGGTCTGGATGTTCTCCTTGGGGCCGAGGATAGTGCGACCGAGGGGCTGGCCCTGGTAAGCGGTGGCGTGCAGGTGGTCGAAGACGACCTCCTCGAGCTGCTTGTCAACCTCCTCCTGCTCGCGCAGGATCACATCACGCTCACGCTCGATGGCAGCGGGCTCGAGCTTGGAGTTCTGGAGAATATCGGAGAGGATGTCGACGGCCTTGGGGACATCGTTGTTGAAAGCCTTGGCGTAGTAGACGGTGTTCTCGCGCTGGTAATCTTAAAGTCAGTATGATTCCGCGCTTGAAATTGGTTGGCAGCAGGTTTTCCGGCCGTACCGAGGTGTAGGCGTTCAGGTGAGCACCCATGTTCTCAATCTCCAACTCCAATTGGTGCTGGGAGCGCTTGTTGGTGCCCTAAAAACTATTGTCAGAGGTATTTCGCGCGGATTGGAATCAATGAGGGCGAACCTTGAAGGCAAGGTGCTCGAGGAAGTGCGCAGTGCCGTTGGTCTTGTCAGTCTCTGACCGGGAACCGGCATCGATCCACACGCCGACGGTGGAAGTCTGAGCCCATGGCGAGTAGTCGGTGGCAATCTAGAAACGAATATCAGCGATTATGCGGTGCCATTGATCGAGTATGGATGCGGGACGTACGGTGAAGCCGTTGGAGAGGGTGGTAGACTGGGTGGTGGAAGGCAGCGCAACGGGCGAGGCAAAGCCACGCTTCACGGGCTGAATGGACTTGAGAGCCGCACGGCTCCGGAGAGCCTGGTTAAGGTTGAGAGCCAAGCGGCGGGAAGCCATTGCGGACAAGTAGAATGGGTGGGAGGGGGGAAGGGGGATGGAGAAAAGAGCTGGAGTCGGCCCTGAGGTTGAAGTTCGGAAGTCAAATTGTTCGCCCAGCTCGTCAGCCAATCACATGACCCGCTTTTCCAAACCGCCCTTCCCATCCCGATTACTTCCTTGCCCGCTGCTACGCCTGCTTTTATGAGTGACGCATGATAAATTGCGATCAATGATTTTTTCTGAAATGAAACAATTTACGAGTTCTTGCGAATTAGCATCATATAATATTTGTGCATTACTAAAATAACCAACGAAACCATAATCATCATGTTCTAGTTGGGTCATATTGATTGGCTTCGGAGTCGCCCTGCTCTTGCTCCGCCCGGTCTCTATCATACAAATTTACTGGCAAACTGCTTAATATTCTCGGTCATGGAAATATCCGCATGGAAACCCAACTTGAATGCGCGATCAGTGGAGAACTGAGGAGTCCACGACTGCACAATCTTGTCCGTGGCAGCATCGTACTTCTCCTCGACGAGCGCCCGTCGCTCCTTTCCACCAATTTCCTCAAGCGCATCCAGCATTTCTTGCACACTAACCTTCAATCCGGGCAGATTGACTGATCGTGATTCGCCAAAGGCCTCCTTGGGCACGGTACGCGCATGGATCAGGTTCTTGATAATCGTGTGTGGCGAGCAGATCCACATCTCAGTTTCCTTGCCTACTGGCAGGATAGCCTTCTTGCCATGGAATGGCTCTCGGATGATATCACTAGCAAAGCTGCTGGCAGCCTGTGTGGGCTTTCCAGCTCGAACGGTCACGGTAGGCAGTCGCACGCTGCGTCCGTCCAGGAACCCGCGGCGCGAGTAGTCCGTCACCAGAGTCTCGATGATGAGCTTTTGTGATCCGTATGAGGACGAAGGGACAGGCGGGAAGTTGGTCTCGTCAATGACGAAGCCTGGAGGCGCAGGGCCATAGACTGCCAACGAAGAGGTGAAGATCACCTTAACGCCCGGCATCGTCACACGTAGTCGGTCCAAGATATACCGTGTTGAGTCGAGATTGACTCGAATGCCCAGCTCGAAGTTTGCCTCGGAGCCACTGGACATGATTCCGTGCAAGATATACACCGTCTCGTAGGGTTTGGAAGCATTGATCAGTTCGTCCACCTCCTTCGTCGAGGTAAGGTCGGCGCCTACACGAATTAGACGATTGGCGTACTCTGTCGCGGACTCGGGGACTGTTGGCTCGACAACATCCGTGATAGTCACGGTGGTCGAAGCAGGGGTAGTTGCAAGAAGACCAGCGGCCAGCTCTTGGCCAACATAGCCTCCTGCACCAGTGATGAGAATCGACATGTTCGATGCGGTGCGATGAGTTTGAAAACGGTGTGGGGTATCAATTGAAGTTATAAGATGCAATGAACCAACGAGGTCAATGCAGCGTGGATTATAAAGTAGAGTCGCACAAAGCTGATCTGTCCAACCTGACGGCCTTGCTGGCAACCTTATATACTCGTTGGCATCAATAACCCCGCGGGGCTGCAGCGAAGTGCTTTCCTCCCCCACGCCCCGTCATCCAAGCCCCCGATGTCAAGGGATCCATCCCACCAATGAGCAACTTTTCCTATCAATGCTGGGCCCCTTAGCAGTCCCTCGCGCACCAATTCCGAGTAATTTGGGTGGGCAAAATAGTCGGCCTTTGCGCCTCGGTGAGAAATCCGATACCCGAACCAAGCGGGCTGTTGTAGAACATCGCGGGGCAAGTCCGAGCTGGGTGACAACACCCACGGCGAGCAAGTGATGCGCCGGTAGGAAGGGAAACCTGTTGTATCAAAGATTAGTCAACTGGGAAACCAGGAAATTCAATGTTATATTGTATTCAGTGATGAATCATGGCCGGTGATCGCAAACTTCAGAAATTAGAGCAAAGGGGATAGTAGTCGATTGATTAGAAGCAAAAAGCCACCCACTAAGAAGATATTCTCAATGAGAGTTATCATTAACTTCCACCTCAGAATCAGCAGCCTCCGCACTCGTGGCTTAGAGGTTAAGACCTGGAACTGAGGTGTCTAATCGCATAATCCGGGGACCCAGTGCAATGCAGTACCTAACTGTACCTCGCTCCGGTAGGTTCGGCGTGGGGGTGCTTCCTTTCTATGGTGCCACGGTTTATGTATACTACTTCCCCACTGTCGACAGTTTCATGCTTTTTATGATATATTCTTATTTGGACATAATAAGATCAATCAGGAGAATAGTTCAGAATCATCAAAGAAATTTTCAAGGTTATTAGTGGACGGGTCAGTAGGGGACTTGTTGGGTGTGAGCTTTTGGATGAAGTCCATGGTTGCCGCGGGATACAAGATCGAGCATCGAGGCGTGTTTGTATGCGAGAGAGAGGCTAGGGTTTCATTTCATGGAGGTGAAGATTTTTTTGGGGAGAACCTTTTGTGACATTCTGGAATACTCTAACTACTCTGAACTAAGTCCCTTCACTTCACAGGGAGGTCCAGACTGGGAGAAGGCATACAAGACGAGGCGCCGAGAGACAAACCCCAACGAGAAGCAAAGCAACAATTGCTGTACTGAGACCTCTACAATTATGTTGACCAATGATTCTGGACTTTGAGAGTCCTTCTTACTTCTACACGAGAGCAAATCATTTCAGTACGTGCATTTCCCAGAAAATTGAGACCTATTTTGTGACGCAAGCAATCGTACATGGCAGAGACTATCAAGTCCCAACGAAAAAGAGAAGCATTGGATACATCGCGGAACACAAGACGCCTGAGAGGAAGTGAAATGGAACCAGAAAAAGGGAAGATGAAGAAGACATGAGGAAAAGCGAGAAGATTAGGACACCCCTTTTATGTAGAACGAGCATAGATACCACCAACAATGCAGTGATCACGCTCGAAGGGCTCCAGAGTCAGCTGCTCCTTGGGCTTGATCTTCTCCTCACGCATCTTCTGGACCTCACGGGTGAACACAACCTCAGCAGCGGCCGTGGAGTCGATACAGCTGGCCTTGATGGAGATCAGGACACCACCGCCCTCCTTCAGGAACATGTGAGCGTTCAGACCGACAATACGGGCCTGGTCAGGCTGGGCAACGTCGGCGAAGATGACATCGACCATGGGGACGAGCATGCGGTAGCGGAGAGGGTGACGGGCATCCTCAACGATGGGGATAACGTTGGTACGGTGAGTAGCCATGCCGATCAGGTCACGGCCGGAACGGTGGGAGAACTCAACGGCGTAGACGTTACCGGTGGGGCCGACGATATCAGCAACGTGGGAAACGGAGGTACCGCTGGCACCACCGATGTACAGGACCTTGGAACCGGGCTTCATGTAGATGTTGTCCAGACCACCCAGGATACCGGCAGCCAGCTTGGAACGGAAGGGGTTCCAGACACGGTACTCAGTCTTGGTGACAACACCATCATCACCGGCGGGGGACTCGACGGAGATGCGCTTCTCGCCGTAAACAGCCTCACCAGGGGTCAGGTTCTTGGTGACAAGCAGATCCTCCTTACCACCACGGGCAACAAAGACACCGGCGTGACGGTGGTTCTCCTGTTTGAGAGGGAAAAGTTGCGGTCAGCCATTGAAAATCTTGAGGGATTCTGCCAATCTGCCTTTGAAATACTCACAATGATAACCTTAGCACCACCACGGGCACCAGCAGCACCACCACGGCCGCCGCGAGGAGCACCGCGACCACCACGGGGGCCACCACGGCCTCCACGGCCAGGAGGACCACCACGGCCACCTCCACCACGGCCACCGAAGCCACCGCCGCGACCACCGCCAAAGCCACCACCGCGGCCACCACCAAAGCCACCGCCTTGAAAAGAAGAATCCCGGTCAGCAAACTAGACATGTACAGCGGAGAACAGACAAGGCTGCTGGGCAGGCAACCGGAGCAAGCATGAAACGCAAAATCCCAACTCTGATTGTCCACCTCATGCAAACATGTCTGTGAGTTAAATGAGCTTGAGCACTAACCACGACCACCAGCACCACCACGACCACCGCGGGGAGGACCACCGCGACCACGAGGAGTGAAGGCCATTATTGGGAGTTGTGAAGGAAAATTTCGAGGGAAAAGGGTGTCGAAAAAGGTTGGAGTCGAGCTACAAAGTGCTCAGACCGAGTGCGAAAGAAATTTGCTGGGAGATCGGCCTCAAGAGGTAAGAGTGGATCGAAATTGAGCAACGAGGACACAGTAATTGAAGTTACTGAGTCAAGCAGCTGGTGAAAAATTGACCGTGAGTGTTCGATCGCGTGCGGGTCAAAGCCGGTGCTGCTCGTTGATCAGTCGAGATTTTTTTGCGCCTGCTGGATCTTTCAGAAAATCAGAACGACGCTAGTCCATTTCGCGTTAGCGCAAAATGGTCGCCGTTCGCACGTGACCTGGCCGTTTGCGCTCCTAGAAAAGCGAGATCACGTGGTGTGAATGAGCCCTGCAGAGGCTGACGAGGTGATGGTCCAAGTGCAACAAGGCCTTGAGGGAGATATTGATTGATTTGCGAGGAAAAGGGGGAAAGATACACCTTATACTCCTTCATTAACGCCATAGTCATCAAAGTGTAAATCTTTGAGACTGGAAATAAATACTAATATATGGACCAGCCTAGTAGTCCTCGATAGGTATAGCCACCCAATCCGCCACCTTGTCCTATGTACAACCGAATTTCAAGCCCATTTAGCTCCCAAAAAAGTAGTAGTTTGCAGAATACTGGATTTCAAACGAAGATGGCATGCCTGAGCAATCGTCAGGTGGAGAGCCCGAAGCCGTGTCGACTCGATAGACACCCTTGTATTTGCCGATAGTGCCATCGATGGTGGACAAGTACAGCCAAGGGACCGCACCATATTTGCCCTGTACAGCAGTGCTCGGGGCATCAATCTGACCACCCTTCTTGGTCATGGCAATGCCGAACTGCTTAGTGGCTGTGGTGTCGAGGTTGAACTCGGGAGTCACATTGGTGAAGAAGTGATGCCCCATCAGGTCGAGGTTGGCCGGTGGAAAGGTGGCATATTCGTAGGCAGGTAGGGAGATCTTGAGGGCGATGCTGGGAAGAGACTCCAAGATATCCGGGTAGTTGGCAGCTAAGCATGTCGCATTGTACAGGTTGGCGACAGCACCGACAGCCTTTGGAGTAGACGCAGACGTGGAGTCGGCACACGTATAGTTCTATTAAAACAAGTCAGTCATCCGTATTTTTTTTGCCATCTAGCAAGAGGTTTTTTCAAAGCATACCTGTGTACCCCGTCCAAGAGCCACATACATTGGAACCGTTTGGTTGGGAGCCGGTAGACCCGAGGCGAGTGAGGGCAATTCGATCTTGGATGTATCACATGTCGCTGACGGACTCGTGTCTTTTCTCACGCGACTGATATACTGGCTGACTTTGGCATAAAAGTCCGAGAGCTCGTCTGAGAAGTCATAGGCGTTGTTCAAGTTGGTCGCAGGGGCAGCCAATGACACTGTTGCCAGTGAGAGGAGAATCGGTGCGAGACGCATGACTTTATGCCTCTTATATATGGAGGCAGGAGGGGCAGTTGGGTGGAGATGGATGGGTGATGAGCTTTCGTCGAGGAGGTTTTAAAGAGGTAGGGAATTAAACAAAGGAGGCCCTATATCAGCACCAGGCTGGCAGTCAGGCGAACCACAAAGACTAGAAACAAGAAAGAAAGGGAACGACAATCGGGAGAGCAAGAGGGATTGACATAAAAAGATGATGAATTCGGCAGACGAGGGTACATATACAGTCGGCTTTGAGTGCAATAATATTCGCTTCGGCAACCATATCGCAAAGATAGTAACACCCGTCTAACTCGAAACAAATGGGCCTGAGTCTAAAAAAAAAACAAACGGGACTTCAAAGCAGGCTGCAGGTACTAGCAGGGATCAAATGGGGGACTGAGCCCATTCATTGGACCGGGGAGGCGCCGAGGGCTTTCCTGGCCAGCCTCTGCGCGACATCATTCGTCGTTGAGCTCAAACAACTTTGGCTACACCGAGATTGCAACGCGCTAAGCAAAACACCAGTCTTTGAATGGGCGGCAAGGTGAAGGAGCTTTTCCGGCTTGCCAGGGCCGGATGGAGGCCAGTGCGATGGGAGAGGGGACGGGAGCCAGATGCGATCCAGGGAATCCTCCGGTCAGGCTATTAATAAATCAAGATTCCTCTGAAGAGGCTCATCATGTGTGTGATGGGCGTTTGGATATGCAGTGTGACTGCTCGCTTTGGGTTAGTGTGCAGACTTGAAGGATCAAGGGTGCCCTCCGCTATCAGACCAGGGCGGCTGGGAGGGATTTTGCTTGGTTAGCAATACTAGTCTCATTGGATAGAGCTGAAGCAGTAGCTGTCGCAAAAAGTAACTTGACATTCTTCAGGCAGGTATCGAATCTCGAATCTTCACAGAACCCAGCCATGTGCGGCGGGAGAGGTTGGGCGGGGCGGGTCGAAAGAAAAGAGGGGGCTTACACTTCCTCCGCACTGTGGCTTTCAATTGCAACCTCATGGGCGCGTACGAATACAGAGTAGTCAGCACTATCTTAGTTCTGACCCATCTGATTACTGATGAAGCCGCCACAATTATAGCTATCTTTATTTAGAGCGACCCGCTCAACGTCAAAGCCAGGTTGGTTTAACCGATCGGTGAAGATATGAATAGGTGGGGGATCTGTATAGAGTATAGGAGAGATGTGGAGACTGTTTGAATTGGAAGAGAACCAGACAGATGAGTAACCTAGTGTCATCCTATGTTCTATCTCTCTATGTTGCTCGTCCGACCCTAACTCAAGCTCATCCTGTCACGGCTATAGCTATTTTGGTACAATCATCTGAGCACACCTTCGGTCAATGTCTAGCTCCGATGTACACGGGCAGCTTTCCTGTCCAGTCTAGGATTTTCGGGGGTTTCATTTGTGAAATTGGTTCTTTCTGGCTCTGCCTCTGGCTGGTCTGTCTCCTGTATAAAAGGACTGCATAGATGGCTACACGCCTCATCTTGATTGGTGCTGCAACGTGAATGAGCAAGTATTGAGCATTACTACTGTGATAATATTACACAATTTCATGTCCAGCGTGTTCCTGAAATTGTTAAAAATAGCGAGCCTCGACAATATGCCCATGGTTAACTTGCATTTTCGAAGATAACCCAAACTGGACTAGCAAGATATCCCAAAAAAGGAGCTCGAGTAAGATGAAAGCAAATGAGATATTGATAGTCTTCTTGAACAGAGCATGTGCGGTTTTCGTAAGGCCCTACTTCATTATCAATTCGCGTGGAGAGAAAGCACCGATGGAACAGAGACCTCTTCAGTCAGATGGTACCAAAGAGACGAGGCCAGAATAATATTAGCCTTGTTCTCATGATACTACTAGCTCCAAAGACCTGCAGAGATGGTCATCATTTCTATTCTAGGGATGTCCTCCCCGTTCGACCTCCTAGTTCAAAGTGTGATGCATGAGCAAGTCAAAGATATCTTAATATATCAACAGACCCCGCTTCTTTCCTCATTTGACTAGCCAAAGCCTGCCAGACTGCTCATTAAAATGATACGAATAGATACCAAAGTCCATTACCGATGTCCTAATTGACTGTACAATGACTGACTAGGGGCCCATGAGACAACAAAGCATGCAGCATGTATCAATTGTGGGCCATCACTGCCAGAGGAGAGGCCCGTTCACCCAGTAAACGCCAGGGTCAATGATTAGTCGGGAGAAAACACAGTCCGACGCACGAGATTAGGAAAAAAAATGATAACGCCGAGGACCTCGCTGTTCAAGCATAACAAGTATTCTTCATCTCAACAATGGTGGGAAAGGACAGGTGATGGTCACATCACATATCCTACTCAATCATCAGACTCCGAGGAGACGTTTCAGCTAGCCTGATTGAAGCCCTCTTGCTGCCAATCGTCACCATGTCGCTGACCACTACCACTGCCACTGCTGCCAAACCCGCCTTCCCCGCTACTACCATACGCAGCGGCAGCGGCACTGCCAACAGCGCTCATAGCACTGTGCTTCTCAATCTCTGTCGTACTCATCATGTACAGAATAACGAAAAGGAGAATGTGCAGGGCGAAGCAGTAGCCCGCAAATAGATTTCGGCTTGTCCGGTTCGCCAGGATAACGCGGGTGAGCGAGAACACGATCCTCTCTGGGAGGGTCATACGCTTGTAAGCACGGGTGGATTCACGACCCCGGAATGCAGCAAAGGGTGAAATACGGGCCTCGTATGCTGATTGGTACCGGTCCGGCGCATCCCCAGAAGTATAGATGGATGCCGAGCTGGGGGCATTGGCAAAAGAGGAAGCTGACGTAGATGCCCCTTGGCCTCGGCTATACGTGGACACGTAGCGAGTCTTCTCATAGAGACTCAAGTTATCCTTCTGGAGAGTTGAAACTTCCTGCCGTAGAGACTTGACAGTACTATACATCTTCGAGAGCTCCTCCTCAAGCTCGGCGTTCTTCTTCTTGAAACGGTCGCGCTGGGCCTGAATCATGGGCAGAAGGCCGGAACCACCTCCCACTGCCTCTCCCGCGCGAATGGCTTCCATAGTATTGGCGGAAGCGCTACTCTGGTCAAAGCCAGAAATGATGGACGAAGTGGGAGATACCGCCCCACTTCGTCGAGAGGAGTGTGGATACCTCGAAGTGTAAGTGCCTGCAACAGACATCGCCGATGATGGGAATGCATTGGCAGCCTCCTCTTGCACGCGAAGAAGATCGTTCTCTAGCGTAGTAGACAGACCTCGTGACTTGTCGAGTTCTTTCTTGGTGGACGAGAGCTCGCCGCGTAGAGATTCCAGCTGGCCCTGAAGGTCGCGAGTTGATACCCGGAGAACGGCAAGTTCATCAGTCAATTTCTTGTTTCGAGCCATCAGAAGCTGCTCAAGTGAGCTTTTGTCTTTGCTATTCGTCGTGGCAGTACCATTGGTGCCGGAGGTTTCGTTTTCAGTCGTCGCCGCTGCTTCACCCGCGTCGTCATCGGCACCAGTAGCAAACTCAATTGATTTGATCATTTCCAGCTCGCGGCGAATCTCATCGTAGTCAGCAACCTTTTCAAGGCGCGAGCGCAGCTCGACCTTCTCGGCGGCGATTTTGGAGGCATTTCGTTCCGCCTGGAGGAGCTTGGCCTCCCAGGCATGGCGAGTCGAGTCCTTGTCATACCGTGCAGCATCCAGTTTGCGCAACAAAGCCGAGTTCTCTGATTGCAAGCGCTGATAGCCGGGGTCATCCTCGATAGAGCTGAGCTGGCCAGAATTCGAGTGCGACGCGGCTTGCGCCAGCTCTAACCGAAGCTGCTCATTCCGCGCCTCCATATCGGCCAATCTCAAGCTGGTCTTTTCCAGATCGGCAGAGACAAGTTCTAGTTCCGCAGCGGTAGCGCCACTACGAGCACCTTCTGTCTCTTCATCCTGGCTACCACCGAGGCGCTGAGAGACCTCATAGCTGGCCTTGAGCTCTTTTATCAATCGTTCCTGGTTCTCAAGTTTCTCCTCCAGGCTTTTCTCCTTGGCCTCCCAGTTGCTGGTCTTTTCTTTCAGCACTGCATCCCAAGAAGCCTCGATCTCTTTCGCCTTTGATTCTTGATTCTCTTCAAGCTTCTTTCTTGCAGCGCGCTCCTCCTGGAGCCGTTTCTCGGTTTCCTCCTGCTGCTTCGTGAGACGATCGACGGAGTGCTGCAATTGGTCCCTTTCCGAGGTGAGTTTCGGGACTGTATCCTCAGATAAAACGAGGGAGTCGACGGAGGCTTCGAGAAGTGGGTAAGGGTCTGGTGCTTCGGATAGGGACGAGTAGAGTTGAAGGAACGAGGATGATGACGCCTTTCCTTGGTTGGTCAAAAGGTCGATGAATGATTGGTAGGCCTTCAGCAACCCCTTGTATTCCGATAGTTTGGCTTCGTCCTCCAGCTTCTTAAAGTCCTTGGTCTTCTGAGCCAGTTCCTTTCTCTGCACGAGAGCATCCCGTTGGTGTGAAACAATGTCCGAGGCGGTGGTATCGAGTTTTGCAATGGTGCTAGCCAGGTCAATTCCTGTATGGTCATGATTTTAGTTCTCCAATTTCAAGCTTATTCTTGTCCCGCCAGTTTCAGGTTATTTACCTCGCCAGGCTGCGATGGCGCGCTGGAACTTGTTGGTCTCTTCTGACAGTTTACTAGAGACCGCTGGCATGTCATCTTGTCGCTCCTGGGCGGCAAGACCCTCTGTTATGGCGAAGGAATCCATGTCCAGCGTTCAACAAAAGAGTCCTGGACAGTCACCCCACACCGAGAGCGCAATCCTCTTTAGAGGAGTACGATTGCGCGGAGAGCTGGGATCTGGACACGCGGCGCGGCGCGGCCGATTGTTGTTCCGTGTTGTATACTGATGGGATTAAATTAGAAGAACAGAGATATAAATCGTTAGTTTGTGGATGCTTCGGCGATCACTGGTCAGAGGGTTATCTGGACCAATTTGGCGTGTCTTTCTGGACACTCAAGCATAGACCAAAATACTGTACAAGTGTTCCCTCGACAGCCGTTGTTCCGAGGCACCCGCTGTTCCTAATTTAGCGGCCCCTGAAGCTTTGGCCCCGACCCCAAAGGTAACGCTGACCGCCTTCCCCCCATCTCTCTCCAATGCTCTGGTTTGGAGATCACTTGAAAGCTAGCCATCATGGCTTCAGATGATGGAGTCGGTCCTCGAAAGAGGCGGAGGATAGGTCCTCCCGGATCAGAACCTTATGTCTTACGTTCACTGTTCGATGACGTCCCGCTGGCGACGGACGATAGCTCGGACGTTTACATCACCTGTGTCGAGTACTGGGGTAAGCTATCAGCGGTCGCTTCCGGGTTCTGTTTACCACGGCCGTCTTGCTAATATTGAATGAGATAGATGGAAATCTATACATTGGCACATCCGCGGCGGAAGTCCTACACTTTGTCTGCCTACCAGCGGCTTCCGATGACGACTCGACCGAACCTACCTTTATCCTAGCATCGCGACTGCCTATTCCATTCCAGAACGAATCCTCCAACAGCGATCCTCCAGGTGTTCGACAAATCGTTGTATTGCCGTCGGTGAATAAAGCCTGCATTCTTTGCAATGGTATGGTTACGTTCTACATGCTACCAGAGCTCAGCCCGGCGTTTGGGAATACCAAGGTCAATCATTGCCGCTGGATCGGTGGCTTGGATCTCAACCAAGACGCTGCTTCTGAAGATGATCCGGTCGTGATGATTGCCGTTCAGAATAGTGTTATGTTGATTCGCATTGGAGAGGGAGCTCGGCGCATCAAGCAGATCAAGTTCCCCGGTTGCTTGGTGGCAGCGCGCAGAGGCACCATCGCTTGCGCAGCTGATACCCATGCGTACTCGCTCTTGGAGGTGGAGCACCAACAAAAGATTCCACTATTTCCTATATCGTCTTCAAGCGAGGTCTTCGAATCTGGCCATGTGGAAGATATTCCGGCCGCACCACAAACTCCACTAAAGCGGTCGCCTTCCTCATCGTATCCAAGTTCGCCTCCGATGGACCCTCATGTGCATGGCAGAAGCAGCAGTTTGAATACCTTCGTGGGCATGCTGCAGCCTCATGCACAAACGTCAGGACACAGTCGATCGCCTTCGGGAACACCGGACCCTTTCACATCCACTGGGAGCATCCGTCGTTCTAGCTCAGAGGAGCGAGATGAAGGGGAGGAGGGTTCCCAAAAGAGGGCCTCGGAAAGCCCCGAGCGGGATGCGCAGGCGGCGGACACGGACAGTCTGAAGCCACTACCTCCACTTCCCCCTCCAAAGCCAGTCCAGAAACAGCTACAGCTACAGCCCCACGTTGTATCCCCGACTCCAACTGAATTCCTTCTTGTAACTGGAACAGAGCAAACCGAGCCCGGTGTTGGTATGTTTGTGGATTTGGACGGCGAAGTTGTTCGAGGCACGATCAACTTCCACCGGTATCCCAAGTCAGTTGTAATAGATGCTGGCGAAGACGACCAATCTCTGCAGCCAAACGACGATTTCAAGGAGGAATATATTCTCGCCTTGATTGACGTCGGAGAAGGCGGAGAGCAACGAACACGACTTGAAATCCAACGGTGGGATGACGATCCTGCCGTAATAGAACGGCACAAGAAGTGGCTAGACATACCATCTTCGCCCGGCGAATCCCAGTCTACTCATGTCGGGTTGAAGCACACACTTAGCCCCAGTCATCTCGAGGACAATGACATTGGCAGGCTTCTGCAAATGGTTCGCCTTAAGACACCGTTGCTATCTCCCCACGTCGCCACCGTTGATCCTCGCACTCAGGAGTCCATGGAGCAACAGAAGACAGAAAAGGAACTGTTCGAGTCGCAAGAACTGACTGAACCCGAAGGGGCTAAGAAAGGAGATGCAGGGTCAGCAGAGCGTGACTGGGAAGGTCAACGCAACGCCGAGGAAGCGAAATTCGTCCGCGGACTAGGAAAGCTGCAGAGCAGTCTCGTCCTGTGGTCAGGCTCACAAATCTGGCGGTTGCTTAAGAATCCTTTGGTCATTCAGCTAGAGAATACTCTACAAAAGGCTCAGCAGGTAGATGACAAAGGACACATTACTCTACAGAGGGATGCGGTCATGGAATTGATGGTGGCAATCCAGGATACTGAGCCCAAGACCGAGGCCGAATTTCTTGGTCTGGGATATCTGAAACAAAAAGCCAGTTTGCTTCTCTATGGAGATCTGTTGTCCATGCACGCGGACTATCGTGCGGATCCTATTATCAGAAACACCGAAAAGGCTCTCTTATCGGGCAATTTAGATCCTCGACTGGCGTTGCTGTTCATTCCTCTGCTTCGGTGCGAGGTGCTACAGGGACCACAGGGTATCTGGATACAGTCTGGCTTGGCAGAGACCACGGCAAAATATCTGGAACAAGTCGAGCAGACCAGCGCTACAGCCGAGGTGCATAGCTCTTTGCTGAACATGGTGAAGCGGTTCCTTCTCTCATGGCAACAAAAAAGAGGCTACGGCAGTATCACCGATGAAACGTACGTTTTAGATAGCACTGATGCTGCACTCCTTCACCTGCTTCTGGAACAAGACGCACATTCGAGTGCGCACCAGCACGCTTCATCCACACGCAGCGAGCTGAACAGGTTAGTCGATAATTGGAAAGGCAATTTCGAACGAGCCGTTGCCCTTCTGGAGCAGTACAAGCGGCTTTACATACTGAGCCGGTTATACCAGAGCCAGAAGATGTCACGAAACGTGCTCAAGACCTGGCGGAGGATTATTGACGGAGAATCCGACGCCGGTGGGGAGGTAACAGGTACCGGCATTGAGGCGCAGATGCGCAAGTATTTGGTGAAGATCAAAGATGTCCAATTGGTGGAAGAGTATGGCTCATGGCTTGCGGGACGAAACCCTGCACTTGGTATCCAAGTGTTTGCGGACCACAACAGCCGAGTGAGGCTTGAGCCGGCCGACGTGGTAGCATTGCTCAAGGAGCGTGCTCCCAATGCCGTCCAGGTATATCTGGAGCACTTGGTCTTTGCCAAGAACGTGAGTCTCTTTCTCAACAGGCCCCCTTGTACACAATTTAACTAACCAGGCTCGTCTCTAGTACACTCAATACGCCGACGACCTCATTGCATATTATCTTGACGAGGTTCTTTCCGTCCTTGAGTCTTCCCCCGCAGCGCGGGCTTCTCTCGCCGAATCCTACTCGACCTATCGAGCATTACGCCCTCCCAAACCAACCTATCTCAACTTCATCACCGAGAACACTCCCGCCGAAGCCTGGTGGCAGTCCCGTTTGCGCCTTCTACAGCTCCTTAGCGGCATTTCGGGCACTCAATTCTCATCCACGGCGCTGCCCTCCGGCATCACCTACTCCATCCCAAACGTGCTCGCCCGCATCGAGCCCTATCAAGATGACCTCGTCTCTGAGAGCATCATCCTCGACGGCCTACAGGGCCAGCACCGCGCAGCCCTCCGCCTCCTCACACACGGCCTAGGCGACTATGACTCCGCCATCCGCTATTGCCTCTTTGGCGGCCCACGCAGCGCCACCTCCTCCGGTGGTACACAGCCTGAGCTAGCCGCGCATGACCTACAGGTCACGCTTTTCCGGCACCTGCTGGACGAGTTCCTGCAAATCCAAGATCTGGCAGAGCGTATCGAACGCACAAGTGACCTACTTGGCCGATTCGGGGCATGGTTCGACGTCCGAGAGGTACTTGACCTCGTACCCGAGGACTGGAGCGTGGATATCCTGGGTGGATTTTTGGTGCAGGTGTTCCGAACGCTGGTTTCGCAGTCACGGGAGGCACGTATTGAGCGGGCGCTCAGTGCCGGCTTGAGCCTGCGGGTGGGTGTGCAGTACACGGATAGTCTGGAGAAGGCGGGTCCATGGATGGAGGATGGTGAGGGTTTGCGACGGTTGAAGGGAAGTAGTAAGGCTGAGGTGGGTGTGCCTGGTGATGATGCGATTACTGCTGGGGAGGATAGTGACTTTGGTGATGTGGTGGGTCCTACTGTGTAGGTCTGTGGCCTGTCGAATAGCGTTTGCATTTATGATACCTAGAGCAATGATACGATGTCGAACTTGAAGTATCTCTTTCATTTTTCAAAATTTCGGTTGTGTGGAGTGCATGAATGAGCTGGTTTCCGTCCATTAATGTAGTACGATTCAAGCAGATTGGGCAAGGTCTTCATGAAGACAATTCCCCGAGTGACATAACAGGACCTCCATCATCATAATGAGAGATGGAAAGGATGAGATAAGCTGAAAGAGACCAGAAAAAAAAAAGAAAACCCATCACATTGCATTCGTTCCCTTCGTAGCTCAAATGAGCATCGACCGCCGCCTCAGCTAGACAGTCCGGGTCTATCAGATTAAATTTTTGAATTCTGAATTCGGATTCTTGAATATACTTCTTTCAATCCAAGAGCATGCAAAGGGGATAGAGAGGTATTCAGAAGCCTCTTCACACTGCCTTCTGCATGCATGATGCCGACAGGCCCGATGGACAGCGACACTCGGGCGAGCAACTCAGGCGTGAGATTGCGGGTACAGGCCACATTTACTCCTCCGGCTGCACGAAGGGATTGGGGATTTCTTCGCTGCCGTCGGCAGGCGAGATGAGCACGATGAGAGTGCCACGGGCAACGATCAGGCCCAGGGAGCGGGTGGTTGAGTTACCCGCGTCATCTGGATGGAATGATTAGAATGGTCTCATAGAGAGAGAGAGAGAGAGGAATAGGAGAAATATTTCATACCGCGCATCGTCTCCTTGACATCATCCAAGACGAGGTTCATCAGCTGGTCATAGCCCTTCAGGGTACCGGTAACTGGGGTTGACGAAGGTTCAGCAACACAATCTTATATAGATCATTTCTCGTACATTTAAGCTACGATGGCAGGAAAAGTCTAATAAAACAGACAGAACTCACCTTCGCGACCACCATTGAACTTCACTTGGACCTCCTTGTCCATATACTTGCCCAGATCAAGGATATTCTCCTTCTTGGGCTTCTCTTGCTGGGCGTTACCACCGCCAGTTTTCTGCTGCTGGCGACCGCCACCACGACCAGCACCGCGACCACCGCGGAACGAGCCTCGTTCAGACATTGGGGGAGGGGAGGGTCTGAGAGCGGTGAGAGAGATAAGTGGGAAAGAAGGAAAAGTAAAGAGGTGTTGGGTTGGATCGGAAGGGGGTGGTACTGTGCAGAGCTAGGACCTGCAAAAAATAGAGCTCGGATTACCGGCTCAGTGCTCGGTGAGTGGTGGATGAGCCTAGCGGGATGGTGAGTGGTTGTTTGGGGGGTGTGGTTGGAGGAAGTTTGGAAGGGAGGGGAGCTCCAAAGTATGAGGGATTAATTTTCGGCGGGCAGTTTTGCTGGACTGAGCGAACTGGTGAGTTGGTCAGAGGAATCCCGCTGGTACGGTATGGTAATCTTATCAGGATGACCTCCGGGCGGAATCGTTCTCTTCCACCAGCTCCTGTGCTCCAGGCATCCACGAAACGACCCTCCCCACTAGGGCTGAAAGTTCAAGGCTTATTTTCTGGATCGGCGAATGGGTCCATGAGTCTATTATGGAGTCAAATTAAAATAGGCATCCATGATATGCCATTAGTATTTGCTTTGTTGAGTTTCTAACACCCATTATCAAAATGACGAAGAGGTGTAACGGGCGGAGAGGTGCCAGTCTGAAAGTGCCAGCGGAGAGGGCGGGACTCCGCTGGTCACGAGGCCGTTACGGATCGGTACAACGGAAGAGTCGCTACAGATATGGAAATCTACAGTACACTATCAGTACATCAATCATAGCCAACAGTTGGGGGAAATATACAAATCAGAAGACACCGGAAGACAAAGATGGCGGCTATTGTGGAGTATAGCTACGTATTCTAGGAATCTGCCATTCGGGGTAGAGGTTCCAGGTACAGTAACTCCTCCCGCCCACCATTTTCCTCCCTTTCCACCGTCCGCGCTGGCACCTGTCTCGCCCCCAGTCAAACCCACTCGGTTCCGGCTGCCCTGCTGCACGTTTTCCTCTCCCTCCTCCCCCATCCACTCCCAGCCTTGTCTTCTGTTTCTTCCTCTTTCCTGTCATCCTAAATTATACTTCGGAGAAGCTCTATGGACGTTTGTCTTTCCGCTCGATCGCCCTACACTCCAGCGGCTCAACCCGCGCATTCAATCCTCCGCCCTCGGTCTTGACCGTCTCTCGCCGCCCATCCTGCCCAGCCGGTCGCTCTCTCGGCCTAATCCTTTTTTGCTCCTCGCCCAATTTTCATTCGGTGCTCGGAACGCCTGACGCGACCAGTATATACTTCTCGAGTGTCTACCGCCTCATCCCTGTATCCCGCTATCACCAGCGAGCCATTCCACCATGGAGCCCCGCCCCGTGACGGCGGAACCGTCTAACAAACGGCCGCGGTCTCCTGGAGGCGACCACCCGCAAGCCCATCAATCCAAAATGCCCAAGACACACTCGAATCACCTCCAGATCAACTATCTCGCACGCCAGTACCCGGATAATCTACCTCTAGTCGCGCCGGACGATACGATGCCCGCGATCATCCACTTGATTGGCGAATATGACGGAGTGCTTCATCGCCATGAAAGTATTGCCGGAAACTTGGGCGCATGTCCGCTGGGTCCGATTCTGATCAAACGCTTTGAGCGCTTGTTCGATGGACCCCCGCGCGTGCTCAAGTCGCACGGCAAGGATGGTCCCACCGTGACCTGGTTGGATGTAGTCGAGTTCGCCAAGAACAAGCCCGAGCAGTTCAATCTGGAAAAATCGCGGAACGGTGTTCGGGTCTGCCAGTTTTATACGAAACAGTGTCGAGTAGAGATTAGTGAGGAGGACTTTGTGCTTATTGCGTCGGGCATGCCGCAGAAGATGATCCCTCCCCAACCTATCATTGAAGATGAGGAGAAGGAGCTGGGTGCGCTGGAGATTTTGGAGAAGAATCTTCAACAAATCATTCAAATGGCTGACCAAGGTAAGCTGATATCGAGATGCGATGCATGTCAATCATTCCGTGACCAGTAACTAATCGTCTTCTCCATCAGTCTCCGCTCGAGCCCGTCAGCTAAGCTACCGTCTGAAGAACCGGCGCACGGCAATTGTCAGTCGTCGCGAGAACGATGCTTCTCTCAATGCGCAAACGCGCGCTGCCGCTGCCGACGTCTGGCGTGACATGAAAACCACCGGTCCTACAAACGGGCAGTCGGCTGCCTCCCCATCGGGGTTTGTGGCAGTTAATGCAAACCGCCCAGAAGGCGAGTCGGAGGAAGCCCCGCTTCCATCGCAGTTTATGTTCTCGCATTCGAATACGGAAAATATCACCATTATCAATGGAACCTCGATCAAGGGCGCATCACCCACGACGCGAGCGGATCTGATGAAGAAGTTTTTCACAACGGCTGACCGTCAAGCTCGTGGCTATGACGAAGTCACCGGTACGACCAATCCGATCCAACCTCGACCTCGACCTCAAGCCTCCGATCCAGCGGACTATAGCATCTGGAACAGTACCAACAACGGCTGCGCCAGCGGCGGCAATGACACCGGCACTGCCCCAGGAAGCGGCAACAACACCAGCAACAACATTCTCAATAACAGTACGACGCCGGTCGCCATCCCTGGAACTCCGTCCTCATTGCTACCACCACCAAAAACTACCCCACAGGAAAAGGACGATGGGGGCCCCTACAAGCTGGAGATGGTTGCGCGGATGGAGGAGCTTCAGCGCGGCGAGCGCGTCAACCCACCCTGTGACCGATGTCGCCGCCTTCACATGGACTGCCTCAAAAACCTGACTGCCTGTATGGGCTGCACCAAGAAGCACGCCAAATGCTCCTGGCGCGACGTCAAAGAAGACGAAATACGAGCCCCATGGGGTCCATCAGCACTCCGCGAGCCTCGAGAAATCCGCGAGTCCCACGAGCGCATGGAAGACGACCGCCTCCCCCCTCTCAATCTACCGGGTCTCGTGCCCTCCCAGGGCGCCCCAATCTCCGCCGAACGAGAGCGATACGGACGATTAGACCGCCCAGCCCGGCTCTCCGAGACCCCCAGCGACCCGCAATACTCCCAGCACAACCGCCACGAGTCTGCGCCCGGTGCGCCTCACTTTAGCCCCGGCTCGGGCGCGTCGATGGGTCTGCCTGCGTCTGAGAGATCACCCCGCCGCGCCGTGAGCGAGACGGAGGGTGGTAGTCGTGGACTGCAGCATGGGCCCCCGCCTCCTCGACATGCGGAGGATGATGATCCGGATGCGAATCAGCGACTGATGCAGGCTATTCTTGATACGGTGGATCACCACGCACGGGTGGCGGCTGCCGTGCAGGAAAAGGAGCGCGGTGCCGAGCGTGCTGGGGAGAGTCAGTCGAACCCTCATAAGGAGCGGGATGTCGAGCGTGAGCGTAAGCGTGAACGGGAAAGGGAGCGCGAACGTGAGCGCGATCGCGATCGAGACCGGGACCATGAGCGGCGCATGGTGCAGGCTTAAATGTCTCGGTGTGCTTCGCCCGATATGTACTATGTCTTTTTCATGTTTTCATCCTTATATTGCGACATGGCTTTTCTCCTCTTTATTGTATAGCTGTGAGCGACGGCGAACCGGGAATGGGGTTAGGGAGTTGCGATTTTCATTTGAGCGTATATAATTCTTATATATCCATGATCCTCTTCTGTGTTTTAGTTGCTATGATAGCAAATGCATCATTAATCCAGTGTGACTGACCGTTCCATCTTGAAATATCGGCAGTTCCATCTCTCCCCTACCCCGGACCCACGGGATGACCCCGCGTTCCCATCGGATATAACAGACCCAGCCCTAACAAGCAATATCCGTCGGAAGGCAATATCTCACCGACTTCGTTGCTATATGATTCGTGTCTCTATGTTCTTCGGATACACATCTACCGACAATTGCCCCACTCGGTGCTTAGAGCATGCTGACCAATGTGAGGAACCGGTTCCGTGTGGGAGGTGGAGAATAGGACTCGGATATAGTCTCTTCCATGCACGCACAATGCCATGCTAGTTGACTGTGTATAGTTGATGAGCATGAAGTGTAATATTGCCATCTAGAATGGACGGAGTTCAACAAAAGACATATCATCATAAGAGAACTATCTTACTTGACAAACTCTTCTTTGTATATCCGATAAATCGGAGGACGTGGGGGAATCCCGAGTTCTCCGTAATTCCGCATCGCTGAGTGGGCAGTTACAGTATTCCTTTGGCTTCGTGCGGGGTGGGAGCTCTGTTGGTCTTGGAGCACAATTGGAGCAAAACCCCAGGTGTTGCCACCCGATTCGATTTGGAGAAAGCTAAATTCTAGACTTGCTAAAAGTGGAATGAATAGTATTTCCGATCTTTTTACTGGAAATTGAATTTCAATCTTCTCAAGGTTATACCGAGTCCCCGCTGTCCTGTTAGCTACCCCACCGAATCCCGCCGCATTTGCCGACGTAAGGGCCCAACTCCAACTCGGGGAGAACGATATAAACTACCGAGCTTGTCGCGTCCTGGTTTGATCCTGGATTCTCTTTTTTTTTTCTGTCTCCCACTTTACACGGACAAGAACATCCTTCAATTGCGACCTCTTCTCTCCCACTCATTCCTCCCACCATCACCACCACCACCCAACACTCCAATCTATACAAACCACCAAGCGTCGCGTGCCACGCACACAACCACTCGCCCACCATGGACCCCTCACAAGTCAAAATCCCACCGATGAAAAACCTCACAGTCGAGAACATCACCGAAAACGTCATCACAATCAACTCCCTCTGCCAAGACGAACGCATGAAATACGTCCTCGAACGCCTAGTGACCCACCTGCACGACTTTGCCCGCGAAACCCGCCTCAGCAGCGACGAATGGATGACGGGTCTCCGCTTCCTCACAGAAGTAGGCCAAATCAGCTCGGCCGTCCGCCAAGAATTCATCCTCCTCTCCGACGTCCTCGGTCTGTCTATTCTAGTCGACTCGATCGACCACCCCAAACCCCCCGGTTCGACCGAGGGGACGGTGCTGGGCCCGTTCCACACGCACGATGCGGAGGAAATGCCCAATGGCGAGTCCATGTCTCACGATCCCAAGGGGGAGCCGTTGCTGGTCGTGTGTACGTTGCGGGATACGGAGGGGCGGCCTATCGAGGGGGTGAAGATTGATATCTGGGAGACGGATTCCACGGGCCATTATGACGTGCAGTATGCTGGGCGGGAGACCCCCGATGGTCGGTGTGTGATGCGGACGAATAAGGAGGGGATCTTTTGGTTCAAGGCTATTACGCCCGTGCCGTATCCCATTCCGCACGATGGGCCCGTGGGGAAGTTGTTGAAGAAGTTGCATCGCCACCCTTATCGGCCTAGTCATATGCATTTCATGTTTGAGAAGGAGGGCTACGATCATCTGATTACGTGAGTGTTTCCCGGTTTATCTCGCATTTCGTGGAGATGTGATCGTTGGGAGTGATATGCTAAACTATTTCCAGGGCTCTCTACCTCCGCAACGACCCCTACGAAACCTCCGATGCGGTCTTTGGCGTCAAGGATTCTCTGACCGTGGACCTGGGCAAGGTCGGTCCTGAATTGGCCGCCCAGTATAACGTCCCCGAGGGCCAGGCGCTGCTGACCTATGACTTTGTCCTGGTCTCGGATGAAGAGACGAGCGCACTGCGTGCGAATAACTCCAAGATTGCGCTGGATAAGTTGGGGCGGAAGGTGAAGATTGTGAATGGACTGCCCGTGCCCGATCTGGATTGATTTGGCTGGTATGGAATCACCCCAGAATGCGGGTTACGCATGGGAAAAATTGGAAAGTACATATTATACATGAATGAATTTCGACATGAATCAACTCGGAGAACTTCGATTTCCGCTCTTTCTATGTTCTGTTAATGTCCTAGCCCTGAACCGTATGGAATTGACATTCCCGTGTTGCTATGCGGCATGCACAAAGGCAATCACGATGGAAACGCGCTCTCCCAAGCCCGTAAGCCCCCGTCAATCTGTGTCCCGTCGGAGTATACCGGAGTGCTGTTGATTAGGCGTCGGATTTGAGAGTCCCTCCGTACTCTGTGAGATGGAGAACATAGTCCCACCCAGTATCCACTGCATCCGTGGGGTGGTCATCAAAGCTAATTTGCTATGGTGTAACCGTAGTTCTGTATAACGACACAATTTGTCTGATACCTCCTACTTTAAATACATGTCTCTGTTTAAAAAATTATAGCTATAGTTATCGCCTTTCCCGCCATTGGAGTCGGATAGTTGCTATGCTTTTCTAAGCTTGACATTCTCGCAGCATGCAATTGTTTCTTCTCCTCTCGTTGGCAGCAGCCTTGTGCGCCGCCATGGTCATCCCAGATGAAGAAGCTCTTAAGACTCTTTCGGAGAACCATGTTTACCTAAACGAGCCGAGCTCTCAGGTAGTCCTGGGTGAGGACTCGAAACGGGATGAAGCGACCAATTCCGATCCATGGTGGATAAAAGCTATTTCCAACTCAGAGGATGGCCCTGAGCTATCATCTGGTGGGGAATTGGAACGTCAGCGGTGGGATAAAGAATTCGATTTGCCGGATGACTATGTTGATCTATCTTCACATGGTGATGAAGTCTGGGAGAGCGAATGCAATGATGACTGTCGTGACCATGATAATAAATTTTGCGACGGACATCCATCACATCATCATCACTATCACCATCATCATCATCACTATCACCATCACCATCATCACCATGGACCTGGTCATGGCTACCCAGGGCATAATCATGAGGATGATAGGGAAAAAGATCCACGCTGTGGCTGCCCAGGGGATGGAGGCCATGGGGGAGGAGGTCGTGGAGATGGAAATGGAGATGGAGACGGGGATGACGACGGTTGTTCACCCCCAGGAAGAGGTGGCTGTCCGGGAGACGGAGGTGGAGACCCGCCAGAAAGGTGTCCCGGACATGGGGGCCATGGTGGAGGAGGCCATCACGGAGGAGGCCATCACGGAGGATGCCCTCATCTAGGCCACGATCCCGACTGCCATCATGACTATCCTGGCCATGGAAGAGTTGAAAACGGAGATGAAAATCGACGACACGGTCATCCAAAAGACGGTAACGATGGGGACGAACGACGCAGACCATGTGATCGCCATGACTCTATATGATACCACTCTGCATTGAATTTTCAATGTGGCGAGTAGAGTTGGTGTGCGTTGACGCAGTATCAGTCTGTGCGAGATTGCCGTATTCGGGCGTGAATTGGCGATGGATGTTCGAGGGTGTGGTGATGCATCTCCTCACACAGAATAGGCTGCTGTAGCTGGATCAGACGTTAGTGCTCGGACTTGCTGCAGGGGAAATTGAAGGGATTTCATCGGATGCGGCCGAGGAGGAGATCTAGAATCAGATCGATTTGCAACAGGGTTCAGCTAGAAATTTGACGGAGATCGACTGTTTTAGTTGCTTGTTCATATACCTCCGAGTGTTCATGTGAGGTTTAATCAAGTTTATGAGGAATAAGTATTGGATTTCGATTTTTATCTGTCTGTATTTCCATGTGACGTGCTGGCTGTACTCGGCTGCGAGGTCCTTCCAGGCGAAAGAAAAGAAAGGCACAATATAACGAGATGATGCAAGAGAGTGTCAGAGAGCTCTTGCAAGACGTGAGACAAAAGGTGAAGAGTTCTTCCTTTTCAAACTCGTTGGTCCATCGGACCAAACTTGGGGGGAACGGGGGTGAGAACAATGAGCAGCCAAACAGCCCATGATCGTAGTTACGTATTGTGAACCTCGCGCTTAGAGAGAAAGGATGGATGAGCTGATGACTTCTGCTCTTCCGACGATCTTAATGCATCCTTCTAGTTGGTTTCATGAGGGCCTGGAATGACGACTCCAGAGCCTTCTTGACCTCCTTGTAGCTGACAATGAAGCAGCTCTGCTCATCGCGGCTGACGAGAGTAATCTTCTCATCAGACCCGGCATCGAGCTTGTTCAAGCAAGTCAGCACATGTCCGAGGTCGACAACGGCATCCCCAGAGGCATCAACTTGGTGGAAGACGTAGTCCCGGAAGATCTTCAAGAAGTACCGCTCCCCATTCTCCGCCCACTGTCGGTCGTGCTCGTATTCGGGGCGCTCGTTAATAAAGTTCAATTTGGTCATCAGGCGCACCAGACGTCCATTCTCGAGTTCGCGGCTCAGGTCTGACGTGAGTTGATCATCCAGATGAAGGGCCGAGTCAAAGGTGGACATCAATTGAGAGGAGATGCCAGTAATAAAGAGGTCAATGGTCCGCTCTTGGTCTTTTTGCAAGCCATTCAATAGCCAGAAGACGGAGTTCTTCATTTGAGGGCTGTACGCGCGAGTGAAATGCTCCATCGCCTTGGTCGGGTTATGCATGACATTGGGTGAGTTGGCACCTAGAGTGACGATCATTTGCCCGAAATTGACTAGATCCTGCTTTTGAAGGTCCGCCACGGTCCGCTGCGAGTCGAATTGAACCACATCCAAGATAGCACAGGCATTCAAGCGGATACGATTCTTGCCGGTCAACAGAACTTTGCTGGCCTCCAGCACACGAGCAGCAAGGCCATTGGTGTGGATTGACTTTAGGGCATTCGCGATTTGTGTCATGTAACCCCAGAGGACCTGCTCGGGGATGTGGGTATTGTTTTGGCGACCCTGGAAGCGATTTCCGGCGCCCAAATGTTGTTCGGCGAGAGTCTTGGACAGCGGGTGGTAGTCAGTAACAAAGATGAGGGAGCTGTCTTGGAAACTGCGGCTGGTAAACGCATCGTGGACAGTAACAACGCTCCCGTTGCAAACGCGCTTCCACGCCTGGACGGACCGAATTGCCTTTTCATTGGTCAAACGGAACCCTAGACAGTATTAACGTTCAAGTCCAGAGGGGAAAAGTAGCAGACTCGGTATTTTTCGTACCTTCCAGTCTTCGCAGGGCGTAAAAATTGCCGTCCTTGCTGGACTGCGCTTTATAAACCCAGCTCGGAAAGCCGAAGGTTGCGGCATTCTTCTGATGGCTGAGATCCAACGGGACTAGTGAGTGGAAGTAATCAACCTGGGTGGGAAGTGTTGTGTCTGCGGGAAAAAATGTCAGATCCGGCATTCTAGACCTCGGACGAGACCTCGGGCAGGGGACATCTGCACATACTAGGGAGGGTTTGAAGGGTAGCTGCCGCCTTCTTCTGGAGCTCTTCTCGGAAATCATTAGGGAGGAAAAGGTCATGAACATTGCGCTGATAGCCCAGGGTGTTCTGGTTATGAGGGCCAATTGGGGCATATAGATGATATTGGACCTGCAATACTTGTCAGTGGGCTGAATGAGCATACGTAGTGGAGTGGACTTTTTCACGTACCGGCTGCTGGAAGCCCCCTTGGTTCGCGAAGAATGCTCCTCCTCCAAGTGCAGCAGTCGGATCATGAGCATATGGGTTGGCCGAGACCGGGCCAACGGCTCCTGCGGCGGTGAGGGGCGTGGAAGCTGTGACGAACGGGTCAAAGGCGCCCGGGCTGGTGATTCCATTCCCGTTGCCTTGAAGCGGGCCCTGGATCAACAGGTTAGCGGGATCTATGTCAAGACTGAAACTGCGATGTTTGTTTTGGCTTCGTTTGCGGATCGGATCAAAGTCATCGGCCAAAGCACTCAAGCTCCTGGTGGAGCGCTTGTGGAAACTTCCCAACATGTCTTGTCTTGTCCTCTCCGACGTGTGGGAGCAGTGCAGAGGTGATAATTCTCGGATTCGATTGATTTACGAAGGACCAAAATTGAGGGGGCTTCAAAAACGGAAGGTGCGATCATGAACGACTTACCACGTGAGCACCTTCAAAGCCCTGAGGAACGAACTCTTGTACATCAGCTACGGTCCAATCAGGAGTTCCTACTTCTTGTCGTGCCGTCGGAGTACTCGTGTTGGAGCCTTTGTCATCAGTCAGAAAGAGAGAAAGAGAGACCTCCACAAAGCAAATCATAATGGGATCATACGTGATGACGCCGCAACTCTGGGCTGGAACGGAGCCGCACTCGCAGCCTTCGGGGAGATGGTGGTGGATTTCTTTGGCGCGGATGTGCCATTGCCAGATAAGAGGGAGGGGGTAAAGCTCGGCGAGTCGACGTTAAATCGTTTCTTATTGCTGTAGATGGGTGGCTGATAAGAACTCTGTCGCAAATCCAAATCCTTTTTGAAGGAGACGAAAGAAGGAAAGACAGGCTTACAGTTCTGCTTGATTTGCAGCGTTGACTTTCAGAGGGTCGTGATTGAATGCGCAACCTATTGTGAGAGAACCCCGGTCAGAACGTCCACGCTCTTGGAAACCGGTCACAATTATCACTCTGTACGGATCAATACCTTTGTCTTCATATCGACAGCGACCGTATATAGTTACGTTGCGGCATAATGTATCTTTCGCATTCTCTGTTCCAAAGACACCTCCAGTCAGCGCGCAAATCTATCATCGATCTCCGGCATATTATTCCGATTGGTTCTATCCCATCTCTCCATATCGGATGATGAGCAAAACCAACCGCTCGAGAAACACTTACCTCGGGTCTTCATTTTCGGCGATCCGGTCGTGCGACGGGAATCGTCCAGCGGAGGCTTGCCGGCGGAGGCCATGATGAGATGGCTGATACCGAGAGACGAAACGAAATCAGCGCAGTGGTATCTCCATTGAAACGGGAGCCGGAATGAAATGATTGACTCGACCGAGAGGAAGCCACATTCCCTGCGATCGGATAGATGATTCTAGGTGCTTGTTGTCGACGCGTTGGCGATGCGATCGTCGAGAAGCGGGTCAATTGAGGATGAGATCTGGTGGGCAGCCGGGGGGATAAGAATAAACAGATTCGAGGGCCCCTCAAAGCACCAATATATATATTCCAGGTCTCCTCCCTCCGGAATAAGATCGGGAGTAATAGAGCCGATGGAGCAGACGAGGACGCGGGGCGAGGCGAACTCGAGTGAAGGGGGATACGCGCACGGACCAGGCGGTCAGCCCGCGATCGCATCACTGATCCCCGGACAGGCCTAGTCTGTTACTACGATAAGAGCAATGATTCCGTCGGAGTCGGCAAAAGTTACCGGAGTAGAGGGCTTGGTTATGATCTTAGAATATATTGAAAGCTTAGAGACAGGTCCTAGGTGGATCACCTCTCGCTGGATAGATATAGATGTGGTCTCACTAGACAGGGTCCTGATCACGACAGGATATATATCGCTGCGCCCGGATGATTGTCCAGCTGCTACAAAGGAATGTTCTGTAGGTCGAGTGCGTACTCTAATCAAGCTCCTACCAGGGACTTTGGGCGTCTCTACATTCGGAGAAAGATGGAAGAGGAAGATCAAGACAAAAATATCCGTTAGGTATCGCCTTGAATCCAAAACTGAACGATAGTACAGCAGCAATGGTTCAAAATACGATTTCAGGTTTATGAGATAAGCTTTGTACGTTAATGGTCTAGTTGTGCAGAGGTGTGATTGCATTTTGAAATCCAGTTAGATCTGCAAGTTTAGACAGTCTTCCAAGCATACCATCTAGACTCCCGTATAGGTCTTATCTGATAGTATGCGAAGTTCTTCAAGGGTTGTGGAGGGGTTTAAACTTCGATGTCCACGATGTTGTACCTGTCCTGGCGCCAGTAGCCCCGGCTTAAGTTGCAAGACGCAAAGCGGTGGATAGAGCGGTGAATAGTGCGGTGACCACGAGTCGGCCATAATCCATTTAGTTACGCCTATCTCCACCCGGACGGCTCATCGCTGCCACCTATTCAGCAAGGATGTCTTCGGCGGAGGTTGATCTCGACCAGCTCTCGGAGAGCGAGAGATCGGCGTTGGAACAGTACACAAGCGTGACAGGCCAAGAGCTAGCAGAAGCAGTCCCCCTGCTTCGCCGGTCACAATGGAATGTTCAGGTAGGTTGTTACACGTCACTCCCCAGCTTTCGCCGAGGCAGCTAGCTAAGGTACTCACCCCCACAATACAGATTGCCATCTCCAAATTCTTTGATGGGGAAGGTCCCGACCCGCTTGAGGAGGCTCGGGCAGCCTTGAACCGTCCCGAACCACCATTCCAGCCTGGACCTGGGATCAACTTGATGAACGAAGATCTACTTCAACAAGTCCGGCCCGTTAACCGTGCCTCGGATCCCGCCCCACGAGTCGACACGCAACCCCAAAACCAAGTTGTACATCGACCCCCCTTCATCCTTGCCCTCCTCTTTACCCCCTTCAATCTTATCTATCGATTCCTCCTCAGCTCCTTCCGTCTCTTTGGGACTCTGTTTCCCTTCCTCCCACGACTCTTCCGCACAACTGCTAGCCCGGCTCTTCAAGGAGCTCGACAAAATACCACGGGCCGCCGACCACTGGCACCGAAGGATACTGCCGCGCGGTTTATTCGGGAGTTCGAGGAAGAGTACGGGTCGAACCCGCTTCCATTCGTTGAGAATGGCTACAACATGGCCTTGGAGAGGGCGCATCGCGATTTGAAATTCCTACTGGTGGTTTTGCTGTCGCCTGAGCACGATGATACGCACAGTTGGGTGCGCGAAACCCTACTGTCGCCGGAGGTGGTGGAATTTGTCAATCCCCCAAGCGGCGATGGAAACGTGATCGTCTGGGGTGGCAATGTACGGGATTCAGAGGCCTACCAAGTCGCCAACTCATTGCGAGTGACCAAGTTCCCCTTTACGGCAGTAATTTGTCATACCCCGAACGTGTCCACCACCGCCATGTCGGTAGTGGCTCGAATTGCTGGCCCTCTTTCAGCGTCTGAATTCAAGCAGCGATTGACGACTGCCGTGAACTCGCACCAAGGGCGATTGTCGCAGCTTCGTCAGGACCGCAGCCAACAACAGGCCTCCAGGAGCCTGCGCGAAGAACAGGACTCGGCTTACGAGCGTTCACTCGCGATCGATCGCGAACGTGCCCGTCTTCGTCGGGAAGCAGAGGCGACTCGTCAGCGAGAGGAGCAAGAAGCAGCGGAGCGCCAAGCTGCCGAAGAGAAGAGACAGAGGGATCTGGCCCAATGGAAGCTCTGGCGAGCGGAGTCACTTGGCGCCGAGCCTGGTACGGAGGTCAAGGATGCGGTGCGAATCAGTGTACGACTACCTTCTGGCGAACGGATCATGCGCCGGTTTGCGCCCGATGCTGATATCGAGGAATTGTATGCGGTGGTGGAGTGTTACGAAGTCCTGCAGGACGAGTCCCGGTCTACTGATGTGGATAAGCCAGAAGGATTCCAGCACCAGTATGGTTTCCAACTGGTGTCTCCTATGCCCCGGGCTGTTTATGCAGTGCAGGATGGCGGGACGATCCGCGAGAAGATTGGCCGGGGTGGGAATCTACTCGTGGAGCCCATCGAGGAGGATGATGACAAAGAGGAAGAAGAGACAGCCGATCATTCGGGCTAAGATATCACATAGCGAATGATGTCGTAATCTGATTTATTCAGGCTTAATGCACTACATGTGAAAAAATCAATCTATCCTGTGATAGACTACAAGTTGTTCAACCAGTAGCTCTGCATAATGTGACGTCAGCCGTGTAGTCATCACAGTATGGACTCCTACTGTAACAGGTGGGCTAAACCCTTGTATCTTGCTGACTGAACAGAAGGAATGATGTGATATATGATACTTCGGTACTTGGCAGCTGAGATGAGCAATGGATGGTTGCGTGGCCTGCAGGACGGGCGATCTCGATCCCGAAGCTGACGTGGTGGAATTGAGCGCCACAATGACCAGGGTCTCTGTATCAGATATGTACGGGGATAAGATCGACCGGTTCCATCCGTGAGATGGACGAACGTTAGGACGAACGGACCAACAGTGCGGTCATTGGCAGGACTGCTCTAGACTGTACTGAAGTTAAACCGTGTGTAATGTGATTGGTGGAGAGGTGGCTGAGTCATTCTCGGATACACTGCAGCCCGCTATCCGAACCGAGTGGCAGCCAGCAATAACTTGGGAGCTCGGATCTTTTGCTGCCGGCCCACTTTTACTTCTAGAACGGTCCGGCACGTGGACTGCGATCTGGACCAAAAAGAAATCCCAAAAAACTCCCAAAAAAGAAAATTGCATAATTTCTTGGCATTCGAATGTTCATGCGCTGTGAAAATGGCTAAGAAGTATGGAGCGTTGAGGGTAGCATATGCTTCATCCAATCATCATCGTATTGGCACTTTGATTCTTTGATCCATTTGTATATGTACGGAGTACGGAGTTGTAAAGGTTGAATAGTTGTTGGTTTTATACGCAGTAGTATGCCTAGATACATTATGTTTGGTACAAGGCTCCATAATCGCCGGTTGATCTCATCTGCAATTGCTCTTTTAGTACTAGCTTAGGCATCCGAGGATGACACACCCTGATTCATGCTCCATTTTTCCCGGTCTCCCACCCCCTGAAGCCACCCCAAAGCCCCTAAAGCTAAGGGGCCCCTCCGCCCGGCTGCTTATCGCCGGACGGATCGCTAAATTTCCGCTAGAATCCCTTTCGGAGGCAAATCCTGGATCGTTCCCGGTCCCGAATTGGCAGGAACTGCATCTCTTCCTTGCCGGATTTTTTTCTATTCCTCATTCTTTATCATTCCTGTCCACGCCTCCTTAACCTTAATTACTTGACACTCTTTTTCTTTCCTTCTTTTCTCAATACTAATTTTCCTAATCGATCTCCACGTCTAATCATTCTCTCAACTCCCGCCCTATTTGACTCCAGTCGCGTCAGACACGCCATTCAACCCCATCTATTGATGGTCCTTTCCTGATCATCTCGACATTGGGTCCTCCGAATTATCCCCACAGCTCGGACCCATCTCACAACCTTTGATTGACTTTTTCCCCACGTAAAAAGAAGCCCGCTATGTCGCTTCTGGGGACGTTTAACCAAAGCGCTACCACCGAGGTGACTAGTGAGTCAGTCTCGGTGGCTCGCGAAATTCATCATCATGATCCTGCCCACAGTGTCAGCAGCGAGGACACTGCCCACGAAAAGACCGAAGTTGGCAATGAGGATGTGATCGAGGCCGAGGTCACTCGTCTGGCCCGCCAGCTTACCCGCGAATCCACCCGTTGGGTCGATGGTGAGAACACGTTCCTCGAGACCAAGGAGGATTCGACCCTCAACCCACACAGCGAAAACTTCAAGGCCCGCAATTGGATGAAGAACTTGCTCGCTGTCACTGCCCGCGACCCCGAACGTTACCCTTCCCGCCAGGCTGGCGTGTCGTTCCGCAACCTTAGTGTGCACGGTTATGGTAGCCCCACGGATTATCAAAAGGACGTGTTCAACTCTGTCCTGCAGGTGGCGGCTCTGGCCCGCATGGTCACCGGCACTGGCAAGCAGAAGATCCAGATTCTGCGTGACTTCGATGGCCTCGTCAAGAGCGGCGAGATGCTGGTTGTCCTAGGACGTCCTGGTTCTGGATGTTCGACCTTCCTGAAGACCTTGGCCGGCGAGATGAACGGTATCCACAAGGGTGACAAGACCTACATGAACTACCAAGGTATCTCCGATAAGCAGATGAACAACCAGTTCCGCGGTGAAGCTATCTACACCGCCGAGACCGACGTGCACTTCCCCCAGTTGACCGTTGGTGACACCCTCAAGTTCGCGGCGCTGGCCCGCGCCCCTCGCAACCGTCTGCCTGGGGTTTCCCGTGACCAGTATGCTGAGCACATGCGTGACGTGGTCATGGCTATGCTTGGTCTTTCGCACACCATCAACACTCGTGTTGGTAACGATTTCGTGCGTGGTGTTTCTGGTGGTGAGCGCAAGCGTGTTTCCATCGCCGAGGCTACCCTTTGTGCCAGCCCTCTCCAGTGCTGGGATAACAGTACCCGAGGTCTGGATAGTGCCAACGCCTTGGAGTTCTGTAAGACCCTGAACCTGATGGCCAAGTACTCCGGTACTACCTGTGCGGTTGCTATCTACCAAGCCTCCCAGAGTGCCTACGATGTGAGTGATCATCCACGTGAGTCATTGGATAGTCGACTATGCTAATGCAGATATTATCTAGGTCTTTGATAAGGTGACTGTTTTGTACGAGGGTCGCCAGATCTACTTCGGCCGCACCAATGAGGCCAGGGAATTCTTCACCAACATGGGTTTCGAGTGCCCCGAACGCCAGACTACTGCCGATTTCTTGACCTCCCTGACCAGCCCTGCCGAGCGTATCGTTAAGAAGGGCCACGAGAACCTCGTGCCACGCACCCCCGACGAGTTTGCCGCCGCCTGGAAGAACAGCAAGGACTACAAGGAACTGATGCGCGAGATTGAGGAGTTCGACCAGGCCTATCCCCTCGGTGGCGAAGCCCTCGACAAATTTGTTGACTCGCGCCGCGCTATGCAGGCCAAGAATCAGCGTGTCCGGTCTCCCTACACGATCTCCGTCTGGCAGCAGGTCAGCCTGTGCATGAACCGTGGTTTCCAGCGTCTTAAGGGAGATGCTAGTTTGACCCTGTCTCAGTTGATCGGTAATTTCATCATGGCTCTTATCATCGGTTCAGTCTTCTTCAATCTCCAGGACACCACAGATAGTTTCTACTCTCGTGGTGCCCTTCTCTTCTTCGCTGTTCTTCTCAATGCCTTCTCCAGTGCCTTGGAGATCCTGACTCTTTACGCCCAACGTCCGATCGTCGAAAAGCAAGCTCGTTACGCCATGTATCACCCGTTCGCCGAAGCCATCGCTTCGATGTTGTGTGATATGCCGTATAAGCTTCTCAACGCCGTGACCTTCAACGTGACTCTCTACTTCATGACGAACCTGCGTCGTACTCCTGGTGCATTCTTCACGTTCCTGCTATTCTCCATCTTCACGACTCTGACCATGTCCATGATCTTCCGAACCATTGCTGCTAGCTCTCGAACTCTGTCCCAGGCTCTAGTGCCGGCTGCTATCCTGATCCTGGGTCTAGTGATTTACACTGGCTTCACTATCCCTCCCCGCAACATGCTGGGCTGGTCTCGCTGGATGAACTACATTGATCCCATTGGATATGGCTTCGAGTCGCTGATGGTCAACGAGTTCCACAACCGTTGGTTCGACTGCCTGGACTCATCGATGATTCCTGCTGGCCCCGGTTACAACGACGTTCCCGCGAATAGCAAGATCTGCTCCGCGAAGGGCGCCCGTGCTGGTTCTAACCGAGTATTTGGTAATGACTACCTCGCTGATAGCTTCCAGTACTCCAACAGCCACAAGTGGCGCAACCTGGGTATCATGATCGGTTTTATGATCTTCTTCATGACGACCTACCTGACCGCCACTGAGTACATCTCGGAGTCCAAGTCTAAGGGTGAGGTCCTGCTTTTCCGTCGTGGCCACTCCTCCAAGCGCAACTCGCATGAGGATGATGTCGAATCGAGCGAGACCGTGTCCCCCGGCGAGAAGACCGATGAGACCAGCAGCCAAGAGGTGACCGCTGGTATTCAGCGTCAGACCGCTGTCTTCCACTGGCAGGATGTGTGCTACGATATCAAGATCAAAAGCGAGGAGCGTCGCATCTTGGATCACGTTGATGGTTGGGTCAAACCTGGTACCTGTACTGCCCTTATGGGTGTCTCTGGTGCCGGTAAGACTACTCTTTTGGATGTGCTTGCTACCCGTGTCACTATGGGTGTTGTCTCTGGCGAGATGCTCGTTGATGGCCGCCCTCGCGACCAGTCCTTCCAGCGTAAGACCGGTTATGTCCAGCAGCAGGATCTCCATCTCTATACTACTACCGTCCGTGAGGCACTGCGCTTCAGTGCTATGCTTCGTCAGCCTGCCGATGTTTCACGCCAGGAGAAGCTGGACTATGTCGAAGAGGTCATCAAGCTCTTGGGTATGGAAGCCTATGCTGACGCGATCGTTGGTGTTCCCGGTGAAGGTAGGCCCCTCCTCCTGTCTGTGTTCTTTTTGACACACTTTCTAATTTCCTTACAGGTCTCAACGTTGAGCAGCGTAAGCGTCTGACTATCGGTGTCGAGCTTGCTGCCAAGCCCCAGCTGCTTCTGTTCCTGGACGAGCCTACCTCCGGTCTCGACTCGCAAACTTCCTGGTCCATTCTCGACCTCATTGATACCCTGACCAAGCACGGTCAAGCTATTCTCTGCACCATCCACCAACCGTCCGCTATGCTCTTCCAGCGTTTCGACCGTCTCCTGTTCCTCGCCAAGGGCGGAAGAACGGTCTATTTCGGTGATATCGGCGAGAAGTCCTCGACCCTCGCTAGCTACTTCGAACGCAACGGTGCCCCCAAGCTGCCTCTCGAGGCCAATCCTGCTGAATGGATGCTGGAGGTCATTGGTGCCGCTCCCGGTTCTCACAGTGATATCGATTGGCCTGCCGTCTGGCGCGACAGTCCTGAGCGCAAGGGCGTGCATGAGCACCTGGCTGAATTGAAGGCGACTCTCTCCCAGAAGCCAGTCGAGGAATCAAGCAACAACCCGGCCAATTACAAGGAATTCGCTGCTCCCTTCTCCGTCCAGCTCTACGAGTGTCTTGTCCGCATCTTTAGCCAGTACTGGCGCACCCCGGTTTACATCTACTCAAAGGCTGCCCTTTGTATCCTCACTTCTCTTTACATCGGTTTCTCCTTCTTCCAGGCACAGAACTCCCAGCAGGGTCTCCAGAATCAGATGTTCAGTATCTTCATGCTGATGACTATTTTCGGTAACTTGGTGCAGCAGATCATGCCTCACTTCTGCACCCAGCGCTCCCTCTACGAAGTCCGTGAGCGTCCCTCCAAGACCTACTCCTGGCAGGCATTCATGGGTGCCAACATCCTGGTTGAGCTCCCTTGGAACACTCTCATGGCCGTCTTTATCTTCGTCTGTTGGTACTACCCTATCGGTCTGTACCGTAACGCCGTGGAGGCTGGGGCTGTTCACGAGCGTGGAGCTCTAATGTTCCTCCTTATCTGGTCCTTCCTGCTTTTCACCTCTACTTTCGCGCACATGATGATTGCTGGTATCGACCTCGCAGAGACTGGTGGTAACCTGGCCAACTTGCTCTTCTCACTCTGCTTGATTTTCTGCGGTGTTCTCGCTACTCCCGCACAGATGCCTGGCTTCTGGATCTTCATGTACCGTGTCTCACCATTCACGTACCTCGTCTCTGCAATGCTTTCCACCGGTGTCTCCGGTGCCACAGCCACCTGCGAGAGCATCGAGTACCTGCACTTTGACCCTCCCAGTGGCGAGACTTGCCTGAAGTACATGGAACCCTACATGGAGCTCGCCGGTGGATACCTCCTGAACGAAAATGCCACGTCCGATTGCTCCTTCTGCACTGTCAAGTCCACCGATGTCTTCCTTGCCCAGGTGACTAGTTACTACAAGGATGCCTGGCGTAACTTTGGCATTATGTGGGCCTTCATCATCGTCAACATCTTCCTGGCGGTTGGCATCTACTGGCTCGCCCGTGTACCCAAGGGCAACCGCAGCAAGAACTCCAAGTAGGAGTTGGTATTTCTGCTGATCGAATATGCCAAGCACTATCTTTCTCGTTAGGTTCTTTAATTCTCCAAAATGTTTCTGTTTCTGATCCCCCTGCATCAAGCCACATGTTCTTTTGAATGACTCTCCTCTTCTCTTTGGTTCGTTGATGTTACTATTGCCTTTCTCATCGGCATTGAGCGTTGCTAGTCTGAGGCAGTCGCGCTGTCTTCATTAATTTTTTGCATGGATGGCCTTTTGATATTCTTAGATCCTTTAACATGGGCATATCTGCAAATATGTATAGATTATTGAAAGATCTCTCTTCTGTTACATGTTTACTTCGTCGCAGTTTCACTGTAGAAAGGGGTTGTCAATGCTATTCCCACCTAGTGTGTCATGTTTGATACAAAGAAGCTCGCTGGAAGTATATTTGCGTAGCCCGCATTTCACCGCCTTGGATGTCCTGTTGAGACCGCGCCGGTAGTACGGGACGTTTTGTTGTAGAGCACAATTTGACACTTAATATTCAACAGGTAGTCCACGTGGTCATCGAGTATGAGCTCCAAGAAACGGCCCCGACAGTTGTGCTCTGGTATATGATTGGTTAGGACTTGGAGACTCCACGCTGACCCCCAGACCTGCATATCTAACCAATAGTGTTGGAGAGAAGAACTCTCGGGAGTTCAATAGGAAATGTACTACAGAACATTTCCCTTTTGGGATTTGACCCAAAAAGAGAGGTCGAAGAGCATTGACCTCCTCATTCACTTGGCTTTAATATGAAAAGTTGAATTGCCGAGCACGGAACAATAATGTCATTTAGATGAAATATAGCTGAGGACATTTAGTCTAATTTCTTACACTTACATAACTTCCTAAATAGGACATACCCAATAATTCTACTGCGGCTACTACCCCCTCCCTGGATTGGATACCTTTCGCTTGCGCGCATTGTGGATCGTATCTTCGTGCCGAGTAAGATGGTAGGGTCAAGAGAAGATCGAGTTACATGGCTTGCCAGTAGCTGGGTTGATCCGCTCACACTTGTAAGGACCACTCTGAGAGTTGCGAAGCGAAGTATCCCGAGTACTCAAGTGCCCGCCAGATGTCGTCTGGAGCATCGCCTCACGCTTGTGTCGCTGAAGCTTGGCGGGAGGCCCAGATACTAACTTCTCTCAGTATGGCTCCACGACGATCATACCCCACCTAAAAAAACATCGTACCTGTTGCAGCTACACGTACTCTTAAACTCCATACACGGCCGCACATCCAAGAGTCCCAGACCCAGCTCCCACAATACAAAATGACCGATCAGTACACCCACAGACTGAAGCAACTAGTCTCTCTTGTCGAAGAAGAAGGCTGGACAGACTTCGGCTTCCTCCTCTTCCGCACAAGCTACAACGACGAAACCCTCTGGGAAACCTTCCTCGAGTACAAAGACCAAATTCTTTCCTCGGCTATTGAGAATGCACCCCCAGAATCAGGGTTATCCCGTATTACCGACAAAATGTACCTCAAGCAGGTCTCCAACGAAGCTTTGAGGGATATTACCCCCGAACAAGTCGCGATCGCTTATCGCAGCTTGGAAGAAGGTGCGATCGATGGAGATGGGAATTTGGAGGATAGGATTGAACCGGGTCTTCGGACGAATGTTTGTCTTATGGTTGATGAAGAGTGTATGCGGTCTGTTGTTGGGTGGAGTGAGGTCGGGTCGATGTCTGTGCCGTTTGTGAAGGCTGTCGATGTTTTGTTAGGGGAGGAGGACGTGGGGTTTTCGGGGGTGTTTAAAGTTGCGATTTCGTCATTGTTTACGGAGTTGTATCTTGAGCAGCTCGAGTGTGGTGAGACGGTGGAGTTGGTGCCCGAGGGCGATACGATTTAACAATATATCTATAGAGCCTGGACACATATAGCGCGGCAAATTCAAGTAATTATCCATTTTTAGTAACCGTTGCATGCCCACAAATCGTGGTGGAAAAGGCCTAAGGTTATACTTTCCTATAGAACACTCTAGGGGATATAAAATACGTTAGATAGCTAGGTAATTAGGTCGGAGTTAATGTATCGCTTAAATATTAGTGACGGATACCAGTAAGAGTTCGCTGATTATTATCTTGGCCCGATGGCGGGTGAGTCACTACTACTACTAACTAGCTCTTGCTTAGCATTAGACTAACAGTAAAAATAGTGGGCGGGCTACTATGATCCCGTGCATTAATCTCGTCCCACTCATAACCTAAGTTATCAGCTTTTTTACGCCAATAGATTTAGAGGGAGTCGGTTCCTTTCAGAACGGTGGATTAAGACATAAGTTTGCTAGAGAGTTCGCGAGCCAAGTTTCTAACTAGATTTAACGCCAAGGCTGTTCCGGCATGAAGGCCCATGAACAAAAATTCATTCTTCAGGTGTCTGCTAGACTTCCGCAGTCGAAGACAGACAAGAAGATATTATTTTTTTCATTAGGAGCTAAGACTGAGCTCAAGCGGAGCAAAGGCAAGGTTTTATACTACGGAGATCTATACACGAGTCATAGATTGTACAAGTTTACTTAGAATGCGCTCCGACATCTTTATCAGCTCGAACTCCTTCACCAGCTCAAGCTGCTTGAGCAGGGTGAGTGCGCAATATATAGGGTGAGAATCCGGGTGAGAACGGGTGATTCTTCGTCGCTTAGCAATATATAGCGCTAGGTAAGAAGGACGACCTTAGTGCTAGCGCAGGACTCCTCACAGGTAGTCTATTCACATTGGTTGTAGCTATTCTGATATATAGAGATTGGCAACCTAGCGGAGTCAACGACGACAGGAAGTAACTAATCGCTAAAGGGACAACGAAAGGTAGAAATTCCGTTTAAGAAGCACTCGGAATTCTCGTTGAGATTTAATACTACGTTAGTCAAACAGCCTACTTAAATAAGTATAATCAATGGACAGGGATAGGGGACAGCGCTAAGATAACGTACTGCTACCAGGCGTAAGAGACTGTTTCGAGAACTTATATTCGGACTTCGAACAGCTTCTATCGCACTCTTTCCAGTAACATTTGGTGTTCAAAGTGACCAAAGCAGATCCCTTGGCACGGCACAGTGACTGAGCATCGATCGTGCACGTAACACAAGTTGAGCCACAAGAGTTGACAGGGTCATATTCACAGAGCTAAATGTCCATTTCATATCATTAGTAACATAAACAGCTCACACGCAAGATGTTATCTCACTCCATTGGGCCGAGCTCACCACAGCTGCCCTATTGGCACATAGGCTAGTCGAGTTGCAGACATAAAACTATATAGTCATCTTGTACTCTGAGCCTTTTAGTTTGCCATCTTCCATCCTTCCTTCCCTCTTCCTTCTCCCTTCTCTTTATATTCCACCCTCCGCCTCACCTCCAACCCTCCTTCATCAGTCCTTCATTCATTAATCCTTCGTTCATCCATCCACCCACCATCCGTCCACCAACCATGGGATTACAAACTCCCTCTCCGATTCAAGATGATTATGAGCCGGCCATGGCTCGGAATCCACCATACTAGTAGGTTTCCCATGTTTTCAAGGAATAGGCATAGAAACTGAATGATGGTAAGCCAACCCACAGTGCCGTCGTTTACCGAGATTGGTGATGTTACCACTATCCCGCAGTGAGTCGTTGGCGACGACGATCGACCACTAGATAAATGGGCCAAAACTATGTAGGAAACGCCCTGGAAGACCGCAACAAAGAGTGTGCTCCTGAAGGGCAAACTTCTCGCCAAGCTGTAAAAGAAGCAGCCGCTGAGAGAGCTTATGGACCGGCCCGCCTTTTTCTTTTCCGGCAAGCGGGATAGGAACGATTCTCTGACTGGATACTTTTCCTTCTCGGAAGGATGGAACTGTTCGTAACGCAGTCCTTTTAGGAAGATGCGGCCATACAGAATGGTGCATACCGGAGCGCCAGGCATAGTCAGTATACCAACCACTTCTAAGTAAATAAGTATATAGTTACTGGGAAGTAAACAAGGTCATACTGAGCCGCTCTTCTTTTCTACTACTTGCGAAGCCCTTGGCCCAAATAAACTAGTTCATCCTTCTTCTCTCATAGCTATAACTCTCTGCACTTATTACGTGGCTGACAATGAGCCGGCATAATTTGTTTAACAGCTTCGAGCTGACGCCGGCAGACTGTCGCTTTCCCATGCTTTACGTGGGCTGCTCCATCTCTTTTTGATTACAATGTCTTGAAAGCGGTATTCCCGTCTTCTCCCTGCTTTCCTGGAAGAGTAATTCATATCACCCCAGACAAGGAGAATGAGGTGATTGTGGATGAAGGAGTGCATGATGCGACCTTGCTTGACTACAATTTCTCGATGTCTGCGGACAGAATACAGCGCCTGCGTCACATGGCCCGACAATTTGACGAGCCGGACGAGGCCCCTATGTCCGAAGATATAGCGTCACCGCCATTCCTTGGAGATGCTTGAGACGATTCCACTTGCCCCCTGTGACTCAAGTGGGGGGCCGCACTGCAGGTTTGCTGCAGCGAGTCGACCACGCGCATCACCACTTACGACCCTCTTTACCCGCTGGCTACCTGGGAACTGTTCCATTATACTGATTTAATCCCTGTCCGCTTCAGAACTGCGGCGTGAATCAGCATAGCTTCCCACCTAGCAGATAGCTCAGGTCTCACGACCTTTAGCATGCAGGTTCAATGAGGTTGACGATTGCCTAGTAAGTAGACAGCTGTCCTAATTTACTAGGGCCGATGACTGGGCCAACACATCTCCACCAACCCAATGTGGCGATGACTAGTATTTCATCGGCTGCGGGTCTACCGGCAGGGATTCAGGCCAGTGCTCGCTCGGTCGGGTGGAAGATTTTGAGATGCTACTTCACATTATATGAATGCGGAAAGTGTCTGCCCCATTAGGCCACGGGGTATAAATAAGATAGGAAAGTGCACTTTCCTCTCGCACATGTCATTGACCGTAAATCGGCCCTTATACCGAGAGACCTTGCTTCTGAAACAACTTTGCCCCGGCCAACTTGATTGATTCGGGATGACGCTTGACAACATGAAATCCACATCTCAAGCTGGCTCCCCTAAGATCCGACGTTATACATTGCACGGAGGGCCATCTGTTATCTTCGAGGCCATGCGGCAGGATGGGGTTGTGATCATTGAGGGGTTCTTGAATCCCGAACAGATAAAACGGATCAACGAGGAAGTTGATCCTCATCTTGCTCAGCTCCAGCACGATAGAAATTTGACTTCATCCCTTGAGTCTCACCTACCGCCAGAAACTAAACGACTGTATGGGCTATCTGAGATCTCCAAAACTTTCCGGCACGACGTTCTGAACCACGGGCTAATGCATGAAGTGTGCAAGAAAGTCTTTGATGAGACCGGAGACTACTGGCTGGCTTCAGCAGCGGTTCTTCAACATGCCCCGGGAGCGCCTAGGCAACATCTCCACCATGATTATATGCCCCACCCCTTGATTGATAACGGACCTGGTGGACCAGAGTGTCTGATCAATTTCTTCACTGCGCTCACCGACTTCACTCCCGAAAGTGGTGCTACCCAGTTCGTATGGGGAAGCCATACGAAACATGGGATCACCGAGCCCAGTGATGAGCATCCGATCGCCGTGGCCGAGGTGAAAGCAGGCGATGCCATCCTGATCAGTGGTAAAATGGTTCATCGCGCCGGCGACAATAACACGAAGGACTTCTATCGTCGTGCTCTCTCGATTGCTATCTCAACAAGTCTTCTGAGTCCCATGGAAGCAAATTTGCGGTTCTCTCGCCCGGTGGTGGAGAGTATGACTCCGCTGGCTCAGAAAATGATCGGCTGGGGAACTGTATCACAATTCGGGATTGGAATGTGGACTTATGACATGCGGGACCTTGCAGAAAATATTGGACTGAAGTCAAGCCAGTCAATTCTGAAGGTGTAGCCTGCTATCGATCTAACAGTGTATGGATTGCATGTCTATGGTTTTCACGTATCTGAGAAGAATGAGATCAATCGTCCATCTTGTTTATATAGCTTTTAAGATCTACTTATATCTCTGAAAATAAATAATCATTCGGTACTTTCCTTTCTTTCTCGTGGATACATATAAATGGGTTTGTCACCTAAAGAAACCATATCATCAGAATAGCCGAGTAATCCAGCCATCGTCGTTACTAGGATATCGGAAGCTATCGGTATCGTAACTAGGAGGATACCTGTACCTCCATGATACGGAAGATAACAATCGTATCCAGAAGGATCGAGATAGGGATATTTATATACAGAGAGATCGTAGATAGTCAAGGATATCCTCCCGACGTGACTCCAAGGAGTACATAGAGAACTATACTTAGGAGTATACGGCTAATCCAGATATATCCTACGGAAGTAGATCCAGGAGTCGATAAAGGACTCAGTTCATAATGAGATCAAAAATTAGGCCGATAGGGTTGTACTCAGCCGCCTCCGTATAAACCGTTAATACCTCATTACCGCACCCCTTCACTGTTATGATATTCTGTTGAGGCTATTCCCATGTTTATGTTGATGCCTCAGGCCACAACTGGGTCTGTCAGGCTGTCAGGACCACCGGTGACCTGCTGGCGGTCAACCAGCAGTCACTCGGTGACGATGCGGGACCACAACCCTGCATGCAGGCCACATCTTCTTGTTCCACAATGCGTTGGCATATGCGTTCCATCCTCCTGTTGACCTTTGTTATGTTCCCTACCTTGCATGGGAGAAGATGTATCTTAATTGGCGCTTGAGGAGTGGGTTGATGCTCCTTAAGAAACGGTCTCTGTTACCTGGATTGGACTTGATGTTTTGCTCTCGTACCTAGTTGACAGGCCTTCTACCCTGCAAGTAGAGATTTATTAACACTCACAGTGATTAGTAGGCTTCGCGTAACAAGAAGAGACGACTTTAGATTAAATAAACTTTACTCGATTAGAGTCTTTACTATAGAATAATTGAAGTTCTATATCTCCTGAACTAGTAACGTCTTTATGATTATATTAAAATTAGCCAGTAGATTTTGGAGAGCCTTCAGTAAGGATAGCTCTCTAGGAAACGATAAAGCACGGACTATAGTACTTTTATATACTTCCGTATCGCATAGCAGAGATATTGGGGAAACCAGATCACAAGTAAGATACTCTAGCTATGCTGATTACCTCCAAAGCCTTATCCTAATACTCTATGAGAAGTTTACAATCTTACGATTTGTCCGGAGCGTGGCAATGAATGGCCGGATGGCTAAGCAAGACAACGGATCATGTTAAACGTATGGTCTCGAGTCAGAAGTCAGCCACGCTTATTGTACTAAGCTGGTAGGCCAGCATTCTGATCAGACCGGCCGAAGATTTGGGTATTTGGTTTATATATGGCCTCTCTAGTGTTACGCGGTGCCTGATGGGCACTGTGACTAGAGCTGTGCCGGGGTATACTTGCCCAGTTCCACTGCTAATCCCAAGAGTATTTCTCGCAATTGTACCTTTGCTATGCTAAGCCTTACACGGGGTCGGGCCTTATTGGGTATCTTGCAGAACGTGCCAGAGCGCACTCCAAGTAATCCAGTCACTAGGTGTTACCACGAAGTGAGCTCTTCTACTGAGGTGAACTGTGAAGTGTAAAGTACTAAAAGGTAGTAACCAAGTAAAATGTGTAAATTGATCGCGACGAACTAAAGTTATGACACTGAATGAGTATCCTTGATGCGGGTATATAAACAGGAGATTGTCCTGCCTGAAGACATGGTGTCCTTGATCAGTCTGACTGATCACCGAGCATGATTGTGTAAAAGTGCTTGCACTCTTGCTCCTTAGGAGCTACTCGTCTTGCATTTGTTGCTCTTGGGAACTTATCGGTTGCCGTTCTTGTTGGTTGCGCGTGACTCCGACAGGTGTCATCTTTCTTGAGGCTTTTCCTGGCTGTTGTTTTCCCCCTCAAGTTGCTGACGGTCCGCCTCGTGGCACTCTGTATATGTGCCGTTCCATTACGATGGCAGTGCGCTTGGGTTTCTCACCCCCGTTCCAAAAGAAGACTCAAAGGAAGAGGATTTTCAATGAGAAATTGACAGTATCTGGCTCGGTACGATCATTTGCCGTTTTTTGATCTTCGCATAACTAGACGCAGCATGGGGCACTATTTGAAAATGCAATGTTAAGATCTTAACCAAGACTCTGAGTTGCCCTCTATTTTTGGCTATTCTTCGTCATCCAACCCGGACTGCGCGTATTGTGAGTGCATCTAATGTATCATCTAGCCAATTATGTCGTCTACGTGCTGTAATGTGATAGTTTTCTTAGGAAGCTCTAATTCTAATTTCTACCTGTCACGGTCTGTCTCAAAGATGGATATGTGTGATATTATTAACATAATAATAATAATAATGGAGAGCATAAGACATATTTGAAGGACTTGGACTATTATCTATGGGATTGTGTAACAGAATTTCGTGAAATATTCCTAACTTATTTCACATCATACTATAATTATGAGTTATCTCGTAGGGAACTTTACTATATTGCTATAAGAAGCAAGAAAGAGACAGGAAGGAAGGCAACGTAAACGCATTGTGATTAGACTGGCATAGAAAATCTGCTGAATCTCTCTGTCGGGGTCTTATGGCCACTCACAGATGAGCTCCCACCCAATTCACACTCGGGGACCACCCTAGGTGGGACATCCGCTTGAACGTCAGTTTCGCACATTTGTTCAATTCCTGGAAGAGAATTCATGCTCGCTGCTTCCGTAGAAACTCAGTTCTTGATGTCGAATTTGGGTCAAAATAGGGCTTCTCTCCGACACCAGCAACACGGAAGGTGGTTCTTTCTCCATCGACAACGTCGCTGGACGGTATTTGAGTCAGATTATCTATTATATTAACGGATAATGCGGGGACTTACTATGTTGGATTGTGATGCACGGCGCGGCTATGATTGTTTTGGCTCCAAATCAGCATTTATTGTGTATATGATAAGAAAAATGTGGATGTTAACTTACTTATCCCAGATTGCAACCCCATCATCGCCCCAACGCTTGCGAATTTGGAGATTAGAGTTGTCGGTAATGACGCGGAGAACTGCAACAGGTCTGTATAAGTACAAACGTTATTAGTTAAAAATTATCCAGACTGTTGACTCACAATATTGCTTCAGCAGGTTGCTTTCGTCCTCCGTCATATTATCAAAGCTACCATCAATCAACCCCCACCCGACACCATAGAGGCCTTTCCAGCCAGTAACGGGATTGGTTCGAACAACAGGGCTGCGAGACCGTCAGCTTTCACATGATCACAGTCAAGGACCGGGGGGGAATGTGAGAAAACAAACTGTGATGCTTTAAAATCGAGGTCAACATTCTCCGGGTGGCCTCGCTTAACATTATCATGAAACTTGAAGCCAACATCCTTGTGTCGGAGATACTCAGCTGCATGGTGAGTAGCTAATATAAATTAGCAATTCCTAGCTCATTAAGTTGAGACATCGAAAATAGTCACCGGTCAAGCTCTCCGCAAATTTCTGCCACGGATTAGAGAGATATTCGTAGAGACCATAAGAGGAAACAAAGAGAGTGTCACCGCCAGTGGGCGGGCTTTTGGCAATCTTGAAGCCAGTGTATGCAGGAGGATACTTCTCATGAGACTCGCTAGGATGATATTCGATGGTTAGATTAGTCTCTAGGTGATAAGGCTGCCGTGGTAGATGTGTTAACTCACTCACTATGCCACCCCCAACTTGCGAACTTACGAGACCCTACTGGCAAGGCGACATTGAAGTTCGTATTTTGAACCTAACCAGAATGATTAGAACAAAGAAGGCATCGATTCTTGCTAGACATCCACCCACAGCAGATGAAAGAATGAGAATATCAGGATCATCAACCTCAGGAATGTTCAACTCCTCGTTGCCCTTGATAGAGAAGGCGTGACGATGTAAACCAGCTTCCTTGGGATTCCCCATTAATTCACCAATCTTCAGGATAAGTCGCTTTAGCTCTGATGGGGCTATATCCTGATGATCAAAGAAGAGAACTCCTCTTTCGGATGCTTTATGGAGACATTAGTCCAATGTGTTGCTACTGAGTCAAAGGAAAAGACGGCCATCATACCAGTGATCGCAAGGTCACGGACTATTTCCTCATCATCGATTATAGAAGATAGCTGGAGCCCTGGATATTCCCTTCCAAGAGCAGGACTGGTCTCAATGTACTTGAAATTGTCCAGAGCTCCGGATTTTCTATGAGGGAGTGGGTGACAGGGAGCTGGTTCGCCGGCAGTCATCATGAAGTCGGCTTGGTATGATGTCAAACTGAATTCAAGCCTCGGCAGCAGAAAGGTTTTGCACTTGGTAACTATTGATGTGCATCAATGTGGCTACAGGAAAGTGCTCTCTACCCTTGAACTTCGCATACTTATAGACCGTGGGAAATAGAATGGCGGTGTGCGAGTTGAAGGCAGATGTGCATACCAGACCCATTTTGAGAATTGTTCTTCCTTTAGGTACTATAGATCAACCTACTGAAAGTGGCATAGTCCCTTTATGCTCAAGCAGGGGAACCCGACGGTGGAGAATCTCCCAGTGGGGCCGCTCAATGAGTTCGTGCGACATGCATTAATCAGGCTACTACGCCATGCAGGGTAGTCATTATCCATTGCTGCCGAAATTCCCAAGTGGCCTTTAAGATGCGTCATCTTCTCGATGTACCGTGAGTGGGAACTCCTACTCCTATATGCATGAGGTATACACAGCATTACTTGGCCAAGGTCTGACTCATATACATGTAAAGAGTACCTCGCCTGCATCATCTGAAGCACCTATCAAAGTGACTGACAAATTCACTTGCATATGCATAAAAGAACAGCCCCTTGAGTGTTTTTAATGAAGTAAATCAGAAACTATCAAGTTGGATCAAATTCTACATCACAATAAGACATGTCTGCCCGCATAAGCAAGGTAACTCCTTTTATTTCGCTCATCGCTGCGTAATATACTACGTTCCCAGATATCCTCCAACTTGCTACACTCTTATTCACTCTACCCAGACCAACTCTAACTGGCCTTTTTTGCTCACAAAATGGTTACCTTTGAGGCATACCAGCTCACCTGCTTCGATCATCTCTTCTCTCTCTTCTACGGTGGATGTGCTCTATCATTCCATATCTCTTGTCCCGAGGAAGCAGTCCCAATATTGTGTGGAGGTTTGGAACGCCTTGTTTCTCATTTGCCCTTTCTAGCTGGAAAGGTCAGCCAGAGTGGGAAAATAGCGGGGGTCCATCCTATTCCTACCACCACCTCTGGCAGCTCGCCGCCAATTGCTGTCGTACGGCATTTTCCCAAGCTACGCCTTCTTTGCAAGCCCGGCTCCCGCAGTCAACTCTGCAGGGATTATATACGTGATGAATCACTCATTCTTGCGCCCTATGAACTATGTTCTCTCGCCGGCACTCCGGTGGCAAGATTCCAAATCAATGTTCTCGCGGACGGTATCATTTTGGTCCCCTGGGTCAACCATATGGCAATCGATGGTATTGGCGTCGACAATATGACCAGAGCCTTGTCCATCTGCTGCCAGGCAGATAATAATCCCCTAAAGGCTCGTCAACTGCCGACTGATCCTTCTGTAGAGGCAGACACAAGGGCAGTTCTGGCGAATTTCGCTAGGAGCCAGACGAATACCATCACAAACTCAGGAACGGAGACAGATGGCCCTCCTACTCTGGGAGAAGGAGAGAACAATGTATCTTCTCTTGTTGACTACAATTTCTGCTTTGCGGCCTCCAAGGTTCAAAGGCTAAGGAATTGTGTCCGGAGTCTCTGGCCTGAGAACAAAGACAGCGATCAACCGATCCCGCGGATCTCATGCGATGATATTGTCACCGTATTTATCTGGATAGCTTTGACTTCTCTCCGACAAGATGGGATGAGTATTAATCATGGTACAATGAAGTCCACCCTCACCAGGGCTGTAGATATCCGCAACCGATTCAGCAACCCAATTCCTAGCACCTACTTCGGCAACTGTGTTGTGCTCTTGAAGGAGAGCCTTCCACTTGAAGTGCCGCAATGGAGAAATACTCTTCCTGGCGATGATGACCAAAAGTCATGCAGTACTCTTGCGCCTGTTCTCCACCGGGCAGCAGACGTTCTACGTTCACGTCTCCAAAGCCTTGACGATCAGTACATCCGTGAAATCTTCTCATCGCCACACCTCCCCGATGCTGATCCCGGTCCCAATGTCTTCGTGAGCAGTCTCCGTCATTTGAGCTCCTACAAGCATGATTTCGGGCCAGTACTCGGACAAGCAAATGGATTCCACTTGCTACCATACATGCGCCCAGATGGTGTTTGTACCATCATGCCTAAGCGGCCCGACCAAGACGATTGGGAAATTATGGTAACTTTGAACCCAAAGGATATGGAGCTCTTACGTCAAGATTCCTGGTTTCAGTGGATGTCGCAAACCACGACGCCGATCACCTTATTTGAATCACTTTGATCCATTCACCTTGTCCCATAGCAAGAACGACAATATAATTATCAATGCGCCCTTCGTACTAAATTGCCTCGTCGGGGCACCTGAAACGTTATAACTATGCAAAGTATTTATCCAAATGCACCTTTCTTCACGGTGCCATAACAGTAATGTGAAGTTCAAGCTCTTTAAAGTATAATTCAGATCCACATGTAAAAGATCTAGCCCATGTAGGTGAAACATTCCAAATCCAGGCAGATGAAATCGCGGAGGTATTTTCAAGCGATATTTGACCTCCACCAAAGTATAGGGTCTGGCGAAATGAGTCTACAGGACTGAGGATATCAAAATGGGGTTTGAGGAGAGGTGCGGATGTCAACCGGAAGGATGCGACAGCCTACACTGCACCTGGATTAACGGCGATTCAAACTATAAAAGCTCGCTATGCAGCTACCGACCAGCATGAATATATAGTTATGGTTGAAAAAACGTCCGCTACCGTGTCGCCAGAGTCAAATCGTCTGCGCCATTGTAGGATTGCCTGATCGCCGGGTTTAGTACACTCTGCCGTGGTAGGCAATACGGAAGGGCACTTCATCATTGTTGGTATGGAAAGCGAAAACATTCGCCTAGGAGGTACAGATAATCAATTTATTGGTGAGAGGAGAGGAAAGGCTTTCGAACATGTGTTACCGATTAGAATTGTTGTCCTAAAAGCTCCAATTATGCAAAGCTGAAAACTGTCCCAAAAAGGGCCCAGAAGAAATTGAAAAGCTCATGGGGCTCATTAAGATGTAATCATAGATTCAGAAAATCTGAAAGGATGATTTTAGTGCGGAGAGGGCTTTGAAAGTTCGTTTGTTCCTTTCCGAGCCTTCTATTTCAATGCTGATTTGCAGCAACCTAGGAAAAAATGGGATGCGGCTAGGGGGCAGATACTAGCCAATTATGTGAGACAGATAAGCGGATTTAGATGCAAGTAGTTTGCTGCAGTCGAGGAGCAATTGCTTTTAGACCAATTTGGTAACGACAACGCGAAAGAGGTCGACAAAAATACGGAAAATTGTACTATATCCCTGAATCCTGCCACTGACCTTGGAAACGTCTACAAGCAATTACCAGAACGGGAAATTGAGCTTATATCAAGCAATAAGAGACATATTCCAACCTCATTACCGAGAAGACATTACGCTAGGCTTCGACAGGATAGCAGAAATCTACTCGCTACATGAAATTCCTTTCCTAAACCGGGCCCGAAGGTAAATAGCGCTCGTCGGCTCTGCCACAAAGTGGTCCTTCCAGCCTAGAGCCGTCGGGATTGGCTCACATAATTCCATATCAAGACGGTAGAAGAGGTCAGCTAATCCTAGCTGTAGCTTAATTTGAGCCAAACTAGGTTTTCGGTTAGTAGTCTACTTCAGTAGTATTCATGTTGATGATCTTACTTGATCCCGATACAAGCACGACTTCCACGACTGTACGGGTTAAGGTATCGGTCAAGATCTGTTCTATCTTCTCGTAGCCACCGTTCAGGTTTGAAATTGTTGGGCTCAGGGAAGATTGTCTCATCGAAGTGCAGTGAGTGGTGGGTAGCAGATACGATGGTCTACAGCAGAAATTAGCTGCATTGATCAAAGGAAAGATTTGAACTGAAAAGAAAAAAAAAACCTACACCAGCTGGGATGAAGTAACGCCCAATTCGCAGCCCTTCCGAAGGTACCACACGAGGCAATGGCCCCGGAAGTGCTGGCCATATCCGGTGTGCTTCTTTGATGATAGCATTCTGCAATAACGGTGGTCAGGGAAGCCTACTGACGCTGGTAAACAAATACTGGACTGACCAGGTAAGGAAGTCTCCCTAGTGTGCGGACATCAGCTTCATTAGTGCCATTGCACCAAAGCTTCGCGTCGTTCAGCTCGTCCACGAGTTTCTTTTCAATTTCTTGATTGCGAAGAACGTAGTACACCGCTGCTGCCAGTGTTCTACCGGCGGTGTCTACCCCGGCATCAATGAATGTAAAGGCCTCTGCTGCCAAGTAGTCGATATTAGGCGGGTTCCCAGTAACATCGTAGCTATGTGCTACTAAGAGCTCGATTACGGATGCCCTAGTTCGATCAAGGTCAGTGCGGATAGACTTGATCATTCGTGGCTTTGTGTAGTCTTCGCAGGTCTATGACGGATTAGTCTTCCAAGGTTCTTTTGGGTAGAGACATAGATGAACCTTTTTGAAATTGAGCACGCCAGCAGGCATTAACTTATCTGCTAGCACGGATGGGATGATTTGGTTGACGGCTGCCATATATGGGAAGAATCGTACTGTAAACAATTTTAGCTCTGCTTTATGATATTGTCTGAAGGTTCATCACTGATTGACTGACATAGGGGTATCATTGCGGATAATCCGTCGACAGTCTCCAGAAGCTCGGGCTTGGTCTCTTGGTATTCAACTAAATCACCACAGTCTCCTAGCAGCGTTTTGCCTACGACATTGATCTTCCCGCAGTTCAGTATACAGAGCAGCTTCTTTGTGTAGACGAACTCACTTCAAGCGCCCGGAAGAGATCGTTGATGTTGTAGGTCTTGTCTAGCGCCGATTGTTTAACCATGAAGTTTTCCATACGCCGAAGCTGCCGTAAAATTCCAGGAGCATCGGCTTCCGCCGCCTGTTTCGAAAAGCGTGGACTGAGAGCTTTACGACGAACTCGGTGCTCATGGCAATCACTCAACGAGAAGATAGAGCCATCGTTATCGGCGCAGGTATAAAAGGTATGGTCTTTGTGGTAATTTGTGCCGTTGCGGAAGATCCTGTTTCTTGTTTGTGAGAGCAAAATCTAGACAGCTACAACATTGTTGAATTCTTACTTCTCGTATGCCTCAATATCCTTGATATGAACATGATCCGGACCAATTCTGACGACGGGCGATTCTATGTAGCTGGATCAATATCTTTCAAGTCGGCTGAGAAATAGTATCAACACGACATACTGTACTTTCTATGCAAATCCGGATATGTCTTGCACCACTGACCGTCTTGCCAGACATTTGTATAGAACTCATACCATCCGGATAGCGTGGCACTCCATGGTCCTGGAATGTGTCGAAGTGGATGGAAAAATAAGCGATGAATCAAACGATGGGCAATGAGGATGCTCAATGACCAGAGGAGTAGCCGTCCTATACCGAAGGACGACCAGCATCTACCTAGCCAAGAAGTTGCCTCTGAAATTGCTACTTCAGACATAACTGGTTAAGTGACTTGAAAGGAAACAACTTGAGCTCTGCTACTCTATTTTCTGAGCTTTGAAGGCGTGATCTGAGCCGACAGGATGTATTGATGCATCGGGAAACCGAAACATACGCTGATAATCTTGCCCATTTCATCCAATTCGGTTAGTTGGTGAAAGCTAGCTAAAGATATGCATGCTCCAGCCCCTTGATGCATGGATACCCTGACTTGCGGTGAAGGAATGCGAAGTACGATGCTGCAAAACTGCATGAAACATGCTGTATGACTTGGCCGCATTTCCAAAGTGGGCCTTGCATAGATATTGGCGCTCGGTTCGGGCCACACCGACCGGCGCGGTTACCTCCTGCAGCTGCAAGGGTTGCCGCTGGGACTCAGCAACGCCTTTTGCCCTTTCGTTTCGCCTAGAATATCGGATAGTTGAATTTTCCAAGTTAATAAAGCCTGTCTTGTTCTGGTCCCTGGTTTGTGTTGGAAGTAATTGTGTTCAGAGATACTACCGCCAGAATGAGAGACACTTGTATGCTACCCTTCACGAAAGAGCAGATCACTATGACTGGTGAATACTGCAGAAAAAAAAGTTCTACGCTTCCGGTCTCCATTCTTGAACAGATCAAGTTCACAGATCAACTACACAAGGACGAGGTTGTTATGGCGCCCTCAGAGTCGCAGTGTTCCTGGTTGCTGAGCTTTACCCGGGCTCTACGGCCCAAACGAAGTACGTTATTGTTAACCTGGGGCTTCAAGATCAAATTCATTGAGGTCAAGCGGCTGAAAAATAAATAGTCCTTGAGCTGGGCACGTTTACCGGTGTGAGTGCCCTTGTTTTTTACGAGGCGACAAAGGAGGGTACTGCGGAAATCGTTAGCATGGATATGTCGGAAAAGTACCTCGAATTCGCTCAAGATGCATTCCGTCGGTACGGAGCGGACGAACGAATCAAGACTGTCCAGGGACCTTGCTTGGACATGTAAGTTTAACCATTTTCCTAATACGTGATGGAAATCCGGGAAGTTCACTTACACATGGCTATGACCAGGCTACCGACATTGACCGGCCAATTTGACCTCGTATATATCGACGCGGCGGAGGAAGAGTACGAGTCGTATACCCGCTACATCTTGGACCACAAACTCCTCTCGCCTAACGGAGTCATCTTGGTCGACGATGGTAAGCATTGACACCTCTCCTCTACTCCCTGATGACATTGCTAAACCTTTGACCGCGCGTAGTTCTCCTCGAAGGCCTGGTCGTAGACTCATCTATCGCTAGAAACTTCCCAGAGGAGATTCAAGAGCCATACCTCGCTATTGCGGATAAGATGAATGCGTTCAACCGCTATGCTGCGAAGGATCCGCGGGTCACGACCACAATGATTCCTCTTTTCAATGGAGTCACTCAGATCATGTGGAAATAGGGATTTAGTTTTCACTTGTGTGTGGTTATAGATCTTCATTAATCAATGTGTTTCATGGAGATAAAATCTGCTCAACTACGCCCTGCAGTTTGAAACAAGGATTTTCAGCTGTCTCACAGTATTCTATAGCATGATGCTACGGCGTAGTAAGAGACTACGATTTTCCTGGCCTTTAAAATGGTTCTGATGGTCTGAGCCCTTCGGAAAGAGTGATGAGATGCTTGCTGCAGCTACTGGCTTTCCGACTGGATGCTCGATTTTTAACACCTACGATATCTCGGTGCTTCCTGATAAGACAAATTCAAATCCATACGTAGAAGTAAGTGTACCATACTACTTATTCCTGGCCTTAGCTATTGGAAGTACTGCTCGAAGTCATAAGCCAATCACTGTCCGTGCACGACCTGCCAGCTGTCCGCCCTTTTGGAGGAGGGAGCACTAGCATCTTCTAACCGAATACACTGTACATGCTCTCGCCGCGACGCAAACTTCGCTCTGATAAACAGATGCAAAATGAGATATACCACACACACCACACCAGCAATAGCCGCATAGATAACCATTCCCGTTTTTAGGGATCCAGTAACTGGCCCCTCCCACCAAAATCCAAGTCCGCCGTTGATTACACCAAGAGCCAGCATGGAACGACCTAGCCACCGGTGTCCGAAAGAAAAGTAGCTCTTTTCCCCGTTCCGCTTAAATCGAAGGTGATGAGCCCAACCAAGAGCCGGTTGGATGAAGGTTAGCGTTGCTACAACAATGATACCGATGATGGGATGCGCGGCCGGTTGACTGTTTCCCCCTATCCACATCTTCAGACCCAGTCCAGCCCCCGCTATTGCCGTAGCCAGAGCGAGGCCCTGTAAAGGGGCATGGACGGATATCACAGGAATTGTAATAAAGCTTGAGAGAGGAACGAGAAGAGCAAAAGTGGGAAATAGCAACACAAATGCAAGTGCCATCATGTATCCATGTGCGGTCGCCATGTACGGCAGATTTTGGATTTCTGGGCTTGATGAATCTGTGAAGACGCCATCTTCAATATTGAAATTTGATGTTGACTGTGCGCGTCTCAGGTCAACAAGCTCCCTTCCAAAGGCGTCGTGATATTCGATGGGTGCCGAAACTTTCTCGGAGAGCAGGGGAGGCCCGTTTTTGTAAGCCCAGATCCAGCTGCTGGCCGAGTCGGTGGCATTAGATGCAACCCAATGAGCATCAAGGAAGTTTTTCCATTTGAATCTGGCCGTTATAGTGCCGTTCGCAATACCTGTACCTGGAAGTACGGTGATGTGATTCTCCGCGTTGTGCAGTGGGGGCACATGGCCTGTTCCCTCACGAGGGGAGACAACCACGTTCGTTGCGGATGATGCGTAGACAACGAAGATATTGGCTCCGGCCATCTGATTGCCACTTCCAATACCAATCCATTGAATGGAATCCGGGGCCTGGATTTGGAGGAGCAAGTCGCCTCGTGGGGGATCGTTTGAGGTTTCCGATGTGGCTATGGTGAAGGAGATGTCATTTCGCCCCGAAGGATGAAATCTCGCCGGCTGGCCCTCAATACCTATAACTGAACGGTTGGTTAGTGAAATGTAGGCAATTAATCATTGATGGACACCATACACAGACTAGCAGCTACAGTGAGCCCAATCCATGAATATTGTTTCATCGCGATGGCTATATCCCTGTTAAGCCTTGTTGTTACAACACCGCACTCGGGATTGAGAACTAGGCCTATATGTCTACGAGGACTACTATATGACTGATCATCGGTTAACAGTATCCCCCTTTCCTTGCGGCACAAATGGACCGTTGTGCTCTGGTGGGTCAGAGAAGCGATCTGCAACAATATTGGACAGATGGTTGCAAGCCTCCTACACAACATTCAACACAAATCCCTCCTTTCCAAATCTACTCTTTACTCCGTGGTGTGGAAAGGATTCTAGTGTCTCGGCCAGCAATTCATCACTCATAGATCGAGCTACGGTAAGGGATATACCTCAGCAGGCACATCTCATGGGTATAACTCCTTAATCTGCCGAAATACACAGAAGCCTTGCGTTATAGTGGGGCAAATAAGAGAATAGCATCGTTATACTACATGATGGCCCTCAAATACTTGCAGTGGGGACTCCCTGTCCACAAGCCAACGCCACTTGACATTCTTCCTCAGCCGCTCCATATCCTCCCGTCCCAGCGTTACACCAACTTCCCAAGCATCGTCACCAGCCCTACGATGTGGCATAATTGTACAAACCCCTTCGGGATTCATGTAAGGCAGCATCTCAAAGTCCTCGACTTTACCGAGGATAGGGCCAAAATATTCTCCATAGATATTCAGGCGACGAATGCTCGTCACCGCAACATCTGGCTCGTGCACAGATGTATTGGCCCAGTCGCTGGCCGTTTCATAATGCGAGAAGTAATCACGAATGAAGAGATCATCAACTTTATCAAGCCGGCTCCGCAGTAAGCGGGCGACAGGGGCGATCTGCCGTGCGAACGCTTGTTCACCGGTTTCGCTATCGGAGGCCTCTTGCCCTAACTCCACGGTAGTCAAGGCTTCATTGAGCATAATAAAACAATTTCCAACGTAATATGGTGAAACATGAGGACGGAGCTTGTGACGAACATTGACGACCCGTTGGAGCTTGCATACAGACGCAGGAAGACCCCTTTGAGACAGCCGGTGGGGCCGAGATCTACCGAGACATGTCCAAAGAATGGCTGTAAGGATGTCATCTTCAGAGACAAATCCAGATCCTAGGTTCTGAATATGTTCACGCAATAGCTTGATCTTAGTGCCCGATATGAAAAATTTATAATCAAGCAATAATGAGTCATGCACTTCTTCGTGACCGGTACCTGTGGGGACCTCCAAGATTGGCGGCGAACGGATCTCAGGATGGCCAGGCATTTTGTTTCGCTCAAGTGTGACAAGCAAATTTTCCCGGGTATTCTGCTCGCATTCAATGTTGCAGGGGATGAAAGTAGCACCATTGCAGCAAGCCGCTAGTGACTCGAGCAGCGCGCCGATCCCAGTCCCGTCAATCACCATATGATTGAAGAATAGCGCAACAATGATTCCATCATCCAGAACGTTGATTTGGGAGCGCATCACTGGATGGTCTGTAGGGGATGCGGCAATATGCACAGGAGCCATGATGAGAGTTGCGTTGCGGTCGTACTCTCCAACATTCTTTGATCTAGAAGAATCCATCCTCGAAGGTAATCGAAGATGCGGTAGATGCTGAATAATGCAGAAATCTGATATAGCTTCGCCTTGACGGGGAGGACGCACTTCCATCAAACCGACTTTGCGAGCCGAGGGCACAACGAGCCCCGCCAGAAACGGAAGATGGCATACCAGCCTTTCAATAGCGTCACGTACGATGTCGACTCCTTCCTCAGGGTTATTCAATCGAAAGGAAATCGTGCATCCTGCGTAAAACATTGGAAATCCATAATCCGCTGGAGTAAGCTCGAAGCTGTCGAAATCATGGTGGACTGCCATATTTCCTGGGCAAAGGGTTAGATGGACTAGGAGCGATAATCTAGCGGAGAAGAAAGCGTGTTCAATTTATGTTTTCAGAGAAGATTATTCTTCAAATTTCATTTTGTGAAAATAGGCCAGACAAGCTCGTCATCTTAATTGACCGATCATCGGGGCAAATTGATCTGAATAATACCATTTTCTTATTTGATACTACCACTATATGACTGCAGCCTTAAAGGCCTAAAAATTGAAACTGAGTTTGTAATAGTACTCTTTTAAATCGGCTTCACAGTCACCCCTGGGAATCAGGTCTGAATAAATCATTCACACATGAAAATAATTTCTCAAGCTTCCTTTACATTCTGCCCAAAGTTGAAATCTTAAACAAAAAGGCGTCTGATTTGTCTACTTATAGCTTCAAATCTTATGCTTGATGATATAGGTCAATCGAAATGATATTGGTTCATTACATGGAAAAACATATCAAAGCCGGAGGAGGAAGAGAAGAAAAGCCCGAGGGAAAGAGCTCAAGAACACAGCAGGTAATAATCCAAAGCCTCAAACTGATACATCAGGAATTAATCCCTCATTTTTGGAACTGCCTCCCAAGTTTCAAAGTCACAGCTGTCATGCCTTGATACTCGTCTGCAATTTATATTATTTAATACAATTTCTCATATATGCGTCGTAATTGTTTATCTTGCTGCAATAAAATAATAGTCTCTGAATCATGACTGAGTCATAATTTGGATTATTCAAGTAATCCACCGGTTTTGTCTTTGCTTTTCTATCGCATATGCGAGGTGTCATGACATATTGCTTTTCGAACATAATTCCAAAACGCCAGTGGCGATTTCGACTTTTCTGTGACAAATTGTGGTTATAAACCTTGCAAATAGGTTCAGAATTCAAATTTAGCTTCATTAATACAAGATGTGTCTGTTTTACGTTGATCGTATTAGCTATTGTTAAAGTCCACATGATAACGATTGTATTAAGCACATACTTTAATACTAAGCTGAAATAGCGGTCAAGCACGTGGTGTTTTATAATTGGATTCTGCACGACTCGTGTGCAGTCTAATCTCCATACTCGTAGCAAAATTCATACGCCTCAGTACTCATCACATCGCGCAAGGTCTTGTTCTGTCCCAGCGGACCCCATGTGACCTGCGTATCCAAATCAACTTCTGGCGCACTAGCCGGATTTCCCATCACGCTGGTCCCATTCAGCGCGTACTGGCGATTCGCCGGATCATGTGCCTGCCATAAAGTCCACACTCTATCGACCATTGCGTGATGAAGCATGAAGGCAGGTTCCTGGGGCGCCGTCCAGAAGTCATCCATTGCCCGCCCAAGCTGCATATGCGCTGCCGCATGTGGGCCCATAATCCCTGCCTCGCTCAGCTCCGGCCATACGCTCACGTCCATGTTGTGTTGTAGATCCACGATGTCCGGAGTAGACAGAAGACGGTCGACATCAGCCTGGCTTGTGAAAGACTGGGCTATGAAGTTATTCAGATTTCGGGTTAGGCAACGTGGCGTGTAGGCAAAGGCATTTTCTGGAAAGACATCGCCTGGGGCTGAATCTAGATCGGGAAGGTTGAGGGTAATGTTTGCGAACGGTCCATTTGTGACGCATCCTCCTCCAGAGCCCGTAGGTATTGTAACATTTGTTGGCGCGAGTGTCATCGTGTCGTTTTGGTCCTCAGCTGGATCGCCATTCCCAGACAAGGAAGTATCGCTACCGTCGAACAGTGGACTTGCGGATAAGTTGTTGGCGGATATTGCCCAATTCCAATACCTGTGCGCGGCTTCGTTAGACACAACTTCTCCCCCAAGGGAGAAGTGCTATACTTACGGTTGATAGCCGGGGTAACCACATTCCTCGCGTAGGGCTTTCTCCCATAACCAGACAAAGCGCCGATGCCAACCAAAGAAAATACCGCTCAAGTGGATATTGAGTGTGTAGTTGATGTGGGTTCTGTTCTTATAAGCTTTACTCTTGGGGTGAATGGTTCGGTTCACAGAGTCCATACGCTGCGAAATCATCCATTCGATGGCGAACACCCGGGTACTGTTCTGTCGGGAGAATAGGCGGTTTCTCTCGCAGACAATGGACGGCATCGATATAGTCGAGACGCTCCTGTCGCGAGAATGACCCCCTGTCAAAAATATTAGCGAACTTGTTGATGTTCTTCCTGATGATTGAACTGACCATTCCCGACGGATAGCCCGATTGTTAGGGTCGCATCTCTGGGCCGACACAACGGCGAGTAAGAGAAGCCAAACTTGTAGCATGGCGAGTCGATATACAGATATCTTCCGTTTCGTAAAGACTTGTCGACTGCCCGGGGGATGAGCTCCATAATATAGTTGGAACTCTTTCCTACTCAAGGAATGAGACCGCGTAGTACTCGCTGATTTCTTTTTTTTCATTACTGTGTCCCTTACTTACAATTGACGTATTTGAAAACTGCTCGTTTGGTTTTTTCATTCGTGTAATGTTACGAATTCGGTTTCGCTTTTATGTGTTGTATTTTTGTAGATCAGCCATGAAAGAGCACAGCTTGCAAAGCCCGGGAAGATAAAATGCTGCAGACTTGAGCCTTAGAGACATAAAGAGAAAACCGCCGATAGATATGACCTAACATCGCCGATGTTTTCCAAAAACCCTGTCCACGCGATGTACCGGTCTGGGCGCACTAGGACAAGCCCACCGTTGTCTGGGCCTAACCCGACCGCATCATAAACAGACCATTCGTCGATGTAAATCTTAGTATAATTCCTCCCGGTAATCGAGTCGCAAGGTAAGAAAAGAGTAGGAAATGCCGTGAGCTCGACACTTTCCCACTTTGCACAATGAACTATAAGAGTGTCTAGTACTCCGGAAGTCGCATTTCGTAGCTCTGCCAATCTTTTGGCTAATTCATGGATACGCACCATCTGGGTCACTGACGAGACGTCACCAGCAAAAACGATCATGTTCCAGGTTTCATTCGACTTCAGAGCGTTGTGGATATGAACGGATCTGCCTGTGGCATGGTTGGTAATGGAGAAATCTGGCAGGCATTCGCCAGGCTGAAAGGAGCCAATCCCTTGCGCTGAAGGCGACGTCAATAATGCATCTGCGTAGCGGATAGCACGGCCCGCGAGGAAAACTCGCAAAGTCTCTGCTCTTTCAAGCAAGGAGGGTGTCTCATGGCCAAACTTGGTATCGAAGAGCTCCAGGGTGGTTCGGTCCGCCTGGAGGAGCTGCTTGGCAACAATCCCTCGTTCAGTGTCATAGGTTGCAAGAATCTTTGGATTTAACTGCCCTTTGATGACACCAGCGAGCTTCCAGGCAAGATTGTACGAGTCCCTGAATTTTTTTTCTTAGCGTATGTTGTCTAAAGCTGAGTGATATTACACATACTGAATACTTGTGTTCATTCCCATCCCAGTGACGGGCGAGTGTGTATGGACAGCATCACCCACCAGAAAGACACGGTTGAATTTGCTCAATGCAGTGCTCAGCTTTTGAGTGGCTGTAAATGCGGACCACCTGATCCTAGTAAGCCTTTGCGATAATTCATCTCGTACAGACAACAATCTTACCAGACCCAGCGGCGGACATCCAGCTTTATAAGCCAATGACTCGTATTAGCACTACCAAATAGGTGGACGGTTATGAAGAGACCTACCCTGTAGGGTCGAATCATATACTGGCATTTCTGGACAATAGCCTCTGGAGTGATATTCTCTCTGCAAATGTGCTTCCCTTCAGGCCCTTTGTTGAGCTCAACGTACATCCGTATGAGCCCTTCCTCGCGCCGCACAAAATCCAATGATCCATCAGTGGCGCTCCGTATAATTGATGTCGCTCCGAAACTAATATGAGATAGTAGTTAGTATGTCATTTGTCTTTCGCGGGGCAATAAACAGTGGCATATACTCTGGAAAATCCGAGCTCCCCGCAAAGTCCATTACTCCCCATACTGAGGCGCCTTTCTCCCCATTCATGCCAATATCGAGTAATGTTCGCGTCAGAGATTTTCCACCATCCGCACCGATCACGTACTTAGCCGTTATGATCTCGGTTACGATGCTCCCCTTTTTCATTTGTTGGACTTGGGTCGTACAGGGAAAGGCTCCTGGAGCAGTAAGTTGAGTGATGTCGATATTCAACTCACAAAGGGTTGTATGGTACCCAACGGTCATGTCGGCAATTTCGTATATCTTCTTCTTCATGATCTCTTCCACCGTTCCCTGCTGTAAAGTCCCATGCGTCCACCTAGAATATTCTTAGAAACGCTCTTCCTTACCCTATCTCTCGTGTGCAGGTGAGAACGCACCGAACTCCCATAGGCGGCTGATTCAGATACCGATCTGTCCTGACGAGCTCCCCATCCAATCCTCGGTACCAAATGGTTTCGTGTGTTGCTGGCTCCCAGAGCTGTGTTATTTGATTGTGAATACCCCAGCTTTCGAATATCTCCATGGTCTTCGGATTGAGGCTATGAGGGGGTACCGGATCAGTCATATCTTCTTCCTTATAAGCTAATAACATTGGCTCTCACCCATCAGCTTGGCCTATTCTGGGCTCGTCGGATCGTTTGTCGATAATTCGGAAGGGGATTCCTAACTGGGCCAGATACAATGCGGCAGCCAGCCTGAGCATGAAAGTCAGCGCCGAGCGCATTTTGGCATGATAACCATAATTGGCTGAGATGGGGAATTCTCACCCAGACGGGCCCTGTATAATCTACGTATTAGTCCGTCTGAGTAATGAAAAGCGAAGCATGAAACACATACGGCACCAATTATAAGCACGTCCGTAGTACTAGTTGAAGCGATCATTGTCCCTCGGCGAAGCAGGCGAACGACTTGGAGAGGCCGATTAGAAGAGGGGGAGTCTTTCTATCTCTTATTCTCTCTGGCCGAGGTGTCCGTGAGTTGTATGCGCGGTGCGTACTAATTCTAAATGGCGGTCAAGTACCATTTGATGCAGCTAATAATATCTTTGCATGCATGATTTATAAGTCTCGAGTGACCCGGAAGATAGCAGTCCGTAACTTGCACCGCTGTTAAATGGCTATATTTGTCCACGGTGTTTGGAAAGAAGTTTCTCTATCCACCGTCCAAGTCTCAAGTTAGCACTGGTTTAATTTTCCTGTCTAAGGATGTAGAAGGCAGTGTTTCATTGGGTTTTGGAGGATTAAAAATCGTTCTGCGGCTAAGTTGTGCTAACAAGTTTACTGGAAGTGAAAATGCTTCCGGAACCAGTCCTCAACAGACGTCAGGTTTTGCTCCTCCTTGGGCCGACCCAAGGCCGCTGCTGTGATCTGCTTCAGCGTACCAGCTGTCTCTTTCTCCGATGGTTCTGGTCCAAAGTACCGTCCCTGGTTGTTTTGAGTGAATCCGAACATAGCCTTTGTGTCATCCAACTCAGGTATCCCATAGGTGTTGAAATCTTCCCAGGACGGTAACGGTTGGAAGCGAGATTTTCGGCCGCTGAGCTTCTCGAAACTGGATACGAGGTCTTCAAAACTGCAGATATCACTGCAGCCGTGGACTATTTGGTCACGCCACCGAACAGGGTCGATAAACATGCCTTGGACAATGTCGCCAAAATCATCAGTCATGCTGATGAATGGGACTTCTTCCTTCCCGCCCCATTTGGGGGCAATGAAGGTGAGATAACCTTCGGCGTCTGGTATATAGGGGAAACCGCCGAAGATCGGTGCTATATCTTTCGACAAGAAGTTTTCAAAGAACCATGCAGCACATATGAAGCTAACGGTTTCGAACTTGCCAATATTGCGGGCGTATTGTTCGATTTTGAACTTCACTGTGTAATTTTAGCTTTGGACTTATCTGGGGAAGGTGAAAAGCAACAGAGTCACGTACTGTCTGCGGCATTCATCTTAACCTTGCCCTTTGTAAGGGTATGGCAGTCGGGACCAGAGCTGAAAATGAAATGGCGGACTCCGGCTTGGACTGCTGCGTCCACGATAGTCTTGCCCATATCAAACTCTGTGGGCCCGTCCGGCTTGAATTCCTTTGTACTCGTCGGTCCTCAATCCTTCTTAAATGCAGTACAATGCGAAGACATACCTTGTCGTCGGAATTGATATTCACGAACACACCCCACGTGCCAGAGAAGGCTTCCAGCATCGATTCGCTGCTGAATCCATTGGCTTGATGGATTTCTGCACCTTGGGCAAGGAGAGACTGGCTCGCCGCTGAATTTGGGTTGCGAGTTAGGGCTCGCACCTTGAAGGAAGGGTTTTGAAGAAGAGATTTGGCGACAGCACCACCTTGGTTACCGGTAGCGCCGAAGACAGTAATAAGAGGAATTGAGACAGTCATGACTAAGATTCAATTCGAAACGGGACTTCGAAAGCTTGAGATTGATGCGATCGTGTACAATCCGAATGGTTCATTTCATGGCTAGATATCTCTCTAGTCCAAGGGACACATACTGACGGCTTAGTAGCGGTGAGAAATTTGCTTGATGAGACTTGCAGCGACTGTCTCACTAGTGCTGTACCTAATTCAGATCTGTACCACCAAGATGGTTAGGTACTGCAGGCGCAGTAATGGGGTCATGCGGGCTATCTTATGAAGTTGGCATCTTGCATAATTGCCATCTTTACTCGATTCGTTCAACGTTACACCGCAGTTAATAGCTTCTAGTTCTGGTATTTGATTATTCTATTTTCCTTTCTTTTTTCACCTGCATATTCATAGATAATTGCATTTTCTGTCTTACCAAGTGTATAGGACAATGCTGCTCTTGACACTTACCGTATTTTAACTAGTTAATGAATTTCAGATTGGTAATCAGGTTAGCCCAAAATTGTTACACTAGGAATTAAGATGACGTTCCTGATCGACATATTACATAGATTATTTGAGTACCCGAAGGCTTGGAACATGATCGATGTTTACCTGGAGGAGAGCGGCTATTTGGGAATGCATTCGTGAAGATTCTTTTACACCGCAAGGTGTCTCTGTGGGCCTAGATCAAGAATATCGAGATTCCCACACCTTCATTGCTTATCCCTCATAGCAACATTTCTTAGACAGCTGTACGAGTCAAGTTTTTGCCAAGAGTCTCATGTAAGGATTTAGCATTGTAGGTGTTGTACAGCTTCAATATTGCATGCCAGCTCGATATCGAGAAATAGATGTCGGATATAAATATGAGTTGGTTGAATTTGGATGGAATAAAGCTTTTGGATATCAAATTATTTGACAACAAAGCCCTCACTGAGGGTTGACCGTGTCGGAGGGCTCTGAAGAGAAGTACCGAAACTATCTCAACATCACAGAATAATGGGGTCAATTACACCATCCTTCTCCGATTACGACGAGGCCGTTTCTCACGATCAAGGGTTGGGACAGATCTTCTATCAGCGGATGCGTGAGAACCCCTCTGCTGTGGCCATTGTGGATGAGCAGAGTCAGAGCCTCACTTATGAGGAGCTGCATTTCAAGGCGATTGAGTTAGCTCGGACTCTTACTCAGGGAACTTTCGACTCTCAAGAACGTGTTGGCATCATTGTCCAGCACGGGCTCTTAGACGCTGTCACGCAAGTCGCCATCATCTACGCGGGAGGCACCTGCGTCCCTCTGGATCCTCTCTTGCCAGACCAGCAAATTATCGACCGCTTGAAACGACTCGGTGCTCAGCGCGTCCTGGTCGACGAAGCCAATAGCAAACGCAGTCTCCCTTTTAAGCTACTCACCGTGGGAGATCTATTTTGCCAACGGTCTCGTACAACCGGAGCAGAATCTTCCAAGCTCCCAGTCTCGACAACTCTCACCCACTGTACGCACCTTATCCACACCTCTGGCACAACCAGCGAGCCCAAAGCCGTACAGATTGTCGCGCGTTCTATAGTCCATGTAGCGCATCATGCGCCCTATGAAGCCGTCCACAAATCCGATGTGGTAGGTCATGGCAACAGCACCAGTTTCGACGTAGCCTTGTTCGACATTTGGGGAGCACTCTCAAGGGGGGCCACAATCGGCGTCCTCAACAAGGCGACATTGCTCGATATACCGGCCTTGGGAGCCGCCATCCGCCGTCTGGGAATCACAATCATGGCTATCACCGCACCACTAGTGAACCTGGCTGCAACAACGCACCCTGATACATTCCAGCCGCTCCGATGCGTTCTTATGGGTGGTGAAGCGGTCAATCTCTGCGCGATGAAGGCGATTCTAACTGCTGGCCCACCAAAACATCTCATTAATGCCTATGGACCCACGGAGTGTTGCGTCTACTGTCTTACACATGAGATCACCATGGATGATGTCAAAGCTGGGCATGTAAGTATTGGTAGCCCCGTCGGGCGCAATGCGTGCTGCGTCTGTGATGAGGAGGGTTGTCCGGTTGCCGTGGGAGAGGAGGGCGAACTGCTCGTTGGCGGTCCTGGTGTCTCACCGGGATACGTCAACCAGGCCGAGAAAAACGAAAAGACATTTATATATGTTGCTGGAATGGTTGATCCTCATACTGGTGAGCCCTTTCGGATGTACCGGACTGGAGATATAGTACGGCTGAGTCCTGACGGAAAGCATGACTTTCTCGGGCGTCGTGATCACCAGGTCAAGGTACGTGGGTACCGAGTCGAGCTGCCGGCTGTTGACTCGGCGCTGATGAAGACGGGTCACTTTTCCGAGGGCCTTGCCATGCGCATAGATTCAAAGGAAGAAGGAGCCGGTGCAGCCCTAGTCGCTTTCGTGGTGCTTCAGGATAAGGCTAAGGTCAACGCTGTTGATGAAGCCATGGAGGCAATGCGGGCTTCTCTCCCAGAGTACATGGTGCCCCACATCGAAGTGATACCAGAAATCCCCCTCAATGCACACGCCAAGGTCGACCGCAGAAGACTTGAGGAGATGTACCATCAGCGCCGAGAGAAACACCTCTGTCCTCTCTACGGAGACCTGAGCGTGAAACCTGACTCCGTCAGCACGCAAGAGCACCTTGCTCGGCTCTGGGCTACTATTCTAGCCACTCCGGCCCCCGACTACTCCGATGATGACGACTTTTTTGCCCTCGGTGGAACATCCCTGCAGGCCTCGTTGCTCATCACTCGCATTCGACAGCAGTTGTGTACCGAGATCTCCTTGTTAACACTGTACGATCATTCCACGCTCAGTCGACTTGCTTCTATTATTGACCAAAATCGGGGTACTTCCACGCAGACCGTTCGACGGGAGTGTGACCTATGGGTAGCCGACACAAAACTAGGGGATGATCTTGAACTTCCGTGGGGGCCGGTAGTCGACTGGCGCCGTGATACAGAAGGTAGAGTGTTCCTAACAGGGGCTACCGGTTTTGTTGGTGCGTTCCTCTTGGCAGCACTTCTCGCTTTGCCAGACGTACGCCAGGTTGGCTGTCTTGTCCGAGCAACCTCCGCAGCTACAGGACTGGAGCGACTTCGTGGGACATTGGCCAAATACAATCTTTGGCAGGATACCTTCCTTCCAAAACTTCTCCCGTTTCCAGGCTCGTTAGAAGATTCCTGGCTCGGAATGGATGGGGAGCGATTTCATGAAATTGCGCACTGGGCAAGCGTGGTATTCCATCTTGGGGCCAGAGTCAATTACACCCAGCCCTATTCAATGCACCGGCCGGCTAACGTCATCGGCACGATGAACATCGCTCGGTTCGCTGTTACGGGTCGTGTCAAGGGACTTCATTACTGCTCTAGCATCTCTTGCTTCGGGCCCACGGGATTCATGACCGGTGCCCAAACTGTCTATGAAGACGCCCCGCTTTCAGCGCACTTGGACGCACTTCCATATGATCACGGTTATGCACAGAGCCAGTGGGCCGCTGACGAGCTGCTACAGCGGCTTGTCAAACGAGGGTTCCCCATCGCTGTTTACCGGCCTGGATTCATAACCGGAGACCGCAAAACGGGAGCTTGCAACCCGGATGACTTTTTCAGTCGATTAATTCGCGCCAGCGTGGACCTGCGGTGCTATCCCGACCTGCCCAATCAGCGCAAAGAATTTGTCCCCGTCGACTACGTGGTGGATGCGATGTTGCATATCTCCTCCTCCGTGTTTTCGTTAGGTCATTCCTTCCACCTGTTACCCAAACGCGCAGTATCTGTTGACATGACCGAGTGCATGGAGCTGGTGGCGCGGGCCAGCGGCGTTGTGATTGAATGTGTCAGCTACGAGGAATGGATCGAGCGTCTTTCAGTCAGCTCGCATGCCAGTCTCCAGCCTCTGCTCCCCATGCTGGCGGAAAAGGTTCACAATGGACTCAGTCGGTGGGAGCTGTACGAGAATATGCCCACTTATGATGACACGAATACAAGACGGGCGCTTGCAACGTATCCTGGTGGATTGATATGTCCTCTTTTTGACTCAGAACTGATGAAAAAGTACGTACGCTATCTGATTAATATCTGAGGAAGGGGGAGTCATCATATAGACACAAATATTTCGCTTGACCTTTTACCCAATTCGGAGTCTTTTCCATATCATCTAGAATTGAATAATGTTTTTAAATATAACAACCCTTTCAATATGACCTCAGATATTCAATTTTCTGGACTTTTCAACCATGATCCTTTTTCCTGCAGTTGGTTCAACCCTTTGTTACGCGGAGCCGACTGGTCACTGAGAGTTAGAACTTCCCAGGGTTATACTTGCCAAGTCCCACCACGGATTGCAAGAGTATCTCGTAACCGTACCGTTGCTATGCAAAGCCTTACTGTGGGTTCAGGTCCAGTTGAGTATCTTGCATGACGTGCCAGAAGTGCAAAGTGCTAAAGGTAGTAACCATGTAAACTATGTGTACACTGATTGTGCCTAGTAACATTAAAGATTGATTGCAAAGAACTAAATACAGAATGCGAAATGAGTGTCCTTATATACCAAGCCCTTCCTGGAGTAGATGGCCCTTCTTGGAGTATATGCTACTCCCGTAAGTATATCGACTCCTCGCGGTCACGTGCTCTTTTCACCATCACCTAGAATTGTGGTGTAATCCAGACTCTCCCAGCTCCAATCATTCTAATAACATGACTCTTCCTTCAAGATCCAGTCCCGATTCAAGTCCTTCGACTTTAATCTGCAAATGGTCACGATGTAACAAACCCGGCCCATTCGCCCTCAAAGCAACTCTGAAACGTCGCCTGGTGACCCAGCACGTGGATCCCCACTCGATTCCATGTCTGGACGAAGGGTGCGAGAGGGTTTCTAGTCGGAAGGACAACATGGTGCCGCACTTTCGGTCTGTCCATAGTGATGGCTTGTGAGGGATACAATGTCTAGGTATGACTCATGTGGAGTATCAGGATGGGATGTATGGTTGTGATGGATATTCATTTCCTTTATTTTTCGGATGTTTCTCTGTGTCTAGATTTGATCAACCTGATTTAGAAGTATATCGTTTGTTATCTTGTCAGATCTACTTTTACTATGAAGCACGTGATCCAAGAAGGATGCAGTAAGTAAGTATTCCTGTAGTCGACGAGATGATAGTATAGACATTAAAAGCAATCACAGCGCCGGAAAGACATGCTAGTAAACGAGCAAGAACTCCCACAAAAGAAGATAAAATCAGAGGCAGAAAGATTTCTATCTACCAAGTAAAAGCCTCCTCCACAAAATCCACCACAGCGCCTTTCCCAATTCTTCCCCTCGCCGCAGCTCTCACTTCATCCGCAAACGCACCAGGCCCACAGACAGAAACGAAGGTCGCACCCACACTTTTCGGCATAAGCTCATTAAGGATAACATCTGGCCTACACCGACCAGAGTGCATCTGGACCGTCGCGGATGGGGATACGATATCCGCCGCGCGCCGGGGCTTAGAAACGAACACCTTGACGATGAGAATATCGCGGCGACCCGGGAGTCGAAGGATTTGGTCCATCCATGAGCTCACCCAGGTGAGGTGATCTGTTGAACGGACGGACCAGATGAGGTAGACGCGACGGGTTGCGGCGCGGGCTGTCGCGGCTCGTTCGACGAGGTCCCGAGTGTACATGAGGTGGTGGGTTATACCCGCGCCGGCGGAGAACAGTACCGCAGTGCCATAGCTGGAGGCATTGGCAGGGTGGGAGCCATAGGGACCTTCGATGAAGCCCGGTGCGCGGAGGATCTGATCTGGTTTGCTGCGGGCGAGGTTGTACAGACGGCGGGTCATGCCCTGGCGAGCGCTAACGATGAGGGAAACCTGCGTGGGGCGGTGGGTGGGCTCGAAGTAGCTATCCAGCTCTTGGGATTGCTTCTCTAGAGCAGATGGACTGGGGAGTGAGTCGGGGGATTTGGAGTCATGATAGCGCGGTGACTGCGGGTTTGGACTGCTGGCTTCGGCCCAAGCGATGGAGAATGGGTGGGACATCCACCATGAGACGCAGGGGATGTAGGCAAAGACGTGGCAGCCGGGATCGATGCGTACACTTTTGGGCAAGTGGAAGGTTACCCGGCATGCTTCTCCTGGCAGGGCTTGGACGGTCATATGGGTGGAGCCGTGCTTGGTGGAGAGGTTGAGATATGCGAGGCGGATGAGGCGTGTGCTACGCTCGACAATCCAAATCACGGCAATACCGCTGGCCCAGCTGCGCTGTGGGAGGCTGTCCAGCTGAAGGTGGAACCATACGCCAAGGAAGGCGAGAAGCGCGGCGAGTTGATGCAGATGAAGGAATGTCTCGTAGAATGCATGCCGGATTGGCGAGGGCGAGTGCAGACCGAGGAAAACCATGGCCACCGTACCGACCAACCCCCAGGTGAAGAAGGGCGTGTCTCGCAACCGCGACAGCATGTCTCCCATGCCTTGCTCATCAACTGCATTGACGGCCCAGGCGACAGTATGAACGACAGACTCTAGCACGATCATGCGGCCCAGCCACCGGTGGAGAAGGTTGTAAGTATCAAAACTGATATGCAGGATCGAGATCAGAGGGTTATTGCGCGCTGCCAGCAGAAACAGTGGCACCATATTCAAGACGGCCAGCGTCCCTGAGCGCCCGCGCAGTTCTGCAATCAGCGCAGCTTTATTGTTGACAGCATAGTCTAGATAAAGACAGTACACCACTTGACTTGCAAAGTAGAATGTGATCAAGATGGTCTGGAAACGAGAGGGCAACGTGCCGATACCAACAGCCGAGGAGAGCTGAATTTCTCGATTATGCCTCTTCTTCCCCAGTGGAGAATACAATATATGCTTCTTCAGGCTGGACCACCACGATGATGTCTCCCGGCGCCAGTAGGTCTGCTGCCGCCCGTTTGCCGTAGATGAGGTGATTTGGCGGAGATATGCATGACTGATCAGTGCGATACGGCCACAGAACACACCGAAGGCAAGAATGATCACCGAAGAGTAGATGATGCGGGTGATGATAACATCGCGCGGGACGTCGACACCACCCAGTCCTCTCGAGTACTCGTAGACGTATGTCTCGTTAGATCCGTAGTCTCGTGCCGCAAGTTGCGGGCCAGGCGTCGCCATTGAACTGTCCCCGGGGACACCTGTTCAGGGCTGTATGGCTTATCCTTGTTGCAGATGTGGTTGGCAGGGGATTTGATCGAGGTGACGGAGGATCTTATGGTGGCGAGCCGTGGTGGAGTGACGTGCAGGCCACGGACCGAAATTCTCGCAAGATGAACGACGTTCTACCGGGGAGATCTTGAGCCAAATTTCAAGATCTGGGAAGGTCGATCAAGCGTCGAGGGTGGTTGCGGGGAGTCGACAGAGAATGCGATGATCGAGTGTGGTGACGTTGAAGGATGAAATGAAATCAGAGCCAGGAAGTCAAAGGACGATCCAACGGGGTGTAGAATGGCACAGGGATCTGCGAGATGATCGGGGGTAGAATCGGGCGCAATGGCATTCACACCGTCAAAGGAAGCCTTGTTGCTGCTCTTGTGCCGATGTCAATAGGAAGGTTGGATGTGAATGACAATGACGCTGCTAGGCAGGCGTGTAGGCAGTGAACCAGTCAAGAGTGAGAGACGGGAAGGGCAGTCAACGGATGATCGGTGGAATCTGAATTCAATAAGCAGATCGGCAAGGCTTAGATTTTCCGTTGCTTGCTGAGGAGCAATGGCATCGTCCAGGACTTCGGGAATGTAGGCAAGGGAGGTCGATCCGGCCGACTGGTCAGCACGTTTTCCACGTCAGTGGGTGAGGCAAGTCCAAACAAGAGGCAAACAAGGTAAGTGAAAGGGCAAAGAGACAAGATGGAGAGAAGAAAATGTCAAAGCGAAAGTAAGTAGGTCTACGGTCAACGCAGAGCCGAAACGGTCTATTCTATGAGGCAAACGCAAGGTGATTCGAGAAAGCCCGCCGATCGACCAAGAAATGAACGGAAAGGAAAAAAACCCAGACGAACGGATGTTCCCCAAGAACAAGAACTCCTGTCATGGCAGGGGAAAGGGGAAGCGTTTATTATTAAAAGTAATTAATAGGCCATCGAGTGGTGCATCGCAGTCGACGTCCGACCTAGCAGTCGTGTCTTGTCAGGACATCTCTGCATGCTGGTTGGCAGGCGGGTCTAAACCATCTCGGCCTATCGGGAGGACTCCTCTGATGACCAGGGGCCAGCCAGTGTTTCTAAGAGATGCAGGCACCACAGAACCCGGCATGATGATTCGCTGCGCTTCAGGGAGTAGGTGAACTCCGCTGGACCAGCTTTGGTCCTTGCAGATCTTGCGACCGGCGTAACGCCCTGACCCTTGCAAGCTCGCACCGTCATTCGCAAAGGTGGCGCCCAACTTGCTGCATACCATTTCTCCAGCGTGAGCTCTTTGTCTGGATGAGAATCGATGAATCAGGACTGGAGTTCTATTAGTTCTTCTCGCGCTGCCTATGGTGGAGCTCGGGCCAACAGTGCCTCAAACAGTGGCATTGTGGGCGGTTTCAAAGCTGCTGTTAATTAGAAACCACGGACAAGAAAGGCTCTGACTATTGACCCCCTTGTGGCGCACCCGGACCGATAAGAGGATCGCATGTCCGATGCAATGGTATGATTCTGGTTTTTTTTTTTTTCTTTGTAAAACTGTGGCATGATCAGAATGAGAAAAGAGCAAAAAAAAGGCCAAAGAAGAAGGATGGTCAAGAAGGAAGTGACTTGAAAGTAAGACCGAGCAGAACAGAAGGCGGGATCTCGGATCTCCAACCTCAGGCAGGATAGTTGTGCCTGGTTCAGCGGGCATTCAACTATGTGCCGCGGTGCCTGAATGACAGTGCCCCACCAGCTGTCAGGGCCCGGTTCACAACCTTGCCGGAGCTCAAAATACACACGGGGTGCTTCATCCATGCTGCTGACTAGCGAGGATCACTAGCACACACTAGCTCTTCATGGTACGGAGTAGCATACCTAACCGAGATGTTCACAGCGGTTTCATCCTTGTTGGATTTTCCACCAATCTCCCATCTACTACAAGGGAGCTCGCATGACGAAAGTGGAGATATTCGTCGACACATGACATGTCGAATGAACTATGTACGACTCGTGCGTTCATGCATAATCTCTTACCAACCCAGATCAAAATTCAAATGCCAAGGATAATTCAGATACGGAGCATGATATCCAAAAACCTCCGATGCAGCCATCTCTATATACAAAACCGCCCAAAATGCCAGAAAATATCCAAAGTACAATACAATCCCAAGCCACTCTGCTTCTGTCTCCCTCGGTACTTCCAGGCCCGTCAAATTATTTCACATCACCCCACCCCCTCTTCACCGACCCATCCATCCGCCATCCACAGTAATAATCTCGCCAGAGACATAGCTACTGGCGCCACTAGCCAAGAAGACCACCACGCCCTTAAAGTCCTCCGGTTGACCCCACCGACCGGCTGGAATCCGCGCCATAATACCGGCATTCCGGTTCTCGTCATTGATCAATGCGGTGTTCATATCCGTGGCAATGTACCCAGGGGCAATAGCATTGACATTGATTCCCTTGGCTACCCACTCGTTGGACAGAGCCTTGGTGAGTTGGCCCACGCCGCCCTTGGATGCGGCGTAGGCGGGCACGGTGATACCACCCTGGAAGGTCAAGAGCGAAGCCACGTTGATGATGGAGCCCCGGCGGCCGGATGGGAACTCGGAAGCGTCACGGGCTAGCAGGTAGGCGCCGAACTCGCGGCATAGGATGAAGACTTGAGAGAGGTTGACTTCGAGGACCTGTTCATTGGGATGATTAGCTTGTGTTTCATATAGAATTAAGGGATCCTAGCTTGTAGAAGCTTGGAAGTATAGAAAGGTCATTTGATTTTTTGGGGGAAATAAAAGAATGCAGCACTCACCTCGTCCCAGTCCTCATCGGGGAACTTTTCGCTCGGGTGCCGCCGTTGAATGCCAGCGCAGTTCAACAGGATGTCGGGCTTGAAGCCTTTGCTCACAAGGGCAGGAATGATCTCCTTGACGGCCTTGCGGTTTGATAGCTCGGCAACGTGAATATGCGCCTTACGACCGAGGCGATTAATGATGTCGTCCTTGGTGGCAGTGTTGGACTCGTCGCGCTGGATCAGAATGATATCGGCGCCGGCCTCGGCCAGAGCCACGGCCATGGCCTGGCCAATGCCTCGCGTGCCACCGGTGACGACGGCGGTGCGGCCACTCAGGGAAAAGAGAGACTGTACTGTAGCTGCCATTGTGAATGTAATGTGTGTATCGCAGGCTCAAGCAGACAAAATTGAGGAGAATAAGAAAGAAAAGTAGAGGGGAATACCCCCTCCAGATAATGTTGAATGACGAGTGACTTGACTTCCCCACGCGCGGGGGTTGTTTTGGAAGAGGAAGAGTCCGTTGCCGAGTTCCGTTGCCGTCGGCTATTGCTCAGTTGGGCCCCAACAGATTCAAATTGCCCTCCATATTGACAATAGCCAAACAATTAGAATTGTCTATAGACTGTATAATAGTCTATCAAAATGTATATTCTATAAATCTACAATCTCATAGACAGAGGAGTATCGAGAGTGATACAATGTAGAACCTCAAATGCAGCCATGTCATACTCGGGAGGTGGTCAGACTCGGCCCTTTTTCCCCCACATTCAAGAGAGCTTCAACTCCTCCCGATGAGTAATGACCGTGTCTTTGCGCTACTCGATATTCGGTGGGTCTCAACAACGGCGTCTGTTTCTTGACCATTCTCTCGGGCAATAATGTCCCTGTAATTCCACACGGCCCGGCCAAACATGGAGTCTCCGGACCACGCTGCCTCGCGCCGGCTTGACCATATCGTCAAGCGCGTCTCGCGAGCTTGTCTGCATTGCAGACAGCGCAAATCCCGATGTGACCTGTAAGTCGCCGGAACTCTCATTTTTCTCGGCTTATGTTGTCGCCTTGAGCTCCGCACTTTTTTTCCCCGGATCTGCAAGCCTGGTGTAAGACTGAGTGTGTGGCGAGAGTCCGCTAATCCCACAGATAGTGACAGTAATGGCAACCCTGGCAAGCCGCCGTGCCAGCGATGCGTTCGCGAGCATCGCGAGTGTGTTCTTGGTGGCTCGAATCGGGGTGGACGTCGAATTCGCAAGAACAAGATCAAGAACTTTACCCCAGCTCCAAATCCTTCGCCAGGGAAGGACTCTGAAGAGACTGAAAGCCCGACAACCTCAGATGCGCGCCGGGCGCCATCTGCTTCCTATCCTGGCCCAGTCGTCTTTCTTCCGCCCAATCCCCCGGGAACCACTACTGCTACCGCTGCCGCTAGCTCAGTAGCTGTCGAGGATGATGACGAAGCTCAAATTGACTCTGTGCCTCGAAATCCTTCCGACGCCTGGCAATGCCTGACCGGAATCGCCACTCACAGTGCGGGGGCCACGCCAGAGGGCCGTGCTAGCACCCATGTACGGACGGATTCTATGTCGACGTATAATGGCCTACGCAGTGGCATTGTCTCCGATTTCAACCTCCCGACAACCGGTATCAGAGCTTATCGCCTCGTCCAGTCTCGGTCCCTGGACCCGGGAACAGTGTGGCAGCTAGTCACTCGCTATGCTGAAAACTTCCACCCCTATCTTCCTCTCGTACCACGAAAGTACTTCGAACGCTCCGCTCTGGATGACTTTGCCAATAATGAAAAACACCTTCTTACCGCAGTCCTCACCATCGCGTCCAAGGACCTCGTCGACCGCCCCGAGATCCATGAGTACTGTTCCAAGTACATGCACGAGCTGATCTCGGGTATTGCCGCCGGCGCAGAATGCGACGTAGAAGCCGTCGAAGCTCTACTATTGCTAGCAGAATGGGAACCCCAGGGTCTTCGCCCACGCATCGAGCGCGTGGGTCGTGGCGAGGAAGACCGTGCTGCATGGATGCATGTCGGACTCGCGCTTCGCTCGGGTTACTTCATTGGCCTGGATAGAACGTCCTTCCGGGGAGATCCGTACGGTGACCAGGAATCAGAGGGTCGTCGGCGATTGGCGTGGGCCAGTTGCTATGTATCGGATCGATTGATCTCTGTACGTATTGGTCGTGCGTTTTGGTCGCGTGGGCCCGGCCCAATGACTGGTCTGTCGAGTCAAGATTTTCCGTCCCTGCAGCCTGCTAAGGAGGGTGATGAGGATTACTCGAAGATTTACCAGGCAATGCTGGACCTCACACAGTTGTATGGCAACGTGCACGAGGTTCTGTACTCGGGTATGCGTACGAGTAATCAGATGATGCTGATGGGTGACTATGTGAAATACGTCGATGACTTTCGGCTTGCCATCTTGCGATGGAAATCGCTTTGGGGGCCTCTCGACTGTAAGTTCTTACCACGGAGGTTTCTATTGCAATTGATGCGAGGGATACTAACACAAACAGGCTCACCACCCATGCGGGCGACACTGCAATTGTCATATGAGTATTTACGTCTTTACACTACTGCATTCGCCTTCCAGGCTGCAATCTCGCAATCTCTGGCGAAGCCAAAGATGGACAGAAGCACCCATCGGGATCAGTTGAGATCTACATTCAAAAACGTGGCTTCAATGCAGGATTCGCGGTTCATTTACGAGTCTGTTGATGCAGCTAAGGCCTACTTGACTATTCTGGTAGACTCGGTTGACCCAGAGAGGCATTTGCATTTCATGCCTCTTCGGTTCTATCTGTAAGTCGGGCCGATCAGCTTTAAAGTGGAAATTCTAATGAGCACTAGATACGGCATCTATTCTGCAGTCTTTCTTTACAAGGTAAGATCCCAAATTCCGTGTTACTCACGAAGCCTCTTCTAAACTCTCCCTCCAGGCCCGCTCCTTCGGCATGATGCTTCCCTCCGAAGAAGCGAAGGTCCAGGGCCTAGTAGCTCGGACCACTGAGGTTCTCAAGCAAGCGAGTGCTGGGCCCGACGATATCGGATCACGCTACTCTCGCCTACTTGAACTTCTCTGGCGTACCAAGCCCTCCATGAGCAGCGCCAACACATCCGCAGAGTCGCAGCAAAACAGCGATTTCTCACTGCAAACTGCACTTCCCAATCCAGTCTCAGACCCCACATACATGGACTTCAGTCCTGCAAATGACTTCTCCTGGCTGGACCTAGAAGCTGTGGGAGACTATGTCTCCGGCGATCAAATCTCGGGCGGCTTGCTGGGTCTTGATACATTCCAAAACGGATCTGACCCTTACCAGTCAGGACAGGACCGGTCGCAGGTTTGGCAACCGTCCGCCTGGTTGGGTGACATGAGCAGCAATCTCCTCTTTTAGTCTTTCGGTGCGTTAGTGGCGGGCTCGTTCAAAGCCCGCTGGTGCGGCAAATGGTGCGGGGCTGTGGGGAGCTCCGCTCGGAGATAACGCCGAGGTCTCGCGAGGGGTAACCGACGCCATGCATGTTATCTTGGACACTCAAGACGTCCTTTGTTGAAAGTTTCTTGGATGTTTCTCTGCTGCCAAAACTTTTCACATCACATCACCGTCTCATAATGTCGCTCAATGAGATCCGTGGCCGTCTGGCCCTCATCACCGGCGCTTCGGGAGGGTAAACTCCCACTAGAAGACCCCCAACAATAAGGCTCTTTGCTAACGCTAGCTCTCATCTTTCAGAATCGGATCAGCCTGTGCAGACCAACTCGCACAACATGGCGTCCATCTTGCGCTAACCTACTCATCCAATCTCGACGCCATGAACGCAGTCGTAAAGGACCTGCAATCCAAATACGCAGAGCAAAAGCTCCGCATCTCCATCCATCAAGTCGACGTCGGATCCGCCGACCAAATTGAAGCCATGTTCCAACAAATTGACAAAGAGCACGGCCAGCGACCGGATATTCTCGTCTCCAATGCTGGATACGGCAAGCGCTTCCCTAACGTGTGGGAGATTACCCTCGAGGAATTCGATTACACGTTGAACATTAACCTTCGTGCCTCGTTCATTCTTGTGAAGGGTGTGGTAGAGCATATGAAGAGCCAGCGGTGGGGGCGAATTGTGTTTATGTCCTCGATTGCTGCGCAAGGAGGAGGCATTAATGGCTGTCGTGAGTGTCCCATATCCTCATCTTCGCTCTATGTTTAGTTCTAACCACCTCTCCTTAAAAGACTACGCTGCATCCAAGGGTGGCCTCACAGGTATGATGAAGAATCTATCCACCCGCCTCGCCGAGTTCAACATTAGCGTCAACGACGTTGCCCCCGCCATGATCGGTGATACGGGTATGATTCCCAATGCGGCGGCGATTCCTGAAGTTGCGGCGGGTATCCCACTGCAAAGGCTGGGAACACCGGAGGAAACGGCTAATGTTGTTACCATGTTGTGTAAAACGGGCTATATGACTGGCCAGAGTCTTCTTTTGGCTGGAGGGTTGAAATGATTGTCTTTAATCTTATGAAGCAATTTAATGTCTATATCCAGCTTGAATATTTTGTTTTTCTGACGGTCTTGCTTCTCACTTCCTACTTGAGTACTTGGTTCATGTTTCCTCCTGGGAAATTACTCTCATAAACAAGCTATGGCCAGTCTACGATTTGGATATTGCTCGTGTAAAGAAGACGGAAATCATCATGCATTCTATGCTATAAAACAAAATCTTCAAATTGCGTCAACGGCGCATGCAACCAGTCTCCAACAGCCCCCGCCTACTATCACAATGGGTATTTTTCAAAAAAGGGTCATCAACGTCATCACAGAAACAACTATCCATCCGCCCACCATTTTTTTTACAACCGACCCAAAGCATGTGGCTTGTTCTCAATTATAACCTTAACGACGGGCCGTCCGTCCTCATCAACACCCTTACCTGCAAGGGTAAACGCACGCTCACCTTCCTCAAGAGGCAATCGGTGCGTCACAACCTTCTCCTCGGTACTCTTCAACTTACCACTACCCAACAGGGCAATGGCAGCCGGGTAAGCATACCCATCATATCGGAAGACACCGATGATATCGACCTCTCGCAGGGCCGCAGCACCAACGGGCAAAGTCTGGATGGGATTGCCCATACCGATCTGGACAAGGACACCGCCCGGTGCGGAGGCGTAGATGCCGGCCTGCACGCAAGCCGGGACACCGGTGCATTCATACACACGGCTGAAGCCCGAGACGGGCGGGACGCCATCCGCCTGCGCAGCCTGGGTAAGCGACGCCGCGACATTCTGGGCATTCTTGAGCGCCCAGGCTGTCTGGTCAGCGTGCGGGGCGTCCTTGGGAGGGGGAGGGTTTGCGGGATCACCGCGGGGGATGAGGAATGTCTTCAGGCCGAGGCCGAGGGAGGATGCGATTTCGAGGCGCGAGGCGTCGATGTCGGCTACGACGATGGTATCGAAATTCTCGGAGACTGCGAGCGCGGAGGCGATGAGCAGGCCGATGGCGCCGGCGCCACAGACTAGTGCTGCCGTGCCTTCGCCCGCGGAGCGTGCCAGGGTGACTTCCTCCTTGGTTGGTGGGTGCGAGCGGCGAATCGCATGAAGACAGACGGCCAGTGGCTCGACGAGGGCACCACCCGCGTCGGAGACGTTTGCGGGCAGGGCGTGACACATGGCGGCTGGGTGGTTGGTACGCTCCATTAGAGTACCGTCCAGATGGGGGTGGGTCTTTGCGCTGCTGCGGAACCGCATCTTCAAGCAGATGTTGTAGCGGCCCTGTTTGCAGAGGGCGCAGGTGCGGCAGGGAAGACCGACTTCGAGGGCGACGCGGTCGCCGACTTTGAAGGTTGTTACTTCGGGACCGATGGCTGTGACTGTGCCGGCGGATTCGTGGCCGAGACACATGGGCTCGCGCACGACAAAGTCGCCATTGCGGCCGTGGGAGTAGTAATGCAGGTCAGAGCCGCAGAGTCCAGTAGCTGTGACGGCGACTTGGATGTCTGCGCCGGTTGGAGCGGGGACGGTGCGTTTCTCCTGTGAATTGCGTGGTTAGTTGTGTTGATCTTGTTGTACGTTGAAATAAATGGGGACGTCATCGGTCTTACCAGACGGAGATCCTTAGCGCCGTGCAAGACGAGCGCGGTGGCAGACGTTTCTGTTGACATGATTGGGATTGTGTGTGTGTGTGCGGGTGTTCAGAGAATGATCAAACTGGATCGTGAGTCGAGGCAATAAGAAATAGGATCGGCTCAGAATTTCCAGCGGCATCTGACTCGGCCCCTCCACTGCATGTTCCCCTCATTGCCCTTTTCCATTATCCGCGTTGGGTGGATGAGGGTAATCAGGTTGGGCCCGAGAAACGGAGATGCTCCGCTCGGCGTTTGCCATTCAAAAGGGAATCTTTCAATAGCCGAGTCGACACCCCCGCGGGGCAACGTGGGGGTAGTTGGAGACGATGGAGGAGCTCCTCCAAGTTATTCGACTTCTTTTTTGTTGGCATTGCAGATAGCAGCGGTAGCACTGCAAGAATAGGTTCTTGTAAAGGCGTGTGGATTGATTGGCAATGCTTTGAGATTATATGTAAAATGAATTCGAATGAGCTCATGTTTCTATAGTTCCATCGGTAGTCGAGTTCCACGCCGCAATCTCAATCTCCGTCTCCTCGGCCCAGTTCTTCGCCACGTTCCACCGAATCACGCGAGGACTGATAGCAACCGCGGGGGTCCGCTTGAAATTTAGCTTGAAGCTGGTCATCGACTCATTTTCTCCTTTCTCCTTCTTCCACTCTTCTCTCCATTTCATTTCTCCCTTTCTGTCCGCCCAATTCCTGCCCTCCATCCCTCCTCTACCAAGTATATACTTCCCCCGCGACAAAGCGACGGTAGGCGGCGCATTCAAACCCACTGACTGCATTCGTGAAGCTGATCGTGATTGCAGAATCCCCTTAAAATGCCTTCTCAAGCTGCACTCCTTATCGGAGGTATCACTCACGCACGCAAGGAGTGGGAGGCTCTGTCTTCTATACTGACGCTGAAGGTATGCGCAATCCCGTTTCGATCGAAGCGGCATCGAGTAATTAACATGCGCGTAGGAATTCCCCAGCGGCACCCGTGAAGAGTTTATCCAGAACTGCAAGTCAGGACAGTACGACGACGTGGTCGCAATTTACCGGTCCAATACTTCAAACAAGGTGCGCAATGCTAGAACGACTGCCCCATTCGCGCGCCGCTAAATAAGGATTGAATAGTACACTGGCAACTTTAACGACGAATTGCTCTCGGCCCTGCCAAAGTCGGTTCGCTATATCTGCCATAATGGTGCTGGTTATGATAATCTGGACATTGCCGGTTGTACCCAGAGGAATATCGCGGTTTCCAGCACTCCGGTGGCTGTGAACAATGCTACGGCCGATGTTGGCATCTTCCTGATGATCGGTGCCCTGCGCCAGGCTTATGTGCCTATTGCTGCTATTCGGGCTGGTCAGTCGCAACCAATCATACTGAATGATCGTGTCCTATCGAATGTCTTTCGCTAATGGTTGAATCTGCAACAGGCACGTGGCAAGGCGAGACTACCACTGGCCATGATCCCCAGGGCAAGGTTCTTGGTATCTTGGGCATGGGTGGTATTGGACGCGTAAGAATCAATTTTCTCTCAATTTTAGATGAAATCAACTAACAAATCCGCCAGGAAATGGCTACTCGGGCCAAGGCCTTTGGCATGAAAATCCAATACCACAACCGCACTCGCCTCCCTGCCGAACTCGAAGCTGGCGCCACGTATGTCTCCTTCGACGAGCTCCTCGCCAACTCGGACGTCTTCAGTCTGAACCTGGCACTGAACCCTTCCACTCGACACATTATCGGCGCCACCGAGTTCAGCAAGATGAAGGATGGTGTGGTCATTGTCAACACTGCGCGTGGTGCATTGATCGATGAGAATGCGCTGGTCGCTGCGCTTGATTCTGGCAAGGTAAGAAAGCCCCATCTCCGGGAGTAAGGAAACATTGATCTGATAAGGCTTGTTTTATAGGTCCGCTCTGCTGGTCTAGACGTGTACGAGGAAGAGCCCAAGGTTCACCCCGGTCTGTTGAGCAACCCACGGGTTATGCTGCTGCCGCACATTGGTACGAATACCTATGAGACGCAGAAGGAGATGGAGATTTTGGTGTTGGACAACTTGAAGTTGGGAGTTGAAAAGGGAGAGTTGATTACACAGGTGCCGGAGCAGAAGCGATAGATTGAACGAAGTATTTAGACCCTCTTTTGTTAAAATTGTTTCGATTTTGCATGTTTTAGTAGTATACCGTCATCCCCAAATATACTCGTGTTACATACTTAGAAGTCAAGCCTCAATGGGAAGGGCTGTTGTTCCTTAATAGGAAGTCTGGACATCATCTCGGATTTAGTGGAGCGACAACTCGACTTCCAGGGTCGCTTCCTTGTATCAGTTGGCGGATGGGGAGAGCACCGTCGTCAGAATGAAGCGTCGATCGGCCAGAAAAGTATCAGATGTCGCTTAAAGTCCCATCGGCTATGCAATGACTTGTTGGCTGTGTGAGTAAGAAACTGTAAGCTGTTCTTTCATGTGCTGCCACTAACTAGCTTCAATATGCTGCCTTCAATGCCAAGGAAGTACACAAAGGTCCTCTTTCTGCCAGGCCATTAACTAAGCAGGAAATAGTCCGCCTGGGGCTGCCAGGTAGATTACGAGATAGATCATGTGACTGTTGGTCTTATATAATATCCAACCCAAGGCGGCTAGCGTTAGGGCTCGCTTAGGGCCCGAATGCCAAGAGCGAAAAAAACCGCACCAAACTTGGTGTTCCAGCGTTAGCCGGTCGACGACGAAAAGCGACAACATCCATCCGACTCCGAGGACCATCACCTTACCCTCGCCAACTCCTTCAAGATGGTGAGTGCTACCCATACCTATCGCCAGAGAACTTCGAACACGACCTCTACGATTCTATCCCCATACCCAATCCCAGCGAATGGACCTGGAAATGCCGTCCCGGTCCCGTCTCTTTCGCCTCGCCTTGAAGATCCCATCACCACCCACCACCACCTACAAATTTTCGACACAACATGATTGCTGACGACTTCTTTCTTGCTTCGATGTACAGGTCCGTTACGCCGCCCAGGAGATTCCGAACGCAAAGAGCGCCCGCGCGCGGGGCTCTTACCTGCGTGTCAGCTTCAAGAACACCCGTGAGACCGCTCAGGCCATCAACGGTATGAAGCTGCAGAAGGCTCTCACCTACCTCGAGAACGTCACCAAGAAGTCCATGGCCGTTCCCATGCGCCGCTACGCCGGCTCCACCGGTCGCACCGCTCAGGGTGAGTTGCCCTCGAAGTTTTTGAGATTTTTACATACTGGATGGATTTTGGCGGCAACGGTGTCAGAGGGGAGGATCAAAAGGGTGCGCAACATGAGAATTGAATTCACGACATTGCTGCGAGGAGATATAATGGAAGAATATCGACATGGCTGTTCTTTGGGTGATTTGTGGGCGATGCTCGAAGGGGGGAGACCGACACCGTTGCTGCTTGAAAAATTCAGTGTGGGAAATTTGGGATAGTATGGAACAAACCGACTAATTACTTTCATCTACAGGCAAGCAGTTCGGTGTCTCCAAGGCTCGCTGGCCCGTCAAGTCCGCCGAGTTCCTGATCGATCTCCTCAAGAACGCCGAGGCCAACGCCGACACCAAGGGACTCGACACCGGTGCTCTGGTTGTCAAGCGCATCCAGGTTAACCAGGCTCCCAAGGGCCGCCGCCGCACTTACCGTGCTCACGGTCGTGTACGTTTCTTGCTCTTTTCTCGAAATTTTGAGCCGAATTTTCACGAGAACCCGAACTGACTTTTCCCTCTTTCCAGATCAACCCCTACATGACCAACCCCTGCCACATCGAGCTCATCCTCACCGAGGCTGACGAGGAGGTCGCCAAGGCCTCTGAGTCTTCCCTTAAGGCTACCCGCCTGTCTTCCCGCCAGCGCGGCTCCCAGATCCGCCGTGCCCTCACTGAGGCATAAATGGATCGCCTGATGTTATGTTGAAATTGGGACGGGAGGTTTCCAGGGGACGACTTTGTGGAAAAAGGATTTGCGGTGGACGGGATTGACCGGAGTTCTTGCGCATCTGTATGTTGGAACGGAAAATGATACCGGATCATACAAGATTTTTTCTAAGGTCATGGCACCAACGCTCGGAGGAGAACCAAATAAAAAGTTTAAACAGCGCCGCTCCGGAAACGATGGATATAGGAATCTCCGTACTGCCCGGTCCGATCATGATTATCAATGATGGTTCTTCTTCTGTGATTTGTTTTCGGCTCTGTCAATGTGGGCTTCTGTGTTGCCTTGTGTAGGGTAGTGTTGTTAGTTTCGACTTAGACTTTTCCTCTCCGATCTGGTCCAGTTCGTTCATCACACTGGATGTTCTGCGAGGGTTTTAGGATTTGATGGTCCGCTCGAGTCCAAAAATAATATTTATGTTTCACGACTCAAAGATATATTATTCCTCCAACTAGCTCATGGGTGGTTTCTCTCGTAAATCATGATCGTCGATGAAAATAGTAAGGAAGAGTGTAGCATTAAGCGCTGCTGAGTTTGTTGAAGCATCGACCGCCGGAAAGTATATATCGAAGCTCTCTACACTCTACCTTGATATATATCCGCACTCGATAAGGTTGCAAAATCTGCGAGGCACAAGATATCCACGAACTTTCCTGGATGACTGCATACAACCCCAAACATATATATTCAACCCGAACTAGGTAGTGAAACAAGTCAGAATGCACTGTATCAAAAGTATCCAACAACTTGCTAGATAAGTAGGCACATTGTCATGGTACTTTGGCTAATCATTCGGCGCATTCAAGGTTAAATCCAGATACTTCCGAACTGCCAAGCATCGGGCACCTAATATGGAGAGTGGGGGTAAGACTATCGTTGACTGTACCATTTCTGTAGTGTATGCGGGGTGATGATATCGCCCTCCACTGTCCATCGATCTATACAAAAGGAACCATCCGGTTCTCATCTATCAAGAGTCGGATTCTAGCACGCCTCCCAATCTACCTTTTTACGCCCTACTACTTTCCACGATCCCGCAAAACCATCACACTTATCTCCCCGATGTCTCAACTCTCCAACTACCGACTGCTCTGTTTCGACGTCTACGGCACCCTCATCGACTGGGAGACCGGCATTCTCACCGCGCTGGAACCGCTCCTCCACACCGGCACCACCGAGTTCTCCCGCAAGCACCTGTTGACCCTCTACCAAGAGCTCGAGAGCGAACAGCAGCGAGTCACCCCGGACATGCCCTACTCCGAACTCCTGGCCACGATCCATCCCCGCTTAGCCGAACGCCTAGGCCTACTCACCCCCAGCGAGGACGACAACCAACGCTTTGGCGATTCGGTAGGCCGATGGCCCGCCTTCCCCGACACGGTCGATGCACTGGAGCGCCTATCGAAGCACTTCAAGCTAGTGGTACTCTCAAACGTAGACCGGGCCTCTTTCGCCCGCTCCAACGCCGGCAGCCTGCAAGGATTCCCCTTTGACCGGATCATCACGGCGCAAGACGTGGGCTCGTACAAGCCCGATCCGCGCAACTTTGCGTACATGAAAGAGGTTGCGCAGAAAGAGTTGAGCGTGTCTGCCAAGGAAATTCTTCAGACGGCGCAGTCACAGTTCCATGATCATCGGCCCGCGAAGGAGGCAGGGATTCGATCGGTATGGATTGAGAGGCCCGGAGCCACCATGGGAAATACGGTGGAGGAGCCCATTTTTGATTGGCGATTCAACACGTTGGGGGAGATGGCAGATGCCTTGGAGCGGGAAGAGGAGTAAGCTGGAGGGTCAGCACTTTATGGCTGTTGCCTGTTGGAACTTGATTGAGTTGTTAGCCAGTCAAAAGGTGGTCTTGGCTGGAGAGGAAGGGAGTCTTTTTGGTGACGGATGGTGGGGACGAGGCTTGGCGTGGGAAATGGCTGCCTCAGCCACACTGCAATCGTCAACCTTTTTGTCTGCATGTGCTGCAATGGGAATGAGTACTTTTGATATACTGTACAGAGGAGACGGGTGACTATCCCTTCAGGATATAATGACGATTAGAAAATGAAGCGACCACGGTTGTTCCTCTTCTCCTAGCAGACAGCCCGGGTATCCCACGCGGCTCTGCCGGGTAATTCTCGAAGCGGTGGGTGGGGGACTAAGAGCCTCATAGTTCGCGATAGAGCAAAGCTACGAAGAAATTCATACTGGCTACCTGGTCGAAAGGACTCAAAATGCAACCTAAAATTCATTTCCACCAAGCGAGCCGATTACCGCTGGTTGGCTGACTCGGAGATGACGGATTTAGACACAAAGACAACGCATTGCATGGCAGAGGACGTACCTGAGCCTACGGACGTGTGGCTCAGGACTCGTGGTGTCTACGTAGGCATCGCCAAGACGAATAATCATGCTTTGCCACCTGCAAAGCATAAATCCCAAAAAGAGAGGTCAATCGAGTTGTAAGTAGTTAAAAGACGGGGTCTGTCGGCTGATTCCACCTCCGCGGACTAGTCCATTTAGTTCACTGTTGACTGGACCCTGCGCTTTAGGCGAGAGGCTTGTACGCTAACAACAGTTTGGGAGGAAGTCGCTTTTCTGGCCCCCGATCGCTTTGTGAACCCTCCTTTTTTCCCCCGCTGGATACTGCTGTTTCCACACGCCTTTCATCTCTACGCGCTCTCCTTATTAGATATACACCCCGTCATGAAGGGTTTCCTGCGCTCGCTGGGCAACAGCCGCCGCTCCAGTACGCTCTCATCTTTCTTTCTCCCCACGCAGTTTCCCCGCGACCAAAGCTAATCCACCTCTCAAGGTCCCAGTGATGATAGCGAACAGGACTATCCCAATGACTCGCCCGAGGCAATTCTCCTGCGCGAAATGGTGTGCCTTTCCCCTTTCCTGATCACCTCGACTCCCCAACTAAAGTCGCGCCACCTAGAAAATATTTTGTGAAGCCAGCAGCGGTCTCCAGGGTCAGGTACGTCGTCCATTACCAGCAATACCTATATACCACTCTCTACACGGCAGTGCCGGCGACTAACGGTCTCTCTTTTTTCTCCTCTCTAGCAAGGAAACGAGTTTGTTCACCTTCCGCGCATTGTCGAGACCGCCGAATCAAGCCCCGCGGCCGCCAAAGAAGCTGCGCATCGCATCCGCAAATACCTCTCCAGCCCGAGCACCACCCCGAACCACGTCCAATACAATGCCATTATGCTCATGCGCATCCTGGTCGATAACCCGGGCCACAATTTCACGCGGCACTTCGATTCCAAGTTCTGTACCACGATCAAAGAGCTCCTGCGCAATGGCCGCGACTGGCATGTGCAGCATTACTTGCGCCAGTACCTAGCCCAGCTGGAGGCGAACCGATACTCTGATGATGATCTACAGTTGTTGCTGCAGGTGTGGGCGAAAGAGAAGGCAAAGGGAGGATCGTCCTTTGTAAGTACCGAATGCCGAGGTATCTTGCGCTGGGAAAGAGACGAGGTCAAAGAAACTAATCCGGATTAATTTCCAGATCGATCGATATCCCACGGCATCTGCGGCACAGGCGAACGGCCCAATGGGTCAATATCCACCCCCGCAACCTCCTCGCGCACCGGCACCGGGCAGAACCCTGCCCGACCCGGGCGAGCTGGCTGCGCGCATCGAGGAGGCGAAGAACTCGGCCAAGCTGCTGACGCAGTTTGTTCAGACGACACCGCAGGCTGAGCTGGAAGAGAACGAACTGATCAAGGAGTTCATTGATCGGTGCCGGACCTCCTCGCGATACCTGCAGGGTTTTATTCATTCGACCAACCCGGCTCCCGATGAGGAGACCCTCCTCACTCTGATCGAGACCAATGACGAGATCTCCGTCGCGTTGTCCCAGCAACAGCGTGCTATGCTCAAGGCACGCAAGGCTCGTGGATCTTCCAGCCCGACCTCCAAAATCAACAGCCCCGCTTCGCCCGCCAGCGAGGTCGTCGCATCGGGTGGTGCAGGCGTACGTCCTGCTCCTGCGGCCACTGCCGCTGTCGCGGCTACTCCTGGGCTCGACCCAATGAATCGCGAATCAAGAAGCCCCGCAGAACAACCAGCGCCAGTGGTAGAACTCCCTTCCACAAGTTCTGTCAACCGGTCGACCGCCTTCCGAAGCAATCCCGAACAATATGAATACAAATCGTCTGATTTCGAGGTGCCAAACCCGTTTGCCGATGAGAACGCGGCGAGCGACTCGGATGCTGAGCGACATCCGCAACAGCCACATGCCACGACGGCCACTTCCACTGAGGGACGTGTGCGTTTCTAGCCTACTGAGCAGGAACGTTGACATGGGCCATGTGAGGTGGTCAGAGCTATTCCAGCGAAGCGATTGATACCCCCTGAACCTGATTTTGCTATGTTCTTTCTTCGTTAGTGTTCCGACGTGGTCATCTTGGCTTTTTGTCAAAGCGAGCTCTCGTTATTGTGCTTTGTTCTTGTTTCTTATGATACCTTCAGAACTTTTCATTGGATTGTTAAACGTGGAATCCTTTTCTTGTTATTTTCCTTGTAGGAGTCATTGAGATTTTTCTGAACATCCTTGCTCGTTATTGACTGGATCCGTGGGAATCCCGGTCAGCAATGTCTTTTGCGCGGCTCGGTTGATCTCAAACCCTGGAATTTCCCCCTTTGATATTGAACTTGATTACCATTTACCATGAGGAACTTCAGACCAGCTCCTGGTGGAGCGATGAGCTTCGCCGAGATGCTCCATTTTCTGTTCTACCTATCACATCCAGCCTGGTCAAAGTAATTAGTGGCTGGACTGGAAATGGCCGATGATGTCGACAACGTTTCGCAGTGCCCTTCTTGCAGCTGCCTAGGAGGTTGGGCGTTTCAGAGGTCCCACCGACCAGCACCGCTTTGAATCAACCTTAATCAAAGTAGATTGATGGGCTGGATTCTCTGGAGCCGGAATGGGTGAAGCCCCCGAGCCTCGTTAGGTTTGTTACAGCAATAGAGTAAGGTGGATTTATAGTGTTGAACCCACGATCTCCACCGAGCAGGATTGCCATGGTCTTCTCGCCTTTGACCACCACATAATGTCAATACCAGATATGACACACTGCGCTAACAAATTATCCAGCAATCACAACTCTCCTCTAAGTATTTTCTCTCCCGGCGACGCTGTCAACCTGAAACTCCGCGCATCCCTGTTCGGCGCGTGGAGCCGGCCTTGGCACGGCCCTAGGAAGAACGTCGGCCTTGTCCCGGATGCAGACCGGTCAATGCAATCCCTGCACTGTCGTCAAGAATGACCGGTGGGTGGGAACTATCAAAGAGCTCCGGGGCTGTGGATATTCTTGGTCTCACCATGCATCGAGCCATGTGGAGGGGGGACGGTCCCTGGAATGTATCACGGAAGGGGAACGGTGTTTCAGAGTGCTATTTAGGTGCATTTGGCTTGTACCTGACAGGTAGGAGAATCACCTACAATGGTAATCGCCGAATCCATTTCCCCTGGGAGTGTATGGAGTATGTACTCGGGGGGTTGATTGTGATTTTAGTAAGTGTTTGTGGTTGATTAATAGATACTAACAGGATCTAGATCATCCCTGGCCAAAAAAAAAAAAAAAACGATCTGTCTATATAAACCCAAGATTCGGCCCTGGGGCCCTCGGCTTGTTTTTGGAAGCATCAAGCTGGTTTATTCTTCTTGACACTTTCTTCTCTTTCTTCGTGTCCATTCATTCTCTCCGGTCTGGGACCGTGCAGCTTCTATTCTTTCCACTCGCTTTTACACAAGTATCGGTACCGGTCTACCGATCAATTCCATTCATTCGCGGTCCTTCTCAACCAGAATCTACGACATATTTTCAAAAAGATTACTACACCAAGAATTAAAATGAAATCTTTCACTACTACTTCCGCCGCTGCCCTCGCGGCTCTGCTCCCCCTCGTCCACGGCCACGGCTTCGTGACCAGCCCCAACCCCCGTATGCCCGGCTCCGCCATGAAGGCTGCCTGCGGCAACCAGGTCGAGGTCAACCAGCAGTCTGACAACTACGGCAACATTCAGGGTGAACTGCAGGTCGCCGCCTCCCAGAGCGACTACAACGCCGCCGAGTGCGATATCTGGCTGTGCAAGGGCTACAAGTTCGCCGACAACCAGGACAACATCTACTCATACACTGCCGGCCAGACGATCGACTTCACGGTCGACATTCGTGCTCCTCACACCGGTATCGCCAATGTCTCCGTTGTGGATACCGCGAGCAACACGGTCATCGGTGATCCCCTGATCTACTGGTCCGTGTATGCATCCACCGCTACCGGCGTTACTGCCAATGAGACTAGTTTCAGCGTTACGCTGCCTGATAACCTGGGCTCGCAGTGTGCTACTGCTGGTGACTGTGTGCTGCAGTGGTACTGGTATGCCGAGTCTATCGATCAGACCTACGAGTCTTGCATCGACTTTAGTCTTGGTGGTTCCAGCTCTAGCTCTAGCACCAGCACCAGCACCAGCTCTTCCTCTACCGTCGTGACCAGCTCTTCTGCTGCGGCCACTACCTCTTCGTCCGCTGCCGCCGCCGAGACCACCTCTGCAGCAGTCGAAACCTCCACCTCCGCTGCAGTCGAGACCACCACTGCGCAGACTACTACCGCCGCCATCCAGGCTGTGACTACTTTCGCTACCCAGGCCCGTCAATCCTCGCAGCCTAGCACCGTCACTGCCACTTCTAGTAGCGTTGCAAGCACCCTGGCCATCCCCACTGATAGTGCTCAGGATACGCTGGACTTTGTCCGGTCCGTGTTCAAGTATCTGGTCGGCAGTGATTAAGGTGGAGGGAGTGCTACGTTGTGAATCTGTATAGGGTGCCAAGTGTGGGGACCCACCTTCTCAGGGAATAGTGTCTCTATAGATCCGGACTTGAAATGCTGACTCCTTTTTGTTTTCTATTTGCCGTGCGTGAAGGATCATGTAGATATTTATTGATACCTACCTTGGTTGTCGACGATGGAGTAAATGTACAGTACAGCGCTACCACATTGACTTTCAGTACTTCTTCCTTTTAGGCAAGATGGGCTGGGCGTGGAGGATTTTTTTCCTCTTATCTGATCTTCGAGAAACCCACTTGGATCGAAATTGACACCGGGATTTTTATGGCCACGCCCTGAGGGAGTGTACTCTTAATGAGTTCTCAAATTTCCTGCCTGTCAAGAGCCCATTTCACTAGAGAATTAAAGAAAAAAGTAGACCACCGCCATCAGTCCGTGGTGATACATCTACCAAGCTTTCTTCCCAAGTCTTTCTCAAATCTTGCCTGCGTTGTTGGTGCCAAGAGTGCGTGTTGATAAACTCGATAAGCACAGCCCCCTGGCGGATTTTTGACATAATCTCTTCGGCTTCCCTTGGATCTCTTTTTGCTTTTCCATCTCTTTACTTTTCCCTTCCAGTTTACCCCTTGCCTGGCGTCCAATTCCGGACACATACCGCAATCATGGAGGACCACATCCGACACAGCATTTCCAACCACCCTACTCCCTTCCAGCACTTATCGAGCAGCTCACCGCACCCATCGTATCGCTCCGAGAGAATGACGCCCCGCTCCTTCGGCGAAGCTACCTCTACGGGCGTGGAGACCGAGGACCCGACAATGTCCCAGCAGCAACACCGTCATACCAATGCTGATGAAGAGGGCCAGCTTCCACCTCGCTACACCCCCGAGACCGACCCTTTCCACCTCGCGTCCAAGCTCAAGACCGAAGAGGAAATCCGCCAGATCAAAGCCAACACTGGGCGCAAGCGCGATGCCACAACCACCAACGGCCCACGGGTGATCGAGGTGGTGCGGGACACTGGCGCCAAGGGCAAACAGGCCCTCATCACCCGCAAACTGCAGGGCTTCTACGAGACACAGAATGAGAATATTGAGCGCATGCTGAAGCCAGTCGAGGAACACGTCCGGGCCGCCCGGGAACTCAATTCGGAGAATAGCCTCAAGTACAAGATTGCCGTGTACGCCAGTTTCGCGGCCAACATTATCTTGTGTGTCGTGCAGGTGTACGGTGCGGCCTCTTCCGGCTCGCTGTCGCTGTTCACCACCATGGCCGACGCTATCTTCGACCCCATGTCCAATCTGACCCTGCTGCTGTGCAACAAGGCCGTTAACCGTGTCGACCCGCGCAAGTTCCCCGCCGGCAAGGCGCGTATCGAGACTGCTGGTAACATCTGCTTCTGCTTTTTGATGACGGCTGTCTCGTTTATTATCATTGCCTTCTCGATCCGCGAGCTCGTCGCTGGCTCGGACACCCTCCGCGCGCCCTTCCATCTGCCTTCTATCATTGCAGTGGCCGTTGCCTTTGTCACGAAGCTCGGTCTGTTCTTGTACTGCTTTGCGCTGCGCAACCAGGTCTCGCAGATTCGTATTCTCTGGGAGGACCACCGGAATGACCTGCTCATCAACGGATTCGGTCTGTTGACCTCCGTTCTCGGTTCCAAGATCCGCTGGTGGATTGATCCAATGGGCGCTATCATGCTATCCATTCTGGTTAGTGGCCTTTGGTTGCACTCTGCCTATGGCGAGTTCCAGCTGCTCGTCGGCGTGACTGCCGACAACAAGATGCAGCAGCTCATTACCTATATCTGTATGCCTCCGACCATTTGTAGCCCCTCATCTTAAAGAACACAGGAAACTAATATTTGTTATACAGCTATGACCCACTCCCCCCTCATCACTGCCATCGACACCGTCCGTGCCTACACCTCCGGCCCTCGTCTGCTCGTCGAAGTGGATATCGTCATGGAGGACTCTGCCTCACTTCGTGCCACCCACGATGTCGCCGAGGAGCTGCAGATGAAGCTCGAGTCTCTCCCGGACGTGGAGCGTGCTTACGTGCACGTTGACTATGAGACTACCCACAAGCCCGAGCATTTCCTGAAGAAGGAGCTTTAAGAGCGGGGGAGCTAAATATTCATGTCTATTTTTCGAGCGTCATCATAAGCATATTCATATTAATAATTGTATCATCTCACTGTTCGCGGCGATACTCTGGCTTTTTGCGCCAGTTGTCTGCTGATGAAATAAAATCACTCTTGAACTTTATCACCTCCAGAAGATTGACACATCTACGGACCAGGAATTCCCTTGGGCGGGGGACATCTCCAGATCCTCACAGACACATGCACCTAAAACAAACCATATTCTAATCAACCGACAACGTGCTTCGCCAAAAACTCCACGCCTTTATAGATGGACCCAAAAGCAGCATCCCCACGCTTCAACCTAGCATCAAACCCATGAGCCATACCCTCTACAAGGTACAGTTCACTCTGCACCCCGTTCTTTTGTAGCTCCGCATAAGCCCATTGAGAAAATTTTGCATCAACAACGACATCAGCCGTTCCTTGGACGAAACAAGTCGGCGGGAAATCAGGACTTTTAAACAGTTTCTTCGGATCCACGTGGTCATACTCATCCTCGGCGATAATTGCGTCGAATTGGGTGCCCTTACTCACAGAAGCGATCAGATAAGCTTGACGCGGCGTGCTCAGATCGAGTCCATTTGGTCCGAATGGCGGACGAGCTCCTGTGGGCGGGGGGATCTCGCTAAAGACCTGGTTGATGAATTCGGCCGAGGGCAGAGCGGGTGCATCAGAATGGGATCGAGTGCTCGTGCCGGTGTGATAGAAGGGGTCAAGGAGATATTTGAACCCGAAGATATCGAGGACAGCCTTTGGTGGATTAGGGCGGGAAGCCTGGGTTTCATCAGATCAGCTTCAGCAATAGATCGGTTTCAGGACCTGCAACTTACCATAAGCAATGCAAGACCTCCACCACAAGAATGACCGAGTGTGACGATGTTCTTCCCGTGTACTCGGATACCATGGTCTCTCTCCAGCAGTGTAGGAAGCTCATTCTTTGCCCATTCATATGCGGCTACTGAATCGCTTACTGGACCATCTAGGACGGAGATGGTAGGACTCAAGCGATAGTCTGAAGATACAGCGATGAAGCCTTTCTCGTTTAGGGCTTCAATATGTGGAGAAGGTAGCATTGCCCGGCTGCCGACGATGTAGCCGCCGCCGTGGAAGTATAGCGCTTTATTGTTGTGATTAGCTTGGTGGCTTTACAGATGATGCCATTTATATTCTCTCTCTAGGGCCTCACCAATTGCTTTGACTGAGGTTATGTCTTTGGGTAAGTGCACGGTAGCTGTCAGGTTCACCGTTTCGGTGCCATAATTGATAGTCTTGAAGATGTATTCGACACTTGCCATGCTTGCGAATGCGTTATTCACCACTTGATGGAAATTGAATGTATCAGATGTTCTTCAGAATGGGAACTACTTGGAAGTAACATACTTGTACAAAGTTTAGGTTATAAATATTGGTAGCCTGGAGTAAATCGGACGTTCCGTCCGCGACAGTTGGGCCGCGGCCGCTTCCGCGGAACCGCTTGTTAAAAGTCTCCAGTGGCAGTATGGCAAAGCCGACAGGGCAATCTCGGGACTTTGTCCCAGCAGATATTGTAATTGAAACTATTTTTAAGGGATCAATTGCTGATTCGAGTGCCGTTGTTGCAACCCAAGACTCTATGTAAAGATAATTTATCTGTACTGCAAAAGTCCTCCCGAACCTCCTTCTCTCAGTCAACTATAGAAGGATTCCCTGGGATGAAGCCCTGAAAATCGAAAAAAGCTTTGAGTCTTCTTGAATCAGTTTATCTTGCCCGAAATGTAAGTGACAAGAAATTCTTTTAGTCATATCTGAGACCGTGCTAATCATCATCCCAGGGAGTATACAGCCTCATCAGCCATGTTCGAGGCGCTGTGGGATGTAAGTATTGCCCCAAATCAGTCAAACCCCCACTCATGTTTGAATGTGTTACTGATTCCTTTTCCAGGCTGGAGTACGGTATTGCTTCGTCAATCTAGGATCTGATCATCCAGCCATCATGGAAGCAATGGTCAAAGGTCAGAAGGAGAGACCGGACAGGTTTCTCAAATTCATCACCTGCCCCAGTGAAATGGTGGCACTTTCAATGGCAGACGGTTATGCTCGTGTCACAGGAGAGCCCCAAGCCGTCATTGTACACGTCGACGTTGGCACTCAAGCACTCGGATGTGCCGTACACAATGCCAGCGTCGGCCGCGCACCTGTACTCATCTTTGCCGGTCTCTCACCATGCACCTTGGAAGGTGAATACCGCGGTAGCAGAACCGAGTTCATCCACTGGCTACAAGATGTTCCCGACCAGAAAGCAATCGTATCGCAGTACTGTCGATATAGCGCCGAATTAAAAAAGGGCAAGAACGTCAAACAAATGGTGAACCGAGCCCTGAGCTTTGCGAATAGTGAGCCGCGAGGTCCGGTCTATTTGCAAGGGACTCGAGAGGTTATGGAAGAGGTTATCGAGCCGTACGAGATCCGACAGGAGTTTTGGAGTCCCGTGGAGCTCGGTGGGTTGACACAGAAGCAGCTGAGTCTTGTTGCAGATGCTTTGGTGTCTGCTCGAGAACCTCTCGTTGTCACAGGTTATAGTGGACGTGATACTGCCGCGGTAATCTTGCTCGTTGAGTTGGCAAATATCATCAAAGGTTTGCGGGTTCTCGACACGATGGGTTCTGATCTGTGCTTCCCTGCTGATCACCCTGGCTGGCTGAGCGTGCGATATGGATCAGACGAAGCCATTCGTACAGCCGACGTGATACTCGTCGTCGATTGCGATGTGCCCTGGATCAACACTCAGTGCAAACCTGCCAACGACACAAAAATATTTCATTTCGATATCGACCCGTTGAAAGACCAGATGCCGGTCTTCTATATCGACGCAGTCCTGCGATGCCGAGTGAATACCAAGTTTGCCTTGGACCAAATCGTCCAATATTTGAAGACCGAGCTTTCAGATCAAGTCAGGGCGAATTCTGAGCTTTATGCCGTCCGATGGGCAGACATCCAGACATCCTTCGCACGAAAACTGAACGCCATAGCTGCACAAGCCGAGCCGAACTCAGACGGCTCGTTCGGATGCGGCTTTCTCATTTCAAAACTCCGGAAGACCTGCCCACTTGACACTATATGGGTCATAGAAGCCGTTACCAATACTTTCACCGTAGCCGATCAATTGCAGGTAACATTACCAGGGAGCGTTTTCAGTTCTGGCGCAGGTGGGCTTGGCTGGTCTGGAGGCGCAGCTCTCGGCATAAAGATGGCCACTGGCTACCGTCACGGAGGGAAGGGCAAGTTTGTATGCCAGATAATCGGTGATGGTTGCTTTCTCTTCTCCATACCCGCCAGTGTATATTGGGTTGCGCAGAGGTACGAGATCCCAGTGCTGACTATAGTACTCAACAACAATGGTAATTCAAGATAAATACTATCGACTCTGATCTTGCATTCGTAACGGGGGTTGGCTAACCCAATGCTTTCACAGGTTGGAACGCACCTCGGAAGTCTTTGCTTCTCGTTCACCCCGACGGATTGGGATCTCAGGTCAGCAACAAAGAGCTTAACATATCATTCGATCCAAACCCAGATTATGCAACTATTGCACAGGGGGCGTCGGGTGGTAAATGTTGGGCAGGACAAGCCAGTACGATTGAGGAACTGACAACAAGGTTACCCGAGGCCGTGAATGCTGTGCAAAACGGTCGTTCTGCTTTGTTGGATGCGCGAATACAGTAACAGGGACGTTGCAATATGTACCAGAATTGTGTTTTTATCATTCTTTGGCTTTATTGAGATAGAAAATCGATATACAGGGATCTTGATTTCTGGATATACTTCTCGTGCATTCCTTGGTCTGACCCGATTGAAGGCCATATACGACAGTCTTTTAGGCTATCGTACCATAAACACCGATTCGATCATGTGTTATCATTTTATTTTTGCTTCATTCTGCTTCTCTCTAGACTCAGGCATTGTGGCGGAATAGTAAGAAAACTGACGCTTGTGGTTTTGGAAGAGATTTTCGACGATAAGTCTATATACACAGTGGCTTCACTGCTTATATTGGCGATAGTGCCGTTTCTAGAGTGAGATCAATAATGCTGACAACTCTGTAGCCGGTGATACATACTATTGGTCATGATTCTGTGTTTGTTCAATCCAGTTGATTACCAAATCTTTAGAGCCACAGGCTTGTTGTGTGGTATCAGCCATGATCTTTTGTGAGAGAGATGGCACCAGAGACTCCGGATATACATTGGATTTTCAAGATACTTTTAAAGCATTATACAAAAAAAACTCATAGTGATATTTCCGTATTAAGTCGACTCTCGAATTGATCATCGATGGTTCCGCGGAACTGGAATAACAGAAACGCGGTACAGAGGGTTTAACTTCTTTTCACTCCACCGACCCCAAAAACCTACGAATCAAAACAGTCTCTATCCCCCAAGAATATGATACTTCAAGAAAGCAACTTGTACAGCAAAGAATCCAATTTTTAGCTGTTCTCCGTTATACCAAGCCTGGGCCAATTTCAGAGCCGCCAAACAATTTGATCTTACGCTCTCTCGATAACTTTTACTTGAACACTTTGCTTGACAAACCACCCACTGCTTGTCGTCCACTGGCTATCACCTGCAGGAACAAAGTCAAAACGCCGCACTAATTGGGGTAAAAGCTTTGTCATTTCGAGGAATGAGATGTTTTTGCCGATGCATGTTCTTGAACCGGCTCCGAACTGTAGACCAAATCAGCACGAGTTTCATCTTGATGAAATCTCTTTATACCATCAAAGATCAACGTACCGCTAAGTAGTTCTGATCCATAAAGGCAACTTGTTCCTTATCAACCAGCCAACGCTCCGGTCGAAACTCATGTACATCTTTGCCCCAGATGTTTTCATCAGTATGGACCACCCATGCGTTCACGCCCACGACAGTCTGTCAGTATTTTTAGAATTAGCGGTTATATCTGGAGATACCAAGAGATGTTTTGGAGCCACGAGAACGTACACCTTGTGGGAAGTGTCTCCCAGCGATGTGTGCACCGCCCTCCGGAACAACTCTGCTTAGAATTTGGCCGACTGCTGCATGCAGTCTCAAGGCTTCTTTGATAGTAGCTTGCAGATAGGGAAGCTTTTGAGCTTCTTGAAACGAAACGGGGCTAGAAATATTACCTTCCCTCTCAGCCGTCTCTATTTCGTCACGGAGCTTCTTCAAACAGTGGGGATGCTTCATGAGGAAGTAGATGATAGCACTCATGCTGATACCAGTTGTGTCGGAGCCAGCGCCAATATTGACACCAAGCACATTGTTAATTGTGGACTGGTCCAGCTTTCCAACTTTGCTCAACTCAATGCACTTTGCAAGAAAGTCCTTGCGATCGTTGGCACAGCCGCCCTGCAGCCTGGCACCAATCTCCCTCAATATCACTCGTTGTGTGACTTTCCAGTGGCTGTCAATTGGAAAAACCTTTTGGAGCCAGAGATACCAACGATGAATCTCAGGAATGAGTCCAACTGTTGAACCGTAAGTGATCGATCCGATATGAACCGCATGCAGAAGCCCGTCCTTGTCATAACCGGCTTCAAGAAGACCAAATGATCGACCCAGGGTGATTTCGCCAATGACATCGAACGCGTAGAACTGCATCCAAGTAAACAAGTCAAATGCGCGCCCATGCTGAGCATGGTTGGTCAACACGGCCATGAAATCACCATTCACTTTGTCTACAAATGGTTCGTAGGATACCAAAGAGCTCATGGCGTACATGTTGGAGATCTTCCTGCGCTCCGCGGCATGCTTCTCATTGACTATCTCGGAGAAGACATCCTTGTGGTCCAATGGCGTACCAAATGGGGTGTAGTAATCGGATTTGCTGAACTTTGAGCCAGTGCCATAAATAGTGCGAATTGCCGTCGGGTCGCTAATGCTATAACGGTTCGGACCAAGCCGCACGATAGGACCTGTCAGAATTTAGTACAAATACATCCATATCGGGTCAATCAAACTACCATATTGTTTATGTAAAGCAACTGTGACGTGCTCCAACTGGCCTTGCCAGTTCTTGTACGCCTCCCACAGACGAGTGTATCGCGCAAGAGTTGGGCCTTTGACATCACGTAAAGGGTTGAAAAGCGCTCCAAGTACATAATTTAGAACCAACAAGACAGTTGCTGCAGTGATGAGCATCGGTACATTGTATTGAAGGGTTGCAAGTTGAGATATCATTTTGTGAAAGATATCGCCGCAAGTCAAGATTTGGAGGACAGACTGCAACGAAACCGAGATCAGTCTTAATTATCAGCTACCTACTTACAGGGTCTGCCAAAATGTCGTTTCCGAAAATTCCGCGGCGAGAGCTTGACCAAGCTTAGAAGTGGGGATGTTCAAAACGTGGGGGACGGGGGAGCTCAAAGATTGATATCTCCGGAAAGAGCCGCGGAAAGCATCAGTTTTGCCAAACTAGAAAAACAAAGAGCCCCACCTGATACCAGACCCTCATATAAGCTCAAGCATGAAGCTTGGAGCAGAACATTTAGCAGGTGTTTCTGAGCAGAGACATGAAAAACAAAACACAAATGATGTCATCGTAGAACTTGGCGCAAGAGATCTAGGCTGGACTTTTTTACTTGTGACATAGTTCTTTTTCTAGCTTGAAATAGAGGTCATCGAGCCTGCTTCTAGAATTTTACTCTGGGAGGGACCATAGCCTTATCGTCCTTTGACATCAACCTTGATAGCTTTCCCACTTCGCCGGAATACGTATGAGGTCTTGAGCCCCTTGTATTCGAATGAGGAAGGTGGCCTGATTATTGCTAGATTGAATGTGAGAGCTCAGTACAAATTCTCTTATGTATATCCGGTAGCAGGTTTTGGAATTGCGGCCCTTGGAGAAGCTTTACGCTATTTTGTGTCTACAGTTCATTTGACTGGAGAAGCCTCAGGCCCCTTTCTCGATAATAACCTATGATCTTTCCGAGGTCTAGTATTTACGAATGATCATTGTGAGAATCAATGTATCTTTTGATATTTCACCACCTAGGCAACCCTATTCAGTTGGGAGTACTTGGTGCTGGGCATGACATCTTTGATAGGACCCGTCAACATCGGCAGAGGGCGCTCAGGATGTGGATTCGGGACCCAATTCCCATGGACCTGGTTGCGTGTCTGGAAAGGCATCTGTGCAATAGCCACTGGCTTCGAGAAGTCACTGGTATCCAGGATTGCTAATTCTCCCTTGGGCGACGAATCCCTCTCCATATAGAATATGACCCAACCATCACCTTCCTCACAGTCTGGCCCTCGAGGGATATATGCAGGCTCTGCAACGCTACCGTCGGGGGCTGCATGGAAGATTGACTTCTCTCCCGTCTCCGTATTCAGCTTGATGATTGCGTTAAAACGAGGTCTTTCCTCTCCGTCTGGGGCCATCATAGCGGTCAGGTAGACGATCTTACTCTTGAAGCCAGTTTTGCGTTCATCGAAGATGGGAAAGTCAAATATGCCTTCCAATATTGTCTCAGCTGGTGGCAGAGCCGTACAACCAGGTTTCGCAAGGTCGATAGTCCAGCGTTTCCAATCGCCGCTAGGTTTGCTGTTGGGACTCTCATAGTCTTTCGGGTTAAAGAAGTCAAAGACATTAAAGGTAACAAAGTGACTTTCGAGCTTCAAAATGCCACCTTCTTCTTCCCATGCATTGCCGCTGTGGATAATAAGACCGTGAGGACCGGTATACTTGCGGAACTCGCCCGGCTTCCAGTCTGGATGGTTGGGCGAGTTCGCATATCGCGGAGTGACCAAGAATTCCGAGGGCTGGTCTGGGATGAATCTCCAGTAGTCGCCCCCGGCTTTCATCACCTCATCCGTGTTGACACCAAATGGCATGTTTGAAAGAATAATCCAATTTTCGGTGATCCAGCCATCGTGTGGCCACCCAGGCTTGTCCTGCTTGAACCAGTGCTCATTGGAGATACGCCCATTAGGATCGATCGAATAGGTGCAAATGTCAGGAGTGCTGAGACCCTTGGCAGAGTAGCTCCAGGTGACCAACTCATTCTTGTGTGAATCAACTTTGGGATGAGCCGCAAAGGTCATTGCAGCGACTTGACCACCGTATGGATCGGCGCCTCTGGTTTCAAGGGTATCCGGGTCTAGAGCCCACGGCAATCCCCTCTCTGCCAGCGCGAGGAGGTTTCCACCCCAGTAGATGATGTTGGTATTTCCAGTGCTGTCGTTGGCATACCGTACGCACGGGTGAATATCGTATGGGTTTCGATAACGACCGAAAAGGCGTCGACCGGCCTTGCGCTCCAAAAGCCATCTTTCAGTATGGACGTATTTGATCTTCATGGAGATTTTGCCGCCCTGAATACGAAAGGCGCACACATGCCCATCCCCGTCAACGAAAGGGATTCCCACTTGAGGGCAGAAATGGGGATCAATGAGCAGCCGATACCAGGTACCGCTAATCTCCTCAGGAATATCACCGAAAACGACCATCTCGTCTAGTTCACATTCAAATCGACCCTGAGGAGCAGTGTCGGAAGGATGGTAGTAATGTTCCCATGGAGAGGTGAGCCCAAAGTGATTCGCATGCTGCATCCTTTCGACTGGTACAATAATTTTAGCCTGTGTGGCTTCTGCACCTAGCGTTGCCATAGTTCTCAAGTTGGGTTCGTGAAAACCCTGATATATGAACAAGTATAGGGGATTCGAGGCTTGATGTGCACAATATGAGACTTTTTTATATACCAGAAAAGGCACAAAAGAGACGCATATGGCCACTTTACTTTTGTCAGTTGCTCTTCTGTTAGACTATCAAATCTCAGAGCCGCGGAAAGCGATTTTTTGGATCAAGGTTAGTCATTCCGCGGAATGCTTTACGAGGTTGAATCGGGCAATAGCCCAATTGCCAAATCTCTGCGTAACCCAGATTTTCACCTTAGCATTGATATGAAGCCATTTTATGACCGCGGAATACGAAATTCTAAATTAGACATCCTCGCCGGTACTTGAAAAAGAATATTTGCCGTTATGATGCTTCAGTCTCGTGCACGGAAGGACAATCTCCGTGTTTTCTTTTTGGTAATCAAAGTTGGAAAATATTTGAAGATTTCCAAAGATAATTTAAGCGTTAGTCTGTCTTAGTTCATTCGTTAAGGCTCCTACCCATTATTAAACCCAACAATTCGTCTTCTGATATATGCTGCAGGAGAAATTCTAGAGCTACTGGTTGATATTTACTCATCATTTGGGATGAAAAGAATATGAACTGTAAACCCGTTGAAGTGAGCTTCAGGTCTATCCAGTGCTTATACGAGATGATACCTTGTGTCTCGCTCCGTTAGACAATTAAAAGCCCAAAGGTTGAGTCTTGACCTGCTCAAGCGTGCAGACTATGTGCCATAATCGCTTGCACCTAGGCCGTCCATTGACCCATTGCCCCTGTAGAGTGTTCCCACACTTGTGAAAGTATACTTCATATGATAATGGCCGAGTCTTGACATTTAGGTACATGTGAGACTTCCGCGGAATCCCTGCGACATACAGTTGATCAGAGCCGATTTGGTCACTCCGCAGAACTTTATTTCCCCAGATTCCCCCACATCTCCACCACCCCACAAGCCCTAAGATGAAGACACGGTACAGAAGGTACATATCTTCTAGCTATATCTATCTCGCTTTGCCTGATATGCCCAAGACAACTCATCCAGCCCCGTGTTCAGAAGCGCAGCTCGAACCATGTCCCACCACGTAAATGAGCTTGAGAGCTCTGCCATCGCTCATCGCCATCATCCAACTGAAACGCTCGGCCATGTCCGACTTCAAGATGGAATCACTGGGGCAACCCTTCTCGTGCCTCAACCGTCATCCGACCCCAACGACCCTCTTAATTGGTAGGTGTTTCCTGCATGTTAATTCGCCTCGTGACCTCTTAAAGGAAGCTGAATATCAAACCTATTATCATAGGTCGAGAGCTTTCAAGGTATACGTTACATTACTAATTTGCGTAGCGTTGACCTGGATCAATTTCTTTGCAGGGGGTCCCGGAGCAGTTTTGGTTGAGATAGCTATCGATCTCTTCGGTGTATATCCGCCCGACTCCCAAAATCCTGCCACGCTTTCTCCTATGTCAATTGCGGCTTTCTCATCTGCCGTAAGTAAAACTGCTTTACTATTTTCCACAGCTTCCATGGTAGCCGGCGTGAGTAACCTTTTATGGGTCCCTCTCGCGGTTAAATATGGTCGTCGCGTGGTATACACTTCCTCATTCCTAGTCTTTGGTCTCTGCTGTATCTGGTCGGCGCGTGCCACCTCTTATGGTAGTTTGTTGGCATCTAGGATTATAGCAGCATGGTTCTCCGGTAGTGCAGAATGCGTTGCTCCCATGACAATCGCAGACATATTCTTCCTTCATGAAAGAGGTAAAATGACCGCGTATGTGAGGAAATCCATGGCTATGCATTGAGCGAACTTTCCATACTAACAAGAGTCCATTCTAGGATGTATTCAGCCGCGCTCTCGACGGGTGCGGCTTTTGGCTTGTTGATATCTGGCATCATGTCCATCTCGCAGAACTGGAGAATGTTCCACTATCTCTGCGCCGCACTTGTTCTAGCCACAACGGTCTTGATTTTCTTCACGATGCCCGAGACCACATATCAAAGAGATTTCGGTAGAACGGAGGAAGTGGCAGACCGGAAAGTTTCTAACGTGGCCGAAGTGGAGCATGTCGAGGTGTCTAACACACCCAAAAAGACCTTTACTCAGCGAATGGCCTTTAACCGCTCCCCCCTCACCAATGAGAGCATTTGGAAAATTGCCCTTCGCCCTGTGTTTATCTTTTTCTTACCACCGGTCTTCTGGTCCACGATTTCGTTTGGAATAGGAATCGGAATCTTCGTCGTCCTAGGCACTACAGCCGCAACGGCCTTCTCCCAAGTCTATGACTTCACAGTCTGGCAACTGGGCTTAGTTTGGATTGCGGGTATTGTCGGCAATATACTAGGTATACCCTTTGGTGGTTACTTTTCGGATTGGGTAGCCAACCGTGCCACTTCGAATAATGGTGGCGTTCGCGAGCCAGAGATGCGCCTTCCCGCCGTGAGCATCGCTATGATCACTTATCCAGGATCACTTCTTCTCTATGGCCTCGGGATCAATTACAAAGCTCATTGGATGGTCCCTACTCTGGGAATATTCTTGTGTAAGATCTTTTCCTTTCAGCATGTTGCAAACGGAGCAGGCTTACTGAGATTGGAATCCAGTCTCATTCGGAAGTAGTGCTGCGATTGGCATCACGGTGGTCTATACAATCGACTGCTACCGACCAATTGCCGGTGAAGTTGTGGTGAGCCAGGTTGTTTTTAAATGTAGGTCATAGGCTCTTCTATCATGGTCCTCGGTAGTGCTGATCAACTGACTTCCTAGCCTTCATCACGTTTCTCATGTCCTTTTATGCGAATCCTTGGGTGAACCGAGATGGGTATGCAGCAGCATTTGGTGCGATGGCCGGGTTGAGTTTCGTTGTCCTAGCTCTGTGGGTCCCTCTGTATATCTGGGGTAAACAGATTCGTCATGCCACTCTCAAAGGGCGGGCAATGCGATATGTACACTGGGATTTGGACCGAGAGACGGGAGAGTAGGTTTCGCAGGGTACATCTGGAACATTTTTTGAATAGGGGAACTTTTTGCGAAAGTACGTTTTTTGGTGATGCCAGTGTGACAACATGTTTGAGGAGATAATGTTTAACTTCCACTCCGACTGCTTCATCATTGCACTACCTTGAAATACAGACGGTCTTCAGCAATGGATTTCACTTAGTAGCCACCCAGAAAGCAGGAAGCAAAAGTGCCATCGTATTAATGAGCATCGTGAAATTATCTCACTCTCCGATACATCAATACCATGTCACATAGCAGGAAATTTGGGCGATTCTGCCATTGCTGTTTTGGTATGACATTGCTCTTTGACCCGATTCCTACCCATGTCCCAAAATCCGATGTACAAGCAATTAGAGACTTCCAGTCGTCTCTTGTACTTTGAGACTAATTCTCAGATACGTATGATGATCTTTTCTAGTTTCCATTCAAAATTGCAAAAGTAATGCAACCTGTTACTTCTTTAACTCAAATGTTGAATTGAAAAGAGATGGCTCTCTAATAGCTGTCTGAATAATGAGAAACCGGACTGTTCTGAGCGTGTGAGAGCCCAAAACTTGATCATGGTATTTCTTTCTTCCAAGAATAGAAATGTGGAACGTGAGAGCGATGAGTGGAGAGAGTAGGCCAAGTCTGGGTTTCGTCTTGGCAGACTATTCCTCGTCGCACATAGCCTGTTGTGCTGGCAACTCAATCAAAGGTACGATGACCTTTGAGTCATACTTTCCACCAAAGTGAATTGTATGCCGCCCTTCATTCAGATTGTCGAGTTTCTTATCAATGTGACTGGGGAAATCGGAGCTCGTATCAATGAATCCTTGGACACGGAACAGTAGGCTCTCTCTTGCCTCGAAATGGATGCCCATGGGCCAAAGGGAAATCTCGAGCTTTACAATCTCTCCCGGAGGTACCTTTTCTTCCTTGTCATGTGGGTGATAAGGTATCATAACGGTGCTCCGCTCCGGGATCTGAGCGCGATGCGAAGCCCGGAGAATACCAGTCGGGCCGGTATACTGTATCATTGTCCTTGTTAGCGTGCCATCACACCTCATCTTGGTACAGTGTCTCCTTGAATGGAACTGCTTACCTTGACAGTCTGTGCCATCGGAACATCATTTTGGGTATTGACTCCCTCTGGAAGAGCTTCCCAGGGAACATTGACGTGCTCCAACACCTCGCCACTTTTGCTCAACTTGCGGATGGACACATAGACGTCCATATCATCCTTGTCTCTACAAGACATCCAAAGTTCGGCCTTTGAGTGACCAGCAAGAGTGGTTGCTTTGTCAAAGGTTAGCACAAATTCAGACGGTTTCGCTTGGTAGCTGTCCGCGTAATGAGTGACGAAACCCTCGTGGCCTTGTACGGAAGCGTTCAATTTTCCAGAATCCTGCAGGTAGAGCTTGCGGTACTCAGTCGACGGAATGGGGTAATCGGCGAATGGAACATCCCACATGGGCCCCTATTTGAATAAAAAATCAGATGGCTTTCAAATACATCTTGCATCCCAACTTACTGGCTCGAAACGATTTCCATACGTGAGGATGGACACTCTAGCCCTGGGAGTTTCTTCCCAATCATTTTCAATATTCTTCAAATACCGATCGAAGAATCTTTGCAGGTCATCAATATACCTAGGCGTGTAAAGATCAAACCACTCCTGGGTCGGGTGGAAGCGGATCCATTTGTTCTTTGAAGCTGCCTGGTTCCAGCCTCTCACGGTACCAGCTCCATGATTTCCCGAAGAATAGCTGACGAGCGCGTAGATGGGTAGAGTCAGACCACTGGTATCGTAGACCTTGTCGTCCCAGTATTCATTGAAAAGAGGCCATTTATTAAGCGCTTCACCGATGTCTTCCCGTTGATTTCGGCCGCGGATCGTTTTGTTGAAAATGAAGGAAGCAAAATTGTATTTCGGCACGCCACCGCGACAGATCAGATCGCGATACTTGTCTGTGAATCCTTCCCAAGGTGCTATACACTTGAGCGATGGTGGCTTCTGAATGGCAGTTGCCCATTGCTCTGTTGCCAGCCAGGAATTACCACACATGCTCACAGCGCCATTGCACCAAGGTTGAGCTGCGATGAATTCGACAGTATCATAGCCGTCCAGACCTTGAGGCTGTTAATATAAAATAATCTTTCTCTGTCTAATGAAGCAGCAACATACCCATTTGGCTTCCTTCAATATAAAGATTACCTTCACTATCCCAGGTACCTCGAATGTCTACATTAACGACTGCATAGCCCCGAGGACACCACTCAGCAGGATCGGGTCTATGTCTTATGGTCAGAATGTCTTATCCTGCAGCCTCTGCTAGAATTTGCTTACCCTTCGAATTTCTCAAGACCAGATGTGGCGCTCTCGGGTAGTCCAAGTCGGAAGGGAATATTGTCGAAGATTCGAAACCCTTGCAGCAATACCACTGTCAAAAACTGTTCCACTTCGAGAGGGAGCGTTTTCAGGTACATACCGTGCCCATTTTTACCGTATGGGCTCACTGCCAGAATAGCCGGAATCTTGGTATCTGTGACGGGCCTGAAAATGTCACAGTAGATCTGAAAGCCTACATTTAGGGCCCATGTTTGTTGCAGGACTCGAATGTATGACGAACCTTTATACCGTCCCTAAGCGGAATCTCGACCACCTCGTCAAATATGGTTTCCTGGTGAAATGGACGCCTGCCCTCTGCAAATTTCCAGCCCACGGGAAGTGTTCGAGTGTTTCTAGTCTGCTTGCTGTACGGATGCATATCTGTGTCATCTTCAGGTCGGTTGGTAGGTGTCCAAGGGATAGGAAATCCTCCAAAAGCAAGTTTAGGTCCGGCCATGATGCAGTTGTGTAGCAATGTTGCTAGCTGGTCTTTCGCGATGAATTAAAAATTTTCCGAAAAGCCTGGAAGAGTTTCAAAGATACTTCTCTTTAAAATCAAACATACTTGTAGTCGATAGGCAATTGCGATACTCGATATGCATCGATCATTTCAACTTCCGCGGAACTCGAGGCGATTCCGGCGGAGTCGGAATCTTGCCGCGGTAGCTTCAGTAGCTTGTTCGAGCTTGCTTGCCACCAGGCATCCCAGCCATAAAATTTCTTGGAAATACGGACTGCTAGCTGTTATATTACAATAACTTCCTAGATGACACACCGTTCAATTTGACGGGAATGTTGAAGCCTGAAAGTCGGAGACCTAGGAAGGGCCACACCCCCATATACAACGAATACTGAGTGCGGCCAATTTCTTGCTTCCAAGTTTCATTCAACAAAAGCCTATCATCTTCCTAGATTATTCTGTTCTTTAAACCCCGGGGCTCCTGAAAGTCACGGGGCATTCTCTAGAATGCGCAGATGCGTGCCTATGTGATGGTCACGTCTGCAGGGCTTGATAACAGTTTTGGCTGAAATGTATCCAAGAAGATCTAAATAGCCATACACCGGGTTGTATCATGCCGTTGATGAATGGGAATAGAGACTATAATATCCAGCCTCAACGTTGGTTGAGTATCAAACGTCCCCTGGATAATCATACAATATCGTAAGGTAGATATCCCCTCTTTCTTCTTCTTGATCCTTGGCTACCTTCTCAATCTTTTGCTGTAATTTTTACTGTCACTACAGTCTTTAGCAAAATGATGATCTAGATCAGAGATAACACATATATCTCATCAATTCTAGGAAATGTGAAGTATCTCCCTGAATCTTCAGCACGAGACATATAAGATCACGGTCATAAGGTTAAGCCCCTCCTGCGAAGGGGAAAGAGCTATAGATCAATCGGCTAACAGAAGGCAGGATCAGCAAAAACATTCTCTCTGAAGCTACGAAAAAGGCAAAGGAAGTTAGGAGCTGGATGGCCCATAATGAGAATCTCGACTTTGTACAATGTCTATTCCCATAAGGTCACCATAAAGCTAGATCAGATATCAAATTTGACTCTCAGCGGATCAAATGCTCAATTGCCTCGAAATTTGTCGGATGTGTTCAAATCAGGAGATTCATGAATAAACCAGTCTAATCGGCGACATGCAGGAGCCTTGAAAAAGCCGTATAATGCGGCAGATGTACATAAGCGGCAAACGGCTGAACTTTTATCTCCGAGATCCGAACTCCCAACCTGGCTCGAACATCTTAAAGCCTAACATTTGGAGGTCCAATCAGAATGATCATCGGTACCCCTTGACTTTGGCCTTTGCCGATGGCAATCCATTTCGGTAATTTTGGATTCTATTTAGCCAATTGTGCCCTTCTTTAATCGCCACTTGTGCGGGGTAAGTTCCAACTTCCATTATGTATTGCCTTGAGCTGTTGATACAGTATCCATCCCCCCCACCCCACACGCCTCTCATGGAACCCTAGAATGGGTCTGAACACCAATTGGTTCACGCCCTATATGACTAGTCCACATTCGTTACACTACGTGAGGAGTGCGGGGAGCGCAGATCTGGTGCCTTCTAAAAAGCGCACGAAACGGCTCATACCCTGAACCATGTCTTCCAATACTTATCCTGATCCTTTGCTTCTGTCGCAACATGAAAGCTGCCACATCATCAGCTTCATCTCGTGGTAAGAGGTCGCCGGATGCTCTTCGGGAGCAGAGGCCCCGAAAGAGAGAGAAATATGCCAAGATGGCCTGGTAAGCCATGCCCTTTAATGTACAACAAGGCCTAGCCGCTGAACCAAACATAGCTCCCTGTGCAAGATTCGCAAGGTCAAATGCAGTGGCAGCCAGCCGTGCAACCGCTGTGAGGAGCTTCATAGCCAATGCACATTCAACGAGCCGTTTCAGCCTGATGCTGCCGAGTATGACTTCCTAAATACGAGGAATTATCGTTACAGTCGTCGATGCATCAAATCTAATCGTCAAACAGCAGCATTGATCCACAGCAAGCGAATCGAGATCCTGAAGTCACGGTTCAGCGAATGAACAGAATCTGTGACCAAATGCAACAATCCATCGGCCGCTTTTGTATGGCTCCTCCGCGTCGGGCGTCCTGTCTGCAACGAAAACAAGAGAACGACGAGTTACCTCAGCCAAATAAACCTCTCACCCCTACTGATCCTGGACACACCCTGAGCCTCACACAGGATGCTATGAGAGAAAGGGGCCTACTATCTCCTCCGCACTCGGAAGATGGGCCTCATTTAGTCGCCCAAGACGAGTTGAAATTCCCAGATGCTTTGATCAATACACTGCAAGCTGCACGGCCTTTGCTGGAACTCGGTCACGCCAAGGTCACTCAGCTATTCACCACATTTCGAGATGAGGTCTATCCTTTCTATCCTTGCGTCAGCTTAGACTTGGGTCGTGAAGCTGTGAACGCTGTCTTTTCACTGTTCAAGGGTACTTCCCACGGTCCTATTATCAACGTCGATATGATCGACGTAGAGATCACAAAGGCTGTTGTGGGAATAGCCTTGTTGCTCAGAGACGACACGCAAAGCTCTCTAGTCTCCGATCTCGAAGGTCAGCTAATATGGAGTGTTGAGACTTGTTTAGATCAGGAGAAGTCCCAAATTGAGGACATCGTCATGGCAACATTGCTGGTGAGCTATCCAGGCCGTCTCTTGATACACACGCCTCCCTACTAATCAAAGGGAAACCCGCCTACCATACAGTCAATCTACCTAGGCCTCAAACAAAGACCAATTAAAGCATGGCGAATAGCTGGAATGGCTGCCAAATTGTGTCTCGAGCTCGGCCTCCATCGATCAAGGTTCTTCGAAGATTCTCAAGTACTCCCACGGCGTATGGCTGACTGGAAGCGTCTATTTGCTTGTGTCTATCGCCTGGACAGGCAATGGAGTTTCCATACCGGCCTACCGTGGACACTACATGGCAGAGAAATTAACGTGTCTGCAATCACAATAGTATGACTCCCCATCAGCGCAAGTGCATTTGACTATGGTCTTTTGACTAAGGGGATTTTCTCGGTTCAGGAACCGCTAGAGTCCTATATATCAACCATGATTTCCCTAGACAAAAATCTTTCCGAGACCTGGACTGCCGTCAACGCCACATCATCTCAAACCAAAAGCAGCGAGGAACGGGTCGAATTCCTCAACTTTCAACTACAAAAGCTCGTCGACAAGATACCGCCAGGGGACTTCAAGAACCTAGAGGCGGAAGTAGCTCCCCCACCCTGGCTACAAGCTGGACTGAAACGATTCTGCCATCTCCGCGTGCACCACATTAAAATTCTCACGCAAATAAGCGCAAGCGGCTCAATCAAGGATCTCATGTCAAACCGAATCTCGACAAATACTCTCGTCACTGCAGCCGCAAAATCAGTCGACCTGCACTTAGAAATGGTCACTGCGGGCGAAATAAGTCCACTCGTGTTACCCACGATGATCAAATTGCTTCTCGCCTCTCTATCCCTCATGATGTTTGCCGTTTCACACCGTCCTGAGGAGTACAGTTCACTTTGTAGCAAGCCCTTCCAAATAGCCATCCAAATCCTCAGCGACGCGCAAAGCTACGTCAATGACCCGAATCTGAATATTTGGGGTACTTTGCATATCTTGGAGAAGGTCGTTGAGGCGAGTCAGAGATCACGGTCCCAGGGTTCGGAGCCCTTAATTAGTCGCAAAGAAGAGATCGGCAGCCGCGTTGATCGGGGTGGGGCCTTTGATGAAGGGAACGTCTTTGGGGAGCTAGCTACGCCAGACTCGGAATTCTTCTCTATATTGGGAAGTATGGCAGCGACGGACATATTGCATATGGATGATATCTTTGGCTAAGTGTCGCAAATTGGACCAGTCATGGACGCTGCTCCTGTTCATGCTTGTGCCATGAAGCCGAGAGACCAGCATTTGTACAGATTGTAAATTCTCCAAATGGGTGTTTACGTTCCTCTAATAGGAGATGATTGGTGTGCACTGCTAGCATATCCACTAGCATGGTCAAACTAAGAGGGAAAGGAGGGCCATAATGTTGTAGTGAAGATGGTATGACTCTATGATTGATATGTCTATTACTGACTCTCATAAAAACAAGAAAAAGATAAATAATCGCGGCCCTAATGACCAAAACATTTCGACGTGGTATCAAATAGAATCCCAAGATGCAAACCTCCCAAAGAGAATCATCCCCTACCAACTATTGTGTGATGTTTTTCCAACCCACCATCAATTCGTCCCATTCCATGCCATCCACAACACAACGGTCATCGGCGGTACAAAAAGTCTAGGAAACAGAAGTAAAGTGACAATCCGAGCCCTTCAACGGAAGAAGGTCCAGATGAGATAGAAGGGGTGAGACAAGGCCCAGATGCAAAGTGGCGAGAAATCATTAAACAGAACAAAAGACGGACCAATCATGACGATGAGAATAAGGAGATAAAAGACAAACAAGGTCTAAAGAGACTGCTCGAAAAGTGCGATGGTCGAGCAGAAGTTGCTCTTATTGGGCTTCTCGGGTACCAAGCTGTCTCCAGCAGCTGAGGTGACCATGTTGACGGCAGCCTTGGTGCTTAGACCGTAAATATGAACATCCGAACAGTCAACCTCGACCATATTCTCCTGGCAGTCCTCGGAGTTCAGGCAGGTTTGCGCATAGTTCTCGAAGAAGCTGTACAGACCAGCACCGTAGATGAACAGATCGGAGGTATTCGTAACACGCAGACCCCAGGCCTTCTTGCAAGAGGCAGTGGTGCACGTCGAGAAGTCGGGGTCATTCCAGGAGTCCTGAGGCGTGAAGGGGACCAGAGCAGTAGGGTTGGACTGGTAGTAGGGAGTCTCGGTTTGGATCAAGCCCATGAAGACGTTCGCCGCGTTCGATACTTGGTAGTTGTACAGCTGATGATGCTCGGAGGCTGTACCCCACAGCCAGACGGGGCCTTGCGACTCGATGAGGACGCCACGGCCAGTGTAGACGTTGATCTGGTTGTGGTCGTCCAGGTCTAGCTCGTGATCAGCAGTCCACATCCAAGAGTTCTCAATGTATGCGCTGGCCTTCTCGGTGATGTGCAAGAGTAGGAATGCGGCGATACACTCAGTCTTGGGCGTCGTCTGCACGGCAGGAGTCTTGGGGCAAGTATCACTCTGGAGACCAGTGCCAGCGGCACCACCAACACGAACGTGAACATCCCACATGCCCGCTGAGCCCTGGGAAGAAGCAGCCACGTTCCACTCCAAGAGGATGGCACCTGGTGCGGCACCCTTGGTGGTAATGATCAGATCGCTCAGTTCGACGGATCCAGACTCGCCCTTTTGGCCAACTTGCACAGCAGGAATGGGGTTCGTCTCATCCTGGAACTTGGAGCCATGGGCCATGATCATGGGCCAGACCTCACCAGTGATCTTGATGTCCTTGGGCACCTTCAAGGTCGAGGTAATCACGTACGCACCGTGATCGAAATAGACAACCTGGTCAGTGGTAGCGCTGTCCAGGACCTTTTGGAGAGCAGCAGTGTCGTCGGTTGTTCCGTCACCCTTGGCACCAGCGGACTTGACGCTGATGAACGAGGAGGCTGGGAGAGACTCGTAGAGGGGCTTGGACTTTTCAAATACGGCACCACCGGTGAGAAGGTCGGCAGGCTTGGAGCTGGCCGTCAAGGTGCTTTGGGTGCGAGCAGATTCGACAGCCTGGTTGGCACTTCCACTGCAGGTACCAGAACTACTGCTAGAGCTGGTAGTAGAGCTGGCGCTGGAGCTGGAGCTGGAAGCAGAGCTAGAGCTAGAACCAGTGTCCTGGGAGATGACAGCACTAGAAGTACCAGATGCCGCAGTGGACTGAGCAACGGGAACGGCGCTGGAGGTCTCCACGGCTGGAACGACCTGGCTAGTCTGGGCACCGGTGGCTGCGTTATCGGATCCAGAAACAACGCTGGCAGATGACTCGCCTGCGGAAGGAACGGCAGCCGTAGTCTCCTCGCTAGCCGCAGGAGTCGGGGTGGCCGGTACATTGACCTCGTAGGTCTGTCCCGATGAACCAATGAAGGCAGACAGCAAGCTGTTGTCCATGCCAGGGAGACCCGAGAGCGCAGGCAAAGAGACCGGTGTGGCCTGCGATACAACAGAGCGATCGCCTGAATCGGTGCCAGTAGGCAGGACGGGAGTAGTGATCTTAGTGTTGACACTAGTCGCTGCGTTGGTAGCAAGGGTAGCGACAGTGTTGGTTGCAGCGCAAGCTGTCACAGTCTTCACGACAGTCTCAACAATGGTGACAACCTCGGCGTTGTCATCATTCTCATCGGACCGGTATGCACGCTTCTCAGAAGTGGATGAGGAGGGAGTGTACGTGTTGCCCTGCACCCAGCTATCGACGACAGCACCGCCGGCCAGGATGGTGTTACCATCAACACCGGCCACGGCGACCGTGGAGCCGGAGAAGTCGACATTGTCCAAGACAAGAGTGCCACCACCAACAGGGATGCTGTTCTTGGTCCAGGCGGTAACGATACCAGTCGGAGTGTTCGTAAGCTTGCTATCAAGCATCATGACGGAGCCAACAGTCTGGTTAGACGGAGAGGTTGACATGTTGAGACCGACCTCGCAGTTGTTGATGTTGACAGACTTGAAGGTCCAGGCCCAGTTCCAGTTCATGTAAATAGCAGTCTGGCAGCCATTGAAGGTCAGGTTGCGAGTAGTGAACTGCTGGTTGCCCAGGAACATGCCGTAGTTACCGCCGTTGAAAGTTAGGTCGGACATGAAACCACCGGATCCGTTGTCCATGAAGATACCTTGCTGTTTGTTGGCTGAGCCGCCACCCTTGATCATCTCGAAGCGGATGTTCTGCAGGCTAGTAGCTTGACCAACCTGCCAGTGGATACCCGCACCGGAGCCTTTGGGCATAGCAGTAAGATCAATGACGAGGTTACGAATGGCGCGGAAAAAGTTGTTCTGGTTGGTGTACCAGTTGTCACCATTGTCCTCGTATGGGTCGGCATCGATGACCGCCATACCGGAAAATGCAGCGGCAGCCTTGATGATGGGCAGATCAACTGCATCACCAACGATTTGAGTGTAGTAGTACTGCACAATGGGCTTCGACACGACGTAGGTACCAGGTGGGAAGTAGACAAGGGCGGGGGTAGTGGTAGATGAGTCGCAGCCCTGGCCGCAGCGGCCACCAGAGGAGATGGCCTTGTTGATAGCCGCAGTGTCGTCGGTTGATCCATCACCTATTATCCGGCAGTTAGTCGTTTGCAATGAATACATGTTTGACATCTCGTCATGACTCACCTGTGGCGCCAAAGTCCTTCACGTTACGGAACACCTGATAGTCACTGCTGTTGCCAAATGGCACCGTGCCCTGGCGCGTGATAGTACCAACCCAGTAGCTAGAAGCAGCACGCTTCGACGCAGCGAGCTCCAGCCCATTAGAAGCAGGCGTCACGGGAATAGCGCCAACCAGGGCAGTGGGCAGACCCAGCAGGAGAATGAGATGGGCCAAGAACATCATGATTGAGGATTGGAAATGCGCCATCGTCTAGATAGCTTTTCGCTGAACCTGCAGCGAGGATGTGTGATTTTTTGTTGAATTGACGGATCGAATCCCTGTGAGAGAGCGAAGTTCAGTAGCCAGTACTGATGTAGCGATTGATAAAAAGATGAGAACGTCTGGCGGCGCTTAAACCAGCAGCGTCGGCAGGAGGCTCGAGAGGGAGTGTATGGAAGTAGTCAAGAAGGAGCGATGCAAGAGAGGCAGCAATTGGAGACTGCGTTTCCCAAGCCAAAAAAAAAGGATGGATGAAATGCGAAGGCAGCTCTGGTCTGATAGTTGATAGTGGACGTTCCACTACCTAGTACCAAGACACTGGGATGTATACTTCGACCCGCAAAGAAAGGAGTGAGATAGCAACAATGGGCGTTGTAAAGGCAAACGTCCCAATGAAGCCGCAGGCAACAGAAAGGAACATAGAAGAAGGGAAAGTCGAAAAGGAAGGCAACAATCAAACAATGGAATCAAAGAGAAGCGGAGAATAAAAGAAGAAGGATATCCCTCGAGAAAGGGATGCCAGCGGCACTTACCTGGCCAAGTAATTATGGAAACCAACTTTCACAGCCGTCGGGTATTTCCAGCGTAATCTGCACGTATCGTCCCTGAATCACTCTCCACGGCGCCAATCACACCACACAGCGCCCTGCAATCCACCAGCACCGCCCAATCAGACAGCCCCGCGGGCGTAACGACGCCGACGCTTGAAACGCGATTGTCGGGGATGAAACACTGGGGGAGGTGATCCCAAAGCCGAGTGTTGCAGATTCCCTGGTGGAAACAACGGGTCGGGAGACGAGTTGGTCAAATGAGCAGGAGTGGCCACGGACGGTTTGCTCTAGGTCGCACGGGCAAGATCTGGCCAGGCGCAGACTGTGGAAATAAGAATGTGATTCGACGGGCGAATCAATCGCAGAGCCAGTATAAGCCAGTATACTATCAGTGCTCGGTGGAGATGAAGTTTTTTTCTTTTTTAGGAAATCCTGTTCCAAAACGAGATAATTGGGTATAGTCCAGAAAAGCGAGATCAGGCACTGAGCAAGGAAAAGTCTCCAAATGGAGGGTTCCCGGGGTCTCTACGCGCTATATACCAAATGCTTCGTCCAATACGGTGGTTGCCAAAGGGATCGCGATCCCCCGGCAAATCAGGGTATGCCGGATCATCCATTCCATCCATCTCAAGGTTCTTGGCCGCATGGCCATGGAATCACCGCGTCAGATGCCTTGAGAGGAGGGGGAAATCATTTTCCTGGAACATCTTCCATGGCAGCAATGTACGGGATGTGGGACTGCGCGAACATGGCCAGCGCTTCTGGTATGTTCCCCTCTCTCCTGGTATACTTTCCCTTGTCCTTGTTAAAGTGGAGTCAACCCTGGTCACGACAGGGACTGAACGAGGAGAGAGAGGGGGTAACGGAGACCAGTACTGAATCGTTTGATTTGGAGAACGGGCTTCTCAGGGTAGCAGGGGATACCAGTAACCGCAGCAGCAGTGTCAGCAGCGATAGCAACCGTGCAACTTCTCGGGCTTGATCCCGTGCACTCATGTCCATTCTCGCCACGAAGAGTGTTGCTCGGCACCGGCCCTCATGCCTGTGTTCCGTCTCCGTCGCTGCACGACTCCTGCTCACCAGTCCGCTGTGTCGCGTTCCCCGGCCACGGAGTTCCACTGACAAGACTCCCCGCCGTCAGGGCCGGTTGTCAGGGATGCAGGTTGCTATGGATGAACATTCCAGTACGGGGGCCGACGGAGAGAAATTCCTGATGACGAAGGAGGAGGCTGTCAACGCCCGCCCTTCCGAAAAAGAAGTTCGCCCTCAAGAGCTAGACTAGACGCCACTCCCTTTGTCTCGGACTCGGTGCGGCCCTGCGGGTGCAGATGCGCCATCTGCATCGGGCAGATCATCACGACTGGCCAAGCTTTTGTCCGGCCCCTGAGCGTAGGGGGATCCGCCCTCGCGGCTGCAGTGGTGGCCAGGTCCCAAGTGCTCGCTTTCCCTCCGAGCCAATGGTATTGCGTAATTTTTGGTGATCCTCGTCGTAGTGTGGAGATCTTTGATCGTATCTCACTTGCCTTTTTTTTGTGTCGAGTCGTTGACCTGGGAGGTTTGGGAGCTTGCGTAGTAAACAAGCGTTCCACGGGACTGTTCTGACTAAGCGCTCGCTTTGATTGACTATTGGAAGAACAGCTCGGACAGTTGGAGTATTGAATCGTAGACCGGATCTTGGGTAAGTAATGCTCAGTACCTTGGTCGGCGGACCATCTTTCCTGGGGCAAGTCGAGTCGATCGCCAAACCGCGGTTCAAGCTGTGCTTGCCGCTTCTACTCCTCTAGCGGATACTTAGCATCGTCCTTGCTGGCATTTCCAACATATGATACCCCAACAAGCTTTCTAGAACGAACTTGATCGCTGGCATCGTAAATTTGGTATTCCTATGCTACTAGTACAGTATGTACTGGTCTTGGCGGTGGTACCGAGAGGATATCCCGGACGCTCGGTCTCCCGATATGTATGTACTGTATGTACTTACTGCCTTTAGTGTGTCTGCCACGCGTCCTTGTCCACTTCTCTTTTTTTTCGCCCGGATACATCCGCCCCACCTCCGACCACAGTACCAAGGGCAATTTAGCTTCACTTTCTCTTTTAGGTAGTTAATTTGATCATCTCGAGCTGGATGCTCTGCGCTACACAAGCGCACGTTTCAGGACGCGTGCGAGCCTACGCACCCCCTCGGTCAGGTGACGGGGCTCTTCCCACGCAAAGCAGAGGCGCAGGCAGCCGGCGAACCGATCGCTTGGCGGCTGTGGGCTGCCGGCCTCGAACAGCGTGCCAGGCGCTAAGCGCAGGTTTTCTTCCTGTTGGGCTCGCTGCACTAGATCTACCGCCAGTAGCGGCGGTGGCAAGGTGACCCAGATGAAATACCCGCCGACGACGGTCTCGGATGACGAAACAACCGTCACCCCAAGTGGGACTAGGTATTCCTGGATCGCGCCAAGTACCCTGTGATACCGTTCAGCATATGCGGGCTGAAGGACTTGTTGGATGTGAGTGTCTAGGAAACCGGAGGGGAGTAGTTGATCGATGATGGTGGCACAGAGTTGAGAAGGGGCGCCACCGGAGCGCGAGGAGCCTCTGTAGAAAGGGATATTAGCTGGATGGTATATAGAACATTCCCGGAATCTCATTCGCGTATGAATCGTATACTCCACTCCAATAATTGACCAGAGTAATCGATACATATGCGGCTCTATTTCGTCTCGGACGAATAGCAACAACGCAAACAGACGTGACAAAGAAGCATGAGGAGGGCAAGACATACACTTGTGATATCCCGTAAGCGACCTTTTCGGATGCTTCGGCCCATCCAGTGCGAGCTCCCGGACCGAGCAGTTTGCTGAAGCTGCCGTTGCTTATCGTGTGACCCCATTCATCAACGGGGCCACCGTCCAGATAAAGATCCACGTCTACCAAGCGGGGGAGGCATGCGTGTTCGGGGGCAGCCAGCTGACCCCCGGCGATTGGCGACCACTGTAGGAAATCGTAAACGTCGTCGGTAACCAGTAGCGCATCGTACTGGCGAGCTAGTCGAATCAATCGTTCTCGATGACCCAGGGACATCACCTTGGTAGAAGGGTTGGCGAATGTTGGGACGGCATAGATGATATATTTGTAGATCTTGCGCCAGGGCCGAGGGGCTTTGAATTTCTGCAAGCGGGAAAAGGAGGATTAGTCGAGGTGCCAGCGATTACTTTTTGTTCTGATTCTTATCGGAGATAAGTTCAGTGGATGATGGGAAATGTGACAGTGATGCCACAGTCAGCTCCGAAAAGAGAGGCAGACTACCGTATCAACTGTCTGTTTCAGGTCGATACCGGTTCGGTGTTGCCCTCGGCATGAGCCTTTTCTTCCGCCGCACGTAATCCATTTTCCAGGAAGGCGAGGTCAATTCCCTCATCATCCTCAGGAACCCCATAGACCCGCCCAGCGAAGCCCGCATCATCCATCATACGGCCCGCCAGATGGTAGGTGGGATCGACCATCCACACTGCGCGCGTGTAGACGGGGTCCGTGAAGACGGCCATGACACACGCGAGGTTCTGGCTGGCCCCTCCGGTGATGCAAATGCGCCCAGGTGAGATGGGGTGGCACGGCTGATAGAAGTTCTCCAGCCATTGGGCCACGTGTGCGCGCAGAGGCTCGTAGCCCTCATCGGGTCCGTACGACAACCCTGGCTGGGCAATGGAGGGGGTCGTCAGAACGGTCGTGGCGGAGCGGAGCAGATCGGGGGCGGGGAGGAGCGCGGGGTTCGGCCAGCCGCAGAGGAGGTCAATGGGCGGTTGGTTGTGTCGTAGATGGGGGGGCGCAGTCATGACTGTGGGGTTGATTGGATAAGGCGGGAGATAGTCGAAGCGATCAGGAGTAGAGATTTCGAGGGTAAGCGCACGCAGAGATGTAAGTGATAACGTCAGTTGACGCTTGGCACGACGGAACCGTGGGCCCTGAGACACGACCGAAGGTTGGAGCGGGAAGCGCCGATTCCATGGGCGAGGAGGGGAAACGCGAGGAAACCAAGCACAAGGAACTTGCGAATGAGAGGATGCCATCGGGTTAAGGTTCTATGAGGGGAGAGTATATCTAATCTTGAACGTGTTTCCGAAGTATATCGAAGAGCATTTTGTAAGTATATTATCCGTAGTATCATGTAACCAGTAGACCGATTTAAAATGACTCGTAAGATATATTCGATGCTCTCTAGGCTACTATATACTCCAGGTAAGACATCATGATGCGATGCATTGCGTCAGATTACTCGCAGCGCCCGAAGGCACTAAGAAAGTTTGTAAATAAGGGTGACCCGACCGTAAGATTAGATTCTCGTTAGAGGCTCAACGTAAGCAGTCTGTTCCTTTCCACGGGTCTCGTGGAAATTTAAACCGTTGGGTTTGTAGTGATCCTTCTGCGCCCTTTCCCCGTTTTCTGGTTGCCACCCGTACAGTAGTCTACTACTAGCGCCAAATTCCAGTAAACTCATTCTGCATGATGATCGAGACTATTGCTCCATTGCCTGCTTCACAACTGTCATTTGGAACCCTAGGAGTGTCCCGGTCGGAACCAAGCGGCAAGCGGCAAAGCGTGGGATATCAATCAAACCCAATTGGATGGGCCATTTAAAATCGAGTTAGTGATGTGTACTCAAAGGCAATTGCCGCTCGCTAGTCAACTAATGCCTTGCTGCCGGACAATGGAATACACAGCCCATCTCTCCCCGATCGAGACAAGTGGGCTGCCGTGTCACGACTTCGTTATAAGTACATACTAGTATGGATTTATGAGAGTTAGAATACTCCGCCGCCAGGCTGAAAGGGCAGACAGTTGATGTGTCGAGGCGCAATCTAATTTTCACGGCTCTCGGACTTGGATTCTGTTTCTCAACCCAGTATGGAGTAGTTATGGAGTGATCCGGACTCCGTCCTGTAGTCTATGATCAATGATACTTACTAGCCAGGATGGCGCTCGCTAGTTATTCGGTCCAGTCGGCCCGGACAATGAGCGTATGCTTAAAAGTATCTGAGCATATCAATCTCGTGATCACCCAGACAGCTACTCCGTAGGTTACCCTCCATAGTTCGTCCACTGATGATCGGAATAATGCAGCAGCCGCGTCGTTATGTCCGTTTTCCAGCTTCGGACAGTCAGCATGCACAAGGGCTCTTGGGGGCTCATGATTCGTATGTCAATCCAGTTTTGCACTGCAGGGCTCCACCGAGACACAGCCAAGGAACCCCATCAGTGCCGGAGCTGCTATTATTGGCATGGAAAGGAACCGGATCGAAGGCCCTCCGGTTTTTAGTTTTAGTTTTTAGTTTTCTAGTTTAAGGCTCCATTGTTTCTTGTAAAGACCGTTCAAGAGAAAAAAAAAATTGTCCAGTCAACACTGAACCCAGACGTTGGTTTTTCTTGGAAACACCCCCTGAGTCTTCTCTTTCGATCTCTCCTTCTCTCTACTGTTTGAGGGTTGACCGCAGTTCATCATTCCCCTCGCGGTGTTTCCCTGCCATTCTTGCAAATCCCTCCTGCCGATCCATTCTCCGAACCTCCCCTTTACCACCTCGCTCATCACCTCGAGGTTCTCTCCTGCACTATCTGGCGCCGCTCTGTCATTCCTCTTTCCATGCGTCGCAAGGCTTGAGCTCCCCCATCTTGCGCTCCGCCCGGCTCTGACTTGGCCCACTCTTTCGACCCAAAACGAGCTGGCTGAAACTCTCGTCTCTTTCTCCTGATCTCGGAGGTACTCAGCACGCTCTCGTTTCCCTCTTACCCCCTCCTCCCCTCACCATTCTCCTTTCACTCTCTGTCCTCCTTTTGAAGTGCATCCGAAAAGATGTTGTCAGCTCCCGTTAAATCGGCGAAGCGAATTTCCTCCCTCTTTTCGCTAGGTTCGCATAAGGATCACAATGCGCCTGGCTCTCCGGCCTCGCCGGGATCGAATGGGTCCTCAGATCTATCGCAGGACAGGAGGCGACGCAGCAATTCACGACCTACGCGACATGTGTCGACTCCCAATGCGGTCTTCTCAGAACCAAGGACCGTCCCGAACGCCGGTCCCGTGGATTTCGACCTCGAAAGCCTCCCGCCCCCGCCGTCATTGTTGGCCGTCAACCAGGACCTGGCTACCAGTGCACCCAGCTCACCTACCGATGCCCGCCCATCCAGCAGGGGTCGCGATATGACCCGTCCTTCCAGTTCGGCCGGGTTGGCTATCCCGGGTTCCGCGCCAGACTCCCGCCCGGGCACGCCATCGAAACGCAGAAGTTGGATGCCCGGTATGATGGGTCGGTCGCGTGCAAGCTCGGTGGACAAGCGAATGCCAACTCCGGCCTTGCCAAGTGCCTGGATCGCTGGCTTGGACCAGAAGGTGGTCTACGATATGGAACCTTTGTCGAGAGGCGGCCAGGTATGTGGGATATGACGAAGAACTGTACGGCAGATCAAACGTCGAGAATGCCCTGCTAACTATTTCCCCTCCGCCTTTTAGATCGCCGAGCTGTGGAACGAGGAAGGTGACACATTTGTCTACCTGTTCCCCCAAAACACCGGCCGCGCGCCTTCTTTCAAAGTCGATTCCACAATCTTTGCCGAATCACCGTCTCTGACCTATCTCGCTCGAGGTACCGACTCAAAACAGAGTGGATTGGAGCAACCGACACGCACGCTTTCACTCCAGAGCCCAATTTCACCGCCATTGACCCCGCAGGATCGGTTGGCAGACGACGATGACAATGATAGTTCCGGCAGTCAGCGGATGGCATTTGTCGATGATGGTGGCGATGAGGTTCAGGAGCTGCATCTGTACCTCCCAATCCCCCTGAACAGCGACGTGTCCAGCCCTCACTCGAAGCTCTCGCAAGAGGATCTGGAGACCCTGCTCTTGTTCCGCAACCTATTTGCTTTCCTCCTGGGTCAATCCCTTATTGCGACCCCCAAGTCTGGATCTCTCTTCAGCATCTTCATGGATGTGGCCGTTTTGCTGTCCCGCTTTGAGTTCTCCAACCTGGACGGATCCAACTTTGGTGAGACCGCTACCTCCAGCTTCAGCAACTACTGCGACGAGCTGCGTCTGGCCGATGTGCGGAAGAGCCGCGAGAAGACCATCGAAGCCATCGTGCTGGGTGAACGGCTTCGCTACTATCCGCTCTACCTGGAGGGATTCGTTCACGGTGTTGGTAAATTAGATGAGCTCAAGCAACTCCGGAGTCCCAAATACAGCTTCATCCATCCGATCACCCAAAAGCGCCTGGAGCGTGGCTTTATCGACCTGGACACCCGTCTGCGGGGCCTCTACGGCAAGCTAGAGGACTTTGATTTCCCCTCAGTCTTCTCCGGTTTCGCGAACTCGACCTCATCCGAGGAAAGCAAGATCATCCGCTTCAAGAACTGGAAGGCCAGTTTCCAAGAGTTCCGCCGTTTCACCATCAACTACTATCGCAACAAGTACGGAGCTTGGCCACCCAAGGCTCGCTCTAAGAAGAATGCATTTGAAGAAAGTGGACTTAATCGCCAACTCCTTCTGGACCTGTATGGCGATTTCACGGATCTGTACGATTTACTCGTCGACCGCACCAACCTAACCACGCGCACCATCGACTCGTCCGGCCCCGGTGGCGACCCCTCGCCCACTGAGACCCAGGCTATCATGCTTCGTGCTCTCCGCCACGTGCTCAGCGAGTATGACCGCAGTACTCCCCCCGTCGCCCCTCCCATTCCGTTCGACGTGCCCCAGCTGCCGTCAGTGCAAGGGCTGCACCGCAAGCCTCTGGATGCCAAGAAGGAGGCCAAGTACCGTTCCAAGAAGCTCAAGGCCTCCGACATCAACGCCGTTCTCATGGGCTCCTATACTCGTGAGAGCATGCGACCCACGCCATTCATCGAGAGCTTCACTCAGTTTGAGCGACGATGTGCCAATGGCAAGAGCGTGGACGATCTGCTAGAGCTGCGCTGTGGACAGTGGATCTTCCTTTACGCCGTACTCCAATCTCTGCCCATGCTGGTTGTGGACGTTCCCGAGGTTCGCTTTACGGAAGGTGTCGAGTACTTCCTTTGCATTGCCCCCCGTGGCGGTGCTCCCTGGATTCACAATGACACCAAGACTGCTCGTGCCTGGTTTGGTGTTGCTGGTGGTGCTGGTGTGGTCAGCCTGCCGTCCGATGTCGTCATCAACGGTGTCGAAGGTGTCTATCGACGCAGCCACTGCTGGCAAGTGGCCGAGCAGTGGGCTGAGGCTGGCGCCCTGATCGAGCCACCAATGGTCGAGGATGCTTACGAGGAGGATGAATCTTCCATCTCTTCTCCTTACCCAGGCCAGCAGTCATCCGCTGGGTCTTCATCCGAGCCGCACCCGCCTTCAATGATGGGTCACGCCCCAGGTGGTCTCACCCCACCCCCGCCAGCTATTCCTCGCACTCGCTCCCCCGCTGCTTCCCAGCGTGTTGAGCACCGTCACTCAATCTATCCAGGTCTGGAGGCTTTGCCGCTCCCCGCAGGCATTGCTCCCATCGAGCCCCCCACTCGTCCCATGAGTCGCTTCAACCCCAACATGAGCTTCGATGACATCTTGAAGGAGGTTCCCAGGAAGGACAAAAAGAAACACTAAGTCTTTTTTCTGATTTGGCTGATCGTTCCCTCTTCCTTCGACGTTCGAGACTCATTGGGAGGGTGGTTTTCTTCACCTTCAATTTTCGCTTTTCTCACACTGTTTCTTTCCTTTATTTTCTTGATTGGCTGTCAATAGGTGCATATTCGTGACATGGGCTGGATCGGCGCGATACACGGGGATGCGAGCAGGATAAAAAAAAGCCCCCATCTAATTGAACGGGAGAGAAGCATGGAAGAGAGCAGCAGCACCTTTATCATAATTATTCAGCATATCAGCATCGGCATCTCCAGAGGATGGAGATTGGGTTTTCTCCGTGTTTCGATTTTCTTCCCATTCCCGTTTTCCTGGTCTTCATTATCTTTCGTTCTCCCCTTCTTCCGTGTGTTGGATTCCCCCCTGCTTCTCGTAATTGGTTTGTTCGGATTTGTCGGGACCGCCCGATAGAGAATAGAGACTCTAATATCTGCATAATGGAAAGTTGTATGAGTATTGGATTATGAACTTCTTATGGTGGTATGTTCAATGTTTATAGTTTGGTAGATCTTGTGTACTTGTACGGCGTCCAGTCGTATTTACTTGCGATTGTTGTCCCTTCCCCTTGGAGGGCCGTCAACCATGGAACCATGCGGTCCCACCGTGAACTGTACCATTGTTCCAATGTATACTCGGTAATCTCTGTCCCACTGCTTCGAGGCTTGCCTTCCCCAGTCTGGCTAATCGAGTCTAGCTGGATTCGCCTGGACAAAACGAACTCATCCACAGAGCGTGCAGAAATTCACCATTGTCACGGGCATCCGTGCTCATGTCGCACCCACTAACGGGTGGCGGCTGGCGGCCAAAAAAGGGAGGCAATACGAGGCGCAGCAGCCACGGCTGCGGGCAGTCAAAAAATCCAACCGTCCCGTCTGGACCAAGACAAAGCCAGAGAGATCAATTTCGCCTTGAGGTTAGCGCAGATCGCTTCCTTACCTAATGAGGGACCTCGGGTCTTCGAAAGGTCTGCATCCCTTCTTACGTGCAGAAAAGGACTGTTTGGTACCCTGGCTATCGCGAACGGGCCATTAAACTTTCCCCAGCCTCGGGAAAGACCCCGGTTACACTGAAAATAGGGGAGGATGGAATAACGACCCGCCTGTCAAGTTATATTCACTGAGCGACCTTTCGAAACCGAGTCCAAACCCTCGTCCGGCCCCAAGCATGGCCCGGTCCGCCAGTATGGCCAGCGACGGCCACGAGCGCCTGGAGCCGCGACTGCTCCGCGCCGCCGAAAACGACGACATCGAAGCCCTCCGCACGGTCATCAAGCTGGCGCACGAGTACAACCAGTTTAGCGACAATTTCCTGCGTGTAGCCGTGATGCGCAGCGCCGAGCGAGGCTCCGTCGCCGCGACCGAATTTCTGCTCGAGCTCGGCGCAAAACCGGATGTAACTGGGAATCGACCGTCACCGCTCCTCCGCGCCGTCGAGCGCGATCACTATCAAATTGTGCGCCTGTTGCTGGACCATGGTGCCTCGCCGGATACCATGGATAAAGAGGGGCGGACGGCGTTGATGACGGCGGCATGGAAGAATCATGCCGACGTGCTGCAGTTACTGATTATGCGCGGGGCGAATGTGAATGCGAGAGATCATCGGAAGCGCAACGTGCTTCATAATTTGGCGGCGGATAAGGAGTGTCGATGGGGATGGGGCGATGAGATTGTGACGTTACTCCTCAGGACGGACTGTCTGGTTGATGGGATTGAGGGACAGGATGAGCTGGGGAGGACGCCGTTGCATTGGGCTTGTGCTCAGGGGAATTGGAGGCTTGCGGAGTTGCTGTTGACCAGACCGGACGGTCCCAAGGCAAACATTGATGCGGTCGAGTTGAGAGGGAAGACCGCGTTGCATATTGCGACTGCGCATGATCGGGCGGATATCGTTCAGTTACTGTTGCAGCATGACGCTGCGGTCAATGCTTGCAGTGATGGTGGATGGACACCGCTCCATAATGCCTGTGAACGAGGATGCGAGGCAATCGTTCGTATCTTACTGCGTGCGGGGGCCCATATCAATAGTCAGCTCTTGAACGGCGTGACCCCTTTGCATCTTGCGGCGCAAGGTGGGCATACCGAGGTTGTGAAGGGTCTTTTGGAACGACCGGATTTGAAACGTCGTGTACGCGATAACTTTGGGAGTACGCCTTTCCTGCGAGCGGCGCAGTTTAAGCGCAAAGATATCGTTCTGCTGTTGGCACCTTTCAACAATGTCGAGTCCCTGTCCGACGATGTGAAAGATGCCTCTGCGGCGTTTGATGCCACCGTGGTCGACTTTGGCAATTTCCACAATGAGAACCGCGTGAAACGAATGTCGGTCTTCAATCTACTGTACGGTCGAGATCCCGAGAATCCTCGCAAGCAAGCCGTGACGACCGTGCCGGCAGACAGCCGTGCCACTGACTTTCGTTGGATTCATCTTCCCGCAAATAACATGGCTTGGGTTGAGGCACTTCTCACCAAGTCATTCATCGAAGAAGGTGCGCATGACGTCGACGGGTTCAAGGGTCTCGAGAAATCCTTCAACTATCAACATCGTGGTCAAAAGATACACTCACATTTCATGCGGCCTTTGTGCCAGCATACACCTCGCTCATTTGAGCGGCGAGAAGAGGAAAAGCTGGAGAGGCAACAGTCAGACATTGCTCCATCAATCATGACAGATACCAGCTCTACGTACCGCAAACAGAAGGGACCCAGCAGCAAACTCGACCGGGTGGATTCTCATTCGCATGATGAAAGCAGTGGAGGTGCCCCGGGGAAGAAGAACAAAAATAAGAAACCCGGCAAATCGGGCAGCAATCCAGGGACCCCCAAATCGGAGGTCAAAAGCAAATCGCCATGGGGTCCGTCAGAGAAACAGGCGCGCCCCTCCCCTCTTTCTGCCCTGGGGCTCTGTAGGGATCCTCAAGCAAGTCATAACGCAGCATGCAATGTTTGTGTGTTTATGCCTTATTTGCATTTTGAAACCGCAGAGCGCAGACAGAAGATGCAAGAGGCGATCCAGCGAGCCGAGATGTTGAGTTTCCAGCCCACTGGCATGAAACGAACCCGAACCCGCGATGAGATGCTGATCGATGCACATCTGTCTTCGTCGACAACCTCCTTGCACGTCCGTCGAACGCTAGACCAGTTCTTCTATCCGAACATTGATACCCAAAGCCGTGACCAGGATCAGGTGGTGTACCGATATCAGACCAAGGGTCCCGGTCGTGAAGGACCGGGGACGGACCCTAAGATCTTCATGGTTGATCAGTTGTGGATGTGGGTTCTCGGCACGAATCTGATTGTGACTAGTTTCCCGCAGCGATGGGATCAGCCGAAGAATGACCCGCTCAATGTGCTGGATGGAATCATCGAGGATATCAACTCCAAGACTCGAGACCCCGTTAGGTCGGTGTATGACCTCGCGATCATCATCACCAATCGATGCTCGGGTGTTTTCGACCGCCACCGTCTTGGAGACGACGAGTATCAGTTCCTGGACATGTTCGAATCCTCTATCGGTATTGCGACTGACCGAGAGACGCTACTCTTCAATCGCTTTAATCGTGCCTCAGTGCAGGCATCCGCTTGGTTGAAGAGTCACCGAAAATTAAATCCCTTGTCGCGCAGCTCAGCTCGCTCGATATCTGGTGATGCAGCAGAGAAAGACACGCCATCTGAGGACGAGGATTATAATCAAGACGATGGCCAGCCGCTGTTCGTCGATCGTCTGCTGGATATCGGCGAGGAAACCGATTTGCTGGCAGAGACGAAAGATATTCGCGACGAATTGAATATGATTCGCACTGTGTTGGAACACCAAAAACATGTCTTGGTGGACTTCCAGGATGTCATCTGCTCGGTCTACCTGGCACAGCAGATTTCCCAAGTGGATGTCAAGAAACGCTTCAAGGACCAGCAACGTATGATCGAAATGCACTTGAAAGATATCGATCGTATGGACAAACAAGCCGAGCGTATCTACCATTCCATCACGGATTTGCTTGACCTCAAGCAAAAACACGCCAACGCATTCGAAGCCCGTTTCGCTCGTGACCAAGCAGCGGGTACTACCCGGCAAAGCAAGACAATCATGGTGTTCACTATTGTCACAATTATCTTCCTACCGCTATCCTTTATCACATCAATTTTCACCATCAACATGAAAGAATTCGAGAATTTGAATTTTGGATATGTTGCTCGCTATACCTTTGGCATTGGGTTTGCCATTTCAATCCCTCTTATCGTGGTTGCGCTTTCTGTGGATGACATTGGCGATTTCTTCCGATCGGGAACGATTCGCAGTCGGCATTGGCTATCCCGAAGGGATAGACCTGCCCCCGCAATTGACCGCAGCGAGGGTCAGCTCGGGGCTCTCGAGATTGAGAAAATTCTCAGCTTGGCACGAACGCGGAGAAGTGGGGAGCTAGACTATGGGCCAAGCCTGCTGCCTATTTCCTCTCGTGGCTCCGGGGGTCCTAGACCTCGATCTGATCTTTATGCCACCGGGTTGGGTAACGGCCTAGTACGGAAAAGCTACGAAGTCCGCCGCAGTGTGGAATACAGACCTTATACATGATGATATGAGATATGATTTCCGAGCTTTTGCTTTTGACTTATGGGTCTGTTCTTATGATTCGCTGATCTATTATATGTTGTCGCTCGCCCGTCACAAAAGTTGGATATCCCCACCATTCTATAGCGCCAAACTCAGCCAATTGACTGTCTGAAAATAACATGAAATGAAAATAATGCAAAGACTTCTTCCCTTACAACCGAACATTCTCGCTGTACTCAGAGTATGGCATACCCCCGCCCTTTCCATCCCCCAGAATCACTGCGGGATGATACACATTCATGACAACCATGGCAATGAACATCAACAACGCATCGAAAATATACCCAAACGCCTCATGCGTCATGATATATCCATTAAACCCACCCTTGTACTCGACGAGGCGGAAAATGCACCGAATCAAGATCAGGGCACTAACAACGTACAAGGCCAACAACACGGTCATCCAGTTGCGCTGACGCCAGCCCTGAGCCCTCGTGGTAGTCCTCTCATTCTGAGACTTGGACGTGGGATTCTTTTCAATGCGATAGTGGAAGATAGCAGCGACGACGACGAAAAATCCGAAGAAAAGAAGCTGCACGACTAGACCTCCAATGACGACGTTTGAACCCGTTTCACGAGTGCTCGTCTTACTCGACGCCATGAGACCACCGCCGGCGGCTTGAAGCAGGAATGAGAAAATGTCGCCCGAAACGAAGATCTTGGTCATCCAGCGGACGCGGACGAGACTGAGGTTTTCGGCGTTGAGGTACGTGACTGTTCGACCGAGAACCATGTAGATTGATGCGGCGTATAGCGGGGGTGCGAGAAGGATCAACACCGATTGCATAGCGTATATGCCCACGGAGGAGAGGTTATTGCGGGCGATGACGCGGCAGACGTATCCGATGATTTGGACTGAAGGTTTGAAAAAGGGGATGTCAGTCTTTGTTGTACAGGATTGGTTCAGATAGTGGTCAACGTACAAATACCTCCAATGAAGAAGGGAATAAAGTACCAGCATCGGGCCTTTGCTAATTGGACAGCATGGAATATGGTTGTGCCAGAGAATAGGATGATGAAGATGACTCCCGCCACCAGCGACGGGATATACCCATAGAGGTTTTCGTGGTTCATATTGCCTTGCTCTGAAAAGGAGAGAAGGAAATTAAGTGTTTTCTGGGTCTAATGGATTTAAGGTCCCTCTCGGGAGGGTCCGAGGGGCTTTATACAAGGAACTTGTACAAAATATTTCTATATCGAATTTCTCATCGCTTAAACGTCGCTACGGCCCCTCTGACGGCCCTAGACGTGCCAAGACACGGGGATTGGGATCGATATCTTACTCCGGAATCCACTCGTGCCAGGCTGTGGCTAAGCGGTTAATACGCAATACGCAAATCAAGATTGTAAGCTTACTAAAGCTCTAGGATGGACCAAATCTATCAGATTTGACCCAGGCTGATGGCTGCAATCTCAAAATAGTATACGGAGTACTGTCTCCAGTAATGATCCACAATATGTGGTTCCCGGGTTTTTCTGAATCTATAATCAATCACAGGCAGGGAGATTATTCTTTTCTGGGGCTTTACGAAATACGCCAACCTGTCCATTTTATTGCATAGCATAATGGCATTAGTGGGTTCCGGGCAGGTTCTTTCGGGCTTTCCGTGCGTAGTGGAGATGCGACTTGCGGATTCGAATCCGAATCCGTATCCGCACCCGTACCCGTAACCGAGTCCGTACTCGAACTCGAATTCTTTTATCTACTGGATCCCTCTGCAGTGTCTACCAGACATTTGCTCAAAGGCTCTTGTGTTCTTTATCTATAATGGGGCCCCGTAGGTCACATCGCAAATCGCGCAATGGCTGCCCCGAATGCAAATCGCGTCGACTAAAGGTTTTTTTTCTCTTTCTCGTCTTCCCGCCTACCCGGATTGACGCTGACAAGACGCCCAGTGTGACGAGCGTTATCCCTGCACGAATTGTGTTAAACATGCTATTCAATGCAGCTATCTTACGCCTATTGACCAGACAGGGTCACCTGTCTCCAGCGTATCCCCAGCCACGCAGTCACAGCCCCCGACCCAGGACACCCCCCAATCTTATCCACACCCCCCACCTGGAAACTATGCGCCTACTCCCAATGGCAGCGATCCCTGGGTATACGACAACTCAGACATCCGGCCCGAGTCAGAAAAAAGGCTAGAATTTCTGGGCATCTTGCCCAACTCTTCATTAGATTCCCCGCTCCAGAAAGAAGATTGGGGCCTTGACTTGGAACTGATGCACCATTATTGCACGGTGACGTCCAACACCTTATCCGAACGCGAAGATGCACGACATGTCTGGCGTGTGGTCATACCCACTGAAGCATACTCTAATAAGTACCTCATGCATGGGATTCTCGCTATCGCCGCCGTCCATCGCGCATATCTCTATCCGATGTCAGGACAGAAGGAAAGATACATCAAGGCTTCTGCATATCATCTTGCCGCGGGGCTGAAAGAGTTTCGAGAACTCATCGCATCACCTATCGATCCGGCAAATTGGCAACCCGTTTTTTGCTTCGCGTCTATGATCTCGGTACACCTGTGTACTGTCCCGATTCGACTCGGTGTCTCTCGATGGCCGAACCCAATCACGAATACCATCGAGCTGTTTGCTAGCGTGAAGGGCTTACAGGCTATCATGAAGCCGTTCTTGCCTTCGCTGAGGAAGACTGAGCTTGCATCTTTGGCGAATTCCGTATGGCTTGAAAGCGAAATGCGTGTTCACAGGTAAGCTGCTTGCCTCATGCGACATCATGTGCGCTCGGGAAGCTTTTCAAGTCGCAGGATACTAATGTGTATATAGCCCTGCCGCTGCAGCACAATCTCTATTACCGGCAGATGTCTGGACCCAAATATCCCGGCTCCATCGGTTCATCGAAGAGTACCCATTCCCGCAAACAATGAGCGAAAACGACATCATAGAGAAACATTCAGAGCATCGGAAGGACTACGAAGCAGCCATCAAATCTTACGAAAGTTCTGCCCGGCAACTAGAACTTGCAGGACTTCATGTGGAGGCGGGTATGGTTTTCTTATGGGCCTACCGACTTTCTGTGCAGTTTCATAAGGACCTGGAGGCGCATCATCCGGCGGCGCTCGTCCTCTTAGCACACTACTGCGTTCTCTTGCGGACGGTCGACCACCGCTGGTATTTGAATGACATGGCACGCCAACTGCTAGAGGATATTGAGAGGCATATAAATCCTGCGTATCGGGACTGGCTAACCTGGCCTAGACGGTGGGTGTATAGGAGGTAATGGAAACCCCTCACTGCCTCGACTAGCTCCCGAACCAAGCCTGCCAGTTGGTGTGATCCTTGCCTGCGAATATGTTTAAAGTACATGACACATTTGACCTTTCGAGGTCTACAGGAAATGTATTCGGATTCTTGGAAGGGCACAGTTGAGAACAGCCTGGGCTAAGGGCTTCATACAGCTTTGGGAATCACATGCCTACTTGAAGGATATTTTTTCTTACTTCTATTGGAGAAGATCCGAAAGTGTCTCAAATGCAAAGTGTTGTGATCTTGATGGCTCCACAATCATGACCACATGCTGATGCGGGGGTGGAATGCTAAAAGTCGCAGACGCTTTATCGCGGAATCGCATCCAAGAAAAGAAATAACTTGGTCCCATGCTTGTCACGAATTTCGAATATAGCGGAGTTTCATATGCTTGAAATCCCGACCAAAAGTTAACACCATCTCATCGGTCATGCTTTGAAAGATAAATCGAGAAGAACTGCCCGGGCTACTCGGGAAGACGATTCAAAAGACCTTCCGAGAGATGATTAGAAACAAAAGGGGTTTGATGCGTGTCTGGCCAGACCTTTTTCTCCATCTTCTGTTTCAAAAGTTCGAGCAACCACCGTGCGTGTTGCGATGCTAGAGTTTTGACGAATATTGTGCCCGATAGCCTCCGAGGTTAGAAGGGCCATCGTACACCTGCTGCTCTAATATCCGTGTATTGATCTGTGTGCATGGAAATACTAGTCAGCAATCCATTCGACATACGACAGAACTGAGTTGGCACACTTACATGCTGCATCCCGAGCTGGTCAAGTCTTTGCACACCAAGGAGTCGCATGCAGGTCCTAGTCTCATCGGCCAAGACTAGGGAAAGGGGTCAGTCGAGATCTTTTGAACAACAGACTCGATAAAGGCAGGCCTTGACTCACTCTGCAATGTTCTCTTCACACCTTCAACTCCTCCAGCAGCTAAGCCCCACAACGGGGGCCGGCCGATACCGACACCTTTGGCGCCTAGGCACAAGGCCTTGACGACGTCGGTGCCTCTTCTGACACCACCGTCAATCCAGACTTCAACTTTATCAAAGACCTCGGGACAATATTTGCGCATCTCTAGGAGAATGTGTACCGCCGGGGGCGATGTATCAAGGGACCTTCCTCCGTGATTGGAGAGAATGATTCCCTTCACTCGAGATTGATGCAACCCAGCTATATACGCATCTTCGTGGGTTTGAATGCCCTTGAGAACGATCGGCAGACTCGTTTGCTTCTCCAGCCAAGCAAGAGTTTCAGTCCATGTGAGAGATGGATCCATGCCCGCGAAGATTTGCTTCTCAGGGGCTTCAACGTCAGTGATTTCGTTGATGACATTACCACTTCGCTGATCATCTTCGCGCTTCCCCATCACCGGCGTATCAATGGTTAGAACGAGGAATTTGACCGCACTCAGTCTGTTCACACGAGCGATCATCTTTTCACTTTTATTTCGGTCGTCTTGCACATATAGTTGCCAGCCGAAAGCTTGCCCCGGTGCAGCATTTGCAACGATCTGCTCAGGAGTCATAGAAGCGCTGTTCGAAATAATCTGCAGAGCTCCGAAACTCCCGCATGCTTCAGCAATTCCAGCTTCGCCTGATGGATGCCCCAGTCGTGCTTGGGCAGCTGGTGAGACGTAGATAGGCATCGATACCTGATTGCCTAGCAACTTCGTCCCAAGGCTACATTCGGTGCAGTCAATGAAGACTCTGGGTCGCAAGAGAATTGAGCGGAAAGCTTCTGTATTCAAGCGTTTGGTGATCTTGTCGTCGGCAGCCGAATAGTAGTACGCCCATGCTTTCTTGCTCACTTTCTTTGTGGCAAGTTCTTCAATCTCGTCCATGTTGAGGAGACTCTGAACAGGAGGGTACTCTTCGCTCTTCACTGAGGCCTGAGGCAGCCCTTCTGATTTAATGATTGTTGCTGGATCAATGGTCCCCAACAACGCCTCCGGCTTGAGATTCTCCTCGAGCGTGCCGGAAGGATGAACTGGGTCGTATTCCTCGGTTGCATCCTTGCCTGCTAGTTTGAGAATCACATTCGCACCACCAGGATGATCGGAGACAAAGTCGGTTACCTTTGGAAGGAGCAGTCAATCCTTGAACTAGAATATGCGAGTCTCGTTTAGACATTTCAATACTTACATCGTACACTTTTCCGTAGAGAACCACCCAGCAACTCTTGCTGGTGTTGTGTTTAGCCACTATTATCTTGTTAGTCATTCTGATGTCTAAGTTAAGCTGTGCTATCATTGGAGACACTACCCTCTGCGGCATCGAATACTTTCCCCATATTGAGAAGCTTGCAAAAGTGATCAGGGATGAATGCCACCAAACGTCAGATCGAGCTCTATTTGAAACTCGGGGTCACTGCGCGTTCGGCCGACAGAGGTCTAAGGAAGTTCGGCACCTCCGCCGGGGTTTGAGCAGCGCTCTGAGGGGGCTGGTGGGTCTTTGGAGCTGGTTCCGGCCTTCTGATCAGACTCCCCGACCGTCCAATAGAAGCCGATATTTTAGCGACGCAATCGATAACAATGCTATTGTGCGGGGTATCGGAGAAGAAGCCGGCCACAGTCAGCATCTGCCGTACTTTCCTTCTACACGAACACACTACTAAGCGCACAATCGGAGCGATGTCATACGTCAATTGAGCCCGCCTTTTTTTTGGGCATCTGGATTTCGTCGGCTTTGACTCAAGCCTTGCTTGAAAATGGCACCTTCCGGCAAACGAATGAGGAATGTTCATATGAACTCCTTGCCGCCAGACCGCCAAGTAGCGGCTAAAGGTATGCAGGGTAGTCTTTATGCGTAACGCCAGACAGGGATGCACCTAATGATAGCTAGATTGCCGCCAGTGTATTAGACGCCGCATCAAATGCGACCGCACTGTTCCAAACTGTCAAAAGTGTACAATCCGGAGCCTTCCATGCCCGGGTTTCCCCCGGGTCCATCTGCGGTGGAATCAGGGGGTAGCCAGTCGTGGACGTTTCAGAGGCAATGCATTACCAGTTCCAAAATCGAGCAGCTCGTCCGAGACAACCGTGGACGAGGCTCTCGATTTTATCGTTGGCCAGGAAAACGATATCATCTCCCCGGTGAGAGACGTGGGCCTAATGAACAAGCACCTCGCTACGTCGCTTGACGAAAGTCTGCTTCGGCATTTCTTCTCGACGGTGGTCTCCCATTTGACTTGGCTTGATGACGGTGCATGTAATCCATGGAGAAGCCTCATCCAGCCTTTAGTCCACAGATCGGAATACCTTCGACAGTCCATATCTGGTCTTGCGGCCGCTCATCTGTCCGCTACGTTGCTGGATAATGCCCAGTCATCATTTTTTAGGCAGATCAATCATCGCATTCGAAACGACACTTTGAAGACTCTGAGCCACAGAATGCGCCTGGAACTTTGCACAAATACTATGACTTCGAGAAGGAACCCCCCGGACTTTTCACTCTTAGAGATGCTTGCCTGTACTCTCGTCCTTTGCTATTCAGAGCTGCACATTCCTAGCTCAACGGATTGGGGACTCCACCTTCGGGCTTGTCGCACCATGGTTGAGAGATGCTACCTGAGATCTCGGAGAGAACTGCCCCAGGACGCTCTATCAAGATTTTTGATCAAAGAAGTTGCTGATCTGGAGACCTTTGGAAACCTTGCTGGTTTCAAATATGCAGAGAGCACAGGCATGGGGTTGGACTGGAGATCATTCCTGAATGGCAATTTCTGGACCTTCACTGCACTTATCAATGAGATCACTGCCACCGAAAGGCTACACCCGGAATGTCTGGACAACGGTCATAATCTTATCGAGCGGGATATGAAGGGGTGGCATGGTAAACTCGAAGTGGCATATCATCGAGCGACCGAAATGGTTACTTGCTTGCCACAAAGTGATGGCATCCAACGCATGTTCCGGACCATAATCGACGCCCATTATTACGCTACTCTGGTATACAGCTATCAATGTCTCGCGCCTCATGCAGAACACACCCAAACACTGAAAGGTTATTGTGATATTATCTGGCATATTGTTCAGTCTGTCACGGAAAGCTCATACACGGCATTCATACATGACGTTTTCTTTCCTTTGTTCATTGTTGGCACTCAATGCGCAACTGATAAGGAAAGACAGCTTCATGTCGAATTGGCATTCTTGCAGTCTATATCTGCCACAGGCTTTTGGTGTAATCAGACTGCGTTGCAGATGCTGCGCCTCTTCTGGGAGCACTCGCATCAAAGCGAAAACGAAACCTGGATTCAATTTGCTCGAAGGAATGAAGCGACAATTGGTCAGTTTGTTATCTTCTGAGCACAAGTCCTGGGCAGAGCTTTCTCTCAGATCTTTCACGAAGGCTTAACTCATTACCAGCTGGATAGTTTCTTGCTACGAGCAGGAAACCAATCACATATTGACGGTCTCTTCATCCTCAACCCCAAAAAGGACTCTCATTGGATCCTGGTAGTTCATGAAGCCCACCCCGGGGTCACAAAGCCCATAGCCCAACAGTCTTTGAGCTTGTGGCTTGAGCTGTCTGGCTCTTTCAAGTGGTACCATGAGGAACTGGTTCTCCGCAGGGCGCAGCGTCGGCTTGCACAAAAAGATTCCAACTGTTTCACGGTATTCGTCTCTGATAAATGCCAGAAAATGAATTAGCAAGACTTGAGTCCCCTTGAAGGTTGGAGGATGGTGCATGAAATATTGATGTGCATACCGTGTAATGTTGGAACCACCAGCATGGTAGAGGTTGCCCAAGAAGATGAATGCGTCTCCGGGCTGAAGCTCCGCAGGAACAGCCTCTTCATTTAGTGGCCGACGCTCTGGTCCCCACAAGTGTGAGCCGGGAATCGCAATGGTGGCACCGTTCTCTTTCGTTGTCTTTGTCAACGCCGTCACACAGCCGATCATGACGGGCATCATTTGATTTGTGGGATGGTAATCGCTTTTGACAGTTGGTAAGCTACAGTCCTGGTTACCGAGGGCAGGGTTCATACTTATCGTCGCGATGCAGGACCTGCTGCGTACCGCCGGGATTTACACGAAAGCCAACAGTGGAGGAAATGATCGGCTTTCCGCTGACTGTCACTTGACGGTCATTCCTCCAGAAAGTAAAAGTTGACGACACCAGAGCATTAGCGACGCTTATGTAGAATGGGTTGCAGGCAAGCTCTACGCAAGCGTCAGAGATGCCTAGCAAACCCGTTGCGCGCTGAGTAGTTGCTGGAAAGAAGCCACATTTGTCTGGAATATCTTTATCGAAATGAGGCTTTAGGTCTTTCTTAATTTGTTCGGCGAGGTCCTGGCCGATGAGGTTCTCGATGATCACCCCACCGTCACGTTCGATAAATGAGATTGCCTTCTCAGGTGTAGTCGAAGCGTCAGCAGTATTCAGACGAGCAAAAGAGCGTCCATTATTCGGGGCGGTCATCGTGTAAAGAAAGGTAAAATCCGTTAATTTCACCAAAAGGCTTTTAAGAAAGAGTCGTCGTGTCCTAGCGGCTTTCAAGGGGGCTCTACCTTCAGTCTTATATGCTTACGATCTATTATGAGCGGAGACGCCGTCCGGTCACGATCTACTACATGTCGAAAATGATTCTGATATAGTATTGAATTTGTATTTCCCAGAGTCCCCCCACATTCCCTTTGACCAGGTGAATCTATTGGATCCCGATCTTCGCAAATTGTTGCTGGAGCGTATGACATTTACTTATGACATGCGATGGACGCTAACTCAAAACAGACAGCTCGGCAGAGAAAATGCTTGCGAGGCTCTGGCAACACTGTCTATTGGTCGGGCTGAAGCTAATCGTGACCTAAAGGAGTTAGATGACCTTCGCTAGAAACTTTCTTTTGAAAAGGTTCGGACTAATCATAGCTACACAACTCGGCCATATATGTGTTGTTCAGGCATCATCACGTTCGTAGCTCAGACTCTTTTTCGACAAAGTATGACCTCACAACATTTTGTCAATATATTGCATTGATATAACACCGGAACCCCTCAAAGCTGGGTGTGTAGTGGGGCACTTAACCGTTGTTGGTCCGTGGAGAATGGAGAGCGGTATCGGAGTGGGCCCATTAAGAAACACCTCGGCGAGCCTCAGAATCGTCGGTCAATGCCACGAACTAAGCCGGAAACAACAGGACGGAAGAGAAAAGAAGATTTGGGTGCTAAACCACGAATGAGAATGGCACAGACCCCAGCTAACAAGGACGCTATAGAAAGGGTCCCACTGCGATGGACTGATCCTGCTTTTTTCTCTTCTCCATTTTCCCCAGACCCATAATTCGACTGCGAGTTGACCAAATTCCCCACGTTTCCGGTGATCCTGGAGACCAATCTTCTTCGCCATTCACTGGATTAATACCTTCAGTGAGGGCTAGAGGGTGGAGAACCAGTTTCGAATTCCGAGACAATAAACGGCGAAATACCGATCGAGAAATCCTCGTTTTGCCCAATGCAACAGTAACAACAGTCAGAAATTGCCTTTGTTCGACCAATCTCAATACTTCACTAAGCAGCAGTGGAGTCCATTCATCTTGCCAAATTGCACAAGGTGACAGACCGCAATGGCTAATATTTCCGGGACGAGGGTCCCCCAAGAGCCCAAAGATGAGCCTATTACGTCCAAGTTCGACGAGGGCCACAATGAAGCTCAGGTTATACAAGGCCAGCTAAGGAATTCACCCAACTTGAAGCGCAGGCTCAAGAGTAGACATCTCCAGATGATTGCAATCGGTAAGTTGACAAAGGCTCCTCTGTATTCAACATTCATTCTCACCTGGTGATAGGTGGTACAATCGGAACCGGTCTATTCATCTCTAGTGGACAAGCACTAGCTCACGCTGGCCCAATCGGCGCACTTATCGCTTACATGTTCATCGGAACTATCGTCTTTTCGGTCATGACGTCTCTCGGCGAAATTGCCACCTACATTCCAATTCCCGGAGCATTCACATCGTATGCGACTCGGCTGATTGATCCGAGTCTTGGTTTTGCGATGGGTTGGATCTACTGGTTCTCCTGGGCGATCACATTTGCCCTTGAACTGACTGCGACTGGACTTATCATTCAATATTGGGATTCATCTGTCAATATTGCTATCTTCATTGCGGTATTCTGGGTCGTCATGACTCTTCTCAACCTGTTGCCTGTCAACTTCTATGGCGAACTAGAGTTTTGGTTTGCCAGTATCAAAGTCGTTACAATTATCGGTTTCATCATCTTTGCGATCTGCATCGATGCCGGTGCTGGGAAACAAGGCTACCTCGGATTCCACAATTGGGTCCACCCAGGGCCATTTGTCGATTATCTTGTAACTCCAGGACCAACTGCAAAGTTTGTGGGCTTCTGGGCTGTCCTGATACAAGCTGGTTTCTCCTGTCAGGGTACCGAATTGGTCGGTCTCGCCGCTGGTGAAAGTGAAAACCCTCGCCAAACAGTGCCAAGAGCAATTCGAGCGACCTTCTTCCGAATTATTCTGTTCTATGTGTTTTCTGTGTTCTTCATTGGTCTCTTAGTGCCGTCTGATAATCCCGATCTTCAGTTGGGTACTTCCAATGCATCGGCATCGCCATTTGTAATTGCCGCACAACTGGCCGGAGTCAAGGTCCTGCCTAGTATCATCAATGCGGTTTTACTCACGGTGGTACTCTCGGCTGCAAACTCGAATATCTACAGTGGTAGTCGCATGCTGATTGGCCTAGCCCAAGACGGTTTTGCTCCCGCCTTTCTATCCAAGACTACCAAGGGCGGAGTTCCTTATTATGGAGTTCTACTGACATCAGCCTTTGGTCTTCTCGGATTTATGAACGTCTCAACCTCCGGAGGCACTGTTTTCAACTGGCTGTTGAACATTACAGCAGTTGCGGGCTTCATTCTATGGGCGTCACTGAATGCTTGCCACATTGCGTTCATGCGAGCTTTGAAGGCACGAAGGATTTCACGGGATTTCCTTCCTTATAAGGCTCCATTTCAACCTTTCCTGGCTTACTATGGATTGTTTTTCAATATTCTTATCATGCTGACGCAAGGATTCACCGCGTGGATTCCTTCCTTCAGCGTCGAGAGTTTCTTCGTCGCATATGTCAGCCTGATTATCTTTGCTGTGCTATATATCGGTCATAAATTGGTGTATCGGGATCCTCTCGTGTCTCCTCTGCAAGCTGACCTTGACACTGGTCGACTTGAGGTTGAGAATGAACATTGGGAGGTTACAGCTCCTACCACATGGTATGGCAAGCTTTGGGAAATGATTAATGGCTAGGGAGTCAGCCGAATTGCATGGAATAGGGACTTGTCATTTTTTATCTAATAACATGAACCAGAGTAATCCAGTCTGGCAATACTAAGCATGGAGATTGCGACATAGGAAAGTGTATAACTAATGTAAAATGATGAAAATTCGCGCAGCGGACACTTTGACCGTATCGATTAGACTATCATGTCTATCTAGATGCTACGACTACATGTGCCTCTCTCCAGTAGATAATGGGACAAAATGAGACATTCTACAAGACATAAGAAAAGAATGGTAGTCGAGGTATATCACCCGCATAGGAGTGGTTATCAATTATTCAATCTGGTTCAAACACTAATTTAGAAGCACAAAATTCAAAGAAACCCCAGAACTCCTAACAAAAGAAAAGAAAACAGCATCCCAGTTTAATGAACCGGGACCTTCACATATTCCTTGGTCTCCCCATTATCAGAGTCACTTTCATCAGACCCATCAGGAGTCAAGGTCGCGCTAGCTTTCTCATCCACCTGCATAGCATCTTTCTCATTCACAGTATTGCCGTCTTCAACGACAACCGTCTTCTTCGGCTCGGGCACCGGTGTAATCTTCGGGAGAGTGACATTCAGAACACCATCCTCCAATTTAGCGGTGATGTCATGGATGGAGATTGCAGCAGGGGCTTCGTGCGTTCCGAGGCGGACTTCGCGCTCAAAGACGCCGACTTCACGCTCACGCTCCTCCAATGCCAGAGCTTCGTGCAGGTCTTCACTGATACCAGGGCGGTAGACGACACCCGCAAGGCGCAGGACAGACTCATCGGGATCGTAATCAATGCTCAAGTCATCCTTCTTTGCACCGGGAAGAGAAACGTGCACAATATAGTTGGTCGGCGTGTCGAAGACATCTACCGATGGAACAAAGTCGACACCCTCGGGAGCTGGACCGTTCATTTGGATTCCAAACTGAGAAGCGATGTTGCGCAAGAAGTCGATGTTCGGGAATCCTGGACCTCCGCCGAATGGAGGGGGAGGGCCACGGTGGTGTCGGCCCCTACCACCACGGCCGCCATAGTGGTGACCACCTCGTCCATGGTGACCGAAGGGTTCAAATCCAGAATGGTCATGGCCTGGTCCACAGCGGCCTCTGCCACCTCGTCCGTGACCGAGTCCGTGGGGGCCACCACGACCGTGGTGCTTACCCTTGCCACAACGGCCACGGGGACGCTTTTCGTTATCGGTCTCCAGCTCGGAGGATGAGGTTGCTCCCTTCTCTGCGTCGGGGGTCTTTTCAGTAGAACTAGATGGGCCAGCAGCGGGCTCGGTGGTTTGGGCACGAGGGGTCTCAGAACCCCGGGGGTGGTCCTCTTCGTCGGCCTGGGGACCCCATCCCCAGAATGGCGGAGGGGGTCCATGGTGGTGGTGACGAGGATGGTGGTGGTTGCCCCAGCCCCAGAAGGGAGGGGGAGGGCCGTGGTGAGGGTGATGATGGTGGCCTCGAGGAGCAAAGAAAGGATGATTCTCGAAGGAAGCCGCCAGGTTATCCCAGAAGGGATTTGGAGGGCGATTTAGATCATAAATAGAAGCCATGTTGCTGGACCAATATAAGATATACTTGTCGAAAGCAAAGGTCGTAATAATCGAAAATGGTGGATATTTGGACTGGAAAGTAAAAGATGACCAAGAAAGATCAAGAAATATTCAGAATAGAATGCGAGGTGATCTGATTCTATGTAAGTATGATTATTCTACGGTTCTTATATACTTCATTCCTCGGGCTTAGGCAGCCACTATCCTCGTCATCTCGGGGTCGGCCACATCACACCAGGTATACGTACAACCACGCTGCCTTGGCCTGCGGAGCAATGCTATTCGCCGTCGGACGATCAGACGATCCGAGCGGAAGTATCAAGCTTCCCAGTTTTTAAGCGCCATCGAGTATGTCCGAAGGTGCTGGAAGTTCTCCCAGCTCGGGGAGGCAAAGTAAGACGCATTATAGTCAAGTCCGAGGTTGGTTCAGGTTAGCTTCGGAGTGTGGTCAAATCCGAGCTTCCACTCTTAGATTGCCCGACTCCGAGCCACAGGGGTTTCTGACTCATTGCCACGCGCCACACTGCGCCACATCCGGGTGATTGGTTACGTACGCGGCCTCGAGCGACATACAGCGTGTACTGTACATGGGTGGTGGTGACGGATTTAATTGCCTGGAAGGTGAGAACAGAGTTTATTCAGCCGATCCAATCAGATAGTCAAATGATTTCCTTCAAGGATATGCTTCTTTCCTTTTTCTTTGACCTCTCGCACGGTTGACAGAACGATCCAATATGGGATCACGTGATACCAGGGGATATCGTCGCTGCTTACCACCCCCTCCTCCCCATTCTTTCTATTCTATTGTCTGTCTTTGTGTTTGATCAAGGCAAAACGAGAATTTCTGTCTCGTCCAGCTCGTCATTATGTTCTCGCTACACGCCAAGCTCCCAGTGTATATCCTGTCCTCCGTCGTTCTATTTGGCGCCTTCTCCCGATTCACTCATGGCCAGTATACTCCGACATGGTATGCGTTCCAGGAGTACCACATGCCGGACGATGGCTCAACTGGTGCCAAAGTCACCCCCGTAGTGGATACACTCGTGGGTCTGAGTCTTATCTTTGGGAGACGAAAATTGAGGCTCTCTGCAGCTGGTATTAGCTTGGTATTCTTCGTTATCGGACTGGCAATGCAAGTCCACACTGGGAAAGATTATCTTGGTGATATCGCGCTGCTTATTCTTGCAATGGCCTCGTTGATAGTATCACACAGATCAAAAATGGGTTGATGAGTGGCCGCAGATAGAAGTCCTTAGAAACCGATTTCGTGCAAAGAAAGCGCGCAAGTGATTTTAGCTTCTAGTCTGTAAATCGCTAGATTTTCCTTTTTACTATGCGCCAATTCTGTAACACCTTTTTTTTCCCGACTTTCTTGAGGATGCCGATATGGAATCAGCCCCAGATCGGCGCGAAATGGATCAACCTATAATGTACAACAATAGCAGTGACTCACCAACAGTGCCTCAACAAGATATCTAGATAGATGCAAGATATCTAGATAGATGGGGGCAATGAACTTGTCATCCACCATGGCATTTTGCCAATTTCTCCGTAAGTAACGATCCTTCCCACAGTAGGAAATTTCTCCTCCTCGGCCCGCTTTCCACACGTATTTGTAGATTTTGAGAATTTGTAGAATTTCAAATTCGTTAGATTCTAGGGAATAGTCGTTGCAATTGAAATAGAACCTAACCTTTCTCGTAGATGCAGTGTATAGCTGTGGCATGATTGCTCCCCGGTGGGGCCTGGACCTCTACGCAAGCCATCGTCACCTGACGTCTGCCCAGTCTATATCTTCACCATAACATTTCCTTTCTTCCCTCTACTGCCCCCCCCCTGCATCCTCGATGGTCTCTCCGTCTCCCAACCCCCATCACAGATCAATCTCTGCAGACCCATGTGAACAACCTCCTCCACAACTACAAGCCTGGAACTCCCGATGGACTATAGCGGCACGTGCCATCGTTCTCACCGACGGCTCCGAAGGGTTCCGGGTTTCCCCTTGGAGACAAGACCACGACCAGCCTTGAGAATTCACCACCGCGACTGACAGGAGAACAGCCATGGAAGCTCGAGAACCCGAATCCGGGTGGATGCCAGTGGGTCTGAGGAGGGGACTCGTGTTTAAGATTCCGATCCGAGTATTTCCTTCGTTCTTTATCCGGCGTACCACCTATCTACCCGCGCGATGAAGTCATATATGTGTCAGCCGGAAGCCAATGTTTTTTGCTCCCATAGCTTAACAGATCCGGTGTCCCTAGAGAAAAGTGCAACTGCAGAGACCCGATCTAATGAACGATTTATATCTGTCTGGCGAGTTTAATCACGTCACGATGTCTTCTCGGCCAGTGGCGCGGGCCTTGAAACTCCGCCCATCTCTGATCGGCCGTTGCGACTGCCCTAAATTCAATTACCCTAGAATCACGGTGCTTCTGAAGCCCATCTCTGGACAGAGATCCTTTGCAACGTACGTGGAACAATCGAATGCAACCACCAAGTCAGACAGCAAGCAAGAGCGTGTCGTTATTCTTGGCTCCGGCTGGGGTGGATATACTCTCTCACGCCGCCTGTCACCCAAGGCATTCTCGCCAATCATCATATCTCCACGCTCCTACTTCGTCTTCACTCCCCTCCTGACCGACACCGCCAGTGGCTCGCTGGATTTCTCCAACATTGTCGAGCCAGTGCGGGATCCACGTGCCAAAGTTGACTTCATTCAAGCTGCTGCACGCGCCGTCGATTTGAAGAAGAAGACTATTCTGTGCGAAGCCACCGTGGTTCGAAGTGGTGTCACAGAGTCGCCGCGCACCTCTGAGGATGAAAGACAAGTTGACGAAGGACCCGAAGGGTCCTCCAAGCGGCCAATCAAGGACCTGCGTCGCTGGGAACAGGGAGAAGTGTTCGAGGTCCCATACGACAAATTGGTCATAGCAGTCGGTGCTGTAAGCCAAACTTTTGGCACTCCGGGTGTTCGTGAAAACGCCATGTTCTTCAAAGATATCGGCGACGCCAAGCGAGTGAAGCGGCGCTTGCGTGAATGCTTCGAGTTGGCGGTTCTTCCGACTACAACGCCCGAGATGCAAAAGTGGCTCCTTCATTTCGCAATTGTTGGCGCGGGTCCCACGGGCACGGAGCTCGCGGCGTCGCTGCGTGATTTCATCTACAAGGACTTGATGGCGTTGTATCCAGCTCTCAAAGGCATTCCGAAAATAAGTCTGTATGACGTTGCGCCCAAGGTCCTCTCTATGTTCGACGAGAGTCTCTCCCGCTATGCAATGGACACCATGAGGAGCGAAGGGATTGACATCAAAACCTCTCACCATGTCGAGAGCTTGCGCTGGGGTCCACCAGGTGCATCGGGACCCCAGGAGATGGACCCCAAGCGTTGCCTCACTTTGACAACCAAAGAGGAGGGTGAAGTTGGCGTTGGAATGTGCGTTTGGGCAACAGGCAATGCGATGACCAAGTTTGTCAGCCAGTCCCTGAGCACAGTGAAAGAATTCCCCAACGACTCCGTCCACACTCTCAAGGGTGAATCGGGGCCAGGGGCACTCACCGAACAGTCGCCCTGGGAGTACAAGAAGTTTTCCAAGACAGGTACTCTGCTTGTTGACGGGCATCTGAGGGTGCAGCTTCAGAACGATGCCGGACAGACTGCCGTTCTCAACGATGTCTTTGCACTAGGCGACAACGCTATGCTGGAGACTGGCGCGCCTCCGGCCACAGCTCAGGCTGCCTTCCAGGAAGCGAAGTGGCTCGCAGATCGTCTCAACAAGCAAGACTTGACACAAACACCACCTTTCTCATTCAGAAACATGGGCACGTTGGCATACATTGGAAGTGAAAAGGCCCTGATGCAAATTCCTCACGACATGCATGATCCAAGCAAGCGCAGTAAATATCTCCCTGGGGGGATAACAGGCCGCATGGCACGGGTGGTCTGGAACGCGGCGTATATTACTATGTCCATCAGTTGGCGCAACAAGCTGCGGGTGGCGTTCCGGTGGACACTGAACAGATTATTTGGAAGGGACGTGTCACGCTTTTAGAGATATATCGTATAAATTGCAAAAGACGTTGGTAGCGGAGGCGTTGTACAAATGAATCAATATTGATTGTGATATTATCAAATCCTCCCTATTCCAGCCATGGTCGGGTCGGCACTTCAATATGGACCGAGGCTTCTCCGCATTCCCCGCATCGGCGCGTATTATTTGATCATGTCCTCCGCGACTAGCCTGCACTTTTTCCAAACAACACACCATGGCATCTCAAGAACCCGCATATATCGCCATTGCTCAGCGCAAGCAAGAAGCGCTAGCTGCTGCTATTCCCGCTGAATGGCAACTGCCGGCGCATCTCATCCCCGCGGGGATGCTTTCGCCCGCCGAGTCGATCACCGAGGGGCTGAAGAAGTATGGCAGAGTCAATGTCACGGATATTCCACGTACTTGTGGCATTTTAACTGCCAAGGAGCTGGAAATCACGGAAAATTACGATGTGCGTGGGCTTGTAGCTGCCATGACGGGGGGCAAATTGAAGGCCGAGGAGGTGATTCGAGGTTTTTGCAAGGTAAGATCCCTTAAAGGTATATTTGTCGGTTTAGATTCTATTAACAGATTCTCTTGTATATAGAGAGCAGCGATTGCCCATCAGCTTACTCGCTGTATTACCGAGCCTGTCTTCGATCGAGCCCTTCGCCAGGCGAAGGAGTTGGACGATTACCTCCAGCGAACCGGTCGCCCGGTTGGCCCTCTACACGGTCTACCGGTCTCGGTAAAAGACACCTTTTGCGTGGAGGGAGTGGACACGAGCATTGGACTCTCTGCGCTCGCATTTAAGCCTGCCCGTAAGAATGCCGACCTGGTCGATCTCCTCCAGTCCCTTGGTGCGATCATAATCGCAAAGACAAATATCCCACAAACCCTTGCGACGCTGGATAGCTGCAACCATCTCTTCGGTCGTACGTTGAACCCGTTGAACCGTCAATGGACGGCGGGTGGTAGCACTGGTGGCGAAGGAGCGTTGCTTGCGATGAAAGGGTCTATGGTTGGCTTTGGTACGGATATCGGCGGCAGCATCCGTATTCCCGCGATGTGCCAGGGTCTCTATGGATTCAAACCGAGTGATGGTCGTGTCCCCTACGGTGGCCAGGAGGGCGGGCAGATCGAAGGCAAGGGACGAATCTCCCTGCAGCCGGTAGCTGGACCGTTGGCGCGTTCCGTGTCGGACATCGCAGCCGTAATGGCCGAGATTGTGCCGCGCGCTGAGCTCTTTGGGGAAGACTGTATCCCAGGATACTGGCCTGCCCCCTCGGTGCCAGCATCTCTTGCTCTGCCGCGCAACTTTACTATTGGCATCCTCAAGACGGACGGATTGGTCACGCCCTTGCCGCCGATTACCCGCATCCTCGAAGAGGTGGCCAACCACCTGCGCCGAACCCCCGGAGTGGAAGTTGTGGAGATCCCACTTCCCCCAGTCTTGTCCAAGTGTCAGGCTCTGGCTGGCCGGCTCATGGGCGTTGACGGTGGCTCCAACATGCTCGATTTGATCGAGAGCATGGGCGAGCCGTTGACGCCGTGGCTTCAGGGTCGCATGAAGCGAGGCAAAGCTTTGACTATCAATCAGCTGGCGCAACTGCAAGCCCAGCGTGCCCAGATCGAGAAGGAGATGATGAAGATGTGGACACTTTCTTCGTCATCCAAGAGTCGTCAGGTTGATGCCATCGTCTGTCCGATCGCACCGCATCCCGTTCCCCAGATGGATCGGTACAACGCCGTTGGATATACTTCGACTTTCGTGCTGTTGGACTATCCTGCTGGTGTTGTCCCTGTGCGACCCTTTGTGGAGTCGGACCTCGAACTTGGTCGTGAAATGAAAGAGCCCGTGCTAGGAAGCTGGGATAAGGCCAATCGTCTGCTATGTAAGTTTTACTCGAGCCTTGAAAGTGTTGTAAATTGCTAACATCGTGGGATCTAGGGGACGAGAAATCGGTTGATCGCCATGTATACTTGGATTCACCGCTGAGTGTGCAGGTTGTGACGCCAAAACAGCGTGACTACGAGCTTTTCCAGGCGATGGAGATTATTGACCGTGCGGTGCAAGGCCGTGTTGGATCTACTCCTGCAAAGCTGTAAATATCTCTACGATAGGATATATGGTACAAGAAAATTTACCGTTGTGCACGACTGAAGTGTACAGCGCTCGACGCTTCGATGATTCATTCGTCTTGGACTGTTTGCATTAACTAAATATCCCCTACTCCGTACCTAAAGTCTCCCCTTCAGTACGGAGCCTCCATCAGTCGCAATCACAGCACCGTTCAGATGACTCGAGGCCCGCGATCCCAAGAAGACCACCAGACCCGCAATATCCTCGGGTCGGCCCAAGCGGCCATTAGGAGAGAACTCTTCCAGATGCTTCATGCCACCCTTAGCATTGATAAGACCAGTTGCCATCTTGGATGGGTAGAAGCCGGGCGCGATGGCATTGGTAAGAATGTGCCGGGGACCCAATTCAACAGCCAGGTTCTTCGCAAGATGAATAGCAGCCGCCTTAGAGGCAGAGTAGCTCGGCGTGGCATTTTCGCCGATGGCTCCGATACCGATGCCTGCAACGGAAGCCGTGACGATGACACGAGAGGGTTCGTCAATGGTGGCCTTGGCAGTGAGAAGAGGCGCAAGTCTGTAAGTAATATTAGAGACAGGACTTCCAAATAACGGTTCGCTCAAAGGGCACATACTTTTGGATTGTATAGAAGATACTCTTCACGTTCAGATCCATCACCTTGGAGAACATCTTCTCCGGGTGGGTATCGAACTTCTCACCCCAAGTGGCACCGGCATTGGCAAACAAGATATCGACGTGGTCAGTTGTCTTGGCGATTTCAGCAGCCAGACGATCGAGCTCTTCCATGCGAGAGCTATCTGCGGGCACGGAAATGGCTTGAGCGCCCGGTCGCTTGTTAGGCAGGGCGTTCAGGGCTGCGACAGCTTCATCGCAGGCATCCTTCTTGCGGGAAGTGATGTAGACTTTTGAGCAGCCCGCTTGCAAAAGGCTGCCATGATTTGTTAGTGAGTATTCTTTTAGAAAAGAACGGTGTGTCCTAGTAAATTCCCGCGGAGATCAAAAAGGGCGGACATACCCTGAGGCAGCGTGCAGTCCCAGTCCACGCGAGCCGCCCGTGACGACCGCGACCTTTCCCTCGAGGGAGAAGATGGTGGAAAAGTTGGACAATTGGACCTGTTCGGCAGCTGACATGATTATGCTTGGATGGAAAGAAAAGGAGCTTAGCAAAATCCGGAGAGGTCAATATTTGAAGCAGAGTCTCCTATCACTAATCGAGGTTCAACTCCGTGGCGGGGCCCGCCGAGCGACCGAGGCTCATTTACAGCCGAGACCCCGCAAATTGGGAGATGCAACCGGGGAAGCTATGCAATCTTGATAATCAGAAAAGCGTGGATGCTAATCAATTCTTGATGGGTGGAATGGTTTGTAGCTTGGAAAATGATTGAAAAAGGGCATTTATCTGACTTGGATCGTCTTCCTGTGTCAGTATCAGAAATGACTACTGTGGGTCCGTCACAGAACCAATGATAAATGTCATCACGAAAGACAAATAGTTATGTATTAGCATTGTAGCTGCTCAACAAGCATCAGTTGAGATGTGTCGCTGTGCTCCAAAGGTGGGATTGTTGAATTAGACGGTGTCAACATCTGCGTTTGCTGCCAAGCGCAAAATGCAAACGGCAATCACCGTGAGACACATCACTACTCCGATGTCGAGATAAGCCTCCATGTATCCGATGAAGATGTCCGATGCGACACGACATGACGATGACTTGATTTACACGGCGAACGAGGGTTTTCAAGGGCGTAGATCTATACATGGTCCTCCGCAGCGGCTTGATATCATACATCCAGGATCAGATCTCGATGTGTGCTTACCCCTCAGATGAGATTATGCAGTCCACAGCCTGTCTCGTGACGCTTGGAAGCGATGGCCATTGGAATCAGACATTCGCGGAGAATCCGATCAGGCTGGAGGCTTTGATGAATGATGTGCATTTTAGAACCTCGGAAATACCCTCAGGGGCGTCACACCATGTCGAGAGAAAGCTGTGTGTCGTGGGGGATTGTGTGGGTCGAGGTCGGTGGGGTTCGGAGTGGTCTGCAAGTATGCCGTGAAGTGCAAATACAAGATTTCTTGTAGCCCTACTTCTACTAACAGAGTCATCTGGAATACGGCAAACAATCAAGAGCATAATTTAGTGACGCCAATGCCAGATATACTACATCTTAATAGATCATGCCTCGCCAAGCGTGGGGTTTTTGTTTCTGGGGTATACAGAACCTCCTAGCTGCCTTCCAACCAACTATATGGGGAATAACCCATATCCTCTAGGACGAGTCGGTCTGTCCATTGGAGTTGACACTTATATTACGTTCTCCACTGCCTCTCAAGACGAAAAATAACGCCTCGTCTATCGAAACCAGGCTGACATATCAGCTTCCCCAATGGAGTAGCTGGTGGAGCCATAATGTGCTCAATCCTTCGCAACGACACACCCAATCCGAACAAAGGCTCTTCCGCTCTCACATTAACTCCCTCGACCGCGGGAATAACAGCCGGTAGTTTCGGATCAGCGTCAAAAGTAGCTAACAACCTTGGGAGACAGAAGTGACGTGCTAGGGAAGACTTAAGAGGGCTATCCCACCACAGCCCCTCTAATTAGGGGACCTTGAGGACCGCTCGCTTTTCTTTGCAAACAACATCTCTCGAAGCCCTTCTATTGCCAAACATCGTCGATATTCTGTTGAACACCTTTGCCACCTACTCATCACCATGGCAGCTCAGACTCACTCCCTACCTCCTCTTCCATATGCCTACGAGGTACGTCTCGCATCAATTGCCCCTCAAACAGTTGAACTGAGCTCATTCTTTACCTTCAGGCCCTTGAACCCGTAATCTCCAAGCAGATCATGGAACTGCATCATCTAAAGCACCATCAAACCTACATCAACAACCTGAATGCCGCCCTCTCGGCTCAAGTCACGGCTACCCAGACCAACGATGTCCCCGCCCTAATCAGTCTACAGCAGAAGATCAAGTTCAACGGCGGCGGTCACATCAATCACTCCCTCTTCTGGAAGAATCTGACTCCTCCCGGAACCCCGGGCAACGACATAGCTAGTGCTGCGCCGGCGCTCCAAGAAGCGATCATCTCCCGCTGGGGATCACACGACGCTTTCGTCAAGGCCTTTGGTGCTGAACTGCTGGGGCTACAGGGTAGTGGGTGGGGATGGCTCGTTAGCAAGGGTGGATCGAGGGGTCGACTGGAGATTGTCACGACCAAGGACCAAGATCCGGTGGCTGCATCTGACGTCCCCGTCTTTGGTGTTGATATGTGGGAGCATGCGTACTATCTCCAGGTAAGTGTATATTCCGTCCTGTGTTCAAGGGATTTCCTTTACTGAGACTCTTTAATTAGTATCTCAACAACAAGGCTGGTTATGTCGAAGGTATTTGGAAGATCATCAACTGGGCCGAAGCTGAGAAGCGCTACACAGCCGGCGTGGAGAACCCACTGAAGCTTTGACTTGATTAAGCTGGAGATAGACAGTCGAAGATGATTGCAACGCGAGTAAATATCACGTTGGGAATCTTCTCCTTGCTTAATAGATCGCTGGGTTCAATGTATCATGAAAATCATGTTCAATTTAATTGTATCCGACAATTCCAACGCCTAGTACTACGCCGCAACCATCGCTCACGGTAATCTGTCGCCCAACGACGCCCTTTGCCGAGACACCCAGATCCAACCGTTCAGACAACTCAATTTCCAGCTCTGTTTGACGATGGCCCGGTTTGAGCGTTGAGCTGTGGGCCAAATCCAGGCGGAAACTGTGAAGAGGGGCTGCACGAGGCGTCGATGTAGAGAGATCTCCATATTGTCTAGTACATATCAGCATATAATTCCTCCATTCTGAGGCTCCAGAAACGTACTCTACCCGCATATCCACCTGTCGGCATTCACGAAGAGCTTCGTATGTCTCTGCATCACTGAATTGAAAAACAGCCTTCGTATTCTTGCTGCCGTCTTTCTCTCCGTCCTGGAAAAAGAGCGAATACGAAGATAAAGATGAAGTGGATGAAGCGGAGGAAACAATCGAGTCTGGTGACGAGGAAAGCGATTTTTCTGAAGCGATAGAGCCCAAGCCATTATCGGGGGGAAATAGGACTGCAATGGTGCCACCAAAGGTCGGCCTGTTGGATTCACCGCACATATTGTCGAGGGAAAGAGATAAACGGACAGGATGTAATCTGCTAAAGCGAGAGAGAATGATGTGGAGGAAAGATGCTGGCTAAGATGTGGAACAAATGTTATCCCTGGTATTGCACTGGTCAATCAACTTCACTGTTATAGTTTGAATACAAAGAGGAATGTTCCTATGGCTAAATAAATCTTCAGATTTACCAGGCTCCCAAGGTGTCCGCCACCAAGGTGAGCGGGATCGAGCAAATATGCGCTCGTACTAGTGTCGATCGTGCCTTCTCAAATGTGCGCACTGTGGGGCCCGAGTGGATCAAAGAACCCGGGGGATGGTCTGATGCTGAACTGGGAAACGAAAAGAATTTAGTAACTTAATATAATTTAACTAATGGACTGCTAGGAGTTATTATTAAGCCTGAAGTCGAAGAGTCTGGTCTTTATAGAATCACGCTTATGTTTGCCTTGCCAGCTTTCTTTCAATTTCTCTCCTGGTCCCTCTTAAGTTAGTAGAATAATATCGTATATTGCTGTTTGACACCACTCGAGCGCAGAAAATGGAATTTATCTAAGATTCTCAGGCTAGCTTTTTGATTGTGCCCTCTTAGCGTAAATGAGACTCAAGCGCCTTCAAGAATTGATTGTAGATTGTAAATCCATGACATGCCTCACGAAGTGTCTGGTTCCTCCTCGTGGACCCTGTAACCCTTACTCATCCACAGGCCTCACATACTCATTCAGACTATCTCTGAGGCTCAAACCTAAAGCTCAGCACTTGCTATTTTGGATGTTTTGGCCATGAAGAAATAATATAGCTCCTCCTTCAGTATCGTGACCCAATTGCAATCCAACGACAATGAGATTTCCAAGTTGTTTAGCCACTCATTCGCTCATTCACTCATTCACTCATTGATAAATCCAAAATGACACATAGAGTTATCCCGTAGGATTCCTAATGGGTAGTAATTGCTATTTAGGGGTGAGGTTCAGATCCTTGTCTCTTGTCCTCTCTTGTCATAGTGAAGGCCCTGGCGTAGTTCCCAAAGCGGTTAGTGCAATATCGGAGCTCCTGCGCTCTTTTCGGCTTCACCAGATTCCCATCACCACCGTCTCCTCAACACACCAAACGCGCTCTTCATCTACCAGATTTGGGTCTTCCAGAAGTGTCTCAATTTTCGGTAATGACGGCAGACAACTTCCAGCCGACCCTCTGAGCAATCGCACCTCCTCACCACTCGCACCACCCTTCAAATCTTCCCCATTCTTGCGCTCCACGTCCTCATCTCCTTCAGTCTCAATTGAGACTTTTCACAGCCATGGCCTCTCCCAGCCAGAGTCAAGGCACAGCACCAGCCACTCAACCTCTTACTCCCCCCGCGGAAAGTTCCACAGCCAACGGCGTCGCCGCCCCTGCCGCAGCAACCACAACCTCACAAGTCGTCGCGCCCGCACCCGCAACCGCACCAACCACATCAACCAACCCACCCTCACACGTCCCAGGGACGTCCCTCCAAGACAGCGGTAAATCGCGACGCCCACGCGATGTCCGCCTCGTACACATGCTCCTCGCCTCCCTCGGTGTAACAGCCTACCAAGACCGCGTCCCACTCCAGCTTCTCGATTTTGCCTACCGGTATACCTCGAACGTCCTGCAAGACGCAGTCCACCTTGCCACGGAGGGATACGCCGCTGCTGTCGGCGATAGCACAGGTGCCGGCAAAGGTGCACCATCCGCTGAAGTGAGTGGTGTATCACTCCCCGCGCTACGATTGAGCATCGCTTCGCGCTTGCATTACCAGTTCCAGACGGGCTTGCCCAAGGAGTTTCTTATGGACGTCGCGTCGGAACGGAATCGCATTGCGTTGCCCGGTGTGTCCAGAGGATTTGATGCTGCGGCCGGAGGCGCGAGTGGAGCTGCCGCAGCGGGCACTGCGAATCAAAGTATTATGATGGCGGGTATGCGATTGCCCCCGGAGAGGTTCTGTCTTACCGGCACGGGGTGGAATATGAAGGATGAGTGGGATAGTGAAGGGGAAGAGGAGGAGGAATTGCCCGATGCACCACTGCAGCAGATTAAGGGTCCTGCTGCTGCTGGCGCGGGCGAGGATGAGGAAGGGGGTGATGAGGATGAAGGTGATGGCAAGATGGAGGACATCTTTGGCGAAGATACGGCAATGGGCGAGGCGGGTGATGGAGATGGGGACCAGAAAATGGGAGATGCCTAAAGCGATGACGCTGAGAATATTTTTCACCGTCGTTTGCCAGGCGGCTGCTTTTTTCTTCTTTTTTGATACTCTTAGGGTTGATGGTGTTACTGGTGCCTGGCGTTCTCATCACTGTTTCCCTGCAAACCGAGAAGGACTTGTTTCTACCGAGCTCGGATATGAATCTCTATATGCGCATCAGCCGGTGATGATGATTTAAAGAACGATTAAGAAGAAGAGACGGTTTCTGGTTGATGAATTGAAAAGATGCCATCTTGTAATATACAATACACAATCGACTGTCATCCCATCTCTCTAAAAGCAGGATGATCATGCAAAAGAATCAAGGAAGAATATGCCCAAATTAAAACGCCCAGTTTTGTCCCTTTGTACGCCATGAGGAGAGAGAAAAAGACATGCAAAGTTCGACCACATCTGGCCGCACGCAGGGGGATATGTCGGAAATATGCTCGATGCTCAACGCATGAGATGACAGTCACCACAGCTCCCAAATTTCAGATGCCCATCCCTTGAATTTGCAAACTTGGCAGCGAGCCCACTGCCCTGGCAAACTCCTGGGCCACTCAATCTCCGCGCCAGGCACCGCAGCCACCAGCCAAGGGCTTCTGGACACTGACCAAGCAATGCAAGTAAGCAGGGTAGAGATATCCCCAGACGCCGGAACCCATATACACAATATACACTCACCAGCAGTCCTAGATAGCCACTAGTGATCGTCGAGGAAAAAAAGCGGAGTTAACAATCAAGTCAGGAGCTCTCATCACTTTCCCTGGCCATCCTGCCGCCTCCGCTCCTCGTCTTGCCGCATCATCGTGATAACCTCCACGCGGCGTTGCTCAACACGTTTCAGGTCTTCCTCCTTGGCGCGGCGCCGCTCCTCGTATGTTGCAAACCATTCCTCGCGAGCGCGATCTTCTTCCTCTCGGTTGTTGGCGTGAGTGACCATGCACGCATTCATGGCGAGACGCTGCTGTCGGCAGACCCAGGTGGCAGTGACGGTACGATTAACGGCGCATTCAGCAAAAGCTATATCACATGAATATCGTTAGCTGTACGGTCTCTTTCTGATTGTGGTAGCCTTGCAAGCGAGCTAGATCATGCAACCAATATACTCGGCCGAGTGCGGTGAACATGTAACGAGGATACAGCGGTCCCATAGGATATATGGTATTGAAGAGTACAAGCGAGTGCAACAAAGTATCACCTACCCTTAATTTCTGGGGCACAGCGGGCTCGTACGCGCTTGTAGTACATCTGCTTGACTTCTTGTTCTTGTGAGGCCGAGAGGGGGAGCGGGTTGCGGAGATTGTATTTCTTGGGCGATGAGGATGTCGCAGAGGTATCGGGGGAGGTAGATGTTGAAGCCATTGGGACTAAGTGAGTCGATCTCAGGGATCGAGGCGACAAGTGCAGATCAGATAAGTGGGCGAGAGGTTGCGTGGTCTGATGAGCTTGGGTGGGCGGATGGCAGTCTCAACGGTCGAATAGAGAGTGCAGACTGTAGAAATGACAGGTTCTGGGTATAGGAAAAGTCAAAGACTGTCTCCAAAGAGCAATTGCTGCTCACAAAAGGTGCCGGTTGCTGAGGGGAAGACCAAGGATGGTGTTGATGCGGAGCGCGAGGAACCGAGTTCGGGCGGAGAGCAGAAAGGCGGAAGCAGAAAAAAAAAACTTCCGGACTGTACGACACTTCAACTCTTGCACCACACCACTCTTCTTACCGGGCGCATTACCTTTTCAGCTCTTTTCAGTAATTTCCCAGAGCTTCAGCACTCTTTCCGTCCCGCTTCGCTTTACTTTTTTTTTCGCTTTGCAACTTCGGCCGCCACAAAACTATTCGGCATGTCGTCCATGCGCAATGCCGTCCAGCGGCGGCAACATCGCGAGCGTGGTCAGCTTGCGGGCCGTGAGAAATGGGGTCTTCTCGAAAAGCACAAGGTTGGTACCTCGCTCTATTTTTGCAACATCTTGCAGGCAGCTTTAGACTGCTACGAATCTACTCCGACCAAAGCTAACCTTCAACACTAGGATTACTCGCTTCGCGCCAAAGACTACAATGAGAAAAAGGCCAAGTTGAAGCGTCTGCAAGAGAAGGCAAAGGATCGCAACCCCGACGAGTTCAACTTTGGCATGGTTGGAGCCAAGAACGGTCAACAAGGAAAGCATGGACGTGGTGTCGGTGTCTCTCGTGACTCGGCCGCTGCTCGGGGACTCACTCACGACGCGATCAAGCTGCTCAAGACCCAGGATCAGAATTATCTGCGGACTGTGGGAGAACGGATACGTCGGCAGATCGAACGTCTAGAGCAAGATATGCAATTGCAAGACGGGATGAATGTCGTACTGGGCGTGAAGTCTAAGAAGAAGGAGGAGTCAGAAGAGGAGGATGATGACGACTTTGACGGATTCGACGACTTGGATGACCTCGATTTTGGCGCTCCAGTGACGCCGAAGCCGCGCAAGGTCGTATTCGCAGACGACAAGGGAGACCAGCAAAACTTGAAACGCCGACGCGAGGACGACGACGTGATGGATCAGGACAAGGATGAAGCGGAGGACAAGACATCTCAAACCCGCAAGACTCCTAAGCAACTTGCTGCAGAGAAAGAAGCACTTCGCGAGGCTCGTCGGGCCCGCAAGATCCGCAAGCGTGTCATCGAGGGCCGGGAGAACAAGCTCGCAGCACTGCGCAAGCAGTATGCGGCGATCCAAAAGGCCGAGCAGGAAGTCGAATTGCAGCAGGGCAAGATGGACCGATCCGTGGGAGGCACCAACAAGAATGGAGTGAAGTGGAAGGTTCGTGAGCGCAAGCGCTAAATGGTCTCGAGAAATTGTCCGGCGAGGGCTTTCGTTATGAGTTGATGACCCGCAGCCGTTGCCTCTGCATCTTCTTCGTGTCCTATTATCCTTTTCATCATGTTTGATCTATATCTTGTACCGATACCAGCATAGACGGGGAGTCCAGGCGCATTTGTGAATTTCCAAAAGTGAGACTACGAGCGAATCAAATTCCAGTCATATAATTAGTCGTTAGACAATGACACGTATTAGTGATTATACCCCAAAAGCCACCCACCATTCCCTTCTTGGAATTGTCTCCAGTTTGCGTGATGGTGGTGTTGCCATTCGGGAACGAGCGATTGATAACCCCCCGCAACTAGTGGCATAACGCGAGAACAAAAGGATTGTCATCCCCCTCGAGGATTGGTAATACGCTCGTCGAGTGCACTCGTGTTCCCTTACCCAACCTGGTCCAACACTCCCCGTAATCCCGGCGAGCTGATAGGATCGACCTGAAAAAGACTCCACCAGCTTATCGACCGTCAACCCGCGGAAAAGCGATTTATAATGGACGCTGACTAAGTTTATCTTTTATCGGTGACTGCGAAATGTTCGCCACCCCTCACTTGGCTCTCTTTTCTTTCCCTTCATACTCTCCGCTCCTACCCTATCCGCTCCTTTGACCTCTTCAGTCACTGAAAGTCACCAAATCCTCGCAATGGCGCCCTCTTTCGTGACCATTGATACCAGCGACGACTTCGACATGTCCGCTCCAACCAGGCCCGTCGATGCCCCGCGCACTCTCCTCCTCGCTCCCCCCTCCATCGCCGCCCACGAGGAGAAACTCCACGCCCTCTTCACAACCTTCGACCGCCAAAACACAGACCTGCAAATGCTTGATCGCCTCTCTGCCGGCATCGTCTCCCTCCCCCCAACCACATACACTAACGTTCTCGTCCTAACCGACACCGATGGCTCCCGACGGACAGAGGCCCTTCAACTCCTCACCCGAGACGTATACACCGCCCTCGTGCCATCCATGAAGCCTGGCGCAAAGCTGGCCACGCAAGATAAGCCGCTCACGGCTGCGGACTCGATGGAGGCTATCATGGCGGGACTTGTGCAGAACGAGGCTGGATTCGAGAAACCCAATTTCGAGCAGGCGTCGGCTATTCCACTGAAATTGGGCGGAAGGAAGAAGAAAACTACTGCTGCTACTGCTGCGGCGCCGACGGGTATAATGAGTGGGTTTACGACGAATGCTGGTAACCAGGTTAAGATTGATTTGGAGGATAATGAGGAGTTCATTAATGAGGATTCGCTTCTCGATGAGGAGGATTTCACGAGACCCATTATGCCCCGTATGTGATTCTCATTCCTGCGTGGTTCGACGTCTATGTTCCTCCGGAGAGTCGACGAGCTAACGTTGTTCTTCTCAAACAGCCCCAGAGTGTCAACCCAAGACTGGTCGCAGGCGGCGCGCCTGCAAGGATTGCACATGCGGTCTCGCGGATCGCCTCGAGGCCGAGGATAAGGAGCGCAGGGCCAACGCCGATAAGAATCTGAACGTGCTGAAGCTGCAGTCGGACGATCTGACCGAGTTGGATTTCACCGTGGAGGGCAAGACGACCGGTTCATGCGGTAGCTGTGCTCTGGGTGATGCTTTCCGCTGCGCCGGCTGTCCATACCTCGGTCTGCCAGCCTTTAAGCCTGGCCAGGAGGTTCAGATCTTGAATGACGTTGCCCAGTTGTAGACTGTCTCGCACTTTTTCCTGGTTCTGGATGACGGGAAGGTGAAGGACTGGTTGGCAGTGCTAAAAATGATGAGTCCGATCTCGGGCCTCCGAGGTCGGGGCTGCAGGGATAGCTGCAGACGTTGGTGATTGCATCTCTTTGTTTGATACCTTAGATACCTCGCTGGAATATCGGTAGTCCCAGCTGTGAATTTACTACCATATGCATTATACTCTTCTGTTTTCGCCCGAGTGTAATCAACTCACGGCGATGTGAACTATGTGGATACCTGACATCACTGAGCATCGACGCCATCGACTGCTAGGGACTAGCCTGATGGAGCCCGCTCGAATACGGGATCTGTTCTTCCAGAAGTATCAAAATGGCTCAGAGAAGCCAAAATCAATGCAAACAATAATGTAATTGTATATCGCTCGCTAGAAGCCCCATCAGCAACTTTTTGGGTCCTTTCCCCGCTATCTAATATTCATCGCGCATTCATTCATGACAAGACACTAAAATGATAAATCCCGGAATATAAAAGCTCTGGCAAACCGATCGCAGATAATCTACGAGCGGTCCTTCTGCATCTGTGCAACACGGATGCTGATGGCCCGCTTGTGAGCGTCCAAGCCCTCGACAGCAGCCAGAGTCTCGACCGTCTTGGCCAGACCCAGAAGACCGTCGGCGGTCAGGTTAGAGCTGGTAATGTGCTTCAGGTAGGAGCCAAGGTTAACACCAGAGTACTGCTTGGCGTAGCCGTAGGTCGCTGAGAAAAAAGGTTAGTTTGGGATATCAGAAGGGATATTCTTCAATGGAAGACTTACGGAGAGAGTGGTTAACACCGGCAGAGTAGTCACCGACACTCTCGGGGGTCCAGGGACCAATGAACACACTACCGGCGTTCTGAACTTGGTCGACAACTGCCTCGGGACCCTCCACCTGCAGGATCAAGTGCTCCGGGGCATACTCGTTGCTGAGGATCATGGCCTCGTTGATGTCACGGACCACGAAAGTAACAGAGTGCTCCAGCGAGCCACGGACAATGTCCATGCGGGGAAGGGCCTTTGCCTGAGCATCGACCTCGTCCTCGATAGCACGCAGCTGCTCCTCGTTCAAGTCGACGGCGATCAGGATCACCTGGGAGTCGACACCGTGCTCAGCCTGGCTCAGCAGGTCAGAGGCAACGAAGGCCGGGTTGGCGGTCTTGTCGGCAATGACGAGAACCTCACTGGGACCAGCGGGCATATCAATGCTAACACCGGCGGAGGTGTCGTTAGACACAAACATCTTGGCCGCAGTCACGAACTGGTTACCAGGGCCAAGAATCTTGTCTACCTTGGTGATAGATTCAGTACCGTAGGCCATGGCGGCCACGGCCTGAGCACCACCAGCCAGGACAATGCTCTCGGCGCCGACCTTGTGCGCGACGTAGACAATCTCGGGAGAAATGCTGCCATCGGAGCGGGGAGGAGAAGCCAGAACGATCTTCTGGCAACCAGCGACCATAGCGGGGACACCCAGCATCATGGCGGTAGAGGGCAACACGGCGGTACCGCCGGGAATGTAAAGACCAACGCGCTCGATGGCACGAGAGAAGCGCGAGCAAACAACACCGGGCATAGTCTCCATCTTGAGGGTGTCGTTGCTACCCTTCTGCGCAGCGTGGAAGCGCTGGATGTTGCCAATGCTGATATCGAGGGCCTCCTGAACATCGGGAGTCAATTTCATCAGCTCGGCGGGGAAGGGAGCCTTGATAACGGGTGAGGTCAGAGAAGTAGCCTTCTCAAACTTGTGGGTGTACTTGAGGACAGCAGCGTCGCCACCCTCGCGAACGTCTTGGATAATGGGCTTGACCATAGCAACGATAGCGTCGTTGGACTTCTGGGAGGGACGCTTGAGGAACTCCTTGACCTCGGTGACAGGGGTGGAGGAAGTAACCACTCGCTTCATCTCAATGCGCGAGCGGTCTTCAACAGGGGCGGGAGCGGCGACAGGGGCAGGAGCTGGGGTAGCAGTTGGCTTCGCAGCGGGGACCAGGCCAGCCTTCTCCGCCCAAGGACCCTTGGCATCGCCCTTTCTCCGCTTCACCTTGAGACTCTTGAGGTCAAGGTTACGCTCAATGTCTTCCAAGGTGACACCAGCAGCAATGCACTTGGTCAATGCAAAGTACAGCAAATCGGCAGCCTCGAAGGCGATCTCCTCCTTGGTGGTGGCACGGCAGAGCTCCTCAGCCTCCTCCATAATCTTAGCCTCGGCGAGCTTCGGCTCATTGAAGAGACGAGCGGTATAGGATCCGGCGGGGGCATCGGCCTTGCGGGCAAGGAGGGTCTTTTGGAGACGGGAGAGACCAGCAGAAGCACCGAAGCAGGTCTCCGTGCCGAGGTGGCAGAAGCCTAGTTGAATCACCTATCGTTAGCTACCACGAAAATCCAAGAAGTGGTTGAAATTAAAGCCGCCTTACCTCGTCCAATCTGCTTGACCACAAAGACCAAGCAGTCCGCATCACAGTCGAAGCCGATGCGGATCAATTCCTGCACATCACCGCTTGACTGGCCCTTGTACCACAGGCCACGCTTGCGGCTCTGGTATACTCCGGTACCGGTGCGGAGAGCCTCAGCGATACTCTCGTCGCTGCTCCAGACAACTCCAAGGCAGGAGCCACGCTCATCAGTGACGGATGTAGCATACAAGCCGTTTGCCTGGTCGGTAACAGCGCGCGAGGCAATAAGCTTCGCAGCGGAGATCTGGCCGGCAGCATCCCGCTCCACAGTCAAGGCCTGGGAAGGCAGAATGGCGATGGCACCCTTTTGTGTAACCTGGTTGACGGCGTCCTCGGACACTGCCTCGTTTCCAAACGTCGTGAACAGGCGGGGCGAGTCTGAGCTGATGTTCAATTTGGTGGCCGCGGCAGAGACGGCGGCGGGGGTGACACAGACACTGGCATCGTTGCGCTCAGTGACATCTGCGGCAATCCATTGCTGGAGAGTATCGATCTGAGCATCGGAGGGAGCGGAGACAAGCAGTCGAGAGGAGGGAACGGACTGTTCCTGGGAGAGTGCGGTCAATTGGTCGATGGTGATGAGAATCTTAGCAGCACCGGCATTGAGCACATCAACGAGGTCGCCAGCGGAGGAGATGGCAGTCGCGTCGACAAAGACATCGAGTTGGCGGAAGTTCTGTCGTAGGAACTGCTCGGCTTCGGCGAGGGATGATACCTTGACCAGCACTCGCCCGAAGTAGGCAATCTGCTTGAGGGTGAGGCCGGAGGTGGGGTTGGAGGGGTAGGAGATAAGGAAGGGCGTGGCCATGGCGGATGGGTTAATTGAGGAGGACCAGGGGAGAGATAGAGGAAGGAGTAAAAGAATTGAGAGGAAGATCAGAATCCCCTTGGACTAATTGGTGGGGGAGGCGCGTGGAGGGAAGGAAGGGTTAAACCAGCGATGACTCCTCGCCGGTTTACCTTTTTTTTTGCCGCCCGCCGGTTGGTGGTTGCCCCATCCCGCTGATTCATCGCTCTCCCCTGGAGTCCAGCAGGCTAGCTGGAATGTTTTTAAGGTTATTACTCGGAATCTTATCTGTTTGCCTTGTGTTCTTGGGAACTCTCTATTCTAAACTGATCTTCTGCTTTGCACATTGGAGCCACGCCTTCTACAATGATGGTCCGCAAAATGTTCTGCGCTGCGACATCGGGCATGCCCGGAATCCAAGATCCCCGCCATCGAGTCATGAAAAGAGAACACCGACCGGGATTTGAGACGCTGCTCTGTAATTCCAAATCATCTTGCTTTGAATGGCTTATTTAGGTTTCATCAGGCATCTTCGCAGGTTTGTCTTCGTTGGTGCCAGCACGCCCTAGGTTGTGTTTCTATCTAATATATATGTGTGGTCTTCGATCGAGGTCTGTACGTACCCACGAGTGTATCACCTCCCAAGTTAAAAGCAGGCCTACAGGTCACCTTCAGCAGTGAAACCGCTTGTCTTTACGGAAAAGCAGCCCAGGCTGTAGTCTACGACATACATGCTGGGCGTGACATGATCTGTTTCCTTCGAGACGAACAGTGCATAAACCCTTATGCGGTCACAAAGGGCCCAGAACCACAACTATGAAAGCTGTGAACTTGCTAGAGATTAAAGTCGCCTTCCGAATTTCTCGACTCTACAGCACAACATTTTGATCAAAGATTACATTCCACACTTTGGAGCCGGATAAGGCCTGCTTTACAGAGACTAGGACAGGTCATGGCAGATTGAAAGTAGAAAGTTCAAGTGTCGTCTCATACTTGCTTTTTCAAAAGGGGGGTCATATGGAGCGGGGTTCTGCCTTATTGCAAGGCGAAAGTCAGGTCACAGCTCACACCCAATACTGTAGCTATCAATACGGGTGTCACTTTTGAGCTGTGAGGGTTCTATCTGAGCACCTTCCTTTATTTATTCAGGAGAGCAGGCCATGTGCTGGTAATTACTGATAAGACTGTCCTCGCCAGTTCCTTAGCGATCGTCCTTTTTAGAATACCAGGGGGGGACCTGTGCTGATTTACGATGGTGTGAACATCAGAGGTATATATGACTGGTAGTTATACAATCTGTGGATACGAACGTTCTTAAAGCAAGCAGTGAGTGCACCATTGGCTTCGGCCAAAGAAAGAACAATTATGGAGTCTCTGATCGACCGCTCGCTCAAAATATCCAATACTGAATGTTATGTATCTGATCCTGCGACCAATTCTGAGGCCCAGGTGTAGGAAATTGATTGTCACAGTTTGACAGGAGAGTCCTTTTCCTACGAATAGATTATGAAAATGTTGGATTACAATAGTCCATTGAATCTACTTCTCGATTGCGGGGGCTTCTTACCGCTGCAATTAAACTTTTGACCTGAACGCTATCCAGCCACCTAACAGCCAGAGCTTACCCCGTAGTAGGGCCTGATTTCCTATAGTCCGCTGATCCTCTGCCAGGCTCACCACAATAGCACTACTAGCTCGATATGTACTTCGAGGTGGGTTTTCCTTGGGAATATACCATGGTTCCGGCTGAATCATGAAAGGTTCTCTTTTCATCCAAAGAGCAAGCAAGATCGCCAGGTGCAAAACATTCTGGCCCAGGACCACCCACCGGCATGGCCAAAACATGTCCCTGCAGCACCTGACGTGGCGGACGGAAGGCTGTAGCCTCGATAATCCCAAGCATGCGAGCGAGCATTTCCGAAATAAGCATTAACTTTCTGTAAGCCACATTTTCCCCTGTTCATAACCCATTTGTCTTGTGGCGGCGCATCGGAGTATTCCTTTTACTCTGACCTTGAGGTAACAATGTCGCTTTCCCCAAAGAGGCGCGGACATTTCATCGGCCGACGAAGGCGAAGACCTTCAGAAGATCTCCGAGATGTTGGAGAGTCATGTCTCATCACAGACAAGATTAATATGCCGGCTTTCTAGCCGACTCCACGTCGGTTATATGATTCTCAGACCAATATAAACCAACCCAAGAAGAGTATCTTTGCCCCTAGCTGTAGGGTGACGGCATTTGGAGTATCCTCGGCCGCACTGCCCCAGAATCCCCGATATCTGGTCAGACGGGGACTGAGAGGGGTGCATTGCTTGGCTCTCCGTGCGAATGTGGGTGTGATGCCCCCCCCCTAAATTCAAGCCACAAAGGGGATCCATGCTTTTAGGGTTGACCCGCTCTGCCGTCATCTGCCGCGGTCATCCACCTTGTCTCGATGACTTGCCAGAAACCACCCGAGTGGGAGAACTTGTGACATCTGTGAATAAATCAATTCTCTGTGCATCCGACGAGTCAAAGAACATGGACGACTCGGCGATCGCAAGGCCTCAGGATGCACTGCATTCCTCCGGACCACCGCAGTCGAGGGCGGCCAATCAAGTTCGGTAAGAATGCAGATCCCCCAGGGCCACTCGCCAGTCCGAATGGGACCTTGCAGGGCAGGAATCGAGAACTCTAGGACCCAGTCCTGGCGCCACCAAGCCCGATGCCACCATACTATGCAGCTAGTGAGTAGTATTCAAATCTTAGCGTATGGAGAACAGTAGAATGACTGAGGGTCTGGGAGGAGAATTGGATTGGGAAGCACCTGGGTAAATTCCCAGATTCAAAGTAAACAAGATCGCGTGTGACCGCCCGATTTCCCCTTTTGGGGTTCCACCTCCATCACATCCCCCCATTCCCCATTGTTTTCCTTCGTGAGATCCACTGATCCACTCTCGATTTAATAGTCGCCTTTGACCCGCTCGTGCGGGTGGCCATTCCCTTGCGACTCGTCTTGTCTTTCAGCTTTCTCCTATTTCTAGCAGCTGTGCAGTGTCGTGGTGTCGCGTATTCTTAACATACCGTTCATTCTCTATATACACCAACTCGCGCTCTCGAAGAAAGAGCGTGCACACGAGCCACTATGCGCGTCCCCGTTTCACTCTCGCTAGCGGCGCTGAGCCTAGTAGGATCGACGGCGGCTCATCCGTTGGCCGACACTGAAGAGGTCTTGCACCGCGATTCAGATGCTCAACAGAAGGCCGACGCGGTCAAGGAGGCCTTCCAACATGCATGGGATGGGTATATGAAATACGCTTTCCCTCATGATGAGCTCCACCCAGTGAGCAACGGATATGGCGATTCCAGGTAAGCGGTTTTGGCCGTACCATAATTTAAATATCCATAGTGGGATCATGAGCTGATGAGGAATGCAGGAATGGATGGGGAGCGTCCGCAGTGGATGCACTTTCCACTGCGATCATCATGGGCAAAACGGACGTGGTCAACACCATTCTGAACCATGTCGCAACGATCGACTATAGCCAGACCGACTCCGATGTCAGCCTGTTCGAGACAACCATCCGCTACCTTGGCGGCATGCTCTCCGGCTATGACTTGCTCACCGGACCAGCTTCCAGTATGGTTCAAGACTCGACGCTTGTGGACAACCTCCTGACCCAAGCAAAGAACCTGGGCGATGTCCTGAAGTTTGCCTTTAATACTGGATCTGGTGTTCCTTACAACAATATCAACATCATGTCCCAGGCCAACGACGGTTCAACCACCAATGGCCTCGCCGTAACGGGCACCCTGGTGCTTGAATGGACGCGATTGTCTGACCTGACCGGAGACGATGAGTATGCAACCATCAGCCAGAAGGCAGAGTCGCATTTGCTCAACCCACAGCCCTCCAGCGGTGAGCCGTTCCCCGGCCTCGTTGGCAGCAACATCAACATTGAGAACGGCCAATTCACCGATGGGTACGTTTCTTGGGATGGTGGTGATGACTCTTTCTACGAATATCTCATCAAAATGTATGTGTATGACCCGAAGCGTTTCGCCACATACAAAGACCGCTGGGTGCTGGCCGCCGAGTCGACAATCAATCACCTGCAATCGCACCCGGAACCCCGCCCAGATCTGACCTGGCTGTCTTCATACCAAAATGGCAAGTATTATCTCAGCTCGCAGCACTTGACTTGCTTCGATGGAGGTAGCTTCCTCTTGGGCGGTACGGTTCTAGGTCGTGAAGACTTCATTGATTTCGGGCTTAAGCTGGTCGATGGATGTGAGGCTACTTACAACGCGACTTTGACCAAGATCGGCCCCGACTCCTGGGGCTGGGACCCCAACAGTGTCCCCAGCGACCAGAAGGCCTTTTATGAGAAAGCCGGCTTCTACATTACCAGCGGTGCATACATCCTCCGCCCTGAGGTGATTGAGAGTTTCTACTATGCCTACCGTGTTACAGGCAAGCAATTTGTGAGTATTACCCCAATTGATTATGTCGAGATAGACCGGCTAATTTGCTTTGCAGTATCGTGACTGGGCTTGGAATGCGTTCGTTGCAATCAATGCTACCGCCCGTACCGACTCTGGCTTCGCGGCCCTCAGCAACGTCAATGCCGCCAACGGCGGCTCCAAGTACGATAACCAAGAGAGCTTCCTCTTTGCTGAGGTCATGAAGTATTCGTACCTCATCCATGCAGACGGTATGTCTTATTCCCCCTTCCCGAATATAACATAATTTGAAAACACTGATACTGACCATCCCAGATGCTGAGTGGCAGGTGAAGACGGGCGACAAGAACACCTTTGTTTTTAACACTGAGGCTCACCCCGTGCGCGTGAAGCACACTTAGGCCGGCATTCTTGGCTCGAACTTGTCTTCTAGTAGATAATCACCGGCGAGGTTGACCGACCTCGAGTATATTTATACTGTTTGTCATTGCCTTTCCTCTGCTTTATCTCCGTAGCTTCTCTCCAGTTTAGAAGTAGATGTCTTCGTCACAGGCGAGATCAAAGGGGTAACTTCAATTATTCATCCATGATTAAATACAGCAGTTTCCTGTCGAGATTGATATACGAGGCATACGATCTAACAAGCCAAGACAGTTCCCCGGTAGTGACAGTGCGAAGACTGTGATGCTTTGCAAGGAAGACTTAGCCACTGCCTCATACCTATTCACAGCTGTCTATCATACCGATGTCCTGCCCTACACAAGAGTTTCTTTTGAATCCAGGCTCGCCTCTTTCTCACGTAATTGCTTGATCACCGCCTCATAACCTCCTTCAACTGCCCATGATAGCGCTGTTCGGTCGTCATTTATCCTTTGCCTCCGGGTTCGCTCCTTTCTCAAGTAACTGCTTAACCACTACCTCACGCCCTCTTGCGGCCGCCCATGATAGCGGTGTCCAGCCGGCTTTATCCTTTGATTCTAGGTTCGCCCCTTTATCAAGCAACTGCTGAACCACTGCTTCATGCCCATTCCTAGCTGCCCATGATAGCGGTGTCCAGCCGGCTTTATCCTTTGATTCTAGGTTCGCCCCTTTATCAAGCAACTGCTGAACCACTGCTTCATGCCCATTCCTAGCTGCCCATGATAGCGGTGTCTGGCCGTCAATATCCTTTAACTCCAGGTTCGCCTCTTTATCAAGCAACTGATTAACCACTGCCTTATGCCCTCCCATGGCTGCCCATGATAACGGTGTTCGGCCGAACTTCTCGTCCGCAAACTCCACGTCCGCCTCTTGCTCGAGTAAATGCTTGACAGTTGCCTCGTGACCGAAATGCGAGCATAGCAGAAGGGCCGTGAACTTAGTGCCCTCCATTCCCGCGGTCATCCAATAGAGTTTAAGCCACGCCTTGTAACTCTTCGATCCTGGATCACAGATTCTTAGTGTGGCAGGTATTATGGCCGCACCATCATTAATAGAGGCCTCACGGAAGTGTAGACTCCAACTCTTGGCCGAATAGTCCAGGAAGGCTTCTCTATCAACGCCGTGGCCCCCTTCCTCATTGATACCTGTTAGAATCTTGTCATCGAAGTTAAAGAAGTCAAGATATCGCACACAGAGCTCTGCAAGAACATTATGTGCCTGATTCATCGTCATGGAATGACGCCAATGTACCTCTGACGGGATCGTTGCAGGCGAGGACAGATCCGCCAACAGAAACTCTCGAGCAGTTTGATGAAGAAAATAAATCTTGCCATGATGAGTTGAGATGAATAAACCACACCAAGACCTAAGACGTGACTTAAAGTCGTCTTCTTCTTCGAGGTCAAGGTCGTAGATAGATCTCGCCGTGTCGTCTATATTCACCGCAATGTTCATTTCTAGCAGCGTGAGCGGCCGAGTTGCCGCTAAAACGATGCTCAGGGCTACCCTAACCATAGGGTCTTCCTTAGACTTGCTAAGAATTTGCTCGTATGCCTGGTAGACACTCTTCGGTAGGGTTGCAATAGTGGAATCGACCCCTTTAACTGTCTTTTTGAAGTGTTCTTTGTGCAAATGCTCAAACGCAAGGTATACCCAAAGGTACGTACGGTGCGGAACTCTGAGCAATTCTTTTGCCAGGTGATCTTTGACGTGATTTGAGAGGTTCTTTTCTTTTGCCAGTTGTTCGACTCGGTGATTGATCACGTAATTGACCTCTTGACTAATGATTTCGGATTCTTCTTCTCCCGGTATACGCACGTACGGGAAGATATCCAACAGCCTCTGGAACTTAGAAACAATGTGCTCATACGGGCGACTAGTAAGGAGATACTTCAGCTTGCCACTGATTGACTTATTGCTGCAGAACTGGCTTTCTAGTCTCATCATCAGGTACTCCAACTCTGATTCGGCGCATTCATCCAGGGCATCGAGGACCAAAATTATGGATCCGGCTTGGGGGTCCTGCACAGCATTTTCCAGGATAGTCCAAAGTGAGTGCGTGGAGTTAATTAGGCCCGAGCCGTTTTGCTTGAATTGCTCGGCCACATATTTGATTAGTTGTGGCTGCTGGGAGAGTAGTTGGTGAAGAAGAGCACAAAGTGCTTGTCTGACCGTATTCTGGTCCTGATCCTTGAAGAAAAAGTAGCAGATCGTTGCTGAGGAGGAGCGCGGAAGGTCATGATCGATGAGGTATTTGGCCAAGACAGATTTCCCACATCCCGGGTCTGCTGAGACCATTAATGGGCCCGAATCTTGTTTCAACCACGTCTGGAAATTTGGATGATGTAGGAACCACTCGCAGGTGCCCTTGACGCGGTCTTCAACCCGATCTTTATACCATTCGTATGTGGCATCCTTGCTGCTGCTGGTGAGACGGAATGACTGAAGATACTGTTCTTGGCTCTTCAGCTGTTCCAATAACACGTGTAGCAATCGGTCCATGATTTCAAGAGCCTTTTGGCTTTTGTCGTTGAGAGACTCAAGCTCTTGCCTTGACAACAACTCATTCATCTGGGTGAGGTTCTCATTGACGGTTCTGTCCATGTTTTCAATGTTGATTCTCAACTGCTTCCAATCATTTGGCGAAAAGACGTCTTTGACATAGCCCTTGATGCAGCTCTGGTAGAATCTTAAGACGCTTCGGATCTGAAACTCAAGAATGTGCCGATAGAGGACCACAATCTGGCCGTTGGCTTCCTCCATCAAAGCGCTGGTGACTCCGGCGTTCCCGCTAAGTCGCAGGAGCAGAGGCTCCAGTGCGGTGTAGTACCGCATACGAGTAGTCACATATGTGAAGCCATCTCGATTGGCTTCGTCTGCGACCCTGGGGTTTGTGAGAAGTGGAAGAATGATGCAAACACCAGCCCACGCGATAGAGGCTTCTGATGAGCTCTTAACTGCCTCACCAATCAATTCTTTCGCCCACAGCACCAGATCTGCGGCCTGTGCTATCTGATCACCCAGAACAAATTCGTGGCCGGCAATGGTGTATTTTGTTTTCATGTTTTCAACGCGTCGCAACCCCTCTTGGATTATTGCGTCCAGTTGTGCTCGGCGGGTTGACCGCTCGACCGGTGGCGTAGTCGGCAGGGGAGTGACATTATCGGATGCAGAGTCTGTAGGATGGTCAATATTGCCTCTGCGTTGCATAACGTGTGGCTGATACGTACTTGTCCTCGCCTCCTCTGACAGAAGGTACTCATACTTCTCTACCAAGGAAGGATTTTCCTTCTCAAGGACTTCATATGCGCAGTCCCAAAGTGATTTGGCAGTGGGAGATCTCTCATGATCTGTGTTCAGATTATTACTTGGGGTGATGCGGATTGAGTCAACTTCATGGCGCTTTTCTCTGGTCTGGTCGCCAATTGTGGAGGCAGGAGTCGCTGAATCAATCCGTGACTGCTTGCTTTTACTGGCAATAAATCTCCGTAGCCCTCTGAAGGACCCATCTTTCTGACTCTGAGCTGGGCGCTTCTCGTGATTATGCTCGAAGAGTCCCATGGCCTTGCGTCGGTGTTCTTGTGAGGTACGTATGAATTCTGGGAGAGATTTGATAGCCAAGTTTTGCTAGAGCGAAACAACCCAAGACGTCCCAATACTGCTGAATAGCAGGCGACCTTGGTATCATGCAAAGAGGCACCTTAGAGTGCATTGAACGAATTCATAAAGGGGAAGTCATGGTTCAGCCCCAGGGGCTGACTTGGGGGCGGTGTTGGGCCATATTGCAGGTACATTTGCAGCCACTGCCACATTGCCACGTCAAACCCATGATGAGCCACAACATGTATAGTTCTTTAGACGTAGCAGTCTACAGACTAAGAATTCCGCGACTCTTCAATTATTACATATTTTAGATCTTTAAACCTATCCGAAATGTTGACTCTCCAGCAGGATTCCCCGCTCGGTACGTTCGACGCAATTTCCGCTGCTGAGCTAGCTGTTGGCCCTCTTCGATCGATCCCGATCGCGTTTCAAGCGGCTCTTCTTAGTCGCTACACTTAACATATGCCTACCTGCATCTAACACATCCATTGTATTATCTAGAAGTGCATTTAGTCTCATTCGATGTCTTAGTATTTTACTGTTGGCATCGCTCTTCGAGGTGTTGAAGGTCTGAATTTCCGTTTTAAAAAATCAAACGACTACTTATTAGACATTAAACATTAAAAATCAGACCACAGTTCTGATTTCATCCCCAAGGCCCACATCTCAGCCAATTTAAATGGCGCTGGAAGTGCGATTCTTCAATGATAGCTCACGAGACGATTAGGCGTCGTCTAACTTTGGCTGAGTACCCTGTTTTCCGATCTTTCGCTCGACATGGCAAGCTATAGAGGCTCTGATCATGAGAATCAAGTTGAAAATCCTGCAACAGCAAGGGCATTAGTCAGAATTGTGTCTTTCACAAACACAAGATGGGTCAAGCACGTACAGCCCCAAAAACATCACAGCGATTCCAAAGCATTCCACTCCATATAGCCTTTTAGCTTCTTTGGTATTCTCTGAGTAACCACCATGTTGATACTCGGCAAATTCGTTGACATAGAAGCTGACGGTGATAATTTGCGCAAGGAAAGCCAGGCAATCAAATGTGATGCTCGCACCGGGATGTACTCTACAGTTGAAGATCAAGACGACTGCAAGAAAGACAGCGGACCAGAGAAATGCGTAAGAGGCCTGCGTTACAGAAGGTCAGAATTAGCATGGCGGTCAATTCATACGTACCACTTTAGAGGTATAGATGGACTCACTGTTCCCAAATTAATACTTGACCAGGCACTTCCCAGGCCATCAATATAGGCGACTGGCTTCTCGTGCTCGGCATAAGCCCAAGCAAAGCAAATCACGACAGTCATCTGACATAAAGCTGCGGCAAACCGCAGAGTAAATAGGGAGAGCCATTTCTTTTGTTGTCTAGGAACTGCCTCCAGACCCCAACTGGTTTGGTATTGATCGTGATAGCTGGAAACCATATTGAGACTGACGGGAGCTGATTAGATAGCATGCAGTTTTTGTAGAAGCGAACATAATCTTTACGACTCATGAGGATCTCTTTAAAGGTTATATGCGCAAGATAATCTTGGCAGCTTACCGTCTATCTGGGTAAAGTGTGTATCATTGCCGTTTCCATCCTAACACAGCCTCCCACAATTAATCACGGTGGCGACGACAAGAAATAGCAGATCTGCGCGCCAAACAGTCGACACGGTTTTTACTTTGGATGTTGGGAAGGGTTTATTGTAGTGGGATGTGCTTAGGACCTGTACGCTGTTTTGCCCAGCCATCCTGGCACCCTGCGCACCTCGCTCTTCCAACTCTGCCTTGTGGTGATTCCTTCTTGGCGTTGATCTGCTTGGCATTCCCGGAAGGACACTGGTTTTTCGCCGTGGGGGCGGAAGGTATTATTTTACTATTAATAACGTCAATGGTATTTTGGTTTTCACCGCGTTTCTTTCCAGTTTTCTATCACGTAGTATAAGTCTAGGTTGCTGTATGTAACCGACAGAAGCACGATGATCGAATGGGTACATCGGCCATAGCCATAGCTAATTGTAGCTGCGGTCGAATAATGCGTGCCTCCCCATGTCTTCCCATTTTCACGAGACATTCGTAGTAGCCATGAAGAGCCCATATGTTGTTCGGGTGGGTTAGGGCACGAGGTAATGACTGGTCAATCCCGAGATCGGCAGCGTAGACGTTCATGGCCTCTTCGACTCGCCCTTGTTCGAGCAGCAATGCCCCCAAGGCATGCCGAGCAGGCTGCATCCAGCCCCAGGGCTCATCATAGGGGAGGTTATCGTCTTTTACAACTGCAAGTCGGAGACTAGCAAAAGCTGTGTCGTAATCTCCGCAGCGATAAGCAATCTCCCCATGTAGCATCGGCTCTGCTACCGCAAGGATATCGACACAAGTGTTATTAAATATAGTTCGAGATAGAGGAACTCGCTTCACAGCTGATCTGAACAGCTGCTGCTCTTGTTGTGCTTCATTCACGCGGCCAATAGCTGCAAAAGCCACGCCCCGTCCGTAGTGTATCATAGCAGTGGTGACGCAGTAGAGGCTCGCATCCGCAGGAAGCTCAAGAGCAAGGATGGACTCCCATCGGCCAAATCGGACAAAAGAATGCACCCGCGTAGCGACGAATCCCTCAAGCCAATCTGCCAAGGGTGGCGATTCAACCCGCAGAAGATCTTCGGTGAGTGACTCTGCCAGCACGTTGGCAGTGTCGAAAGCAATCTTAGATTGGCCTGCTAGCATTGCAGCATACATTCGAAAATGGTAATCATGGCATCGGTACAGGTTATAAAAGTGACCTAGTTCCTGATTGGCGAGGAACTTCTCGTCTGCTCGAATGGCCGAGGTGTTTGAGGCGACTGCTCGACGGTAGTCACCACATAGGACGTCCAGGTGAGTCGGCATATGCTCGAGGTGTCCTGCATCCGGAACAAGGCCTCGTAGATTGTCTGCGACTGGAAGAGCAATCTCAGGAATAGGAGACATCTCCATAAGGTGAATATACAGATGTAAAAGGCCCGGGTGCTGGAGCGCGCCTTCCTGGATCAGGGCGCGGTCCAACGCTTGCTTCGCCTCGAGTGTACAAGCACCTGGCGTAGGCTGTCCTGTAGACAAGTCCCACATACTCCAAGGTGTCAAGTTCATCAGTGAGTCAACAAATAGAGTGACAACGTCCAAGTCGTCCGGGAAAGACTGATACACTGAGCGCATGGCCTCGGCATATCGGTGATTCCAGTCAGCACAGTTATCAACAGGTTGTTCCTGAGGATATCGATGCTGTAATGCCTCGGTGATTGCTCTCTCTACGGGACTTGCCCTGGCTGCGAGTCTATTGGCTTCCATCGCCGCACCATGTGCCCTTGTCGTGGTTATCGAAAGATCTTCTCCATCAAACAGTTTCCATGGTTTGTTGTAATTTGGGCCCAGCGCGAATGCAAGACCCCAATACCCCATGTTACATGCGGGGTCAAACAATATAGCCTGTTCAAAGCACCGCGCCGACTCCTGGTGGTTGAACGCGTAGGCCCAGATAAGGCCACGGTTAAACCATGCCTGGGCATCCGGGCTGGTGGTGCTAATGGGCCGCTGATAGCTGCCAAGATCATAGTATTGAATAGCAGCAGATTGCCGAGGGGGCATTTTGCTGCGGCGCCAAACCTTATCCATGATGATTGATGATGTATTTGTGAAATGCCGAGGGTTGACAATGGCCGACGCTTAGTTTGTGCGGGTGGATCGCGGCTCGAGTCAATGTGGGGTAAAAATGAGCCACTATGGTAGGCGTCACGGCAAGAAGTATGACGGACCCATGAAATGCTAAGTAGTCGGGGTTTGAAGAAGGAATGATAGACAAATGCAATGTAGTAGAAGTCTTCTATAAGTGGAGATTATTGCAATGATTGATTCAGAGTAGTTTCTCTGAGTACTATTCTAGAAAAAAAAACACACGCTTGAAACGCCATCAATGCCTAGGTAGAGAACAAAAGACACGCAAATCACAAAGACAGCTCAGTGTATTGCACTGGAGCCTGGGTCTGCATGCAAGTTGTGTTGAACATGGTAATTGATCACCAAAATGGCAATGTTGATGCAGTTGCCGGCTCGGGAAATGAACAGCAAGATGGGGGTATCTGAATGGCGCGAGACACAAACTCCGCCTCTATGGCTCAGTGCGGATGAGGAAAGCAATGTACAATGGGAATATGTTCAGACATCACGGGACTTGGGACGTAGAGGAAGGGTGATGGAGCCTGCTGGCTCGACCGGTATAGCCCCAACAGCAAGAACATCTTCTTCTCCATCCAATCCTTCGTCCTGGAGGTCTTGATCGCCCTCAATGGACTCCAGAATAGACCCTGCTGGGTTAGATAGGGCTTCCGAGACCTGCGAAATGTAACTTGCACCCAAGTCTGTTTCTTCTGCACCCTCGTCAAGGTATTCGCTACCTTCTCCCTCGCTCAGCTCATCATCGTAATCATCTTCTTCCTCCTCATCCGCGTCCTCGTCATCCTCAAGCATCTCATCGTCCGCGGGTTCATCTTCCTCTTCACTGTCAGTGGCAGAGAAATCATCAAGTTCCTGCGGGGTGTCACGCCAGTACGTGAAATCTGTGTATTCTTCGCCTCCGGACTGGACCAGAAGACTGACGGGTGGGAAGAAGTGATCCAGCAGCTCCTGCATAGTCACATAGCTGCTCTTATACTTATTCAAACTCAGCAAGTCAAGCGACACCTCGGCGTTCGAGTTGATTGTAAAGATCCGAGTGGAAGGAATGTTGACCGATCTGTAGCTCAAGGCATCGGTCAATCGGTTTCCAAAACCGGCATAAAACGGATTCTCTTTCCCTGCGAACAATCCAAGAATGTCGCGTAGGCAAGCCATTTTGAAGACCTCGGGCTTCCTCAAGTAGATCTCTCGCCTCAGTGCCGCCATGGTGCGATCTGGACTGCAGATAACGGGTCCCTTGGGCAGGCGGTATCCGTCTTGGCATACTCCGTGTAGGTACGCCCGTGTGGTGTCTGACTGCCCAACCGATCGACTGGTGAGATACATGATGTTATAGCCGTTATTGACAATATCCGTGTACAACTTGGCTACACCAGCATGGGTCCAGTCACGTCCGATCATGTTCAAAACGTGACCCAACGCATCAGACTTTGTGATTGTCCCATCGATATCAGAGATCACAATCGGCACGTTTCCGTTCCACAGATACATGTTTGCTGTGCAGGTGGCCTTATTCACGCTGAAGGACATGAGATTAGGTCCCGGCTTCAGTTGCAATGCCTTGAGTTGATCGCTCGTCAAGCGCAGTGTCTTAGCATAATTGCGAGTCTCGACGGCGAATGAGTCCTGAAGGGGTGATTGAGGCGGAGTGGGGAAGCCCGGCTGGACATCTGACTTGGTGCGGTGGTGGCGTGCAGCTATCGCAGGCTCGATGGTTGAATGGTCGCCCTCGCTATGGTAGCCAGGGTCGGAGACCGCATCTTCGCTCAGGGCCGTAGTAGGCCGCATGGAACTGAGAGCCGTCGTTCGATAGGCTGCTTCTTTGGCCTCTTCGCTGCTGTAGATCCACAAGTTCCCATGCTCATCTGCTCCGATGAGTGCACCTATATCGTAGCTGCCTTCCAGCTCCTCAGCAAGAATCTTGCGGGCAAGTACTTCGGCCCGGATAGCATCTTCTTCGTTGCTTTTGTAGCCCGTCATGTCCAACATGAGGTCGCCAGTATCGGTAATGTGGGACGGAATGTTTGAGCCGGAGAGCTTCTTGGACAGAGAGATTGCGCGAGACATGGCCTCCTGAGGCGACAGCAGAGGAGGGCTGCGAGAACGGTCACTCCGCTCGATATCATCTTCATGGGCTGAGCCAGAGCCACTCACGGAGGTCCGCTTCCCGTCGTCGGCTCGACGGATACTAGTGGGAAATATGTTGTCCGATACCGAGTGATCGAGGGGAGGTTTAGACTTAAACGAGTCACCAAAGGCAGGGCTCACTTCCGAGTCGGCGGGTGAACGTGACAATGGAGTCATTGCGCCTGAAAAGATGAATTAGCATATGTGCATGTTGCAAATTTTTTTTCTCAATTTGCCATACCCAGATCCGTAGTTGCCCGCGACTGCCGCGAGAGAGGCATCGTTGGCGGAGTCTTTGCGCCTTCCGATAAAGCATCGCCGTGCGATTTTTCAAGGTCTAGATACTCCGGCTCCTGTAGAGATGACGCAAGATCTTCGCCAGGGACTTTCGGACTGGCTGCGGGGGATACTAGTGGTGAGGTCTGTAGAGATGCGGGGATCTCGTCGGTAGTCTCAAAGACGAAAAATGCCTCGCCTCCCTCCCCAAGCTTCATCGCATAGTCTTGTTTATTCCCATTGACTTTGAATTCCACCTTCTTTTCATATGGACGCAAAAGCGAGAATTTGCCGAAGCGGACATGGAAGGGCGAGCAAGCGAGGGTGCCTAAAAGAAGGGAGAAATCCACAAGAATCAGCATGGCTCTTTAAAAGCGACAGAAGCTTAGAGTCTTGCAATTGGGAGGATTTGAATATAGTTCTCTTCCAACGTACCATCTTCCTGTTCAATAACAATCACATCGATCGCACCGCTCAGCGTGGCTGGATTGATCGAGTTCCATGTCTTGGAGACAGAGCCGCTGATGCTGCGTACGTACTGCATCTCGCCAGTTCAGGATCTGGCACCCTGGGCGACGGCTCCGCTATAGATGATGGAAAATCGCAGCACAAAAGTAACCGATTGTATGAACTTCGTCAAGAAAAATGAATGGGCGGAAGAGAGGGGTGGACTGGAAACAGGTTCGTTGGGAGGGAATCGTAATCGCCGCTACCAAACGGCCCATGTGACACTCGGCTGACAGGGAGCCGCGACTGTATCACCACCGCCACAGATGCTCATATAAACAAAGAAAGATGGTAAAGGGATTTATGACGGCAGATAGAAAAGGCAGATACGGCCCAATATCAATAAGCCCACCCTGGTAGCCGGTGTCCCCGGATCTGTTGGCTCTTCATCAACAGTATTCAACACCCAACGTTTATTAGGTAAGCCCGACCAGCATGCCGAGGTCACTAATATTGGATACGCTAGTCTGTATCTGGTATAGCGGCCGATCCCAGAGCCGTGATTACGCTAGTCCCAAAGAGTGAGACCCTGACTAACTTGGGTCAGGTGACTTCCATGTCCCACCGAGAGATGGAGAAGCCGATCAAGTCTGCCACTACCGTCTCTCCCTTTGACCACCTCTCCCTTGCCTCCGCTGCCCGCGTCCATGGGTGACTGACGTTGGGATGTACGAGCCATTCTATCTCGCCTTCGATGCCTACCCAACTGTTGTCCCGCGAGTGAAGGTGCGAGGCCTCATGGCTCTGTTTCTTGCCGTCTCGATCCTATGGGCCCTGATCTGGTGAGTTTTATCGCCTCTTCGGAATGTCTAAGAGTTTGGCTGACCATTGCTGCGCTTCGAAAAATGCAGGCTCCTATACCGAGCATGGCAGGTCTGCCAGACCCCCAATGATGTCCTGGTGGAGAAGCTGGGCCTCGACATTCCGCCGCCCCCAGAGGTGACCCTCGAGGAAATTACAGCGCGTGAGATTCGTCTGGCTTGGAAACAGCCAGACTTTCACAATTCTATACATAAGCATATCATTCAAGTGAACAATGTGAAAGGTATGCCTGCCACTTGAGCAGCCAAAATCTTCAGCAAAAAGTTGAGTCCATACCTAACAATGATCTACAGTGGGCGAGTCGAAACGGGCAGAAACCGCGGTCGAAATCCTGAACCTAGTCCCGGGGAGCATCTATCATATCTGTGTACTTTCCGTCAGCGCAGCGAATTTTCAAACCCCCAGTGCGATCCTTCATGTACGAACGAAATCCCTTCCCTTGTCCCAAGCCCAGCAGGATGCCACTGCTGGCGGCCCAACAATCAGAGCGTCGATTCCCAGGTCTACGGCCGGCTTGCCCACTCCATCCGCGCCGGTCATGTCTCGTGAGCACAGTGCGGGTCAAATGCCCGGGAAGCGACCCTCGACAGGGCGCAAATCATCGCCCGCTACAGGAGCCTCAGACTATTCACACGGTCAATTCGACGAATCCCGCCGGAACGGCTATCGCAGCAATCGTGACGAGAGTCTGGAACAATTGGCCGACCGCTTGAAGGCTTTGCAACAAGAAAACGACAATGTGGAGAAACAAGCAACGGAGGAAGATGATGAGCATATCACATTACTCAAAGATCTTGAAAAGCAACGTGATGACCTGAAGAAGCGCGTGAAGGAGAAGGACGAAGTCAGCGGTGATTTGAAAAAGCATGTTTCCAAATTGGAGAGCGTCAACCGAACGGTTCAAAGTGAGAAGACGAAGCGTATGAGACTTCTTCAGCAGAAGGAAGCAGAACGCGACAAGCGCAAGAACGACATTCTGCGATGGCAGGAGAAGATTTCTCGCATGAATACCGATGCCGCTCAGGCGAAAGAAGACAAGTCCCGCCTGGAGGAAGATTGCAAAGCACGGGGAGATGAAATCCGCAAGAAGATTGCGAAGGAGCAAGCCGACATGAAGATCATCGATGATGAAATTCAAGACAAGGGTGGGCGAATCAAGAAGCTTGAAGATGAGAGGAAAGGGCTTCAAGATGGTGAGAGTGAGGATGGCAAGGAGCTGGATCGTATTGACAACGAGCGGGCTCGCCAATGGGAGATGAAACTGAACAGCCTGCATGCCCGATATGCCACTTTGGTCAATCTTCACGCGCAAGCTCAACAGCAATATCAAGAAGCCCAGGAAAGACTGAAATGGCTCACTAATCAGCGGCCGAGTAGCTCGGGTCCATTCGCCCTGCCAACAATAGATTTGGACCTGTCGAATATTGCTACCATCCGACCGCGCCGTCATCGCAGTTCGCTGACCAGCAATGTCTCTTCCCCCGTGAACTTCCCCGGTGTCGAAACGGCCTTCCCCGGTGGACTCAGCTACAACCCTCCCTCAACTAATTCGCCTACGTTCCCGCCTAGCTCTGCATTCTTCAATATCAACAATGGAATGACCATTCCCGGTCTCTCTGATCCGCCTGAGATAATGCGTTCAGATATGGAGACTGCTTTCAATAACCCTCAAATGAGCCCTCGGGCAGATGCTTTGTTGCCATCCGATCTACTTGGTGATGAGGAGTCACCCGAGTTTCCACGACCGCTAAACCGACCGCGTTTTACCACCATGGAGGCACAGAGCAATCCGCTAGAAAACTTTGGCATCGGGCCCGCTTCGCCTGCGTCTTCTGGTAGCCGACGTGGTAGTATCTTTGCCAGCCCGCTTGAAACTCTAAACCGACAGGATTCCGATTCGCAGCCCGTGGGGTTGTCCGCTGATGGAGAGCGGCCCAAGAGCGCGTCTCGACGACTTTCTGGGCTTTTCGGTTTCCATCGCCCTCGAGGAAAGACGCTGGCTGATGAACCGCCTATGTTGGGGACGTTGAAGCCGGGGCAAAGTCAGTCTTTCCCGCGTAACGTTGATGAGATGGACCCCATCGGTTCGCGACGCCGGAGACTTAGCTACACGGGCAACTGGGCAAACCCTATGTCCTTGTTCCCACGAAGCAACACCACTGGGGTCACCGCGGACAGTTCGTCGGATCACCCGCCATCTAGACGCGCTGCGTTCTCCAGTATCTTCTCATCTAGTAAATTCGGTTTTGGTGGCACTGGCAGTCGTGGAAACTCCGACTTGAGCACTGGCTACAACCAGTTTAGCCCACGGCATGATCCCATTGATCCCTCGGCTCTCCTTGGAAACGTTCGTCGCGGCTCTCTATCCCCTCGTCCCTCCTCGACCTTTTCTTTTGACAATCAAAACCAGCTTCCTCATCCCTCCACTGACAATCGCCATTTCGGCTGGCCGTCTGCTGAACAAACCGGCCTCCGTAATAGCCCACTCGGCCTAGATTGGGCCTCGCCATCCACATGGTCCCGAGCACCATCTCGTCGCCCATCCCTTTCCTACGGATCCTCCGGCCATCTGCCTCTGGGACTCACTGGGGAACCTGATTTTGTCGAGGAGGCGTATGAGCGTCAGCTCCGACCGCTCCAAGCCCCAATTGGCACACGACCATCTTCATCCCACCGCCCAATCACCCCAAAGCTCAACCCTGCTGCACCGACGTTCACGGCGATCTTTAGCGGCAAAAGGTCAAACCAGGATAAGGAAAAAGACTCCGGCGCTCCCTTTGATCTTCATATGGACGATGGATCCCCATCCGAGCCACGTATGTCGCGAGATTCTCGTTCACTCTCCCATTTCACCGGCGAGTCATACGAATCTTTGGAGCGCATGCCATCCGGTGCATCCGCAGACAACGCATCCAAGGAATCTTTCATCCGTAAAATTACTCGCAAGGGTAGCTCCAGCAAGTTCAGTTCTTGGAAAGACCGCTCGGGGCTGTTCTCCAAGAAGGGCGAGTCCTCTCAAGGTGACATTGAAGAGGACGCAGCCAGCGAGGCTCAGCTGGGACGGAGCATTGACAGCACCGCCTCCAGTGTGCCCTCCGCCGATCGTTCGACACGGAGTAGCCTGGGCTTCTTCTCGCGTATGTCTCGCAAGTCTGACAAGGCGAGCGAGACCAGTGAGCGAGCTAGTGAAGCCGGTGATGAAGATCTTTCAATCCCTGAGATCGCTCATTCATGATATCCTCGTGGCCTAGGCCCTCTCGTTTCTGATTTTCCCCTATTATTCCGCACTCTGGAGAACTTCACGCCCCGACGGGTTTCTGCGGTCTGTGTTAGACAGCCGCTATTATTTCCTAAGAAAGTCACAACTTTTTTCAATCGTGCTTGAATCGTAAATTTTGTAAGATCATTAAGACCATGGAAAGTTTCATTTTCAGATCAGTATGGAGGCGTTCGAACGTCGCGCAAAGTTGTAATTATCTTCGTTAGAACCGGTTCAGTCTCAGGTGGGCCTTCCGCCACTACTGAGTTGGAGAGTTGGGCGGCAGCAGGTCGCCGCACAAAATCATGACTCGGCTTCGGCGCCTCGACAAATCTGCCCACTCGGCACTCGACACACCCTTAGACACCGGGACGAGGAGGAACTATGGCTAACTCCAGGTTAGTTTTGTAGCCGAATTTGAAATCTGATACGTCTACTGACGATGCAAAGGTTCGAGTATGTCAAGGACTTTGAACAGCCCGACGTCTTGCTTCCCAATACGTGGATTGTGGTCCGCATTGACGGAAGAGGATTTCACAAGTGAGCTCTTAAATCCCATGTCCTGTTGTACTGGTTGTGCACAAGAGTCGCGAGTCTGCTGGTACTATCTGGGAATTCCTAGAGGACCAGAGGATCGCTGAAGGCTACACAGAGGGCTTACTAGCCCAGCCTACCACCGTTCTATGCATGTATCTGACCTCCCACAGGCTGTCGGATCACTATGCCTTCATCAAGCCAAATGACCGGCGTGCGCTCGACCTCATGAATGCTGCGGCGGTTGAGGTCATGAAAGAGCTCCCGGATCTATGCATTGCCTATGGTGTCAGTGACGAGTATAGGTTCGTACTATCTTTTCTTTGCCAATGGATTTTACCGATTCTTTTTCTAATTGATAATCTAGCTTTGTTTTCCACCCAAGCTGTCAGCTTTTCGAGAGACGAAATGCGTAAGTCTTTCATGCAATTTTACCCAATGCATCCGCTGGTCTACTTCGTGGCCAACTGAGATGTCTGATATCAGGAAATTGGTCACAACCATTGTGTCAACGTTCACCGCACACTACATCTATTTATGGTCGACATATTTCCCTTCAAAACCTCTCCATCCACCATACCTGCCTTCGTTTGATGGACGGGCGGTCATCTATCCCTCGACGCGAATCCTACGGGATTATATGAGCTGGCGACAAGTTGATTGTAAGTCTAACTTTAAACTCACCAGGATCTGGCAAATTTCTGTCGAGTCAAAGGCTCGTCTTGCTGATTCATCTGTTATAGGCCACATTAACAATCTCTACAACACAACCTTCTGGACGATGGTCCAGCAAGGGGGTATGAGCAATACAGATGCAGAGCAAGAACTTAAGGTACCAAGAATACGGTGATCCATTCCAATCAAGGAGAATGAATAGTATATTGACCTAAATCAGGGAACCGTGTCCGCCGACAAAAACGAGATCCTCTTCAAGCGCTTTGGCATCAACTACAATAACGAAGAAGAGATTTATAAGAAAGGAAGTGTGCTCTACCGCCAGGTAAGAATAAGAAATCCTCCGTATGCTACTCGGTCCGAATTTCTAATCTTCAACTTGCAGTATGAGCTCGAAGAACCCAAGCAGGCCCCAGCCTCCAAAGAAGACGAGGTCTCGCTTCCAGAGGCGCAACAGTCCCGCTCACAGCAGGACAAACTCAAGAAGCTGCGCCGAAAGGCGCAAGTCGTGGTTGATCACGTTGATATTATCAAGGATGATTTCTGGGAGAGACGGCCGTGGATCCTGTCCGGCAGACCTGGCAGATTGCCGGTGCAGAGCTAATCACCGTGAACGGAAGAAAAATAGCATAGCTAAAAAGATGGAGATGAAATGGAAAAAATGTCTTCTTTTTGGTTTCGTTATCTTCGCCAAACGAAAGGGGTATCTTGATCGCGAGAATCAATGGCGTATGCAAAATCTATGTATCCAATCCTGGGGCAATGCAAAAGACTATCTAGCACACCACTTGTACATTCAAGCGCGGGCGTATAGATTAAGCCGACTTGTCCTTCTTCTCTTTCTTCTCTTTTTTGGACTTCTTCGAGTCGGACTTCCGTTCCCCTTCGCTTTCCTTATTCTTGGACTTGGACTTTTTGCTCTCCTTCTTTTCCTTCTTCTCTTTGGTTGCGACAGGGGTATCATCTGACTCCGCGGCAGTCACTAGTCCATCATCACGATCCTCATCGGTCGACATCGGTGTAGGGTAATCCTCCTCGCTCGCAGAGCGCTTCGACTTCTTGGATTTCTTATCCTCCAATTTCCGTTCCTTCCGTTCCTTCTTCTCCTTCTTCCTCAACCGACGCTCCTCTTTACTCTCCTTGCGCTTCTCCGAGCCCGACGAATCACTCGAAGACACAACCGCAGACTCGGTAGTCTCCCCATCTTCCTTCAGCTTGCGACGTTTGCGCTTCTCCTCTTTCCGCACAGCCTTCTCCTCCTTTTTCGCCCGACGCTCATCCTCATCTTCAGAATCACGCTTCCTCTTCGATTTGGACTTGGACTTTTCTTTCGGCTCCTCTACCTTTCTCTGCTCGATGGTACCGACAAGACATTCACCGCGCACGAAGTGTCGATACAGTTCGCTCGTCAATGCATTATTTGAACTCGTCGAGGTGGATTTATCCTCGCCAAATCCCTTGAGCGCATCTTCGAATCCGCGCAACCACCACTGATTCGTGGGGTCTTTCGTTGTCTTCTTGCCCACGCCGTGGTTGTTCTGTTTGCGCGCGACGAGAATGGGCTTTGTAAGACCGAGGCCACCGTGTGGGCCCGGACGCTGGTTCGGGTTGAGGGGGTTTCCGGGGCCGGACCATCCGTGTCGGATGAGATAGGCTTGTGCGTCCATCGTGTTGGTGAGGGGACGAGCGACGTCTTGAGAGTGAAGTTTGGCGGGTAGAAGATGATAGGTAGGGACGAGGGTCTGTGTGGTATGGGAGACGGGCAGATGGAAACACCGCGAAGGAGCAGGGTTCGGATTGCTCGACTCGCTATCTCATAAAAAATCCCGGTGTGAGGTTATCGAAAGAGGGAATGCTAGGAAATGCGTTCCCTTTTGAGAAAAGGGCGAAAAGGTTGGCGGATAAGACCGAAAAAAAATTGGTTCCTGGGCGATAAGAGATTTCACGCCAGTTTCTTCAGGTTTGAGTGTTCATCACGTGACCTGTACAGATACAATGGCCATGTTGATACCTACACCCTCAAGATTCCAAAATTAAACAGCGAATTAGAGATAACTCCCTTATGACCTCTCGAGCCCCCATTCAAGACTTTTGAAAAGGCAATCAACGGCGAATGGCAAGCAATCGATGCAGTACTGATTTAGCACGAGGGGTCTTTGGTGGGATTTTGGGATCTCGTCTTCCAACCTCGAAAGGATATATCGTTTCTTTTTTGCATGTACATAATTGGATAGTCTCAAGATCTACCCGTTGGAAACGATAAAAGAAGAGCAAATAAAGAAAAACAATTCATGTTGCTATCTATTTTTATATCCCGCCAAAACTCCCACGGCTACACGATTCGAGCTGCAAGTACCCGCGACGTGTACCAGGACTAGTACGGTTTGAACCGGTCCTTTTGTTTCTTCTCCTTGGGCCGAGAAATCTTTCCAGAACCAGCCGGATTCGAAACTTCATCGTCGCTCCCATCGACCGGTTTCCACGCCCGCACAAAGCCGTCTTCGCCACAAGTAAAGACGGATTGACTCTGTAATAGACTCAGCATTAGTCACCCAAATAAATCCGCGATGCTAGACGCAAGTCTAGGCTCCAACAGTCAGCTGAGACATACCTGTTCATCCAAGTAGACCGATCGCACGACCTCGTCACCGTGGGCGCCGGGTAGACGCCAGAGATTGTCCCGGTCAAACTGCCATGTCGGGCTTGACACGAGCGGAATCAGATCCAAACGTTTCTCCCTGCAGAGTCCCCAAGGGGGACACATGATTAGTATTGAGACTATAGTAAGAACCTATTTCCATTAGAGCGAATGCACACATACATCTTGTTACCAGCGGCAATGTACGGCCCCTGTGCACCGAGGCACAATTGCACGACGTACTCGCAGCCTAGCGGCTCGCGCACGTCGTCGAAATGCACGGGCTCGGGTTCCTGTGCGGGATCATCGGGGTCGGTAGCCGGGTGTACGGAGAATTGTTCATCGTGGCTGAGTGCGTAGATGGTGCGCTCGGAGAGGAAACCTGCGTGGTGGACGGAGCCGTGGTTGATGACTTGCACAAGGGCATCATCTTCGTCCGTAATGGTGGTGTCATAGACGTTGACGAGACCGTCCGTGCTGCCGGATAGTAAGATGTTGCTGCGAGTCGGGTGATATTGAAGCTGTGTTACCAGGCCAGTGTCAGATTAGTTGAGATATTCATGGTATAGATAGGGTTGTGACATGTTTTGTGCTGTTGGGATGTCATATCCGATGTTCATGTGAGAAGGGAGTTGGGAAAGCTTTTTACCTCGGTGATATCGTCATTGTGGCTTTCTACATATTGAAGCCTTGGTGCCTGTGGAGATCTGATATCCCTGCATGAGGTTGTTAGCAGGGAGAAGTCTAATTTTCAAGGAGGATCGTTTCAATCATCTAATTATATTGAAGCCCGAGCCGAATTGGCGAGGCGAATCGCTTACCAAAATGCCACCACAGCCTGTGAAGAAAGGAGCTCCGTTCCCGCCACGATCGTGTTGGTCTCTGAGTTGCAAGCCACCGAAAGCACGGGGGCGTGTCTCGCTAGAAACACACAAGATGATCAGCCAATCGGTGTTTTGCAGATGAATAAAGACTCTAGGTGTCTGGAAAATTAGACAATAAAGACAGTCCAAAAACCTTCGACGCTATTCAAGCCGCCCAGCGATGCAGCATAGCCACTATCACAGCTGACTACCAAGTACGACAACACAACCGTAACATAGAGTACCGAAGACACCCCAAAGTAAGAATAACAATCAAATAACGATCGATCAGCGCTACTCACCCGTTTCAACCTCCAAAACTGCATTACCAGCCCTCACATCCCAAAGCTTCACCTTTCCCTCTCTCCCACCAGTCACCAAAAGCGGCGACTCGCCCGCGGCATAGCTCCGCAGCGAGGTCACACCAGCGTCGTGGGTCTTCGGGGAGATCACCGAGACGCGATCGAGACTAGCAGCGTCAAAGACGCGCAGCGAGTCATCCGAGCTAATAGCGGCAAAGCTGCCGGGTGCCGAGGCCGCAATCGTGTAGATGTAGTTCTCCGCCGGCAGCGACAGTGACGACGCGGCGGTTGCTTTCAATGTATGCATGGTGNGGGGGAAATGACCCTTGATCACGCGAAAGATCGCGGCTATCGCGATTGACTCCTTGCTTGCGATGGTCCTGTACGCTGTACAGAGTACAGGTTTATGGCCGTGCTTTGGTCTGAATGATGCCCTCGTGAACTGCGGGGAGCTTTCTTGACTGGTCACCTGTGGCTGATGGGGTGTGGGGATTTTTTTGTCTTTGGGTTCTCTTTTTCTCGGCTGCTAGCGAACGGGAGCTTGCAGCGGGAGTGAGTCTGTCGATCTTGAGAGGTTGATTGCTACTGGTTGATCTGGGAGCTGGCTTGTATTTTTGGTGTTTCTTGCGGCGGTTATCGTGAGGAACGCCGTATACTGGAGAGGAATTCGAAGCCAAGAAAAATTTCCCTTTTTGGTGACGTGGGGCTTTTTCCTTCCCGTGCTTTACTACAGGACCACAATACATGGGCATCTAATACCACCGAGTACACTGGACAGCTTCAGAAAAATACTGATATTGAGAAGTCAATCAGATACGTGTTCAAATTTGGGGCACGGTTTTATCGAGATGGTGCAATTCGACGAGTAGAATCAGAAGCACTAAAACCATCCATAATGAGGATCGCCACGTTGCATCTGCATCTAGGGGGATTAATTTGCACAAAAGCGATCGGTTGGATCTACAAAGCACACGAGTCATGTTGTTTTCAGATGGGTGACCAATGCATTTTCAAGCTAGGTCTGATCATCACAGCGTCCATGGGAGGGAAATGTGACGAGTCAGTAGCATGTCAAGCGAGCCGATCGGCAGAGCAGACCCCCCAGAGGAGGCTGAGATATTTCCCTGTGGCCAACAAACAGTGGTGATTGGAGGGGACGGTGGTCGCAGGTTAGTACAGCATCGAGCAGAATCCGCTCGGACTACGATACGCAATGCTACTCCAGAGTACCGTACAGTGTACACCGCTGCAAGGGAGGCAGGCCCCCAAGTCCACCAAAACAAAAAGTGGTCCGTGTGACGGGGAGGCAAGTCATGACGAGGGGGAGCTCCGAGGACGATCCGCTAATCAGAAGAGGGCAATCGGGTTTGGCGCGTCTCCTTGGCCGTGAAGGCTGCGACTTTGGGCTCGTTAGGGGGGTGTGATTCGAGGGGCGGGGAGGAGGATGTGGGCCTTGGGCTCGTTCATCGGCAGAGATGGGGAGATTGGGGATGTACCGTGTGTACTCCCAAACCAGAGGGTCGGAATCTTAGCGAAGGCGATTGATGTGATGAAGCGGGCCTGGGTGAAAATTCGGAGGCTGACGCAAGAGCGTTTGATAAATCTGATCATTTAGCTTTGCACCCGTATAGGGAGTCGAGTAAAGGGGAAATTTCCAGTCCGGCCAGGGACCGCGTCCATGGAAAAGTTAATACCAGGGAAGAGGTCGACAAAAGTTGATACATAAGAATGATAAGCAGCACCGCCCGATCGTCGCAGCGCAGTCATCAATGCGATGGATTTTTTAAGGGCCCAATTGCAGCGGGCCGGGGCGTACCAGGGACCTGGTAAGAGGGAAAAGGACAGTCATCAGCAGGAGAAAAGGGTCACTCAAAGCGCGTTGGGAACGAACTAGGATGCCTGCCTGTCCACCAGTCCCGGGGTCAGCCCATGCTGATTCGCAGCGTCGCATCGACCGATCCCAGGGCTGTGGGAGCAACGAGGGTTGGATTGGGCTCTTGGGGGGAGCAGGGATGTGCACTGAGGAAATCGCCTTAGGGAGTGGAGTATGGCTGTCTGATTGACCGTACGTGGTCAGAGGTCGTTACCATAGATAACCCGCGTTGCTGGTGTTGCTGACTGACAGCCTTGCCTATTGTTGAAACGAGCCTCTCGGACTCCCCGATGAGCCCCAAGTAAACAAGTCAACACGACCATGGAACGGGCCCAAAGTCTGAGGAGAACAAACAAAGAATTGGAATCTGAGGGGAAAGAAGAGTGTCGACCAGGCGCGAGATGACTGGGCGCCACGTTGGAAAGCTTCTCGGCGGACCCATTCCACTGGTTTGAGTCTCTGCTGGCGACCTTTTCAGACAGCTTCCAGTCGATCAGTGCTCCTGCTCGTTCATCGTATTCCTCATTTTCCGACGGTTCGGTCTTGAATCATGAGTCGGCTCTTGACTGGGTGGAAATGACAGGACCAGAATCGAGGCCCAGACGGTCCGCAGTCCCGCGCGGGCGCCGGTGGAGACCTTTTGGTCGATCCCGGGTTGGCGCCGGGCCCAAGCCCAGAAGGGATTAATCATTCCAGGCAAATGAGGATTTCATTGGCGGAGGAGCAGATCGGAGGGGGTGACGATGCCCGACAAGGAAGGAGTCGAGGTTTGTCCCAGGGAGGGGAGAGAAACTCAGTTGACCAACCGGTAAACTTCCACGCCTCCACCTCGCTCAACTGCTCAACTTTAAGGGCGCATGGACCAGAAAGCTGATGATGAGAAGGGCTGGGTTATGCGCCAGGAAAAGATGCGGTCCAGTTTGTAGGGGACCCGAGGCTCCGGATCAACCTTCAGCAGGTCTGATGCCGGTCTTTTTGAGTTCGCTGGGATCCGACGAGTCGACGTACAGAACGGAAGATGAGGACTCGCCCAAAAGAACTACTCCGTATAAGGCCAAACTAGTAAAACTAAAACATTTAATTGTACAGTACTCCGTTTACTCCGTCGCAGGTGGGACAATACCTACAAAATCATTCGCGGTCTTTCCTGCTGCTCTCTATGCCCGATCAGCCGTTAGTGTCAGCCTCGACTATCCCCGTCCTCTGTGCATTTCCTTTCTCTCTTCTTTCATATTCACTTCTCCAACTCCCACACACACACACACGTCCCTCTCTACTCTCGCTTCTTCTCCGACGCCTACACAACCTTAAAAAACAATCGGGTCGCGTTCTCGTCCGTGGTTCTCACACTCGCACTCCAGCCCTCTCCTCTCCTCTCCTGGATCATCCTTGGGTTGCTTCAGGTTTGGTCTTTGAGTGGTGACGATATTTCCCATCTCTTGCCCATTCATTCCCGCAAGGCACGCCTCCTCGGAGATCCTGGACTGTCGGCTTTTGTGGAGTGTTGACCCGCCCTCAGCCCGGCGCTGCCAACAGTCTTCCCCCTCCTCCCCTTCCCCCCAAAAAAAACCACTCCACTTGGTTCGCTTGGTGCGCTTGGCCTTCGGATCATTTCGTACTTTGGCATCGACGACCCTTGCGTGCTGTCTTTGCCTTTTTGCACAACGTGCTGCCTCGCCGATTTCCTTTCATGTGGTGTGGTGGCTGGGACATGCAGTTCCATTGATGTTCTGTCTCTGCGCCCCGCTTGTGTTGTCCGATCATTGATCGTAGCTAACCCCCATCCCTCCGTCGGCCTCGGTCCCGACGTATACGAAACAAATCGCTCGCCCGACCAATTCCACATCCACCCCCTGACTCCTCTTGAATTCGACTTCCGCCATCACCAATTGCCCCAAATGTTGACCGACGAACAGTCCGGTCGAAATCGGCTACCGCCGATGTTGACCTCTCCTCCACCGCCGAAACGACACAAGTCCGAATCAACCCCGGCGAGTGAGGCCGGTCGCTCCTCGAGATACTACCATTCCGGATCGGTGCCTTCGAGCGAACGGTATCACTCGTCCTCGATTCCTGCCAGTGGCCGTTATAACTCCTCGTCAATTCCACCCAGTGAGCGCTATCAATCAGCATCGATTCCGGCCAGTGATCGGTACTGTTCCTCGGTCCCGACCAGTGAACGAGCTCGGTCGCGCCAGACCTCGACGGCCATGGACATCTACATGATTACGGACCGGAACCCTTCAGATCAGGATGGCGATCGAAGAGTTGGCCGATTTCTCAGCAATGGTTCGGTCGCATCACAAGCATCCCAGGCTTCCCATGCCTCTGGCTCGTCACCACCTATAATTGTCTCCAATCGCAAGTACGTTACCCTTGCGAAGAGCGCCCATTGCGCCCACAGCGCAGCTGTGCTTGCTCGGTCGCCAATTCGAGCGTCTCGGGATCGTTAAGCTGACAACCTCATTCTGACTGTACAGAATTCCCGAAAAGTACCCTCCGTACAAAGAAAATAATCGCATGTATCATTCCTACCGGAAAGGCACTTATATGCTACCCTGCGATGACGAAGAACAAGACCGCCTCGATATTTTCCATAAGCTCTTTACGGTGGCCCGTGTATCAGATGGCTTAATTTACGCACCACATCCGAAGAACTCGCGGATCCTGGATCTGGGCTGTGGGACTGGTATCTGGAGCATTGAAGTTGCCAACAAATACCCCGACTCGTTCGTGGTCGGCGTCGATCTCGCCCCGATCCAACCACAAAATCACCCCAAAAACTGCGACTTCTACGCTCCGTTCGACTTTGAAAGTCCATGGGCTCTGGGCGAGGATTCGTGGGATCTGATTCATATGCAGATGGGAAGCGGTAGCGTCGCCAGCTGGCCCAGTCTATACAGGCGGGTATTCTCACACCTTCGCCCCGGTGCATGGTTCGAACAAGTCGAAATTGATTTCGAGCCGCGCTGCGACGATCGATCACTAAGTAATCTCGCCCTTCGTCATTGGTATACCGCCTTGAAGCGCGCCACGGAATCAACGATGCGCCCTCTAGCCCATAGCTCTCGCGAGACGATCCGGAATCTGCAAGAAGCCGGGTTTACGGAAATCGATCACCAAATGGTGGTACTACCCTTGAATCCTTGGCACGACGACGAGCACGAGCGCAAAGTTGCCAGCTGGTACAACCTGGCCATCTCGGAGAGTGTTGAAACCCTGAGTCTCGCTCCTTTCAGCCGAGTGTACGGTTGGTCCATTGAAAAGATAAAACGGCTCGCGACGGACGTGAAGACCGAGGCGTTCAATAAAGATCTGCGCTGTTACAACATCCTGCATATTTACCAGGCTCGCAAGCCACTCGCCAACTAGAGCGTTTTTCTCTACCGATGACTTATGCGCGAATGTGATTGTCCCCCGTAAGAACTGTGGGTGGTCTACTTGTTTGCCATGATGAGGACTTGCTTATCTATCTCTCTTCGATTTTCTTCCCGTTGCATAATTTTGCATCATGTGGCGTATGGGTTTGTGTCGGTGTTTTCTTCATTATTTGGGGTTTTCATTTTATTCCGGCTTGCGTGGTATATACCCGGGTGTCTCACCTAAGCTAATGGTTGAGTTTGCTATGTCTGACGATACGACAATGTGAGTCTTCGTGACTTGGTCAAGTCTCTGTGCTTTCTGTAGAGTTGTAAAATGACAATGGGTCTTCGTGGTTCCATGTCCGGAGCCTGTTAAATGGTCCATTGACTGGTGTGGTGACAATAACAAATCCTCCGTTGGACTCTTATCCTGTAACACCCTCCTCCACTCCCACGGCTTGTGGGCTTTTGTCCAAACATTGTAATTTTTTCCGCATGATCAGCCCGTGGGAACAGAGACCACAATCTCTCGGTAGTACCTGGTAGCGACTTGACCTCCATACGTTGTCTTAGGAAGGAAAGAGTCTCGTGGCCGATGCATTGTCTTCGTTTTCCGATAGACATGCGGGATGGCAATTTGTCCCCTCCTTTGAACCCTTTATTAATACACCGATATGGTCTTACCGGCTTTTCCTTGGGCAGACTCTACTTGCCCCCATTGATCCCATTCGAGGTGGTCAATTGTTGTGGACCCATCGCATGTGTTTAGAAATGGGGCTGGAGCACAGAGTCCGTCGACAGCTCACTACCCACATATATATCTCCACCCCAATGAGTTCCTGAAAAGCAAACCAGACAACCATAGGTCCTGGCGACCGAGAGATTTCCGAAGCATAACCGAGCGGTATATATCCCGTACATTGAACTGCCGAAATGACTGGAGTTTCATGTTGAGAACCTTAGGTTCGGTCTCGGTGGCTGGGAAAAAAAAGGGTAGACAGTCTGTCAAGTATATCTAGCCTCGTATCAACGTCCGCAGCAAAGCAAAGCAGACCGTCTGGAAATTGAAAAACAAAGCCATATCAACAATTCTTAACAGCCGAAATGGTGAAATACCGAGCCCCTTTAAGTGGTCCGGAGTTTCCTGCTCGAAGAGGATCCGAGAGATGGCCGAGAAATAGCGGGAGGCTTCATCATGTAGACCTTAACCATGAACGTTTCATGCCACAAGATAGATTGGATGAATCTAGGAAATTATGAACTGACCGAGCATGCAACTTAGTCTGAGACAAACTCAGCAAATTATAATGGTCGCGATAGCAGATCGTAGCCTACCACCAGAGATGGCTCTGGATCAGATACCACGGACTGATTAGGCGATTATCAAGTTCGTATTGATCATCAATGTACGCTGAGATCTCAGTGAAGAACGAAGTCATGTCCATAATTTTAGCCAGACGTTGTTCTTTGAGAACAATAAAATACAATTTGCAAAGTGTATGTCATGTACACGCGCCAAAAAGATTTCTTCGAACCATCAAAAAAAGGGCCTAGCCGGGAATCGAACCCGGTTCACGCACATGCTGAGAATTTTTAATTCTCGGATCAATGATAACCCGAAGCACGTATAATACCAGTATACGACCAGGCCTTTTCTTGTGCGTAAAATACATAAATAAAAGGATATATACTGTGAGCGCAAAGGTCGGAAAAAGATCGGACCATCCACGGTCACCCTTGAGTATACAATCAGAGGATACAATTCTGGTACATGGCATCAGTAATTTAGAATAATCCTAGACTAAAATGAACTCAAGTATTGTTGTCACAACACTTAGTGTAGTCTCATCGAGTGCGAAATGAAACATTTGCGCGATCGTAACTGGTATCTGAGTTCATATTTTGCCAGCCCGCATCGTGTACACGTGGAGTTGGTAACTAGAGCAAACACAGCAGAAGGATATATATGGTATTTTCTATTGTCTCGAAGCAACAAGCCGTGACATTGTAAGCCATACTGGTCGTGCTGAGTACACAGAAGCATGTGGCTTTGGTGGTTCCATGCCATAAAGTGCCACAGGGCCCCTACTTCCGGTCTCCAACCACGTTTTGAAGGCCAAAACACAGGTTTCGCATAGGAGATTCTACTTCCAACGCCGTAGGGTAGGCACGGGCTAATTCAATGCCTTTTGGATATAAGCATACTCCTCTGTTGGCACCTGATGGGCCAATCTACTCGTGCCTGTCAATGCTTTCGGTGACAGGCATTAGATTAAGCTCGGCGTTAGTGGGTACCAAGCCGTGGCCATCCAATATAGTAGATAGTTCTGTTAACATTCGGCAAACACGAATCGATGCATCGATTATTCAATACGTGAGATCACGCATCTGACTCTGGCAGGTGCAGATCATATACTTTCACCAATTAGCATCCTGGATCGGCCACATTAGTTCCAAACGCGAAGATTAAGAGAAACTCTCGTGCGACTTCTTTGGACAATAGAGAGATCATTCACGTCTGAATTATAGATTCATGTTAAAGTTGCAAACTCATTCAAGTAAGGAGGGTTTGGGTCTCTGTATGAAGCCTTCTCAAGACAGAGACGCGCCAGGATTTCTTATGAGACATTTGAAGTGACACATGATATTATGATTCAACATACATGAGCTCAATGTAAAAGATATGATGAAGATCCCATAAAAAGACATGAATGACCCGCAATTAAGCCAGACAGTCTAGAAAGATAAGTTTAGGAAGGCTCATGGATGGCGGGGCGGATATAAGAGGGAGGAGACGATCCGAAAATGGAAGGAGCGAGGCAGGACAAGGCAGCGGTTGTTTCCATTTCGTGATCATCAACACATTTTCACTTTTTGCCTTCCCCCGGCCCAAAGGTAGCCCATCCCCTCCTCGGGCTCTTCGCTGTCTCTTCTTTATTAAGAAAAGCAACCATGAGCAACGCTCCGGGTACTGGCTCTTTCTTTATCCGGGTAGTGGATTGTGGAAATCATGGCCGCAGTGGCGGTGGTCGAGATGGTCGTGATGGCCGCGATGGCCATGGTGGACGTCGTGGTGGATGTCGCATCAACCGTATTGTGAGTGTCTTTCGTATTCATCCAGAAAAACCTCATGAACCAGAGCTAATGAATGCCCCAGTATCGTCCCTGCGGCGGGTGCCTGGGACGCGGGCAGCGTGAGTGTCTCCTTGTTACGCTATGATCCATGGACTTTCCTAATCAGCGAGAATCAGACCACCGACACGACTGCCCTCGAAACCGCCAGCGCGGGGGGTTGCGAAGCAATGGTGGTCAAGATGTAAGACAAAGGCTCAACAACGTCCACACTGTGAGCCTTTCGAGTCCCCATGTTGCCGGGACCAAGTTTGATTGATAGATAGCAGCCCGGCCAGGTCGTGTTCTCCTACCTCTTCGGCCCTTCTCGTCAGGGAAACCTGGTGTGGCACGCTCCTCGAAACAACCACACAATCCACCTCGCAACCATGCAAATCCAGCTGCAGCTTCAGTCGCAGCAGCTGATGCAACAGCAGCTATCATTGCAAATCCAACTGCAGCAAAATCTGCTCATGCAGCAGCGAGTGTTGGAACAACAGCAGCAGAGACCAGCCCGCCCAGTGTTGCAGCTACAAAACGGTGCCACTCAGGAAGGCCACCAGCAAGACCACCAGCAAGACCACCAGCAAGACCACCAGCAAGACCACCAGCAAGACCATCAGGAGGACCAGATAGACGACAATGTGGATTTTGCCTGAGGGCGTGGAGGGTGATTCGGTGTGAATCGAAACGGGAGTGTAGGACGAGGACTGTAGAGTAAGGGAAGAAACAGCCTCTCCTGATCATGGATTATTGTTATTTATTTTTGTGGGGTTGTTTCGAGGATCTGACAAGGGGACATGACTTAATAATAAAGGCATACTGTCCGATCATTAGTACTTGCTGTACCATCAGGGAAAATCTCCTGTAGTCTGGTTAGATGCTACAAACTTTCAGAGACAATGTCACTGTAGAATAGGGATCCCAATTCATAGAAAGTTCAAGACAGTCAAAGACCTCGTTTGAATGTGTCATCGGCGAAACATCGCCGCATCATGGAAAGTAACATTGCAGTAAGAATAAGCCTACCGAAACGCCGTTCCAAACCCATGCCTTTCAAACACCAACCATATGCAATGATGTCCAGTCTGTGCAATACTAGACCAATGACCCAACAGAAAAATAGAACAATCAAATCACTCTTTTATCGTCGGCGACTCCTGCCTGCGCCACGCGCGACACTATTGGCACCAGACTTGGAGTCCTTATCGGCATCTCCATCACCGGGAGTACGGCGGCGCATCGTACCGGGACCAACCGCGATAATATCCTCGCCGCTTTCGCTGTCCGAGATATCCAGAAGGACTGGCATACTGAAGACACCAGCCTGTTCTGCGTCGATGGAGTTCTGGGCGCGATCCAGAGTGATCACGTCCGGTTCCTCATCCTCGAGATCGAGTCGGCGTTGATGCACTTGTTCGGCAGGGTGCACGTCGAACTCGTCTTCGCGCTCCACGTACTCCACGTTCTCCTCGACTTCGCCAAAATCTGGAGCTAGGGCGGACCATTTTTGCGGGCTGATGATCGACCATGTATATATACAACCGGACTCCAGACCACAAGCAACCACCATAGGGCGCGAGGGGTGCCATTCGACCACGCCGAGCTCCTCGCGTGGACCCTCGAGGATCTTGACGAGAGAGCCGTGGCTACGTTCCCAGACATAGATATCTGGGTTCATAAATGTAGTTGCAGTGACGAATTCGCCGGTTGATGAGAAGGTGACGTGATTCCAGCTTAACCTGTTAACGACGTCTTGGAATTTGTGCTCCACTTGTAGTTTAATGGCGGAGGGCTCAAAGTCAATACCCAATTGGGAGAGGTCAGGCATGAGGATGGTGCGAATGACACGGTCTGAGCTGTTGACAAGTAGGTCACGTCCGTTGTTGGCAAGACGGGCGAGGATGACGACTCCATTGCAGAGACGCATGGAATGGATTGTCGTGCATGTTTCCGTCTCAATGATGTTGATCCAGCCCTTGGAGGTGCCTGCAATGATGTGATTGCCAAATGCTGTAAATATGGTGACGCATGTCGAATGCTTTGCATCTTGCGCAGCTTGTTTGGCGGCGACGGCGGGGTCAACTTCCTCACCGTTTGTAGGCTGAGGACGGAGGGGTGCGGAGGGGAGAATTCGCTTGATTGGTTTCGATGAGGATATGTCGACGAGAACGGGTTGGTCTTCGAATAACGAGGCCACGAAAAGGAGGCTAGATAGAACATAAAAGCCGTGGTTAGTACTCAGGCATGCCTGGAGAAAATTGGACGAAGTTCAAGACCATACTGGTTGAATGGGTGTAGCTCCGCAATGTAGACTGGTGCTTCGAATCTGACCGTGCGCACACGGGAGCCATCTTTCAAGTCCCACAATATACACTTCCAATCTTGCGAGGAGGTAAGCAGGTACCGGCCATCTCGAGACCAACTTTGTGAAAAGGAACAATTAGTCTCGTGTTTGCTTGCGGGAGGAGATGGCATGTCTGGCATACCTAAGAGACTGGATCTGCCGAGTATGACCCTGGAGCTTGCGCGCAACACCGTTCGTCTCGATGTCAAAGATCACAACGGTACCGTCCACCTGATTTGCAATAGTCAGCTTCCACAGCCCCTTATGCGATTTGTATATGCGATTCTGCCGAGGTGTCACGAACTCGCCCGGATGCTAGGTAGTCGCCAGTGTGGTTGAATCGTAGACATGTCGCATGGCCACTCCCTTAATGCCAATTAGAACAGGTGACAACATTTCCAAGTAGCCAATAAACCACATACGCAATTTCTCTGTCAAGGTATCCGGATAGTCCTGCGCCAGGACGAACGGATCAACAAGCGACAAATTCATGACGGCGGCTTAGGGCAATGTCGAATTGATCGCCGGGATTTTCAATTACCTAGGCCTGAAAGGAAGGCCTGGAAGATGGTGACTTGGACATCAAGCGCGTAGTAGGGTCCACTGCACACGAATTCGAGGTCGGCGGGAGCCAACAATGACGGGCAATTGGTTTCCAGCGCATCTGCCGCCATATCGAGATTCGCGACGAACGGAGTAGAATCAAAGGCGGTAAGCTATCGGGGTATAGTGCACCCGCTGTGCTGCCTGATTCTCAAGGTCTGGAGCCTGCAGTGGTGTTCTGCCACGATTTACCGCCCGGAATACGGCACGCTATAGAGGCCCTCCGGCGCGCTAAGTGAGCAGAGGGAAAACTCGAGCCCCATCAACGGGTGAGGCAACCTTCACCAACTCCCTTTCAACCTCCCCGACACGCTCTCCCCATCACCTCCCCATCCAAGAATATCGCGTTCTCCATCGTGATATTTCTTCCAGAGACTCTCTACACGCGATAATCAGCGACACTTGCCTTCTCTCTCTCCTTTCAAGGGCTTCGTGACGTCCGGGGATTCTAGGTCGCCGGCGCCCTCGTGGCAAGGGCTGCCAAAGGCCTCAGCCGGCCAGTTGCTTCAACACCACCTTCGTTTCATCGTCGCTTCGTGTGATTTTGACGCTCGATCGTCTACTCAGCCTGTCTCTTCAGTTTTTGCGACTTAACGACCCCCAGATCTTTCGTTTTTCCCAGGTCCACGCTCAAGCCTCTTTCCCTCCCCCGTCCCGTACCGACTCCCATAAAACGACAAGCTTTTTGCGCATCAAGCCCCCGCCACCATGTCGAACGTTCACTTCCCTTATTCCAAGGCGCCTTTGCGCACCATCAAGGAGATTCAGTTTGGTCTCTTCGCCCCCGAAGAGATCAAGCGCATGAGTGTAGTCCATGTTGAATATCCTGAGACGATGGTATGTGCCCACCTCACCCCTGGGGTTTTCAGTAACTCATCACGTAAAATCTTGCGGCTGAGATGGCTAATCTCTCTCACTCGACATAGGATGAGCAACGTGCGCGGCCTCGAACCAAGGGTGTCAATGACCCCCGACTCGGCACCATCGACCGTCAGTGGAACTGCGAAACTTGTGAAGAGGGACCCAAAGAGTGCCCTGGACACTTTGGTCATATCGAATTGGCCTCTCCAGTCTTTCATATTGGTGAGTGCTTCACGGCCCGTGTGATCGCATTAGGAGTTTGCGATAGACCTTTATCTACCATCGATCGTTACTGACATTCTCTTTCTTTGAAAAGGTTTCGTGACCAAGATCAAGAAACTTCTGGAGACAGTGTGCCACAACTGTGGAAAGATCAAAGTTGGAGCGGTTAGTCATCCCTCATGGGATGGCAAATCTTCTGACCTTTTCGTGCTGACATTCTTGACTTCAGGATAACCCCAAGTTCTTGGAGGCCATCCGCATACGAGACCCGAAACGACGCTTCGATGCGATCTGGCGCGCTTCCAAGGATATCAACATTTGCGAGACCGATCCGTCCCCCGATGATGATGAACCCCAGAAGGAGGGCAAGAAGCGCTACTTCCATGGCGGTTGTGGTAACGCCCAGCCCACTGTTCGTAAGGAAGGTATCACTCTTGTGGGCACCTGGAAGCCCAGCAAGAGTATGATGGAAGACGACATAACTGCACAGCCCGAGAAAAAGGTTATCACTCCTGCGATTGCCTTGAATATCTTCCGCAACATCTCCCATGAAGACGTTCGAATCATGGGTCTGAGCAACGACTATGCTCGCCCCGAATGGATGATCCTTACTGTTCTCCCCGTCCCGCCTCCAACTGTCCGCCCCAGTGTTTTGATGGGAGCTACCAGCGGCTCCCGGGGTGAGGATGATTTGACTTACAAGTTGGCTGAAATCGTGCGCGCCAACCAGAATGTTCAGCGTTGTGAGCAAGAAGGTGCGCCAGAGCACGTCATCCGTGAGTTCGAGTCACTACTGCAATATCACATTGCCACATACATGGACAACGATATTGCGGGTCAGCCCAAGGCTATGCAGAAAGGAAATCGTCCAGTCAAGGCTCTGCGAAGCCGTCTGAAGGGTAAGGAGGGTCGCTTGCGTCAGAACTTGATGGGCAAGCGTGTCGACTTCTCAGCCCGTACTGTCATCACAGGTGATCCAAACCTGTCTCTCGACGAAGTCGGTGTGCCATTTTCGACGGCTAAGATCTTGACTTACCCCGAGGTCGTTACTCCGTACAACATCGAGAAGCTGCAACGGCTGGTCTCTAATGGACCTAACGTGCACCCTGGTGCTCGGTACATTGTTCGAGACACTGGCGAGCGAATTGATCTTCGCCACGCCAAGCGTGCTGGCAACCAGCAACTCTTGTACGGCTGGAAGGTCGAACGCCATCTTGACAACGGCGATGTGATTCTTTTCAACCGACAGCCTTCTCTGCACAAGGAGAGTATGATGGGTCACCGTGTCCGCGTCATGCCCTTCTCGACTTTCCGCTTGAACTTGTCGGTCACAACGCCTTACAACGCCGATTTCGACGGAGACGAAATGAATTTGCACGTTCCTCAGAGCGAGGAATCACGCGCAGAACTGGCTGAGCTTGCCCTAGTCCCTAAGAACATTGTGTCTCCTCAGCGTAACGGCCCTCTTATGGGTATTGTGCAGGACACTCTGTGTGGTATCTACAAGATTTGCCGCCGTGATATCTTCCTCACTAAGGATCAAGTCATGAACCTCATGCTTTGGGTTCCTGACTGGGATGGTGTCATTCCTCCTCCTGCAATTATGAAGCCTCGTCCCCGCTGGACCGGCAAACAGATGATCAGCATGGCTTTCCCCTCTGGTCTTAACCTTGTCCGTGTTGACAAGGATAGTGCGCCGCTCTCCGAGAAGTTCAGCCCTCTCAATGATGGTGGCCTGCTTATTCAAGGTGGACAATTGATGTATGGTATGCTTTCCAAGAAGACCGTCGGTGCCAGTGGCGGTGGTGTCATTCACACCATCTTCAACGAGTATGGATGTGACACCGCAGTCAATTTCTTCAATGGTGCCCAAACCATCGTCAACTATTGGCTGCTGCATCATGGTTTCAGTATCGGTATCGGTGATACGATTCCCGATCGGAAGACCATCGAGAAGATTGAGGAAGCCGTCCGGGAGCGAAAGCAGGAGGTTCAGGAGATTACCGCCAGTGCTACAGATAACACCCTCGAAGCGCTGCCCGGTATGAATGTCCGTGAAACTTTCGAGAGCAAGGTCTCTCGCGCTCTGAACAACGCTCGTGACGAGGCAGGTGCTGCCACTGAGAAGGGTCTGAAGGATCTGAACAACGCTATCCAGATGGCCCGCTCTGGTTCTAAGGGTTCGACCATCAATATTTCCCAAATGACTGCTGTTGTGGGTCAGCAATCCGTCGAGGGCAAGCGCATTCCTTTCGGATTTGCGTACCGCACATTACCTCACTTCACCAAGGATGACTACTCCCCTGAATCCCGTGGCTTTGTCGAGAACTCGTATCTGCGTGGTCTGACTGCCACTGAGTTCTTCTTCCATGCCATGGCTGGTCGTGAAGGTTTGATCGATACCGCTGTCAAGACTGCCGAAACTGGTTACATCCAACGTAAGCTGGTCAAAGCCCTGGAAGAAGTTATGGTCAAGTACGACGGTACTGTCCGTAACTCTCTTGGCGATATCATCCAGTTCATTTATGGAGAAGATGGCTTGGATGGTGTTCACATTGAGAACCAACCCGTTGACATTATTCGATGCTCCGACGAGAAGATGCGTCAGCGCTTCCGCGTTGATGTTATGGATAGTGAGATGTCTCTTGGTCCCGAGGTCCTGGAGCAGGCCAACGAGATCGCCGGTGACATCGAGGTCCAGCGCTACTTTGACGAGGAGTGGGAGGCCCTGCTCGAGTCTCGCGCATTCCTCCGTACTGTGGCCAAGGAGGATGAGGAGATGATGCAGCTCCCTATCAACGTGCGCAGAATCTTGGAGATGGCCCGGTCGACCTTCCGCATTCGCGAGGGTACCATCAGTGATCTGCACCCTGCCGAGGTTATCCCTCAAGTACAGGCTCTGCTTGACCGCCTGGTTGTCGTTCGTGGCGACGATCCTATCTCCAAGGAAGCTGATTACAACTCGACCCTACTGTTTAAGGCGCAGCTTCGCTCTCGACTCGCCTTCAAACGGTTGGTCACGGAGTACTCGCTCAACAAACTTGCGTTCCAGCACGTTCTCGGCGCCATTGAGAACCGTTTCGCTCGTGCTGCGGCTAATCCCGGTGAGATGGTCGGTGTCCTCGCAGCACAGAGTATTGGAGAGCCCGCTACCCAGATGACACTCAACACCTTCCACTTTGCTGGTGTGTCGTCCAAGAACGTTACACTGGGTGTGCCTCGTCTGAAGGAAATTCTCAACGTGGCAACCAACATTAAGACTCCGTCCATGACCGTCTACCAGGAAGGTGACAACACCTACCAAAAGGAGGGTGCCAAGCAGTTGCGAAGTCTCGTCGAGCATACAAGCTTGCGATCCGTCACCGAGGCCACCGAGATCTACTACGACCCGGACATTCAGTCTACTGTCATTGAGAATGATCGTGACATGGTCGAGTCCTACTTCATCATTCCCGAGGATGTCGAAGGAGATCTGGCCAACCAATCGAAGTGGCTGCTTCGCATTGTCCTCAGCAGACCCAAGCTACTTGATAAGGGACTTACTGTCCAGGACGTTGCCGAGAAGATTAAGAAGGCCTACAAGGACGACATTGCTGTCATTTTCAGTGACAACAACGCCGACGAACAGGTCATCCGTATTCGTCAAGTCCAGTCCCACAAGGATGATGATGACGATGACGACGTTGAGTACGACGTGACTCTCAAGAAGCTTGAACAACATCTGCTTGACACGCTTACTCTTCGTGGTGTCCCTGGCGTGGAGCGCGCTTTCATCAACGAGAGAAGCAAGGTTCGCGTCACGGAGGATGGTGCTCTACTCATGAGCAAGACTGACCCTCTTTGCAAGGACTGGGTTCTTGAGACCAGTGGCTCTCATCTTGCTCCAGTTCTCGCCATTCCTGGCGTTGACGCCACTCGTACCTACTCTAACCAGTTCATCGAAATCTTTGAGGTCTTTGGAATCGAGGCTGCCCGCACTGCTGTGCTTCGTGAGTTGACCCAAGTGCTGGCTTTCGACGGCTCCTATGTCAATCATCGTCACTTGGCCCTCCTGGTCGACGTGATGACTGTTCGGGGATACCTGACTCCTGTTACTCGCCATGGTATCAACCGTGCCGACAATGGTGCTCTCATGCGTTGTTCGTTCGAGGAAACAGTCGAGATTTTGTTGGAGGCTGCTGCTTTCGGCGAGCTCGATGACTGCCGCGGCGTGTCGGAGAATCTGATCCTTGGACAGATGGCCCCCGCTGGAACGGGAGAGTTTGACGTTTACCTGGATCAGAACTTGCTTAACACGGTCGTTTCGAACAATGCCCGCTTCGCCCTCATGGGCGGAGTTGGGGCAAAGGACGCGATTATCTCTGATGGTGCAGCCACCCAGTACGATAGTGGCTCGCCCATGGCCAGCACTCATTACATGGTCGACTCGGATCCCGACTCAAGCTTCTCGCCTATCCGACAAGGTGGTGCCGAGTCACCCGGCGGCCTTTCCAAGTACCAGCCGCCGGATGGCTTCGGTGCATTTAGTCCCGGTCCCCGTAGCCCTGGCCAGGTCTACTCCCCAACCAGCCCCTTCAATACCAGCATGGCCTCTCCAAGCTGGTCGCCATCCTCGACTGCTTATTCTCCCACGTCTCCTGGTATTAGCAGCCCTGGTTTCACCTCTCCTCGCATGTCGCCTACGTCGCCATCGAGCCCACAGTTCGTGATCACATCTCCGGCCTACTCGCCTTCGTCGCCTGCTGGGGCGTCTCCATCGTACTCCCCTACCTCGCCGACGTACAGCCCATCGTCACCCAACTTCAGCCCGGCCTCACCAGCCTTTAGTCTGACATCTCCCGAGTACAGCCCTACTAGCCCTGCGCTCGGTGGCGGCCGGCACTTGTCTCCCACCTCGCCTGCCTCTCCAACCTCTCCCAAGTGGAGTCCCACTTCTCCTTCTTGGTCTCCCCCGCAACCCGAGGCATACTCGCCGACGTCCCCCAAATTCTCTGGCTCTCCGACATCGCCCGCGGCTGCCTACAGCCCGAGCTCGCCGGAATTCCATAGCCCGACGTGAGTTCATCCTGTTAGCTACTGCAAGAACACCATGACTAACGTGTCATCAATAGGTCTCCGCGCCAGAAGTGAGGACAGACACGGCTCGCCTAGCTTCGGTTCCTGCTGTACCACTGTATTATCAACAAAACATTCCGATAAACCACAAAAAAGAGTTATTTCGCACCTGACAACTCGGAAACGGATGTTTCATCTTTTTCTGCTTTGCGATCTGGGTGACCCCCTCGTTGCCTATTCGACTGTATCTGTTTTCTTAGCAATGCTGGTGAGCCCTTCGCTGGGCTTTCTTATTTTCATCCTTTTTCTTCTTTCCTCCTTCCCTACGATGCCCCAGCTCCTGCTGTCATTGCCGTTTCCGAAATTGAGAACGACTTTGTTGCCCCCTTTTCGCAGGTGGCTATGGGATGTGTTCCCTGGCGTCTCTCGAATGGAGCCTAGGTCTTAGCTGATCTCGGGCACCGTCCTTCGAGAAGGCTACACGGCTTTCGAGCCCATGATGTTGAACGCGCCCTGGCCGCCCAAATGTTTTTCCTTTCTCTTTTTGCATGAAGAGCGCACTGGGGGTTCTGTATTTGATTTGATTTTCTCCCGTGCTGTACACAGACTCTAGGGAGCTGAATAAAAAGAATTTAATGATTAGCTACCTATCTGGAGATTGTGTAAAATTATGCAACGACTTTAAGAATTGTAGAAACAACAATCTCTCGAGCTGCTGATGCCACTTTCGTCTGTCTTAGCATGGTTCTATGTACAGTATTTAGCTGTATGGCTGTTATAACCAGCAAGGCGGTGATTCGCTATCGGCAGAATGAAGCTCCGCGGTTTAGCCAAGTGGCCCGTTGGAACTACATGACGAGCGCCATGCTCCAACTGTCTCACACCCTCTTGTTTCCAACCCCCAACGGAGTCGCAATGCGATTCTCTCACTCTCTGAACTCTCATATATCACAGGCATCATGAGGACGCCGTTGATTTCCTTCCTGCCGGCCTTGCGTGAGCTCCCCTCGCTCTCCACTTCTCGTTTCCGGGGTTGTCAGTCGGTGCTGACTCCGCTTCTAAGTGCTTCTACAGACATGCGCAGCTGGGCCAACCCAAGCTCCCTTAGGCAAATCCTCATCCACAGAGGTTGTGGAAAGCAACCAAAAACCCGAATTCTTGTTTACGGAGCCGGAGCCAGAGCCAAGGCCTATTAGCCGTGAGTTTTGCCCGATAGACCGTCGCACGTGCGGCTTTAAACACCGCAGTCATACTAATGCGACTTGATTTACTGTCACAGCACGCGTTCATAATGCCTGGGAGACACTTCGGGCAGTGAAGCCCGCTATTCTTGATGTTGATAGGCCCACCGGAATCGTCGGATACACACTACACTACGGTCGCGAGGCCTTTCGGTTGCTGTTTTTGAATGGGCCCGCCCCTGATAAGGCTGAGAGGAAGCCCAGTCCCACGGTCGCACTGGCTGTTGAAGAACTCAAGGCAGCAGCAGATGAAGATGATGATCCGGACGCCATGTTCCTCCTCGCGGAGATGAACTTCTACGGCAACTTTACGCACCCGCGTAATTTCAGCGCGGCATTCCAGTGGTACAACGACCTGGCATGGTTGACGGGGAACAGCACTGCACAGTCCATGGTTGGATTCATGTACGCGACGGGTATTGGTGATGCTGTCGAACGCGATCAGGCGAAGGCCTTAATGTACCACGAATTCGCCGCGGAGGGAGGAAACACGCGATCCGAGATGACGCTGGCATATCGGTATCATACTGGAATCGGGACCCCGAAGAACTGCGAACATGCGGTCTTTTACTATAAGCGGGTTGCCGACAAGGCTATCGAGTACTATCGGTCAGGCCCACCTGGTGGCCATGCCATGGTCAGGGAATCCTACCGCTGGGCGGATGAGGAGGGAGGTGTTTATGGAGAAGGTGCTAGCGTGTCTAGCTCTGGGCATAATGCGCGTGATCCTAGTCACTCTGCCACCGAGGCCAGCGTTGAGGATGTTCTTGAGTACCTTGACCTCATGTCTCGCAAAGGCGAACTCAAGGCTACGTTCACTCTAGGCAAGATGAACTACGAAGGGAAGCATGGATTGCCTCGCAATTTCAAGAAAGCCATGAAATATTTCAGAGCGGTGACCAAGCGTTACTGGAATTCGGACGGCTCTTTCGTTCCAAACCCTTCCCCGGGGCTCGACAAGTTGGCTGCTAAAGCGGCAGGACATATTGGCCTGATGTATCTACGCGGAGAAGGCGTTGAACAGAATCTAGGCCATGCCTTGACTTGGTTCCGACGGGGTGTCAAGAATGGCGATGGTCTCTGCCAGCACGAGATGGGACTGATGTATCTCCACGGCTATGGAGTGCCACAGGATGCGTACAAGGCGGCATCATATTTCAAATCTGCAGCAGACCAGGATATTCCGGCCGCCGAGACTCGAATCGGCGCACTATTCCTGGACCAAGGAGACGTGGCAGCCGCATCTAAATACTTCGAGCTCGCCGCCCGATGGGGATGGATGGAGGCGTACTACTACCTCGCGGAGATGGCCAACTTTGGCGTGGGCAGACAGCCACACTGTGGTGTTGCCGCGGCATATTACAAGATGGTTGCCGAGAAGGCGGAAGTGATCCATTCAGCCTTCGCCGAATCGAACGCCGCATACGAGAGTGGTGATAAGGAGAGCGCCCTCATTCCAGCCATGATGGCTGCGGAGCAAGGATATGAACATGCGCAAGCCAACGTGGCTTACCTTCTCGATGAACAGCGCTCATTGTTCTCGTTGAGCCGGATATTACCCTGGGCTCAGAAGGCTCGGACGAAGCTGCTTCGCAATACGGCGTTGGCCCTGATTTACTGGACTAGATCAGCCAAGCAGTCAAATATTGACTCCTTGATCAAGATGGGCGACTACTACCTGCGAGGAACCGGCGCACTGGTTGATGCCGAGAAGGCCTCGACGTGTTATCATAATGCGGCTGAGGCTCACCACAGCGCACAGGCGTACTGGAACCTAGGCTGGATGCATGAGAATGGCGTTGCCGTGGCACAGGATTTCCACATGGCCAAGAGATACTATGATCTAGCTTTGGCAACAAATCGTGAGGCGTACTTGCCCGTGAAGCTCAGCCTTTTGAAGCTTCGGGCGCGGGGATACTGGAACCAGATCACCAAGGGAGATATCAATCCCATCCGCGATGAAGGTAAGCACATGAAACTCGAAGGACAACCCTTTTTCCTGTTCTATACTTAGTTGCTGACTGATTTCACTTTTCAGAAACGAGACCTCGTCGCACTTTCAAAGAATGGATCACGGCCTTCATTGAGAATGATGCAGCCGACTATTACAACGAGCTCTACGAAGCTCGCGAAGATGACGAAGACTTCATGGGAGTCCAATCAGACCAAGGTGACGGATACTACGACGATTTGGATCTGGACATCGACGATAGCGTCCTGGAGGGTCTACTCATCGTTGGCTTGGCCGCGACCCTTCTCGTACTGGTGTACATTCGACAGCAGCAGCAGCGGAATCGCCAGAATGCGAACGCGGCCAACCAGGGTGGTAATGCCAATGGCAACGCAAACGCAAACGCCAATGCCAATGCGAACAACAATGACCGTGGCTTCTTCCCACAGCCTGGTGACCCGGAATTCGGGCAGTGGGTGGCAGGTGGAGTGGGCCATTGATGAAAGAATCTGTAATGTATGGATCTTAACTGTAGATAAATGTCAGCTGCATTACGTCTTATCGATAAGATATTTGAAGTTCCTCTTCATCTTCATCCTCAAGTATCCGTTTCCAACTCTTCAGTATTCTCACTTGTACCCTTGTTTTAGTCCGCCTTGCGATGGAAGACAATCATCCGAGCAAACGTCGTCGCCTGAACGCAGCAGCCGCTCTCTCGAGGCCGTTCAAGTCCCCACTGCGCAAACCTGAGCCCATCGTAGATGCGTGTCAAACGTCACCCCGCACACCAGATACCAGCGGGATCGCGCAAAACGAGAACTGTGCGCCGGAATCGCTCACTCCAAAGCCTGAATTTGCTATGTCATCACAGATTTCATCACGGGCCACGAGCACAATAAGACCTTCGAATCGCTCTGCACTTTCCACGCCAATGCAGTCGCCTCTTGCAGAATCCGAGCTTCTACGCTTACAGAAACAGGAGCGCGCTCTACAGTCTCGACTCGCAGCCCTACGTGAAGAGCTCAACGTCGCAAAACAAGCACTCCGCATTGAGTCCTCAAATAAAGATGCTGAGCTTCAGGGGCTGATCACGAAGTGGCGTCATGCCAGCCAGGAGGCCGCCGACGAAGTTTTTACTGGCGCCCAGGAACGGGTCACTAAAATGGGTGGCCTGGCAGCGTGGCAAGAGCGCTCGAAGCGTGATACATTTCAGTGGGATCTTGAATACAAAGAGAAAGAACAAGTGGACGAATATGGAGCTGAGAATCGGGATTTGGGAGATGTCGTTGCGGACGAGAAGATTGGCTCCAACAGGCAGGAGGAAGGGCTTAATGAAGAGGTATAGATGGAACTATGAGACACTTTGATATATGGATGACCCGCAGCTGACTCAGATATCACAGGAATTTACGGTGGACTTCATGTTGAAAACGCTGAATATTGATCTCAAAATAATCGGCTATGACTCAGGGCTGGGCAGGTGGATCCGGGATTGAGATGGGAAAGACTGCCGACAACGGACTGATCAGAGTGTATCAATTACTGTGTAGGATATCTCCTGGTCTGTCGTTGGTCAGTGACGTACTATAGTATCTCAACCTTCTGCTCGTCCAGTAGTGATGCAGTCCTCTTCTTTTCGAATGGTGTTTATCTGTTTTCTTACTATGACAAAGTAGTTTCTTATCACTGCTGGCATCAATTCTGCGTATCTGAATAGCTTATCTCTAGCTTTCAATATCATGTCGGCCTCGGAAAGTCGGCCGAAACCTTCTTATCAACTGGTTGGTATATCGGACCGTTTCGTCGCCACTTTCCCCGCACTTTACATTTCTCCTTCTCCGCCTCCTCAACACCCGCATGTCGCGCCCATTCAGACCGCGAGATATTGCCTGTGCCCGCTGTTCCCGTCTGAAGCGCAAATGTGATCATGCGAAGCCTACGTGCGGCGAATGCCGCAATAAAGGTGCAGAGTGCCTGCCTGCTAGGTCGCGTAAGTCGGGAGATAGCATCACCATCCCGGTCGCATACCTGAAAGAACTCGAGAGGAGAGTGGCCGAGTTGGAAGGCTCGACTTTAGGGGCAAATCCGGGGGCGGAGCTATGCGACGCGGGCGTACAGACTGATTTTGTGGAGAACGGGAGCATCGAGGTGGGCATAGCATTGAGTGCGCAATTGCCATATTGGGCCAATGAGACGGACGAGAGCCAAGCGCTGGTACTACCGTCTGCCATGCAGCCCCAAGGCCCGATCTCTCGACTGTCACCGTTTTCGCCGTCGTCATTTACGGATTCCATTTTTCAATTTAATGATGAAACCCTCGATTTCCTGCGCCTCGATAAACCGTCCTTTCCCCTGGTTGGCGACGACTCTATATGGCTCACGGAGCTTTACACCAATATATACTTTTCGATAACCCACCGCGAGTGGCCCTTTTTGAACGAGTCTGCTTGGAAGATATGGCATCGCAAGGAGGGTGAAACGGGTCAAGAAGAGTGGCGATTTTTCTTTCTCCGTATGGTGTATGCCATCGGGGCATCCCTCTGCAGTACAATGCACACGGACCCAGCGCATTTAACTCGCTCCAAAGAACTATATGCTTCTGCAATGAATTATTATCCACAGGTGGCAGGACATCCGTCCATGGTTCTACAAGTTCAAGCATCTCTGCTACTGATCGTCTATGCATTGCACTCCCCGTCGTCAGAGGAGATCGCCACGACTGTCTCCTCAATACTACCATTCTGCACCGCTGCAATTACACATCTTCGGAAATACGTTCGGATTGACCGAGATGACGAGACAACCGCGACTTCTGGCGAGGTCATGTCAGAGAATATGTTCATCGCTTGCTACATGCTGAACGAGGTCATTGCATCTGGATGGGATAGACCTGTATCTTCTTCATATCGAATAGTGGACGACGATGTAAGAGACCCACTATTTTGGTTAACAGACCATTTCAGCAAACTTACTGACCATTACCTAGCTTTGCATTTTAGGAGACACGATCCAACCCCCTGGTAGTGCAAATCCCGCACTGGGCCATCTATTCCGACTACGAAAAATCCAAAATAATATTAGGAGATCGCTCGAGCGATCGCGATGGCGGTTCTCCGAAGAGAAAGATGCTTTCAGTTCATCGCTCAAGTCTGCTCTGGATATCTGGAGACAGGATATACCCCGTTATGGGACCTCGAATGTTTCTAGTGGATTTTATCACCCGAGTTGGATGACAAAGTTGTATGATTATAGTATTCTTATTTTGATGGAGGAAAAGCGGAACTTCCTTGATCATGACGGAACTGAAAAGATCTTCTCTGCCGTTGTGGAAGTCTGTCTCCAGTTCCGTCGATTACAGGAGGAAGGGCATGTAATGTGCTTTACTTGGTCTGCGGTAAGCTATTTTGAATGGTCCAGTTCTGATTCGAGGCGACTGACATTTTTACAGCTTGTGTTCCAGTTTAGAGCTGCCATCATGCTCCTCTACTTGATCTGGGCCACAAGACCAATCATGGTCAGTATGGTCCTACAGGGTCAAAATTCCTACGACTCTCCAGAAGCAATCGACGCGTGCTTGAAGAACTTTGCATGTTTTGCAGAACGCTGGGAGGATGCCATACCATACTCCAAATTGTTTCAATTTCTGCATCAGAAGATCCTACAGACTACTGGGTCGTCTGCAATAGCCGTGGATCTTCCCGGCTTGGTAGAGGCGGAGGCTCACTTGGAGCAGCTGAAGAAGAAGTATCTACACCGAGCTATCTTGGGAATGATAGAGGATATGATGTATGGGGGGTTTGAGCAGTGTGAAGCGCTACCAGACGCTCTGGTGACTGAAATCCTGTGAATGATATGAATATAAATACAGTGGCAGTTTAATACTTGAAACAGGAGCCCTATGGAAGAAAATATCTACCCAGACGCGCACCCACCTTCTCTGTTTCTAAGTATCTTTCATAAAGTCTTTTGAAATATTTTTCTGGACGGCCCAGTCATAATCCCTCGATCTACCTCTCGAAGCATGACTGATAAGGTGATCTTGGACTTTGGTCGGGATTTCGAGATTATGGAACTTCACAGTATAAGACTATGTAAATGGTCGTTCACGATACCTAGACCCGTCTTTCAAAACCCCGTGTCCCATGTTTCAAGTGTTCATAATTCAAAAACTAGGGGGAGTGATAATACTTTTCTTTCCGAGATCGACCAAGATAGCAACGTGTTTTGTACTCTTCAAAACCAGACTCCATCATTTACAGTTTGGGATAAATAAACTGGCATACCCTCTACAATAGTGAGAGGAATCTGAGAAGATTTGACCTCATATACAGTCCAGTAATACATGATATGTCGTTTCCAATAGCTTGTTTAGCTGAACAAACAAGTAGTACACACAAGGATATCATCAAAGAGCCTGCCATATTAAGATAGCCACGCCTATAGCCCATGGATTAGTGAGCGAGAGGCGGACAGACGCAGAACTTGCGCCTGTAGTACCGCCTCCGGTTTTCTTTTTATCAGAGCTCGTATCAGCGCTGGTAGTTGATCCCGAAATAGTGCCTGCGGTTCCAGTGCCACTAGAGGTTTCCGTGACAGATGAGGACACGGAGGACGACGAAGTTGATGACTTGGGACATGAGTTGTTATACACAAACTGCTCTGGAGTGCCACTACAAGTGGTCACGGACTCGGCGTTGAATGTGCCATTCGCATAGATCCAGCAAGTGCCTGAGGCATACGGCGAGTTACTTGAATTGTCCACATTAAAGACGACATAGCTGCAGGAATCGGCCTTTGCACATTCACTTAAGCAATTCGATGCACCCGTACTAGCCACACAGTCGTAAAAGCAGTCACTAGGCGCTGGGTACCCGCAGACCGAGGCAATAGCAGAGGGAGTCGCGGTGGCCGTGCAGGCGCCAGCAGTGGTGGTAGCGCTTCCGCCGGAACACACGGGCTGGTTGTAGACAGATAGTGTGGGATTGGAGCAATTCGAACTGCCTTTGCTCGCATCGAAGGTTTCACCTGGGTACAGCCAGCACGTGCCGGTGCCAGTGGTCGGGTTGCCTGCAGCGAAGATAACGAAATTGCAGGGAGGGTGGGCGTTGCAGTAGTCCCAGCAGGAGGCCCTGCTTTCAATGGCGACGGCAAAGTCTGCGCCAGGTTCCGGGTAGTCGCAGAGACTGGCGACGAGGGAAGATGTACAAGTCGGTGCTGCGGCAGTAGAGGTAGCGGACGTAGCAGATGCCGCTATGGTCTCAGTAAGGACTGCTAGAGCCCGTGGAGCTAACAGGGCTACAGAGACCCAGAAAGGAGCGATCATCATGCTAGCAAGTGTAGGCAAGGAAATGAATGTGTCTTGAATAAAGAGAATTATCAATATTTAAGGGGTTATAATCCATGTCAAAATTTGATCTCACGTGGTACCTATCCTGGTGAACTTGATAATTTAGCGTGTGTTCGGTTATCAGAGTCCCCCGAGACGAGACGCGCTGAGTATAATCACTTTACCATTTGAGGAATAGCTTGTACACTCCAATACAACGTGGTCATACAAAATTACGTCAACTTAAGTATTTGACTAGTAAGAAGTATAATGAAAGGCACATAGATCCCGTTCTCGATAAGCCGACAATATGTATTATCTGAGTAGGCGGGTATATTACCAACGAAATCGGAGAATCTATTACCCCAAAGAAAATTCACATAGCCGAGCTTCTGGATACTCAAAAAACAACTAGTTTGTGAATAAAAGAAGCTGCGTCGGAGCTCATCTGTACTCCGGGACAACTTCTTGAGGCAGCAGTTTTGCCGTCGGATAAATTACAAGAGAATCAACTGTCCCGCGGTAGCACATGTGCCCGTGTGTGCAGTAATGACAACAATTGTCTGACTGAGCGCTGGACTCTTCCACATTTCCCAAGGTCTATCCCGCTCAGAAATTGGGTATGATGTCTTGAGAGACCACTTACCATTCTCCACGATGGTAGTACATGGCTCTCCATTCACGTAGCATGTCAAGTGGACGGGGCTATCGCCAGGTACACGAACGGACCCTTGGATTTGAACAAGCACCATCGAGTCGACAACCTCTTTGACCTGCCCTTCCACTTCGAGTTCCACCGGGGTATTGGACGCACTGCTGACCGAAACACGATCCGAAGACAAACTCGGCACATCGGGCGGCTGGACCCGGGACTTAGAACCCATCTCAAAGGCATATCCATATCGTAGCAAGTCGATGTCCTCATATGCCTTGCCCGCAAAGGTGAGATTCACTGGCATTTGCGTATCCTCCATCACACCCATTGGAACTGAAATCGTTGGAACGCCGAGGTGACGGATTGGCCGATTGCCATTGGAGTATTTGACGCCATTACTCCAAGCAAAACGTGAGGCTTCCTCATCCTTATCGGCATTCGATGCGCCCACATCGCCGTTTGCAGGGAATACTACAGCATCGAGGCCGAGTTTGTCCAGCCAGTCTTCGAAAGTTGCCTTTCGAGCATGTTCAAGAGCATGGATCGCCTGCTCCATTCCTGGAATTTCGAAAATGGAAGATGGCTTGGTATGCGGATATGCTACAATCTCGCCCCATCGTGGCTTGTTGGCTGCCTCTGGGGTACCGAGGAGGGAGCCCGGGGCCAAGGGAAAGATTGTAGAGGGATCGACAACCGTTAGAGATGGAAGAGACTTCTGGCCATTCGAAACAACAAAGTCATCCCACGCATGAGAGACAACCTCGCATCGTTCTTTGGCTGGCCAGCCTTCCGGGAGATCAGCAACCGTAACCAACTTACCAGAGGCCGCATTGGATTCATAAGATGTCACTAGAGGGAAGTCGGTTTCTACCACTTCAGCGCCGCACGCCTCCAGTACCTTTCTTGCTTTTTGCCAGAGCTTGATGATAGACGGTCGTGTGTTCACTTTGCTGACAGGTAGAAGAGAGGCATCGGCCCCTCCAATGTACATTGAAGGTACACCAATGCGTCTGCCCTTCAAGGAAGAATTATCCTTCAGGGTTGTAAACGAACCAGGACGAATAGTGTTAATCGTAGGAAGTTTGACAAACATTTGTTCATTGTAGAAATCGCCCGCTGGTGCCGGATCCAAAACACCCAGGACGTCGAGCACATGGAATAAATCCTCGACGGTCCTGGTATGAGGGACCAATACATCGCAGGTTGGGTAGAGAGGAAATACACCCCGAAGTGGGAGCAGCCCCTTAGAAGGCGTGTATGCAACGATGGCATTATTCGATGCAGGTGACCGTCCAGACGAGACAGTCTCGGTTCCCAGAGAGAATGCGCAGAAGTTTGCCGCTGTGGCGACAGCAGAGCCATTCGACGAGCCCGAGGCGTACGCTGCTGCAAGGTAATTGCCGTTATAAGGACTCTCAGCACGTCCCCAGACTCCGCGCTGCATACCACCATATGCCATGGCGGGCATGTTTGTGCGCCCGAGAAGGACTGCGCCAGCATTCCGGAGAATCTCCACGCATGCCGCGTCTTCATTTGCAATCAATTTCTCGAAGGCTGGTGACCCGTTGGCAACTGTCATGCCTTTGACTTTGATGTTGTCTTTAACCAAATAGGGGATGCCTTCTAGTGGTCGTGGCAATAGCCCTGCGGCACGTCTAGCATCTGATGCGGCAGCTTCATCAAAAACGGATTGATTGAGAATAGGAATCGCACTGAGCTTTGGTCCGTTGGCATCATAGACACTGATACGTCGCAGATAGCGTGAAACCAAGTCAACGCTAGTAAGCCATCCCATTGAGAGTGCATTCTGTAGCTCGGCGATGCTAGCGTCGAGTATCGTGAAGTCGTGACTAGATTGTGGCTGGGCCATGTTGCCTTTTGGAAGATGGGACTTGTCCGATTGGATTTCGCGCGCTGATTGGCAAGTTCCCACGTTCAGTCAATAGGTACTGTTGCAAGAAGAATCCAGACCCTCGACAGAGTTCCCATTATCCTATTATACAGAGAATACCGCATGTCGGCAATCTAGTGCGGAGACGGCGGTGTTTTGTCCGCTGAACAAATTTTCTCCACTTTCATCATTCGCGGGCGGCCGATTGTCCGCTTGAGCGCCTATCGTCGTGAGTGGATTACGCGCCTCGAGCTTATCTGCTTGGCAGCGATAGTGATTGCTCTTGGAGTGCGGGGTACAATGCATATAAGCCTAAGATACTGGCGATGTAGAGCAAGGGAAGAACGTACAATCATTCATTCTGACATTTGGTCCGCTTTTTGTTCAAAATGGATTCAAAAGATGTGAAGGTGGAACAACCACCTGCTGCGGAGAAGGATATCGATCTCGGAGAGATCCGTGATATTGGGGCTGATCTATATGTCGAGGCTGATCAATTGTCGGCCGAGGAGATGGAGAATGAGGGAGCGAAGGTGCTGCGAATTCTGGACTGGAGAATCATGCCAATTGTGAGTTTAGGCTTTCATTAACTCTGTTCAATTGTTTGGTCTTTTTTCTGACTTCTCTTCAGCTCTACGTGACTTATGTCATACAATTTCTTGGTATGAAGAGCCTCTCGATAAACGAATGGTTTCAAGACCTAGAATTCAAGTACTCATGGCCATTTAGACAAACTTTCCCTCAACTATGCTTCGGCATACTCGCTCATTCCTGATCTTGGCCTCGAGGGCCAGCGTTACTCCTGGGTGGCAGCCATCTTTAACTTCGGATATCTCTTCTGGGCCATACCAGCAAATCTGCTTATTCAGAAACTACCCGTCGCTAAGTACATGGGAGGCATGCTTCTTCTGTGGAGTATTATCGTGATCGCGCATATTGGGGCGAGGAACTATGCTGGCATTCTGGTGCTGAGATTTCTATTGGGAATGGCCGAGGCTGGAGTCAGTCCGTGCAGTGAGTGCCTGCAAACAGCGGCCTTTTGACTTGAAAAATCGCATTTCTAATGGAGAACCAGTGATGACCATAACATCCATGTTTTACAAGCGCTCCGAACAGCCTCTCCGCATGGCTATCTGGTTGAGTGCCAACGGGATGGCGACTATGGTAGGAGCATTACTCGGCTTCGGCCTCGGACACTCCCACAACACGGCTCTTCGTAGCTGGCAGCTCATTTTCCTTACTATTGGACTTCTCAACTTTGTTTGCGGAGGTGTATTCCTCGCGCTCATGCCTGATTCGCCTGCCTCTGCACGCTTCCTTACTCATCGCCAGCGGGTCGTGGCCGTCAGGCGAGTCGCGGAGAATATGATCGGTGTGAAGACTCGACAGATCAAGCTGAGACAGGCCGTGGAGAACCTTTACGATATCAGAGTTCTTTGCTGTGCAGGTATCGGCATTGCTTGCGGAGTCATCAACGGCGGAGTTTCGAACTTCGCTTCGTCGCTGGTCAAAGGCTTTGGATTCAGCGGAATCTACGCTACTCTTCTACAACTACCGACGGGTGCTATTGAAGCTATAATAGTCCCAATCTGTGGTCTCGTCGCAACATATGTCCCAAATTCACGGTGCATCGTCCTCGCCGTTGTAAGTGTCATTCCGTTCGCCGGGCTGCTGGGAATCCGTTTTACGAGCCTTGATCACCGATGGACGCTCGTTGGATGCACCTGGCTACAGTATATAATTGGTGCTCCAGTGATCGTTTCCTGGAATCTACTATCTACCAACGTGGCAGGCCACACCAAGCGAGCTGTCGCTAACGGTATATGGTTCACACTATATGCCGCGGGGAATGTTGCTGGAGCTAATATCTTCTTCTCTCGTGAAGCTCCACGCTACTATTCTGCTTTGACAGGTCTGTTGGTATGCTACGCTGGAATTATAGTTCTATCAGCTATAGCATACACGGCTATGCGATGGGAGAACAGGCGAAGGGATGCTGCGGCGGCTGCGGCCGGGGATGATACAACCTTCGGCGAGACACAGTCTCAGGCCATTGTGGATGGATTCAAGGATATGACTGATATGGAGTCCAAAAATTTTAGATATGCATACTAAGACGCATGAAGAGTCTAATTAGAATGGCTATCTAGACTTGTGAGAGAAACGTCATTGTTCATTCCGCCTGTGGTTTTGCCTCACGCGGCGTGAAGCTAGCTCTACAGCCTTTTGAAGACGCATAAAGAAGTCCATTTTTAGTGGTATATCCGGAAATCTCCGTGAACAAATGATAACCATATATTTTCCACATTAGTAATGTTGAAATACATACTAAAAGTCAGTGAAAATGGTCTGATATTTCTGCCTCAGGCAGCAAGGCCGCGAGCCTTGCGAAAAATCCATTTGGCGGTGTTCAGTGACCTCCTCTTTCCCCTATCTCGGTCAAATCTCCCTTTAAATTCAAATGCCTCAAGACATTCGATGTGGGCTTGAAGTAAAGGCCGTAAAGTATGGGCGCCGAGGTTCCAGCCAGCCGCCGCATTGGTTCCCGAAAATCAAGATCTGGGTGTAAAACCTGCAAGTGAGCTGCTCCGCGTTTGTCGTCGTGCTTCAGTGCTAAACGCGACATAGGATTCGGAGGGTCAAGTGCGGCGAGGAGAAACCAACATGTCACCGTTGCTCCAGTACGGGGCGACGATGCGAGTATGAGGGCGATGGAACCTCCCCTATAGGTTCAACTACCCCGCCGGCTCTCGTGCTTAGCCAAGCACTGTCACTATCGCCAAATTCAGGCCGGCGCGAGCGTCGTGCATTCGAGTATTATTTTCAGCATGCCGCAAAATACCTCGCTGGTGGTATGGCCATTGATTTTTGGACCGGCGTTATCCCACAGCTTTGCCGTACAGAGCCTGCTGTGTGGGATTCCATGATTGCGATCAGTAGTCTTTTTGAACATCCTGACCAATGCACTGATTTTACATTGCTGAGGGCCCGTGAAACAAGCTCGAATCGTATAGACTCATCTCAGCGAGATGCTTTGACATGGTACTCCCGGTCGATATCGAACATCCATTCTCAAATTGAGCGCGGAAAAGCAGACCCATACATTGCACTCATTAGTTGCGTGCTATTCATCTGCATTGAGACAATTCAAGGACGCATGGAGGAGGCATTACAGCTATACAAGCAGGGTATGAGCTTGATACGTGACCTCCGAAGTCAAGTTTCCCTTGGAAAGGTGTCCGCCACAAAGGTCGCTCTTCTGGAGCACACGATGATCCCGCTGTTCCTACGTTTGGGAACCATCTCCCTGACAATATCTGAAGTTCAACCCACCGAGATTTTTGCACTCGTCGGGCAAGAGACAAGCGCTTCTACATTTCAATCGATCAGCTCTGCTCGATCTGCCATCGTTGTTCTTTCTATGGAAATAATCATTTTCGAACGGGAAGCAGGGACACACCTGGATGCCGTCGGAGGCGAAGCTTTCGTGAGTCAAGATATGCTTGCGAGGAAGCAGTCCTTGCAAACCAAACTCGACGCCTGGTTTCGCGCTTACAATTCTTATTGTCAACGCATTTCGGCTAAATTTTACCCTTTGGGGGTTGAGCCTCTCCTCCTGTCATATCATGCTGCAGCATCTATCTTTCTATCTGGATGTCTCACACTTTCAGAAACCGTCTTCGATGCTCATATAGCACATTTCGCAATCATCGTTGAACAAGCTGATCTGGCGCTCAGTGCCTCAGCTGGACCCGATGGCTCACAGCCACCATTTACCTTTGAGATGGGCGTTGGTATTCCGCTCTTTCTCACATCAATGAAGTGTCGAGAGCCAAGCTTACGACAACGAGCACTGCACCTATTACTACAAGCACCCCCGATGCAAGGCTTCTTCAAATGTGCTCCAGTCGCGCTTCTAGCAGGAAACCTCATGAAACTCGAAGAGCATTATGCTAGCACGATGCGAGAAAAGACATCAGAGCAACTCTCTTCCGATGATACTCATAATTCTGTGTATATGAAGACACCGCTAGAGCTCATCCCGGAAGAGGCACGTGTATCTTTTCGTGGCGTCTTCCGACCTGCGAACGGCTTTCCTACCAATATCGGGGAGTTTGATGTCGCTAGATGGGGCCGTGGTCCAGATCAGCTTTTCTTGCACTATTCGAGACAAATATTCAACGCGAATAGCAAGACATGGCAGCAAGTTTCAGAGGTTGTGCCCTTAGAGGCCTAAATTGCAGTTTGAGGGGAGGAATAGCAAACCCTCTGGTAGGACTTGTTTTACATCGTTTCTCTCCGTCGGCTCGCCAAATTGAGTGTTTTATCGCTGCATCCCTCGGCCACCTCGGCCTTGCCATACCATGTGTGCATGTCTCATGGCCATCGATTGAGATCTGAGCTCATCGCTCTTAGGCCTCCCTCAAGAACTTAGAGTAGCTCGACTGCGATGAGCTACTGTATATGATATACTAGAAAGTCCAGATGGACAGTCTCCCGAGCTCCGCCCGCAGGCTCAAGGCTCGAGCCATGTGAATTGCCGGGACCCTTCATCAGAAGTATATCCCGCCAATCCATGCAATACAAGTTTACACATTCCATATATTTGCCCCTCTTTCTCAAGCGAGTGTCGTAGGAGGTCGAGGATTTGATAGGTACTTAAGTGGTTTGAGATTCAATTATGGATCTGACTGAGTATCGCTGTCAGTGAACTATGAAAATGTGAAATAATCATTCTCTATATTTGGAAAATGGTTTCCGACAGAGTGAAATTTCGGCCAATGTCAACGTGACCGTCCTTTAGCTTTCCTCCGTTTGCGAATTTCGCCCATAAATCCTTAAGTTCCGAGCCAAGCCGGGAGAGATGCTCTTCCGTGTCTTCGCCGGCGAGCATAGGAGCAGCTTTCCAAGACTCTCTCGTTCCCAACACAAATGGAATGTCGATGCAGTGGCATGCTCCCAGCGGGTTCTTTATTCCTGCCCAGCCAAATGAATACCTTGTCGAAGTCCCACCGGCTTGGAGTACCTGCTGATGAAAGCGCTGGGATGGCCACTTGAAGTAGCTCTGAGTAATGTACCAGGTTCCAAGAGTCTCTATATAAGGTCCAATGAGGGGTAATCTGAGTAGGTTTTGCGGTCCCATCATGCTGGCAAAGGGGCGTCCATCGTGATCGGTCCAGCCAATGAGAATGGGGATATCCTTCGCAGCCTCATAAATCTTTTGATCAAATTCTTGCTCCGTTGGCAGGGGCGCGTATCCAAGAGCCGGTGCAAATAGCATGACTTGCGTCTGAACTGGATTCATCAAAAGCTGCTTCTGAACGCCAAGTAATTCGTCTATAGACATCTCTCTTGGGTCCTTGGTAAAAAGTTGCTCCGCCTTTTGTGTGAGCATGGGTGCCGTGGGCGTCCGTTCTTTCAACTCTCGTAATGGCGGGCTAAGAAGGATGGCGCGATGGAAGAGGCCCCTGGCATTTTCCGAGGCCATCAAGCAAATGATCGAATCCGCGCCGGCAGATTGACCAACGATCGTGACATTGCCCGAGTTTCCACCGAAGGCAGAGATGTTCTCTTGGATCCATTGCAAAGCAGCTCGCTGGTCCAAGAGTCCAAGATTGGCAGGTGCAATGCCCTCCAAATGCAGGTAACCGAACACTCCCAATCGATATGTGATATTGACACAGACTATTCCCCGTTTGGCGAGGTCTATCGGCTGGTAGCAGTCTAGGTCTCCACCGCCAGATATATAGGCACCACCGTGTAGCCATACCAGGACAGGAGCATTTGTAGCATCCTTGAGAGCAACGATGGATATGCGCAAGCAGTCTTCGCTCAAGTTATGACCCTTGGTTAAGGGACCCATGACAGACTCCAATCGCGAAGGGAGTTGTGGACATATTGGCGCGCGTTCGGTGCAGTTCAAGGCAACAGTCCAATTTTCGGTCGGCTGTGGCGTTTCGAAACGCTGTGCTTGAGCATAAGGAACTCCTCGGGCGTGGATAAGGCTGTCCTCCACCAAGTTGGCTTTGATAGGGCCCCCAGGCAGTTGAATTGTTATCGTGCTGGCCATGGTGATGTGTGGCCCGGAGAGAGAAGGACCGATTCAATGCAATGGAAAAAGAGAGAATTCTAGAACGAAAAAGATGAGGAGGTACAGAGAACTAGACCATGGCTTTCTACCAAACGAGCTGCTGGAACGTTGTGGATCTCCATATTGATGGTGGGGGCTGGGGACTGGACTGTTGCGGGCGGGGAAAGCTCCACTGCAGACGAAGTCGCCGACTGGAAGCTCGGCTGATAAGCACGACTCATTGGGTAGGACATGTACACAAGGTATCATTTTCACGGATAGATTGCACAACCAATTACAGCTTACTAAGGAGAATATAATTCAATCCCAGGCCGAATGCACATCGGCGCAAACATAATCTATCTTCACCAGGGGTTTTCTGCTTCTCTTATCCTACCTGCAACGCTTTCCTCAGACATTTTACCTTAGAGCCTGTTTTGGATGGCATTGTAGCTCATTTCCATGGTTTATTATGTGGCCAATGAACCCCAAGTTCCATCTAGCATGTTTGGCCACTAATAAGTAGTTTGTCTGATTAATCTCCAGCTAGAGCCTTCTGATAATACCTGCCAAGTAATCAAAGTAGGTTGACGAAGTAATAATTCATGCACTATCGTTGGGCAGAAACGGTTGATCTTGGTGGCTTAGCACCTGTGAGAAATTACAAAGAAGAGTCAAGATTATTCTTGAATCAATGAAATATAAATCATGAATATTTTACTTCAAATATAGGCTCTTGCTTGCTTTGCTAGTGCATTGAACCCCACCACCTGAAAAACCGGACTATCCACTCTGAGAGAGTTGAGATCATGACAGTCAAGACAGGCGTGACGACTCATTATGACCGCGTCGTGGGTGCGACTCTTGACTTCCGCCTGGTATCTATCCAGTGCTTGCGTTATAGATTGCTTGCCATCTCTCCAAAGCACTAGTTCATCTCTCAACCGTGCGGCATCACAGATACCATGATTAGCAGCTTCACCTCGATCTAAGACTAGAATCAGCATGGTTACCATGCATTAAGCTTTCATCAAATCCCAGATAACTTACACATAGTCATTGTATGAGCGGCGTCGCCAACCAGTGACACTCTTCCTTCAATTGAAGGCCAGTGCTCGGTCGGCCAGTCTTCCAACTTAATCTCAAGCATGGGGCTGTCATCTGGTATATCCATGATAGCTTGGCGGAGGCTGGGAAAGAAACCACTATCACTCACAGCGGCCTGCTTGACGCGAGCCAGCTGGTCTGCCGTAGACTTTGGCAATGGTCCATTTCGGTCGATAAGCCAACTCATATTGAATTGGCCCTCATAGAACTCCTCATTTGTCCCTGCACTCTCATTGCTCTGTGGTGTCGATAGCATTGAGAAAAAGAGATAGTACCCGGAGCCCGGGTGCGCCCCTTGCCAGAGTATTGGATGTACATCCCGGAATGGCTTCATCTTCTCTGGTGACAAGCGCAGGCTAATTCCCACAAAAGCAACAGGAAGCGGATTCAGCTTGGATTTTTCGTCGCCCATCAGTAAGCGCTTTGTACGACTATTCTTGCCATCTACAGCAAGAAGCATAGAGCCCTCTCTTGTGGAACCATCATCAAACTTGACCAGAACACCGTCTTCGGTAGGATTGAATCCTGTGAATCGCATTCCCCATTTGATATCAAGCCCAGTGCTAAGAAGTTGACGAAATGCCTTTCGGTTCAGTCGATAGTGAGTTGACGAGGGAAAACGGTATTTGTCCTGGCCTGTTTCAAGGTCCAAAAAGCGATAGCAGTCGTTCTCTATTGATTCAAGGTCTCGTTAGAGAAAATTGATTGAATGTTTGGATATATTGCGAACCTTTTCCACCCTCGGCGGGATCCACTTGAATAGACAAGAGTCGACTAAACACATCTGCGGGCAGGCAAGATTCAAGTGCAGGAAGTGCCCAGTGCATTGTAATTCCCCATCCAGCCGGGCGCTCTTCGAGACTATTATCTCTATCATAGATTTCAAACTCAAAACCATCCTTCTTCAATGCCTGTGCTAGAGTCAAGCCCACAAGGCCTGCTCCGATAATGATGATGGGCGCCATTTATTCGTCGGCTTTTTTGTTGGAAGTACAATCGACTAAGGAGCAGCTGACAAGAAAGACTTGGCTTATATTAGCAGTCTCTCACTGTTGTTCTTATCATGATAGATGTGCTATTAAGTTCTGAATCCACTTCAAAAGAAAGTTCAAGTCGCCGACTCAAGACGGCGAGTTCCGTTCACTCGCCCGTCAACTAGAATTATTCCGAAATATTCCCCTCACTTCTTACTCCTCATCTTCAGTAATATTATTTGTCACCTGAGCCGATGAAGCCAATGTCAGCTCGATAGGTGCGCTTGGGCATGTAAAGAGAAGTGAAAATCCCACCACTAGGACCGCATTCACTTTATTCTTTTGTGCCAACGATCTCCAGTTCAAACACTGTCCGAGACACAGTTCGAGACAACAAGCAACGCCAGCGTTTCTTCTTACCGCCAGCGAAAATGTACCTCACGAAGCAAATAAATGGTGTCGAAATTTGTTACGATGAATGTGGAACAGTTGACCGACCTGCTCTGGTCCTCTTGACTGGATGGGCGCACGACCTTCGTCTGTATGACGAGCTTTTGCCCTACTTGAGCTCCAAATACTGGGTCATCAGAGTTTGCTGGCGTGGGCATGGCCCTAAGCGCGATAATATCGATGATTTTGGAGTTGAAGAGCAGATCAGCGACACCATCGACCTACTTGACGCTCTCGAAGTCGACAAATTCTACCTCGTCTCACATTCACATGGTGGCTGGCCCGCACTGGGCATCGCTGAGAAGTTGGGACGAGACCGTGTTCTCTGTCTTTTGATGATTGACCAGATCATGACTCCACCTCCCCCCGAATTTGCCGTGGGGCTCCAAGCGATGCAAGCAAAGGAAACATGGAAAGCTGCCCGCCAGGGCTTATACGACAACTGGAAAGGGGGTAGCGACAATAAAGCGGTTGAAAATCATTACGTTTTCTCTTTTGGAAGCTTTGGTCACAGAATGTGGGCACTCTCCTGTCGAGTCATCGCCGCGGCCTATCAAACATACGGCACGCCCATTCACCGCATGGAAATGATTCAGAACCCTCCACTCATTCGGCATATATTTTCTCATCCGCTGAATCAACCTGAATATCGAAAGCTGCATGAAGAAGTCAGCAAAAAGCACTCTTGGTTCTCCTTTGCAGATCTCAAGGGTGAGACACATTTTCCTAGTCTTGAAGTTCCCGAGGAAGTTACCGAACAGATTGATCAGCTTGTCCAGGAAGCTGATGGGAATAGTTTGTGAACATCAAACATAGTTTTTCTTTGTTTTTGTATTTCAGAGTATATAAAGCCATTGTGAACCTCGATCTCGCCTTTACATTTGTCTCACTTCTGGTAGAGCTGGAGCAGGATTTCCCAACATTTGTAGAAACACTCGACGACTATTATAATCATCACTAACTCGCTCGCGTCCGAATTTAGGTCTATTGCTATAAAGAAATATTAAGAGGAATGACAGAGTCATAGCAACTTACATCTTTGAGAACATTTTTTTTCTTTCATAGTATTATTACAAGCTTCTATGCAGCGAATCACTTCTGACAACGAAAAATACATTGTAACTAACTACCTATGATAATAGTTACTAATCAAGAGACTGATCTAGCCCAATTAGCATATCAGATAATCATCAAGCTTTACGATAAGAAGCGGGGAAATGAAGCCACACTTCCAAAATGTAGCTAAAGCTCAAGTCGCCGATTTGGCTGGAGATGCCGAGCTCCAGCCTCCACCATCAGGGAATGCATCTCCTCCTTTAGCCTTATCCAGGAGATAGGGCTTTCCTTGTGACCCAATCATCGAACTCTAAATGAGCAAGACTATTGAGTTATAATATCCACTACTGCTCATGAGGATACGCTTGAAAATCAGCAACTCAAGGGAAAGATAGTTTTCCGGTGTGAGAATACGGACACCTTCGCCCTAATCTACTAATGGCATCAATCAAGTCGAATGAAAAGGTCATTGAAGGGGACGATGTCGAGTCCCAGATGCCAGAAGATGGCTTTGTGGAGAATTTTATCGCCCCGAATTCTCTCAGGGCCATTCTTAGAAGGCTTGCCATGGCCGGTGTGGAGATGAGAGGTCTTGATCCGATCCCGGTGGAGAAGCGCAATCATACTAAGTATTACAACATTTTTACGTTGTTTGGTGGTTCTTTTCTTTCTCTTCTCCCGTAAGTAGAAGTCTCTGTCCGGCAATTACCACCTTAAGAAGGAACTGACGGCTGTATCCAGTATGAGCATCGGTATCACCCCGACTTTGGCTTTCGGTCTATCATTCAAAGATGCCGCTGCTATGATTGTGACTATGCAATTCGTCTTTGTTCTGCCGACTCTCTATATCTTGACGTTGGCGCCTCAGCTGGGCATGAGACAGTCAGTCCAGTTTCGTTACGCATTCGGGTGAGAATATTCTTTGATACAAAACTCAACATCAAAGTCTCAACTCCTCTAATAATTGTTACTCTACTCAGAAAATATCCCAATATTTTGATTAGTCTCATTGTCATCCTCGAGGTTCTAATATTTGGAATCTTGGCTACGGTCGCTGGAGCCGAATGTCTCGCAGCGGTCAGACCTGGTACTTTGCCAATCGAGGGCGCAATTGGCATCATCCTTGCCGTTGCTTTCTGCATAGGCTTTATTGGATACAAGGCTCTTCATTTCATCTGCCAGTATATCTGGATTCCTAACGGTATCTCGATATTAATACTGGTCGGCTGTGCAGGTAGTCAACTATCAACCCATACACCCGCTACTTCCTTTGGGGCTACACCGTATCTGTCGACCATCTCAATCTGTGCAGCCAACATGGCAACATGGGGCACAATCGTTGGGGACTATGCGTGCTATATGCCTTCTCAGGCTCCACGGCTTCGCCTCGCTCTATACTGCTTGGCGGGACTGTACGTGCCATTTTCGCTTATGATGGTCCTAGGGGCAGCACTTGGCAGTGCTATTCCTTCCATTCCTTCGTGGACTTCAGCGTATACTTCGGGCGGCCTAGGAGGTGTACTGGGAGAAATCCTAATCTCCCGTCTCGGTGGATTCGGTAGGTTCATTCTCATTGTTTTGGGCATGTCTATTGTCACCACGTCGGCACGTGATATGTACAGCATGTCTCTCTTCACCGTTTCTGTTATTCCCTGGTTAGGCAGGGTTCCACGAGTGTTTATTTTGTGTGGAGCAGCTGCTGTTATGGTTGGTGTTGCAATTGCAGCGTCGCGGTCTTTCCTTTCCACCCTCAGCGCTTTGGTGAGCATTGCAGGCTATATGACAGGGCCGACAGTCTGTGTTTTCCTGATCGAGTGGTTATATTTCCGTAAGGCAGACCCCTCAAAGTTGGACCCTGCTATCTGGAATGACGCTGCTGCGCTGCCTTCGGGCATTCCAGCGATCACTTCCAGTCTGGTGCCTTGGGCTCTCATCGTCACATCCATGTCCACCAGCTGGTATGTGGGGCCAATTGCAGTGCGAGTTGGGGATCTAGCATATGAACTTGGTACGGTAACTGCGGGTCTGTTATATTTTCCACTTCGACTATTGGAAGTTCGCTGGCTCGGACATGTTTGAGGTCTGAATGGTGCGCTAAGAGGAGTTGATAAATCGATATCGAAATGGTCGGATTCTACTCCGCAAATTCGAACAAGTACACTCGCCCACCACTACGGCGGACTATAGGGGGGAGAAGGCCATAACCCTGAATTTCTTCCAAGACCTTTCACCGCTTTCTTCCGCCCTAACTAAGTACATTTCATGCTTACTACATCACGAGGAGATTAACGTAGAGATTAACTAAGAAACTATCGAGGTAACTATCTACTATCTAGGAAACTATCTATGAAGCTGTTTTGAAAACTGTTTTGGAAACTGTTTTAGAGACTATCTAGGAAACTATCTAGGAAACTACCCCTCTATCTTAGTTACGATCGTAATACTAATAGGATTAGGTAAAAAAGTTTGGCCGTAAGAGGATTCAGCATCAGATTTCGGATTATATCTACATTTTAGTTCTATTAATCTCATTAGTTATTAAATCCGAATCGATTTTAATTGTTTCGGTGCAGGAAATCGTACTTAACAAAAGGTATATAGGATATGCGTAGATTATCTAAGGGAAGGGATGCCTGAAAATGGAATTCTGCCGATTCTTGAATTGCGGACTAAAGGTTATGGCCTTCTCCTCCCTATAGTCCGCCGTACACCACAATTAAAGTACCGTAAACTTTCCTGCCGGCAAAGAGTGCATACGTGCGGGTGCGGGGTACGCCGGCATTAGCGTACACCGTGGCCCCGGAACAACTCTAGACCAATCAATGGTCTGGGATAAGAAGGCCCGAGAGGTGTCTCAACGTTCAGTTCCAAGCTCGAAACGATTTCTAACTATCTTGCGTTGGACGTAGCTAATCCTCTAATTGTGCTTGACCACGTGAATATACTCCCCGCAGCTATGTCACATCAGAAGGGCCGAGCCAGGGTAGCTTGCAAGCTTTGCAACTTGCGTCGGGTGAAATGCGACCGAACTATTGATAATGCCTGTTCCAATTGCCAATTGGCAGGCACGGCCTGCGAGCTGATCAACTCGCGACGAGGAAGGTATGTTTCTTCACTTTATACACATGACCCATGACGACGGCAGCTGTGATAGCAGAGACTAAGAGAAAAAAGGTACCCAAGGACGGCAAGTCGCCGAGTCGATGAATGTACGCATATCTCGACTGCAGGGAATCGACAATCGCCTGTAGATCTGGAACGGCTTCATTCGGCTGATTTGCTGGAAAGCCCTCGCACAGAATTAACTGAATCTTCGGAGAGCGGCAGGAGAGACAGCCATACTCGATATGTGAGCCCATCTCTGACAGAGTTAGCAGTACAGCATGATGGTGTCGCCATGCCTGGGAGAGTGGTGTACATGGGCGACTCAGCCAACTTCAAATACGTCCTGCATGAAGTTGGAGATCCTTTCCAAACCAGTCAGCGGCACCGCTTCTGGGGCGACAATCTACAGAGATCTATGCTGGAAAGGTTAGGGCAAACTACACAGTCAACAATTCAGAAGATACGAGAAGATGATCAAACGCACCTACAAACAACTGGTGTCTTCCAAACACCCAGCAAGGATATTAGCGAAGCCTTTATTGATAGCTTCTGGAAATATTCTTACCCAGTCTTTCCGCTCTTTGACTGGGCGCCATTTTATGCAGATTACAATGCAGGATCTATATCTCCCCTCCTGTTGAACGCCGTTTTCATGGTTGCAGTCTTCCATTGCCCGGAATCTGTTCTTCATGATGCAGGGTTTTCTTCCAGATACCTGGCCAGTCTCACATTCTATCGCAGGGCAAAAGCACTCTACGACAGCAGTAGCGAGTCCGATGGTGTGACAATCATCCAGGCCACTATTCTCATGTCTAACTGGTGGGGTGGCCCGATGGAGCAAAAGGACACTTGGTATTGGCTGGGCATCGCAGCAAGTTTGGCTCAGTCTTTGGGCATGCACCGATCGTGAGTATTTCCTGTGAATTTAGGACATCCAGAATTGGATCTAATCGTGCTGTGCAGGAAGTCATATGTTATTCTACCCGAGCCGAGTAGGACAGTGTGGAGGAGAATATGGTGGGTACTCTATGTAAGTCTACTTTGCACAGTTCCAAGAAGACAAATGTGGAAACTGATAGACTAAGATCAATGACATTCACCATGCGGCTGTTTACGGTCGACCACCTCATATTCATCCGAAATTCTGCAACATCAAAGCTCTCGGTGAAGACGATTTTGCTGGTTGCTCCTCGGTGAATTCAGTTTCCTCGGAGAACGGTGTTTCACAGGAAAGTAAATCGTATCTAATTCACCTCGTGGACCTCATTGCTAAAGGTAAAGAGCAAATTACTAGCACCAAATTATCAACCGGAAGCTAAAATAGCGTTAGTTGGCGACTGTCTCGTGACCAAGCTTGCATCAACAGATGGCAATGAAATAGCGGACAGGACATCATACAACAGACTGCTTCAATGGGAACGAACCCTCTCCGATAGGTTCAGGGCCACGCCAGCCCAGATTTCTTTGGAGAGAGGGTTCTGGCCCGCGTTGATTCAAGTACTCTACTGGTGAGCCTGCCTTCTCCTGTACAATTGCAGGGCAAATGCTGACAGACGTGGAAATAGTGAGTATCAAATAGTGTTCTATCGCTTGCTCTCCACGAACCCAGTAACCGTGGGGCTCGAATCTCCTATTTTCCAAGCAGCTGGGAAAATCACTCGTCTACTCGAGGATTTGCTGATTTCTGGAACGCTCTACAATGCCCCTTTTATAATGTCTGTGATTGTTCAGCCTCCTACTTATGGAAATGTGTTGACCCAATTCACAGTTTACCCGCGATTTTTGCTTCTTCCTTGGTTTGTATCATGAACATACGAAAAGGAAGCCCCAATATCCGGGTAGTATCCGAGCATCGTGCACACCTGGCGATGCAGATTCTCCACAGATTTCAGGACACTTGGCCAATAGCAATCTGGACGCGCCATCTTCTCGACTGTCTTCTGAAGATACCTTCTGCGGATCAAGCTCAAGTCGGTTCTACCTCCGAAGAGCATGAGCGACACGTTGTCTCCGCATTTCCTGATTCGGGCCAGCCCAATCAAGAGCCGTATTGGCAAGATAATGCACGTTTACCACTCCATATTAGCGATATGGGAGTTATGACGGGATTCTCTCCTCCACCCAGCACTAGTGACGGAAACGTGTTTCACTATGAGGGGTCAGGAGATAATCGAACATCGGGATTCCCGATTATTTTTCCATTTACCAATCTGTTTGAGGATGTTGGCTTCAGCCCTGATGCGTACACTGGATCTATGCTGTTATTTGTAGTTTAGGTGTCATAATCTATTGAGCGTCACATTTCTACCTTTTTTCTATTCTATCTACCATCAAAAGGGACTTGCGTTCTTGAAAATAGCATGCATATTCAAATTTACGTTCTTCCTTCTCCTTCAAGATCCAAATTATTGCAGGCACGTGGTCGTGAATTTACGAGGCCCCCTAGAAGGTCCCAAAGTCCTCGCCCTAGTTCGTTGAAAGCCAATCTCAGGCCTTCACTATGAGTCGATCAAAGATTTGGCTAATGGTCTTAGCACTTTTCTTCGGGATCCGCTTCTGATCGTGCTCATAGTCAACATAAGTCACTCCGAAGCGGGTTTCGTAACCCTCGGCCCACTCGAAGTTGCTACATAGACGGGTCAGTAAAGTTCTTTTTTTGTCTAGGATGGGGGAAGCAACGTACTCCAGGAGGCTCCAAGCCATGTAAGCCCGAACGTTCACTCCGTCAAACGTGTATGCATCCGCCATAGCACCGATGTAGTCCTTGAAGTATTGCACGCGGAACTCGTCATCGAGAAGTTGTTCCAGCGGCAGATCGTTCTCACCGAGCACACTGGTTCCATTTTCCGTAACATAGATCTTGGGGTATCCATAACGCTCACTCAGCCACTTGAGAAGCTTGCGGAATCCCAGTGCGGAAGGTCGCAACCATGGTGATTGAGTGATTGGGCCGACACTGACGCCATTCTTGTCTTCCAGGAGCAGCTCCAGATTTCCTGCGATATCGTCGGGATCGGGCTCTCCGGTCTTGGCGCGGATGAAGTTTGCACAGTAGTGGTTCATCCCGTAGAAGTCGTTGCTTCCTTGCACCAGGGCAAGGTCCTCCGGCGTCCAGGTGGGCAGTCGGTCACCTAGTTGCTTGATCATGCTGTCTGGGTATTTGCCATGATAGATAGGGTCGGCAAACCATGAGATGGCAAACTCGATTTTGCGATCGCAGGCTTCCACGTCAGCGGGGTTCTCGGGATCCCAAGGCTCAGCCCAGTCACCTTATCAAGGTAATCATTAGTTTCGTTATTTCCATATAGGGAAGCGGAGATCGAAAGACACTGGTTGGCTTACCGTTCAATGTGATACCGATCTCACCACCGTCTTGTGCTTTGAACTCATCACGGTAGATCTTCACCGCTGCACCGTGCGCGACGAGAATGCTATGACCCACAATCCACGGCTCAGTTGATCCATCGCCTATGGCGCTCTTACTGCGATCACTGGTGTGGCCGGGGGCAAAGGTACCCGTATTGTATCCCAGCACAGAGCTACACCAGGGCTCATTGAATGTGATCCAGTGCTTGACCTTAGAACCAAAGGTCTTGAAGACCAGGCGGGCATAGTTGGCAAAGTCCGCAACGAACTCCTCCTTGTTCAAGAACCCTCCATAACGCTTGTTCAACTCATCCGGAAGATCCCAATGGAAGAGTGTCACCATCGGGGTGATCCCCGCTGCAATGAGGTCATCGACAAACTTCACGTAGAATTGTAGACCCTTCTCGTTGACGGGGTCATTGCGGCCGCCGAGGGGAATAAGGCGAGACCTAGAAAAAACGCGATTAGCAAAAGATATACTTACACAGGCCGTCATAAATTAAGTTGTTGGAAGGATATTGTAGAGTTGTACCATGATAGGGAAAACCGGTATGCCTTCGCACCGCATGTCTTCAACAATTCAATGTCCTCATGAGTACGATGGTACGAGTCGCACGCGGTCTCGCCAGACCCGCCACCGGCGATCTTGCCAGGAACCTTGCAAAAAGTATCCCAGATAGAGGGACCGCGTCCATCCTCAGTCACAGCGCCCTCAATTTGGTAGGCAGCGGTCGCAAAGCCCCAAACAAAATCGGCCGGAAGGGAAGATTGCCCTATAGATCCCATGATGGCGAAGTCAACGAAAGTGGTGAAATAATCGAATCGACTTGGATCGGGGTTTGAAATTCAGGTCGCACAACTGCGGCGCAGGTCTGGACCGAGAGCCCCTAAAAGAGCTGCCATGGATATTTATGTCCCACGAATCTTTTGTGTGGCAGCGACCACACGAAAGGGAAAAAAAAAGGACAGCAGGCGAGAGCTTCCTTATCGTGATAGGAACTATCTCCGCCTGCCGGAGGAGACCCCGTTCCTAGAGCGTGGGTGAGTGGAGCCGCGATCGTGGAGCCCAAACCCGCGTTAGTGCGATTCCCAAACTGAACAAAACTACTCCAGAATGATTCGAGCAGGGTCCCCCTTGGCCAAATCATAGCCAGCCTGCTCAGCCCTGGTCAGCGCAGCCTGGTGGAGAGGATGGACCGATGGAACGATAAAACGGCGACGAAAAGGACGAGAATATGCGGCGGCGAGACGGGCCGCTTACCGCGCGATTACGAAGTTTTGCCTAGCGGTGAGCACTTGGAGATGCATAATTGTATAGTCGACAGGATGATGATGATGATGCTGAGAGAGGTCCACCTCATGGTGGGGCCATTGGAAGCTCGACATACTACCAGGATATACATGCATCGCGTAGTTAGATCTCGTCTCGTAGGAACTTCTGTACAGTTTCAAACATGCGTGTAGATTGATGACCACCATAAAGACTCCTCCACAACTAAAGACATAACCCATTCCGTCCGTGCCAAGCCCATTTGCCCCCTGAAAAAATACATAAAACTCCGGAAGACAATGCGTGTCGAATTCGTTTTGCTCATGAAAGTACCATATCTTCATCTTCGGACTCATCGTCCAAGCTCACGGCGGAACCCATCCGCAGTCGAGCGTTTTTCGAGTCCCTGTCACACTGCGCATCCGCTCCAAACGCACCAACCATCTCCAGATCAGGCCCTGCAATGATACGACCCTCGGTATCGACCACCTCGCAGAGTTCAATCAAGCTCTGATGGCTGAGAGACTTGAACCCATCGGTGCGTACAATGCGGCCCCAGTGGGTCAGACAGAACTGTGCTGCTCGGCGCATGAGCCAGTGTTCACTCGTTCGGCCAGCACGCTCCCAGACAATGGCTGCATTTTCCACATCTAGCTCGCGGCTCAATCGATTCACACAGAGCAGGCGGAGCTTAGGCATGTCGTAGAGGTTGGCCATCACCAGCATCCCCGCCACGTCGATCACACTCGAACAATACTCCGGGTGACCGGCGATACTGTCCGTGTAGAGGTAGTACAGGAAGGCACGCACGACGGAGTAGGGTTCCGGGATGTGCATCTTTTTGGTATGGTACTCTGCCATCTGGGCCGCATAAAGACGCTTAAAGTGTGGCCATCGAAGCTGCAGGATGATCTTGTGAACATGAATAGGATCCGATGTGGCGGGACTCGGGTCCACGAAGGTAGGCTGGGCTTGGGTGGAAGCTCCGGATGGGGTATCCCCCAGGTCATCCGAGACTAAGTAGTCGTGATCGTCACGAAACGCGGTAATGACAAAGTCCGCACCGCTCCCTGATTCGGGGGATTGGTCAAACACGGCAGAGAGGTCAGCCCCAAGTCCAGAGACGGGTGAACTCCCCGGACGGTCAGCTGGCCACGAGGCATCTTGGAGAGGAGCTTCGGCTGATAGGCGGTTGCCCAATAAGCCGTATTTCTCCAGGTCAATAGTTAAGACTTCGCTCATGTGATTCTCATCACTAGCCCCAGGCGCATTATTGGCCAAGTCGAGACTACATCCTAGTAGCCAAGCCTTAGTCCCCATTTCGTTCACGGTACAGTAATGCCATCGATAACCGGGGCGGAAAATCTCCTGGCCATCAGCCAATCGTTGCCAGCGCAGAGTGTTCAGATCTAGAGCAGAGAGATTACAGTCATGCGACCGCACAGTTTCGGATGGAGTGATCAGGTCGAGGAGGACACCCGAGGTAAAGGATTGAAAGTGAGTGCCGGAGAACAATTGGGGAACATTCGAACCAGAGTGGAATCGGAGACAGGAGATAGCACCCGGAGCAAGAGGCTTGCGGCGGCTAAAGTTGCGGACCTGAACGCTTGCGGAGTTGGCGGGATATATCCCGGAGCGAGGTGACATTTGTTGCGAGGCAGGACTAGATATGGAGTCTGGACAATGAGCAATAGGTAATCGTATATCCGGAAGATTGTCGGTACCTTGGGAGGAGTTGATTCCTGTTAAAGAAGGCGAGCCTTTGAGGTCAAGCCACCAGATGTCTGAGGTTCGTTCCATATTAGGTCCCAGTCCGCCAAAGATCCAGAGACGGTTGCCCCAAACCCAGGCCGTGTGGTCGAAGCGGGCCGTGAAGCTCCAGGTTCGTGACCAGGTCCAGGTTTGTAAGTCCAGATATGTCAGGTCATCTAGAATGACGTTCTTCTCGCCAGTCACTCCACCGACAATGAACAGCTTGTCGTCCTGGATAACAGCGGCATGGCGTGCTCGTCCCCGAGGAATCGATCCACTAATCTGGGGTAAGGTCCAGTGAAAGGTATTGAGGTCTAGGATAATGACGTCGGAGAGGTATTCACGATGTTCGTTCTCACCGCCAAAAATGATCAACTTATCCCCTTGGTAGAGGCTGGCAGTGTGTCCTGAAAGAGAAGACCATGACGAGTTAGCAAGCAAGCACACTCCACGACATTCACAAGTTGTACGGAATGGGGTGAGTGAGACTGACCCATGCGAACCCCAGGAATGTCCCCAAAATTGTCCACCAGTTCCCATCTCAAGGTGTTCAAGTCCAGTCGGAGCACGTGGTTGTACACTGTGGAGGAATCGGCAGGTTAGCCCTCGGTTAATGGCATAAAGGGGAAGAAAAAAACCGCAAAGTATGAAGGGATAATCATGGTGGTCATACCTTCATCAGTGTACTGGTCAAATCCACCGAAGGCGTAGATGCAATCGTTACCGCAGTACGTCAGTGAGGCATTCACCAAACATGCGGGGACATGGCCCTGGGCTTTTTTCACAGTGGGGACCGAGTCGGCCATGGCGGTGCGGCGGCCACTTGCCGGGCTGGCGGGCATCAGGTATGTATCCTGCGACTGCATCACAAAGGTGAGAGAGCGAATGCGCTCAGAGGTGGTCGGATTGGAGAGTCTGAAAGATCCAGGCCAAGATGACGGAGGTCGTGAGGGTGGGTCCTAGCGGAACGGCAGATGGTGGGGAGAGAAGTGGATGAGTCGGCCATGAGGCGGTGCCAGCGAGAACAAAGAAAGCTCACAGCAATGAGGACTAATACCTAGTGTAATTAGAGGACCTAACCGTCTGACTTCAATCGCATCGTGAAGTTGCCGACCAACTAGAAAGTCTCGGGACGCCGATGAGATGCACTTCCGAAGATACTTTTTCCTTGACGGAGGCGATCGGCGCCGAAATTGGAAGTCCCCGGCATGTCATGTGCGGCTGCCACTAGTCCCAATTCGCCTTAGCGTATCCGTACCTGAGGTAACGGTTGCCCCGGCGAGACACTTCCTCGTCCGCAAGAGGAATTCTATTTATTCTTTCCAATCTACTTTGACCACCCATCCCTCTCCCACCCACCTCCCTATCCTCTATTCCACACCTCATATCCTGCATTGAGTTCCATATTTTGCATCAAATATTTCTCCGTGGCTAGTCCTACTGTGACTTGCTTTAGCACTTACCACACAACGAGAAGCTCCGATTAGTTTCAGCGATGGCAACTGCTTCGGTCTCTACCCCAGTGAAGACCCATCATGGGATCTTTTCCTCCAAGACCGCTGGAGGTCGTATGCCCCTGACTCCCTCTCCTAACACTCGGGTGACCCCTAGGGCATCTGATGAGTCATCGCCATTCACCCCTCAGAAGGCAGACGCAGGCTGCGAGAAGCCCAAGTCTATTTACGGCGGTAATCTATCCTCATACTTTGCCAAATCCTCCGGGTCCAAGACCACCGCACCAAAGTCTTCAGTTCCCAAACCATCAGTCCCTAAGGCTTCTGTCGCCAAATCCTCCGTGGCCAAGTCATCTCGCACACACCGTGATTCTCCCAAATCGAACATTGCACGCACCCGGCACTCCCCAAAGCATTTGCAGCTTGGTGTCTCGGACTGGTCTCTGACCGGTACCGGTCCTTCCTCCTCCTCCACCTCCTCGCAGACTCCGTCCAAGGAGCGCGCTCGGCGGGAGGTGACTACTCGGGCTCGCCCTACCAAGACCACTGTCCGCATTTCCCACAATGCTGGGGACCGATTCATCCCAAATCGAACGGCCAGTGAGGGCCTTGTCACAAGCGGAGCCGCTAAGCCCGACGAGAGTCAGCGTCCCAAGACAAGTGGCAGCGAGGGTTCAACCGTTCTGGCCTCTGCGGCCAGCGCCTTCGACATCAGTGGACGTGCCGTCGAAGATGATTTGACCGCGGCTTTGGACAACTTGGGCTTGGATGACAATGAGCCGCCAAACTACACCCGCCCCGCACCGGACGCTGTTGCCTACGAGTCGTCACTGGCCAATGCCTGTGGTGTGAACCTCAACACTCGCATTCTTGCATTCAAGCCTCCGCCTCCTGAATCATCCAAGCCGATTGATCTCCGTGCTCAGTACAATCGCCCTCTTCGTCCTGCCAAGTCCCAGAATGCTCAATTCCGCCGACGAGTTCAGACTGCCCCGGAGCGGGTCTTGGATGCGCCAGGTCTACTGGATGACTACTATCTCAACTTGTTGGACTGGAGCTCTGGCAACCAGGTCGCTATTGGTCTCGAGCGCAACGTTTACGTCTGGTCTGCCGAGACTGGCACTGTAAGCTGCCTTCTGGAAACCTCGCCCGACACCTACATCAGCAGTGTGAAATGGAGTGGTGATGGTGCATACGTTGGCGTTGGTCTTGGAACTGGCGAGGTTCAAATTTGGGACGTCGAAGAGGGTTCCAAACTGCGCAGCATGTACGGCCATGATTCACGTGTGGGTGTGATGGGCTGGTCCAAGCACACTCTTTCCACTGGTGCTCGTAGCGGTCTCGTGTTCAACCACGACGTTCGCATTGCGGATCACAAGGTAGCCGAGCTGGTCTCCCACACTTCGGAGGTGTGTGGTTTGGAGTGGCGCTCCGATGGCGCTCAGCTTGCGACCGGCGGCAATGACAACCTGGTCAACATCTGGGATGCTCGCTCCCTTAGCGCTCCCAAGTTCACTAAGACCAACCACCGTGCTGCCGTCAAGGCTTTGAGCTGGTGCCCCTGGCAATTGAACCTGCTCGCCACGGGCGGTGGCTCTTACGATCGTCACATTCATTTCTGGAACACCACTACCGGTGCCCGTACCAACAGCATTGATACTGGCTCTCAAGTGACCAGCCTCCGGTGGAGCAACCACTACCGTGAAATTGTGAGCTCCAGCGGCTTCCCCGACAACTCGCTCAGCATCTGGAGCTACCCGACTTTGGTTCGAAATGTCGAGATTCCTGCCCACGAAACTCGTGTTCTGCACAGCAGCCTGAGCCCTGATGGCCAGATCTTGGCCACCGCTGCCGCGGACGAGAGTTTGAAGTTCTGGAAGGTGTTTGAGCGCAAGGCCGGCAGTAGCGCTTCTGCCTCCCGCGAGGGCGGTGTTGGTAGCAAGGCCCAGCTGACCAAGTCAATGACTATTCGGTGAATGGTGGTGACCTTGCGTCTTCATATTCTTCATATCTGTTTTTTAAATACCCGGTTTTCATGGTGATCTTGCGAGCATTGATGGGCTGGGCGACATTCATTCTGTTTGGCGTGGAGTGGGATTTTACTTTTGGGCTAATCTGGGGGAGTTTCTGGTAATGCATGTAATTGCCATAGGCTAGACTGTACAAATTGTCATTGTTGTTATCTCATCCTATCTCTCATAAGTAATTATTACTTGTCAGCTTCGTCCTTGCATCTCAAAGCCTCCATTTCCTGGGTCCTGGGCACTGAGGCCGGGGCCGATCTCCCTATGGATGACTAATCGCCCGGGAGCTGGAGGCGGTTTTCGACCGCGGAGTTGGACCTTCACCTTCTCCAACTCTTCGGCCAAACTACCCATCCTACCACCTCCTCCATTTCTTTGGGCTTGCATTTCCTGCCTGCTTTCCCGTGCATACTGTTCGCTCGTTACTTCAGAAAGGACTCTACAGACTCGCAGGTCATTTTGGGACGCCTGATTTCCGAGAGGTGTGAACGACCAGTACTCCAACGGCCTCTCCCGTTGCGACGGAAGACCATAACCTCTGGTCGAAGCCCCGACACACTCGAGCACACCACTGCTATTCTGAGGTTCTCCTTTAAGACTCATTCGCGGTCTGTTCTCCTGAGCTCCAACCAAACCCCGTCTCGTCGCCGTCATGTCGAACCAGCAAGTGGTAAGTCCAGTCTCGCGACAACCTACCTAACACGGTCGCAACGACATCCTCTTCAAATCCTGTCATCTCCGTCCAAATCTCATTTGGACGTGGCCATTCGACCATCTTGGATAGTTTGAATGGTTGGCTGATGATATACCTCGCTATCACAGGGTGCGGTGTTCGAGAAGGTCATCAAGGACGTCTGCGAGAACTCTCAGGTCGACTTTGAGGAGAGCGGTGTCGACCAGAAAACACTGCTTGATCTGCGCGAGGTGAGTTACAAGTCTTGGTCTTTCATATGGTGATTTTCGATGGCTGTGGATGTGGTCACTTTGGGGAGGGTCAGCCGAAAGCGGGGGAACCCGAAGTGGTGCGGGAGGCAGTGCTTATGGGGGAACACCGGATTATGAGGCTCCCTTTATATGCCGCCGCCGCTACCCGCCCAAGAGGGGCTTAGGCCGCCAAGCCATCATTCGTCGAAATACCTTGCACTTATGACCCCGTCATCACAACATTCAATTCTAACAACCTATCTATAGACCTGGCAAAAGAAGCTCTCCTCTGTCAACGTCGCTCAATTCCCCTGGGATCCCCCAGTTCAGCCCATTCCCCAAGCTCCCCTGCCTCCTCAGGCTACCGTCCCATCCAACGCACCTCGCCCACCTCCTCAGCCTCAACATGTCCCTCCTCCAGTATCTATGCCACAGCAGGTGCCTGTTCAAGCCCCTGCCCCGGTAGCACCCGTCGTGCAAGCTCCTATGACCGCCCCTCGAATCAAGACAGAGCCCGGCATTAATGGCCCACCTCAAATGCCCCCAATGCATCACAATATGCCTGCAAACACGCCAAACCCACAAATGGCTCGCGACCGCGCTGCAGCTCAATTGACCCAAAGATTTGGCGCCTCCGCTGCGACATCAGTTAGCCAGCTTCAGTCTCAAGCTGCTGGGCAACAGGCCTACTCGCAGATGCACCACTCTGCTAACGGCCAGATGCCACAAATCAAGCAGGAGTCTAATCACCCCTCCCTTGGACCCAGCCAGACCGATGGTGCCGATGATGCACTGGCTGATTGGAAGGCAGAGGTTGCCCGTCGCCGAGAAGCCGCGCAGAACGGACAAGGAGATCATCTTCTTCGCGAGTATCTGAAGCATCAGATGAATGGGCTGGAGGGCGGCGGTTTGCTTCGTCCTCTGTCTGAGCAGGAGTCGGCCATCACAAAGGCACGTCGTACAGCTCTTGTCGCTCCTCTGGTTAGAGCCAATGCCTCGCAGTCAACCCCTCCTTTCCCCAAGACGCCTGGTCAGTACGACGGTGTGGACGACGATGTCAAGGAGGAAGCGGACGAGGATGCGATTAACTCGGATTTGGATGATCCTGATGATCTTATTGATCACGAAGCAGAGGCCGATGAGGCCGATGGTCAGGTCATGCTTTGCACCTACGACAAGGTCCAGCGGGTCAAGAATAAGTGGAAGTGCACCCTGAAGGACGGCATTTTAACCACTGGTGGCAAGGAGTAAGTTTTCAATCTTTGCCTTCATGGCGTTTCTCAATGAGCGGGACCTAACTCTATATTTAGGTACGTTTTCCACAAGGGTCAGGGTGAATTCGAGTGGTGAGATACCCTCGTCGCCATCCAGCCTCCAAAACTACAGTCTTTGATGTTCACGAAATTTCTGCGATCGGTCTGTAATACCTCTTCTCTTTCCTATCGTCCACGTGCGTGATCTAGCACACGAAAATCATCCCCAATAACCCTTTACGCTTTACTCTCAAATGGTCGGTGCAAGCGAAGTTTCCTTTCCTCGTCACGATAGTACTTTTTTTCTATTTCATGCTCCTACAAACCCAAACAAGACTGGACCTCGGGTTTTGCCTTATGTTTTTACTTCTTCCACATGAGCGTGGATCTGCTCATGGCGCTCACAGTGCGGCGGGGCTCGTGGATTCTACCTATTTTTCCCCACAACGCCCCTGCTTTTGTACTAGAATAAATTGGCAAATCCTAGCTAGGTTCACCAACTACAAATGGATCCTTTTACCAATGTCTCTTTCTCAAAGACAGATCTGGGAAGGGATTCTGTAACTAGTCAATGAAACCGAGGTACGTGAGTTGCAAGGAAGCTGTAGCCGAAGAATAAATTGAAGAAGCAATCAGGTAATCACAATAGACGAGAAGCCAAAGTGTATAAAATCCATATCTACACGATCCGACGCCAGAGAACCACACTTTTGTTTGTAGTTTCAGTTTTCCAGCCCCAGTCCAAATTTGCGAGAAGCCAGCAGCCGACTAGGCAAAGAAATAAAGCCTATATTAGTCAATGCGTTTCTCGGACAGCGGAAGGAAGGGTCCGACAAATCATCCAGATATCAAGATGATCATTGAAAGAGCGACCTTCGTTTCGATCCAAGTGCAACCCGATCAGAGGGGTTACCTTGCTTCTCGCGGACGCTTCAAGGTTCCGAAAGTAGCCAAGAGGGGGGAGGTAACGTCAACTATCTTCCTTTGAATGGAAGAAAGAGACTCAAATCATGAGCATAACCATAACCATATATGGAATCAATAAAAGCAAAAAGCCAACCCTTGTAAGAAAGAACGCATAACGCAAGCATGCAAAAAAAGGAGAAGGGGAGAAGGACGCCGCAGGTATAACCACGCTCATTCCCATTTTCTGCCGAGAGCTGATTTTCAGCCATATCAAACGGAGAGAAAAGAAAAAAAACCCGAACGACGCCATCTAGATAGACAAACAGACGTAGACAAGTGATGATCTTGCTGGGGTGTAAGTCTGGATCACTCTGACTGTGAACGGCTCTACCAAGTTGCCTTTTGCCCGGAAAATGGGAAAGATGGTACCTGGAAATGGCGAGGGGGGATATCGAGCAAAAGGAAAAATTTGAATCAAAGACAAAACAGGTACCAGGATGAACCATTTGGCATCTGGTTACTCGACCCAAAGAAAATAGAAAACAGCACGTAAAGGTCAAGATCCCGGATAATTAAAAAGTCAAGATGAAAACTCCATAGTCACCGAACCAATTCATGACATCGTGTTTGGGTGAAACCAAAAGAACAGCGTGAGGAAGAAGGGCCACTCAACCGTATCGATTATTTGCATCAAAGAATCGCTGGGTATAATTTGTATGAATAAGCGAGAACTGGGGGATGATGTATTCTCAAAAACCCATCACGATTACAGAAGGCCCTCCTCACCGATTCCGGGGAGGCCAGCTCCTGCAACGTTGATGTTCTGTCCCTGCATGACGCCACCGCCAAGATTTAGATTGCGGCCTGCTGCAATTTGGAAATCCGGGTTACATGGGGGCGAGTGCGATTTGTGATATTTGAGGCCGTTGAGATTCTTATAGCGCTTGCCGCACACTTCACAGCGATACGGCTTCTCTTTCTCCATACCCAGGGTTCCAGGATAGGGCGTTGAAGTCTCCGGGTTGACAATCGAGAAGGTTCCGTCAGCGTTATCGTGGAGCTGTTGGTTATTGTGACCGTGCTAGAGCGAGGAAAGAGAAGCATGTTAGTGTGTGGTCTAATGTAGCATCAGTCGTGTATACTCACAGCCTTGTGATATTTGAGACCATTCTGGTTCTTATATGCCTTCTCGCAGCCAATGACAGGGCAGCGGAAGGGCTTAGGCTCCTCATTAGGGAGGATAGAAGTGGTGTCAGGAACCCCGGCCAGGAGCTGTTGTTCCCGAATCCGCCGAGCAATATCGCTGTTGGGACCATATTGGGCTCCGCTAAGCTTGAAGTGAGCATTGGGAGTGCCCATTCCTCCACTTGGACTGAACAGCCGCTTGGCCGGCTCGTCGATGCAAAGATCAACCATATCATTATTAACGGGGTAGCGTCCATATTGCATCTGGTTCTGGCCCATCACATTCTGCTGCATAGTGAGATCGCCAAATCCGCCTACCACGCTCTCATCAATCTCAGCCGGCGTACCGGGCCCGGACGAATCGGGAGTATTGCGGAACTGAGAATTTTGGAGTGGGTTGGCCATCAAAGTCGGGGTATTGACGGAGGAAACGGTAGGGTTGTTTGACAGGGAAAGTGGACGTGCAGAACCGATCGGGGTACCGGGCTGAGAGGGGGTGTTGAAGCCCTGATGACTAGGAAGCATGCCCAGATTTAATTGCGAGCCTTGGTTGGAGTTGCCAAATCCGCCTTGGCCACCGTCGTGTAACTGGGAGGAAAACAGCTGGGAAGTTGCAGCATCCGCATCACCCATAGGGTCGTCCAACTCCATGTCATCCATCGTATCTAGATCCACGTGCTGTAATGCGGAGGGGGTTTGGCCCATCTTCCGTGACATATCCAGGGTGCGGTCAGGCTGTAAGCCACGTCCTTGGTTGCCATGCTGCTGGCTCTGTTGCTGTGCGATCGCGGCGGCTGCCAAAGCAGCCCGATTTTCACCCTGGCTCGGGCGGTGTCCTTGGTTGGGCGACTTGGTCGCATGGGCTTCCTCGTAGTGCTGTAATAGGTCATGAAGCGTCGGTAACGTCACACCGCAGCAGGAAAAGTCCCGCATGAAGTTGGCCTCCAGCTTCGGCAGATATGAGGAAGAGTGGAAAGAAGGCGACTGAAAGGTAAACGGAGAAGTGCCGGTCATGATGATACTGTGGAGAAGTTTACTTGGTCAGTCTTCTGATGCCGTGGAACGATCAAGCAGAGCATAGAGGGCTTTGGAAGGGCCCGGAGGGATCGCCCTTTTGGCCTGCGCGTGCCCTTTTACGCCTTTTCCTGCTGTAGCTATTCGTCTCATGGGGTATCCGCCACTCACTCATCACGAATCCAACTTCCTACAGATACACCACCCCAGCTCATACCGCCCACCAAGCTACCTGCGAGTGATTCCCGCCGGCCTTTGTCGCGGGCAGACCCCGACATGGAGATCGGCTTCGTCCCGTTTCCCCATTGTGCATTGGCGGCACCGATCGAGTCCTTGCGAGGCGGCGGAGCCTTGAACATCGCGAGCCCACCGCTAGGGTGGTGCGATATACTACCTGTGCGCTCACCGGTGCCAGCTCTCTGGAGTGCCGAAGTAAGGTTCGAGGCCTGTTGGCCCGGTGGTGAGACCGAGGCCGACTGCCGGCTGGTGATGTCAATGGGAGCAGCGCCTGTCATCGTGATGGAGGGGAAGTAGGCGTCGTCGAAAAGATGTAGTTTAGAAGGCGTCGTAAATATTCCGTGTATTCTGGAATGATGAAAAAAATAAGTCCCGTAACCTTTTTTTTCTAGAAGGTCTCTAGAGATCCTAGTTCCCTGTCCGGTCCTGCGCGAAGCAAGAGCACGCCAGACCCAAGGAGTTGAAGGGACAGGGTAGATGGGAAAAGCCCCGTGTTGAAGCGCGAATGAAAGTCACCGTGAAGAGTTGAGGAGGATGAGAATGCGACAGGAAAGCAAGTCTCGCTCAAGTGCCCCTCGATGGGTGGATGGCGGTTTTGGGCGGGTTCGAGGAGTCCACCCTCGGATGATGTCCCACTCTTGGTGCTGGGGCCCAGCGAATCGCCTGTCTCTTTGGCGCAGTAGTGGCGATGGACGCGCTGGTCCTCCTGTTTGGATATTTGGGTACAGCGTGTCCTCAAGACGAAGGATGGAACGGCTGGTGAGATGCGTATATCGCCTTTTTTTTCTAGTCCTGACACCAGATAAGAGAGGGATAGGAGGAGGTAGGGCCTCGAGTCCCAGCGGGACAACTTACTACGGATGGAGGCGACCCTGCCGTTTTGGGTTAGCGTCGTTACCGTATTACCACTGGCACGTGATACGGTGCAAACGGGGGAGGCAATAGATGTAAAACGTAATTAATTCCGTATGCCACTGACATTTGAGCTGGGATTGGTCTCAGCAATAGTATGCTGGACATGAATCACTGTCATTAACATGACTTGATCGAATATTCAGATATACGGTAGCCACCATCATTCTACTAGCAGCCCCTCTGAATAGATGCGTCGATGACGGGGGTCCGATGCCGATCTGATGATGCCACGACACACCGCTTGCAGAGTCCAGCGAAGGGGACGTCATGATCGGTAATGGGCTGTACGGGCCTGAAACACGGACCTCCAGGCTAGCGTAACTGCGGTATTATGCTGTATATCGCGGTATCCTCGGTCTACTTCGGTATCAAACGCAGGTAATCAACGTGGTTTGGTGGGGTACGCTCCGGTATCGTTTGCCCTCTTCCGTTCACGCGGCTAACCGTATTAAATGACTAATGAGGCCTTGGCTGATGATGCGCTCTTGAGCTCAATTCTCATTCATGTTTACGGAGCCGACCTCCGTGTGGTCTTCCAACCTGCTACTTTATCGACACAAGTTGAGCGGAGACGGCCTGACAATGTTGGACCAGCCATCTTACCCAGTACGCGAGCAGCAGCTACCCCGGTAGGTACTGTTTAGTTCTCCCAAGGGATGCCCGGCAAGAAGGAGGTGGTGGAGTCCCGACTCTCTTCACGATGAACCATGGGCGACGGTGTACCGATCAGAACGAGGATTCGCTGGACGGTGCTCGACCCGCTCCACACCAGGCCCGCGGCGTCGGCAAGAACGATCAACTATTATGAAATCTGCTCTCCCCCTTCGGATGAGAATTAAGGATTCGGTCAAAGTACAACAAGGTTGTCCGCGCTAAAGCCTCGAGTATCGATCATCTATAGCCATGCAGGCTAGCACCAAGCTCCTATCCCCTGTAGATCTGGGGTCCCATCTGCAAGGGGCAAGATCGTTTTGTGGTGGCGATTTCCCGCTCAGCCGAGGGCCATTGGCCACCAACGGACTCCATTGGACTCCGCGGCCTTCTCCGCTGGTTTGGAATGTACGGAGACTGATGTCAAAGACAAAGTAGTACTCCGGACATACAATTGAGATCCGCTGTCTTGCGCCGCCGAAGCTGAGTTGGATCACCTGGCCCCCTTTTTGTCTCCAGTTTGGCCGGGGTGATTAAGGGGCAACAATGTGACCCTGCTCCATCAAACACGCTACACGAACTCTGAAAATACAGGATCACCGGCGCTCTCATACAATCGGGCATTGTCGATCTGCTGATAGTTCTTCAACATCGTGGTCTTTCCACCTCCCAAGTCCCAACCCAAGGTTTCAGTCGGGAAGCAACGGGTCTTGGCTTTGGCGCTAGAAACGCGGCAGAAGCATTCGGTCGGCCTTCCATCAATTAGCGTTGCCCGGAGTCTTCATGCCTTATGGGAGGGACGCGACCACACCGCCCCGCCGGGCTCTAAATTGGACCCTCTGTATTGACGGAGTACGGTGTAGGATTCTGTACGGAGTTGTATAGGTAGAATACACGCCAAGGTGATTCCCCCGATCTTTCTTGCCTTAGTTCATTAATGCGCCCGTTGACTCCGTGTCAAGGAGATCGCCATCTATTTCCAACCTCTCCTGTAGCTAATCTCAAATTTGAACTTACCAGTTGAACACCCTGAAAACAACGTAATTTCCATTTTTCCATCTCAGCCCACCATCTCAGCCCCAAAAGTTTTCCTGCCGCGTGCATTATTTCCCGCGGAGTTGACTCGGGCTTCGCTCGATCTGGCATGTGGGTGTTTCAGCAGTTGAGTCTGACTGTAACAATTAACGTGAAGAAGACACTCTGGCATTGTTCAATGGACGACAATGCTTTGTGTATAGCCAATAAACAAGAGCTCCTCGACTAAACCAGCTCTCTAAATTCGTGCTCGCCATCTTAAATTTGCCCCTGAGACGGGCTGATCCCCGCACTTAGAATCCATCTACTCCGTACATACCACACCACGACTTAATCTACCCCTCCATTCCAACCCACCGCAGTGAGACAGCCATCGTAGATCAACCACCGCTGCGGTCTATCACTCTACTACACGACTCCGTATGGTCAACGGCGATCTGCCAGCCATACGGGCGATCTTCCTTCGGCCAACTTGTTGTTTTTCTGGGTTACATACTACATAGTGAGCTCCTATTGTGGGGCTGTGTGTATCCAGATACAATTACTCCGTACAGCCCTCATTTTAGCATTAAGGCTGTGCATGTGATAGACACTAGCGTTATAGACTGTCTCATGGAGTCACGACGGCACCCAGCGACCCTGGCTTGGAAACCGCTAGCGTAGCAACTAGCTTGGGAGGGCACATGACCCTGGGAATCCCAAAAAGCGGTAGCGCGCTGACCGCTAGCTTGTCGATTTACGTGGGATGGAGTACTCGATTTTGTAAACATTGACGTCGAGGGACACTAGCGGTGAATAACGGCTTGAGTATGAAGAATCCATGGGCAAGTTCGATTCTTGTCTTATCCCACCACCCTCACAATGCGTACACACTGGTGTATGCATGCATCGTCGCGACCACATGTTGTCCACTATCTCTCATTCCATCTGTACGATTAGCTCAGATGCACGATGTAGCTTTCCGTACTTTACCTCCCTGCGTTAATCATTCCGCTTCGCCCTCCTCGCCTGACCAATGCTTAGACTCAAGCGAGTCCAGCCACTTAGTCTCAGTTCCGGGGCTGTACGATTCAACGGTCCCCCGCATTGGGGCTTTCGTCCCCTCTGCGGGGAATGCGGAGCATGTTTGTTTTAAGTCGAATTCAAGGGAAAAAAGACATAAAATTGAGTTAGTCTCGTGACATGGACAGCTCGAGTCATGCATATTATTGAGTTCAAGGGGGGACTAGAATCTTTGGCCATGTGACTCGGCCCGAATCGGTGCAAGTCGGCACTCAAGGTCCTTGTTGTAAGCTTTAGTTAGTTAGTTAGGCACACTTTATGAGTCACAAGCTAATCAAATATCACTGAGTATCATTTAATCTATGTCCAAATGTACGTCATCAATTGCGTGGACTATAAGTAAAGATCAGGCCTATTGACCCTGGAGATCGGAGGCCAGAGAGAACCCGAGATGGGTACCAATGGCTTGTGAGACTATAGAAGCTTTACAGAACTATCAGTGGATTGCGAATTGGCTCTGTAACACTGCTATCAGATAATGGGGAGAGCATTAGATCACACCACCGTGTCACTTGAAGTACTGTATTGACAAGAGACATAGAGCACGAGATATATAGCCCTTTGCGATACGGCATAGATCATAGAAAATTGCAGCTGCTAATTCGGACACATACTTCAAGATCGGTAATAAGATCAACGCCTTTGTTTGTGCTGGCAGCCGGTGCAATACTAGCTGATCTCTTGACAGAATATCATGCTGAGCAATTCAGTGCGGACCGATATCTACTGTGGTTCTTAACATATTGCCCCTGTTTGGTTGACGGGTTTTCTGGCTTATGGAGGGGTCGTTGGCAGTTTTACGCTCATTAGTTTCCAAGCTCTCTTTGCCCACATCATTGAACGACTCAAGGATTTCTGTTTTTCAAGAAGCTTGACAACTTTGACTTGCTGTTTCCCGAGTTTTCCAAGCTGGAAAAGGCTGGATCAGAGTGTCGCTAACAATGAAGGACTAGATTTACTCTAGAATTTCTCTCTTTACGTCTATTGAAATGAAGCCTCGTGCCTTTCATTTATCGAATTTCATCTGGCAGTTTTTCTGTCCACTGATATCGAAACACTTCTTGTTATCAACATTATTCTAAACCTTGTTTTGACTTTTACTGTTTCTAGCCGACGAAATAGACGATTATAAGCAGAATCCGTGAGCGTTTTTCACGAGGATTGTTGGAGGGCAGGTCATTCTGGTCGGTCAAGTCATCACGTTGGGGGTGTCCTCGGCATATTTCGACAAAATTATTCAACTATAGTTCTAAAGGCGACCTTCATCGTGGTCCACACAACTGCTAGATTAGGACATGGGAAACCATAAATGAGCCCTTACATAGTCTGTCGCGGTGACATTCAAGCAGACCAACTTCCTACAGAGCATTCAAGTTAATAATGTCATGCCAGACAGTATACTCATCTCCAGGGGCGTTAATAGACGGGCTATACATAGACATAGGGCCACAAGGGGTAACACTTTGAGCTTCGGCTAAATGTATATATCCGTCAGCCCGATTCGAGTATGTATAGATGTCGCGATATCCGCATTATCAAACATCAATCTCCCTCGCCGAATAACCCCCTATGGGCATAAGCCGGGAATAGAACGTTCCACAAATCTAAAGCCGCCAGATTGCTGCCGCAACTGATTGATATTACTGGATAGAGATATCCCCGCCACACATGGAAATATTGCAATATTCACTCAGAAAAATCGATGACTCAGAGATGCTTATCATCACTCCAGATCTTCACCGAAGTGCGGGGTGGATTATCGGAGGGGGGGGGGTCAATAAGATGGAGGGGGGTAAGACTCCGTCCTCAACTCCACCGCGATTCTCACCGGGGCGACCAACACAGAAATAGTACCTGAAAATGTAAGCAGCCATTGCGATTCAAATCACGCATCCAATCTCACGAATAGAAATGCAAACGTGTATTGTTAGACCAAGGGGCAACCCCGCAAAAACAGCAAAAATCGGAAGGGCAAGAAGAAAGAGCGGCCCAAGATGGGCAAAACCTCATTATCTCATTATCCACATCACAACAGCACAAATTCGCAACGGATAGTCTTGGCATTTTGGCGATAGTGGCAAGTTTACCCCAATGAGGAACTCAGTGGTCCTCACGGTGCACGACTGCAGTCAGCGTGTGCAACCTGATGAACATGATCCG